TTAAATAATTATAGTTTTAAGCCTTTAATTTAGTAAAACATAGATTTAATCTTAAAAAGCTAGTAAATTACTTTTTATAATTAACTAGTTTTTAAAACTTAATTTCTTGGCTTTTTTGGCCTAATTTTCTGCTTTTAAAACTTTAATTTACTTTTAAGTTTAATTATTTATAAATTATAATACTAAAAGTAACTTTATTAAACAATTTAATATATAATTAAAGTAAATATTTTTAATTAATATAATATTTTAAACTTAACACTAGGCTAAAACCTAATTTTTTTTAAGGTTAAATTATATATTTATAGTACCACGATTTTTAAAATTAAGATTTAACTTTGTTTTATCCTAAAAACAAAAGAATTTTCTAAAAATATTAAAGCATTTATTACACCTAATACTTTGGACTTAAATATTTTATTTTTTATTTAAATTAAGCTTTTTTTTATAAAAACTTTATATTAAGTTTAGGCAAGTAATTATTTACACTTTAATACCTTGTACCATTTTTTTTTTAATAAATATTAAAAAATCTTTTTTTAAGACTAATTTGGTCTTGCTTTTATACCTTTTAAATAGGGTATTTATAGGGTTATACTTGCCTAAATAATATAAAATTTTAAAGTTATATACTACTAGGTCTATATACTATTTTACTTGCTTTTTACTATACTTTTATTACTACATAAAAAAATAAAGATTTACATAATTTAACCATACTATTATTTTATAAGGGGAACCTTTAAGGTATTACCTTTAATAATAAAATAACTAAATAATAGCAAATAGTTCCTTATCTAGAATTAATTAATTAATTTTTATTTTAATAAATTTATGGGACTAGAATGCAACTAAATAATATTTTTTTATATTATTTAGTTAAAAATAAATTCTAGCTATCCCTGTATTACTAGCATCTACTTTTAATTATTTTTTCCGCATAGGATTAAAATAACGTAATAAAGGGGCTTTTATAAAGGCATTAAAAAAAAATTAAAATACTAGCTTTTCACGCTTTTAAAATTACAAGAGCCTAATTTTCTTTTTATATTATATTTTTTTTATTAAGCTAGTTAATAGTAAGGTAATTTATGCAAAATTATAAATAAAATAATAATAAAAATTAATAAAACCTAAAAAGAATTACAGAGCTTTATAAGAACAAGGTTCTTTTTATAAAATTATAGTAGTTACTTATTCCGGGTTTATTTTAACATTATTTTAATTAATTACAAAACCTAAAAATTTTACCTCTTCCTTAAAAAAGGTATATTTTTTTAAATTAGTAAATAATTTAGCCTTGTATAATTATTTAAAAACTTGTTTAATATACTTAACATATTACTTAGGGTTAATAAAAAAAATCAAAATATTATTAAAATAAATAACATAAATTTAATCTAAAATATTATAAACTATAAAATAAATATAACTTTAAAAAGTGGCAGGAATATTAGTTAAACTAAAAGGCATAATAATATACTTATAGTAACTATATTAATATTAAAAAGCTGTTTTTTACTAGTCTTTTTTATAAACCTAGATATAATAATAAGTATTTTTTAAATTAACTTTAGTATAGCGGGTTGCTCCCGAGATCCAGTTAAAAATTTTTAAAATAAAAAATAAAGGGTATTAATTTTTAATTATTATTTTATTTAACCCTTAATAATTAACACATAATTATAAGCCTTTATTTTTTTTAGGTATAAAAAGAATAGATGCTCTAGCAGGACTTTTAAAAGGTTTAATATAATTATATTAAATATTTTTATTAATATACTAGCGTAACATGGCTAATTTAGCAGGTAAAAAAGGGTAGATTAACTTATAAAAAGGTAACTAGCTATTTATTATTATAATATCATGCGTAGGTATTAACTTTAAAAATATTATTTTTATATTATATAAGAAAAATACATCTTGAAATATATTAAGTTTAAGTAGTAAATTATTTATTTAATTTAACTTGCTACTATTATAAACTTTTTTAAGTAAAAAAATAATAATAAATATATAAGCTTAATTCCTGCAAGCCTTTATAAACTTATATTATTTAAAAATTTAGTATTTTATTACTTTATTATTAAACCATTATTAATTTGCTATTATATAAATATACATAGCTTGGATAGTTATAATAAAAAAAATAATTAGGTATTTAACTTTAGTTTACTTAATTTTTATATAAAATTATTTAAATATTTTTATAGTGCCCCTAAAATTAGTAACTTTAATAAGTACTTTTTATACTCCCTTTAAATTATCTCGCTAACCGCTATATTCCTTTAAAATAAAATAAAAAAGTTTTACTTAATTTAAATAAGCACGCTTAATAAATTCTATACTTACTATATTTACCTTTACTTTAGTATTTAAATTTATTTTAGTTTTAATCTTATTTTACAAAGCTTTTACTATTATTTTTATTTAAAAATACTTATTTATTTTTATTTTTAAATATTAAGCTAGGGCATAAGACTTTACTCTAGCTTTTTTTTATTTTTTTTTTTATATATTTTACTTTTATTTTAGTTTATATACTCACCTTCTTGCTAATTATCTTGCTTTTTTTTATAATATTTTTTATTTTAAGGGTTTTTAACTACTATTTTATAAACTTTGGTAATTTAATTAGGATTTACTAGCTAAAAGTTAGGGTTTTATAATAATTTTATATAATTAGGTATAATATAACTAGGTTTTCCGCACTTAAAATATATTATAAAAGTTAATTTTAACTAATCCTGGTTTAGTACTATTTTAATATAACTTTAAAAGGGTTTTATTATACTAAAAGCTTATCCCGCAGGTATTTTATTATAACTTTTTTAAAAAGTTTATTTTATAAAATAACTTTTTTTTTAGGTTTTCTTACCACGGGTAAATCCGCGTTAATTTTTTCTTAAATTAATAATATTTTTTTTTTATTTAGCGGGTTTTAATTATTTATTATAATATAAGGTAATGCAAGGTTGCAAATATAATATATAAAATTAATATTATAAGGCAAGTTAAACTAAATACTTTTTAGTATTTAGGAGTTTTATATTATTAAAATTATAAATTTTATTTTAAAGTAAAGGTAAAAGCTTGCTAAAATAGCGTTAAATCTGTATTTTTTTATTATTTCTTAAAAAATACTATTTTAATATAGCTAAATAATTAGTAAAATCCCTAGGATCTTAGTTTTTTTTTTAACAAGCTAACTTTAGTTTAACTATAGTATCTAGTAAACTAGTTATTAAACTTTTTAAAATTATAGCTATTTATTTTTTAAAGTATTCCTAAAAAGATCCCTAATATTCCTTATTTATATTTTTTAATTTATTAGCATGTTAAATTTAGTTACTTTTACATACTAATTTTATTATAGTTAAAGCTCCTAAAATTTGCTGTTAATCTAATTTATATTTTCTAGGTGCTTTTTTAAAATTTAATTTTAAAGTGCCAAGCTAATTAAGGCGTTGCTATAAGCTAAAATTAAAATTATACTTAGGTATATTTTTATTTTTAATCCTACTATAATCCTCTGGCAAATTATTCTAATATTAATATTACTTTAAAGGTGCATTATATTTAGCTAATTAATTCTTTAAATATTTAATATATTTTTTTATATTTTATAATTATTAGGTTACTAGTATTTTGCAAGTGTTTTAATAGTTTTTTGTAATAGTACTTTTAATAATTTTAATAATAAAAAATTATTAAGTATTAAAGGGTCCTTTTTTAGGACTATTAAAATAGTTTTATTTAAAAATAAGGCGTGAGTATACTAGCGGTATAATACATGTTTTATAGGTGGTTAATAGGTAAAAAAGTTAAAACTATAAAAACCTTAAGTAGGCTAACCAGGTATAAAATAAAGTATTAAAAGGTTATTTAATAAGGGATTAATATTAAATCTTAAGGCCTAAAATATATAAAAACTAACTTTTAGCTAACTATTTTTTGCTAGGGCGTTGGCCTTAAATACACTATTAAAATAATAGTAATATTATTACTACGTGTTAAGTTAATGTTACCGTGACTCTTATCTTATTAGTTTCCTTATCTTATCAAGGCTTGGCACCCGTGGGTGTGACATTTATTATTTAAAATTTATATATATTTTTTAAAAATAGCCTAGACTTAAATTAGCTATAAAAATAAGTTATAAAGTAGTTTTTAAGTAGTTTTTACTATTAATTTAATAATTAGTATAATAGGCGGAAGTATTATTAGTAAAAAAAATAAAAAGGGGTAAAAAAAAGTTAAAAAAAAGTTTAATATAAAGTTTTAATAAGATTATTAATATTTATACTACTTAAAAAGTAGTATAAAGCTTTATTATATTAATAGCTATTATATTTAAATTATAACTAAAGTTATAAGTAAAGTTTAAAGGTAAGCTTAGGTAAGCTATAAAGCTAGGTCACGTGACTAAACTAGCTAGAGTAACCAGCAAACAAGTCGGGCCAAGCTGTTCTCTGCTCCCTCCCCTACTACAAAGTACGAACCGTTGGTGAGACCGTTGGATAACGGTTGACGGATTGAGTAAGAATGCGGAGCTCCGACCACCACCATAGGCTGTAAGTAGGATAGCCGTTGTAGTGATAGCATGATAGGTGGAGCCATATGGAGATGCTAAAACTCTGTAGCGTGCATTTCCAAACTTGATAAGTTGATACTTAGACGGCAAAGACGGGAAGCCCTAAGTCCATGTCCAAGAATAGTCTAGCGGCCAGGGTCAAGACCTAGGGCTGGCCGGACGGGGAAGAACAATACTCCGCCGGTATGCCGCAAGTGGGGAGCCAGCATAAAGAGTATCAATGCAAGAAAGGTTCACTGAAAACACGCCTTGAACAACACCAGCCTGCCAACCGCTTCTTGACCCTGACCTTCGTGCTTATATGGCTTGTCAGTCTGCGCTTGCTATTACTTGCACCGAACTCGAGCTATAGCTTCCCCCTAAGCCCATATATCGGCGTTGATCGGAGCTCCATCACTTCTCCGCTATGGCTCATGTTATTGAGCTGGCAGGGGAGTCGAATCCCCTCACGCCACAAAATGTCTTGAATTCTTTGATACAAGCTGCGAGCTCTACGCAGCAGCAGGTTCAAACTGGCACCAAGCAGCTTCAATACTGGGAAAAACAGGAAAAGTATTACACGTTCCTTCAGGTATGTACTTACCGGCTTTTGTTTTGTTGCGGCGTTCCTACTTGACCTAAACTAACTTCTATAGGATGTATTCTTAGATCAGTCGGTCCCGAACGAAGCTAGATACCTCGCTATCATCCAGATGAAGAACGGAATCGACAAGTATTGGCGCAGGACGGCACCGAAGTACGAACACCTTGAAGGGATAAAGCATGGAAGAGCTTAGCTAACGAGCTCCATAGTGCGATAAAGAAAGAGGAAAAGGAACACATCAAAGTTAGAGCTTTACAGGCTGGCGTCCTGGAACCGGCGCCTCTTCTGGCTCTTCACAATGCTTTTGTGCTTGCAAAGATCATGCGCCTCGAGTATCCGCAAGAATGGTGAGTAGGAGGGCTGTTTTGCCATGTGTATCAACTGGATGCTTATGTATCATATCAAGGCCTGAAGGAATTCCCGCAGTCCTCGATTCCCTCCGGTCATCTGTTCAACCTGGCGCAAACCCGTTGCAGTTGCCGCGAACGCTTATCATTCTCCTACAAATTATAAAGGAATTGTCGACAGCTCGATTACAGAGAACACGCCAGAGCCTACAGTCGATCGCTCCGGAGATACTTCATGTTTTGGGCAGCATATACGTGGATAAAGTGAACACATGGGCCCCTGCACTAGAGCAAGGCAATTTTGGCACCGCGGGGCTTCCGGAGGCCATGGAGCAGAGTCTCATTGCGCTTAAGGTTCTTAGGCGTCTGCTTGTGGCTGGATATGAGCATCCTAACCGAAGCAAAGATGCACAAGAGTTTTGGTCCTTGACACATTCCCAGTTCAGTAGATTGTTCGCTCTCATCAGCGGTTCCGCGGCATTACCCGAAGAAGTACAGAGATTTGTGGAGAAACACCTTCTGCAACTGTCTAAGCTTCACGTGGAGATGGCCAAAGAGCGTGCCGCGTCCTTTGCGTTGCTCCCGAATAGTATCCCGCTAGTCCAATCATACTGGACGCTGGTAGTCAAGCTAGGAGAGAACTACAGCCAATTGGGCGCGGATGGCGAGTCGGACAAGACCTTCATGGAGAAAGCCGGCCTTAGAGCTCTGCTTCTCCTTAGGGCTTGCTCCAGGATGGCATTCTACCCTGCACAGTCGTTCAAGTATCAGACTCCGCAAGATAAAGAGGAGAAGCAGCAAGCTGTCAAGCTTATCAAGTCGCAGCTTTTCACACAAGATTTCGTCATCCATGTCATGGAACTGCTTGTCACGCAGTTCTTCCGTTTCAAGCAGAACGACTTCCAGGAATGGGAAGCAGAGCCAGAGGACTGGGAGCGGAAAGAGGAGGATATTGCCGAAGCCTGGGAGTTCTCGATACGATCTTGCTCGGAAAAGATCTTCCTTGATTTGGTTATCCAATTCAAGGACCTGCTGGTGCCTCGTTTACTGACTGTCTTCCAGTCTTTTGCAAGTAAGTATCACCTCTACGATCTGTTGTCCTCCGACTGACGATCGTTCTTCAAGGCCCAGAAAACCGTGATGTGTTGTTGAAGGACTCACTGTATTCGGCCATCGGATTGGCCGCAGCTTGCTTAGAGAAGCACCTCGATTTCATCAACTTCCTGCAGACCACTCTCGTCCCGGAGGTCCAGATTCAAGAACCTGGCTACAACGTGCTCAGAAGGAGAATCGCGATTCTTCTTGGCCAGTGGGTTCCTGTCAAGTCCAGTGAGATGAACTGGGAATCAATCTACCAAATATTCCAGCATCTGCTCAACAATCAAGATCCATTGAATGACCTCGTCGTCCGGATCACTGCCGGCCGGCAGCTGAAGCACGTGCTCGATGTCTTTGAATTCAGTCCGGATGTCTTTAAGCCCTTTGCGCCGTCCATCTTCGGAAGCCTCATGTCCCTGGTGCAGGAAGTTGAGAGCTCTGAGACGAAGATGGGCTTGCTCGATACGGTGCGATTGGCAGTTACCAGGATGGAAGACAACGTTCGTTTCCCGCTTTTCTGTTATTGAACTGCTTGCTAACATTTCTTTAAGGTTGCTCCATTCTCTGATGCGATTCTAGCATTATTGCCGCCGTTGTGGGACGGCTCTGGTGAAGAGCATCTGCTGAAGCAGGCTATCCTTACTTTGCTTGGGGCATTGATCTACTCGCTCAAACAAGAATCAATGAGATACCATTCGATCGTTTTGCCTCTAATTCGTAACTCGGTTGATCCCACTTCGGTATGTTCAATGAACCCACTAAAATAGGGACCGACCACTGATAGTCAAAAAGGATACCATGATCTACCTCTTGGAAGATGCCCTAGAGCTTTGGAGCGCCATAATGCTTCAAACCCCTTCACCCCCCTCCCCCGAGATCCTCTCCCTCATTCCCGCCCTCTTCCCCGTTTTCGAAACTGCCGTCGACGGCGTCAACCAGGCCCTCCAGATCGCAGAATCATACATCATCCTCGCCCCACAGGAAATTCTCAGCGACCGCATCCGCCTCCCACTTTTCACCTCCTTCGAGACCCTCCTCGAACCAACCCTCCGCCAACGCGGAGGCTACGTCCCCCGCCTCATCGAACTCGCCATCCGCGGCGCCGAGACCGTCGACAACGGCAGCGAAAACACATACCGCGTGATCATCAGCTCGCTACTCGACAGCTCCCTCCTGACCTCCCTGCTCGAGGGCCTACACTCCGCATACGAAGCAAGCCAGACAACAGGGCCAAACAAGAAACAAACAAGCATCTACGGCGGCGTCGAATCAGACTACTTCTCCGTCCTTGCACGTCTCGCCCTCGCACACCCTACGCTCTTCGTCTCCGGCATAACAGCCGCCTTCTCCAACAGCAATAGCATCAACAACAACGTACAGTCCCCGGACCAAGTGCAGGAAAATCTTCTTACCTGGCTCCTAACGGAATGGTTCTCGCACTACGACAACATTGGCACCGCAACGCAGAAGAAACTGCATGCGCTAGCCCTAACCCAGCTTCTAACCCTCAACGGCCCGAATACCCAGCCGCCAGCCTATATCCTCAACCACCTGCAATCGTATCTCAATGTTTGGACGGATATCATCACCGAGCTGGCCGAGGGCACGACGGAGGGTGATCCCAGCGATCCCCGGGGCGGCGATTACCTCATCTACTGGAACAATGCGCAGACAGGGACGTATGAGGATACGGAGCCGCCTGAGAACACGCGGCGGCGAGAGTGGGAGAGCTCGGATGTTGTTCACAAGACGAATATCCGGAACTTTGTGCGCGAAAGGCTGCAGTCTCTAATTGTGGGCTGTGGAGGCGAGCAGCGGTTCCAGGAGGATTGGCTGGTTAATGTTGACCGAGATGTGGTTGCGGCTTTTGCTGCGCTGCGGTTGCTCTGATTTGACATGGGTTTCTCCTAGCCTACTTCGGCAGGGTTCCCATAGCTCTAAATTGGAGAGGTTCCTACTGCCTGTATGCATTGCCTGGGTGATGATACTCCTTTCTACATAGCTTAAATACCCCTATAGACGAAACGGTGTGATTTATGAATATCAATTGGTTCTAGTGGAAGTTCAACGAGCCAAACAGGGTAACATAGATATGGAATGCCTGTTGATAGCGAAAGAAGCGGCTAGCACAAACGCAAAGAGCTTGTCGAATCAAAACTTGCACTGGTTGGGGAACTCTCGGTCACTCAAAGGTTGAGGGAAAACGCCGTTCACGAGTAAATCGTGCATATCCCAACCAGGAGCTCCTTCGGTCTTCCAAGTCCAAAACACCCAACCATTTCTCAGCTCATATGCATCCAGTTGAGCCTCAATATAGCGGCGTGTGCTCACGATCTCATCTGGGCTCAAGCCAGCCACGCTACCGGCACTTTTACTTCCACAAGGGCCGACTGCTGCTTGCCCGGCAAGCGAACCGTCGTAGCGAACCCCGATGCCCTTGCCGTTCAGGTATTTCGTACAATCAGTGAGAGCTCCTGTCCACTCACCCACGATAACGGGCTTGTCGACAGCCTGGAGATGCTGACGGCCGAGTTGGCAAGCGGCATCAATGTGCTTGTCAATGCTCCATCCATTCTGGCCACTTTCGAAAACTTCGTAGTGATGGGTGTCTACCATAACGTTCTCTCCGGTCATGAAGCCATTCCAGCTTTCCGTTTGTAAGAACCCGTCATGGAATAGCAAGGTCGCCTCGGGGCTGTTCCTCCGCACTCTTGTCATGGTTTCTTGGTAGTATTCTTTGAGTTGGTCCTGGTTAATGCCGCCAGGGATGTGAGGCTCATTCAGAGCCTCAATGACCGTTACAATGTCATCATCGGGTAGATACCTTTGGGCCAAGACCTCAAAAGCCAGGAGGGTTTGTGGTACGGTGTTTCCTTTTTGCCATCCGATAGGCCCTCTGCGTCCACTGTTGTCGAATCCGTTCTGCGAGCCCGGTGCTACTCATGATATCAGCCATCAGGATATCCTGATCTTTAATCAGTAGAGACCTACCGCCATGCAGATCCAAAATAATCTTGAGATTGTGAGCTCTGGCCCAGGCAACGGCACTATCAAGGTGCTCAAGTTGACCGTGGACATAAGGCTCTCCGTCAAGGGGAGCAGCCGCCCAGTAACCTATGGGGATCCTGACATAGTTCAGGCCTGCTTGAGAAATGAGCGAGAAGTCTTCCTCGGTGATGAAAGTGCTCCAATGATCGGACAGAATGGCTGCAGCTTTCTCCGAGCCTAGAATTTTTGTCAAGGTGTACTCGTCGACGGCCTCGTCACCAGCTTCATCGAATAGTGACGGGGTAATCCAAGGCTCGAGGACAAACCAGCCACCGAGGTTGACTCCGCGGATTTTATCGGCAGTGGCACTTGCACGAGACCGTAGACTATTATAGGTTAGTCATTTACTCGAGTTTTGGAAGACTATAACTCACAGACTTGCAGCTGAAGCACCAGCGGTCAAAAGTGGGAGGGCCAAACAGGCCACTTGGGAGATCCGGGAAAGCATTCCGAAACCGCACAATGAGAGAAAGTTGGGGTTGAAAATTCCAAGGGGTAATGGATGTCTCCGGCTTTAAATAAACCGAACAGTAGTAAAGGCTGCGCCTGATGGGATGCAAGCGAACAATAGATTGAGTATTACCGTATGGAAGATGCTCTGGAATGCTGCTTTCGGAGAGGAAGAATTTTAGCTGGAGACTGAGATTCAACCGGAAGCAAAGGGGAAGAGACGAAGGAAGGAGCGTTGCTCGCCAGGCACAAGAAAGAGCAGTGGTTGTTGTGGGAGCTGCCCAGTCCGGTTGTGAACTCTCCGGGAATTCCCATCCTCTCTATGGACGAGAGACCGGACATGTTTCCAATGCACCTGCTGATCCCGGAAATGAAGTCCAGCTAAAGCTCAGGTCGGGTTATCCCCGCAACCGGGGAATGGTGAATGCAGTCAACGGAAACTCGCAAGGTGGATGAAAACAAGGGCGTCCATGGCCGAATCCGGACAACCACCAACACGTGATGGCATTGTCCTTCAACCAACCACGAGGCCTTCGCTCCTTGTCATGTCAGTCACTCAGGAATGTGGGGAGAGTTACCTGTCTCAATGACTCGGTATTGTTCACTGTTTGGAAACCAGAGTGGGGGAGGAAGGGATAGATACCGTTCCACCATGGACACGTGCCACGGTACGCAGGACGATTGCATCGACTAGTCGATCGTACTGACTTCCGAGGAAAGACGACTCTCTAGATGCTATACCATCCAGTGAAGCCTGTTTCTGGCTAGCAAAAGCCCCGTTCCCAAGTCGACCAAGTCGGCGGGTCAATTGGATGGCAGCCAGTCATGCTAGCAATAACTCGATCACCACAGCGGGCCTACCAGGATTCGAAACGCCCAGAAATGCCTTGCAGAGCACAGACAACGATCTACCCGACAAACTGGATGGAGCTCAGCAACCACGGTCTTCACGAACTGGTTCTAATCGGCATCTTCCGGCGTCAATCGGGCAAGTCGCTTCCTTCAGGGCCACCATGGATCAGACAGGGGATCCATGGCCTAGGCCTGGAATGGCTTAACGTGCATCTGAGAAGCTATAGATGATACAGCTCTTCTGCGCATCAAGCTTGGGGCCCAGCAGAGTTATGTGCTTTGCGTCTTCGAAGAATTGTCTTCACCTGCAGCTTGCTAGGTCCATGGCCGCAAGGGGTTTCTTGCTACGGCAAGTATCTGCACCTAAGGTATCTTCGGAGGTCACTAAGGTACGTAAGATCGGGTTATTACCATTATCCTGGTGAGTTCGCCGTACGTTACCTCGTTGACTAGTTCGGAAACATCGATACCATTGGAGACTTAGGGTGGTCGCTAGGTATCTCGACCGGGCTCCGGAGTGGATGAAGACTCAAGAGGGGACCGAAGAAAACGGCAATCGCATACGCCAGCGGTCTACCGATCAGAGAATCATTCGATCCTTGCATGCATACTGTGGAGTTCTTGAACCCTTGATGAACTAGACTACTGCGTTCCGAGATCCAAGTCCGTAACCGCACCGCCGATTCTAAAGAAACCGAGCCCAAGACCAAACGAGCTCGCCACATCCAACTCGGTGAACACGAAGGTGATGACAGTCGTCTTTGAATCGGTTGCAGTTCGTGATCGATATCAATTGTTTGTTGACGAAAGGAAAATTCCTGATTACAAATACGAGGATAGGAGAAAATCGGGCCGCAAGCAGAACATCAGGCCATATCGAGCCCCATACCATAATCACGGCTCGGGCTGACAGACCACTTGAGAACTGCTCCGATCAATCACACGATGAACCGCGCGAAAATGATGGGTCAAGGACCCAGTGCTATGTACTGCTTTTCATCATACCGGCTATTACTGGCTTGGATGGTCTTTTCTGAGCGGGATTGACCGCAACTGACATCTGTCAACTTTTCCTCCAAGAACTCCATTCCTCCGGGAGCCCTGTGTGTGACTGAAATACTGCTACATAGTCTATGCCCCCATCTATCGGGTGTGGGCAATCAATGACATTGTTACAGTGTCGTTCAATATTCTCCTCTCGGCAATCCCCGAGAACAGGCTTCTAGAAAAGATCCTGAAGATATCGGAAGGCTCCCGAGTTCTTAGGGCTTCAATCTGGAGGCTGGATCATAATCAGCAAGGTGCGTCACAAAGACCCACGATAGCACGTGTACTTTCATTTATACAGATTGAGCTATATTAGGACCCCCATAATCAGACCACCTGCGCCTTCAGCGCGTCGGCGATTTCAGGATCCTTGAGGGATCTTGATAGGTTGATCCTCCACGATCTAATCTGAAACGGACCACGGTCAACTCTTTTTGCCAAAACTTTTGCCGGTGCAGATGCCTTCATCTGTTGACGTGATGTTTTCCACTTTGTTTCCGTGCAGGTCGGGACAGAGAATTGATCGTGTTTTCGTCAATTCGAGGTATTTTCTGTTCCTTCAATCTGACAGGTTGCCTGCCTCGCGGTGGCTGTCTTCCGTAGTGGTTTATAAAACCGTATGACCCCCCATGCCATCCAGGTCATATCATTTTTATTCTTCTGAATTCTTTCCCCTCAATTATAAATAATCGTCATCCATACTACACGAACGTCTAATTTAATTTCGATAAGCCTTACCTTCTAAATCGCCACAACCTCACAACCCAGCAAAGATGGACGACACCCCAGCCCGAATGATGGGCAACACCGACAGAATGGCCTACTTCAAGCTCGACGGCCGCGAAGTCAAGAAAATCAGCCGCAAGGCCCTGTACACCCGCCTCGAGGCGCGAATCAACTACCTCAAGGACTTCCTCGACTTCAATTCCAGTATGCCGACCCCTACCCAGCTGCACTTACCTATTTACGAGCTGGCAAGCAAGAAGAAGAGCAATAACTAACAAGTCCTTCTCTACTATATAGGCGACATGGAAGCCCTCGCCTCCGGCTCCAAGTACATCAAGACGCTTATCCCAGCCGTCGTGAATCTCGTCTACCGCAAGCTCCTCGAGTACGATATCACGGCACGCTCATTCCACACCAAGGACACATCGAACGAGACCCCAATCGAAGACTTCTACAACGAGGACAGCCCGCCCATCATGCGCCGGAAGATGTTCCTGCGGTGGTACCTGACGAAGATCGTGACCGACCCAATGCAGATGGATTTCTGGCGGTATCTGAATAAAGTCGGGTGTGTACTACCTTACCTTGACTTACGTTTCTTTTCGGCTGTTGTGTTGTTTACTTGGGCGCATGGACGTGGCTAACGGTGTTTGTTTCGTCGCAGTATAATGCACACAGCCCAGGAACGCATGCATCCTTTGAACATCGAGTACATCCACATGGGCGTTTGTCTCGGGTACATCCAGGACCTGTTCACCGAGGCTCTGCTGTCGCATCCAACGCTGTCGATTGCGCGCAAGACCGCCATGATCCGGGCAATTAGCAAGATCATCTGGATCCAGAACGACCTTATTGCGCGCTGGCGGATGCGCGATGGCGAGGAGTTCGCCGACGAGATGTCCGAGTACCTTGCCGATGATAAGGAGGGGTACCTGGGCGAGAAGAAGATCCTTGGCGACAGCAGCAGCAGCGCTTCCTCGCGCTCTGGCACGGTCGACGATGACCGTGCTAGCATTGCGCCTTCTGTTGCATCTGCGTGTCCCTTTGCCGATATGGCGCAGCCGGTGTCGCAGACTAAGATCTGGGCTGGGAAGTAAGGGCGACGTGTGGGTGAAAAGTTGGAAAGAAGAGATGAGCTAGACGGGTATGATAAAGCATTGCAGGCGTTTGCGACGGATAAACAAGAAAACTTATGATGATGATTTTTCCTTGTTTCTTCGACGTTGCATGGATGGTGTTGAATACTAATGGATACTTGGTTTGTTTGCTTGTCTTGAATGGTCTTGGTTAGTTGTCCTTGTGTCACTCCTTTCAGAGCGTTTGTCACGGTATATAGGTATAATATCAATGTTGAGTCTTCGAGTTTGTTTCAGCTTGCTGCACACCCCGAACAATAATAGTACCTGCATGATTGTACCCGTGGAGCCGATGATGTTGACTTTGACAGGATGCAGGCGAACGGACGACATTCAGTCACAACAATTCCATCTTAACGGTGCAAGGACAGTGTCAGAAGGAATGATTAACGATCGGTGATGTGTAAACCACCATCCTCAATTCTGCCCTCGTCCGGGGTATACTTCGGAGTAGAGGACATATCCCTGCCGAAGATCAGTCGAGCTCATTGGAGGACACCGCAACGCCACCTCCACACGCTTGCTTCCCTTGCGTCGGGGAGAATTCTTATGCATACGGTCATACTCTTGTTGCGCGGCCTCTTTCCGTGGAAGCTCACCTTCGAATCCCCGGAATGAACCAATCCTCGGAATAAATTATCAAGTTATGCGGACCCGAGCAAGAGTCGGATTTGGGGGGCTTCACAAGCCCGCCAATTCCCGTTTGTTCGGATATACGGGTTTTAACGTTCTATCCCGGGGAGAAAGGGGCGAAAAAAGAGCCAATTGGAACCCACTTTGACCGTGCATACCCATCATGGATTCATGGTAAGGCCTCATGAGGCGGGGTAAAGAGCGATCTTGAGCCAAACGGTCATTGAAGTCGGCTTGGTATCCCCGCGCAAGAGCCGGTTTGCGACCTTGTGAACGAGCGTCGGGGAGAGAAAGCGTTCACATCCAATGACGGTGTCTTGAAGCCCTCCTTAACGGTCATTTTCATCCTGACAACTGCCGGCCCCACGCTTCCCGAACCGCCCTCATTTGGGTGGACCGTGGCACTGCCCGCACGTTCAATAATTTCGGTCAAGACGTCAAATATTAAGGCCTGGCTCTCGAGTCTCGAAGAGCTTTCGGCCCCAAGGTCTGGTCACGTTCGGGCAGCCGAGCTCTTTATATTTCTCCTTCCCCCACGTTGCCGGAGCCGACAAAATTTTCGTCTTTCCCCGCATACAGAGCTTCGGTCATAGCATAATACTCTCGACGCAATGGGTTCAGGATACACCAACGGCGACAGTGCAATGCTTCCGCTCATCATCAATAATGAGTCGGTACACACAGACAACGTGATAGAGGTGCATAACCCAGCAACCGGCGAACACCTCCGCCGTTGCGCCGCCGCATCCGTTGACGATGCAAACCGCGCTGTGGCGGCTGCGAAGGCCGCCTTTCCTATATGGAGCAAGACGCACCCGTACGAGCGCCGGGCGATTCTAAGCAAGGCTGCTGATATCATGTTCTCACGGAAAGAAGAGTTCATCAAGACCCAAATTGAGGAGACAGGAGCCGGGCAGCTGTTCGTGGAGAAGACATTCATGGCCAGCGTTTCGTTTTTGAGAGATTTCGCAGGGATGATTCCTGCGATTGAAGGCAAGGCGCCCATTGTGGCTGATGAAGGACAGAGCGCGTTGGTGATCAAGCAGCCATATGGCGTTGTTCTAGGCATTGCGCCTTGGTACGTTCATTATTCTGACGGAAGGAGACGGCCTCGCTGACCGACGTGTGTTTCCAGGAACGCGCCTTTTATCCTCGGTACCCGTTCGATTGCTCTTCCTCTAGCCGCCGGCAATACGACGATCCTCAAAGGCTCCGAGCTGTCACCAAAATGTTTCTGGCTGATTGGTGATGTTCTCCGCGAAGCTGGACTTCCCGCGGGCTGCTTGAACGTTATCTACCACCGAACCTCGGATGCCCCCGCAGTCACCAATGCGCTCATTGCACACCCGGATGTGCGCAAGATTAGCTTCACGGGAAGCACTCTTGTCGGCTCAATCATCGCATCCACCGCTGGAAAGTACATCAAGCCAGTCCTACTTGAGCTGGGTGGTAAAGCTTCAGCGATCGTTCTGGATGATGCCAATCTTGAGAAGGCTGCAATGGGCTGTACATTGGGAGCTTTCTTGAACGTGAGTGACCGTACTCGGGACGACCTTCGTGGTAGACAGTTAAATACTAACGCTCATCACTAGTCCGGGCAAATTTGCATGTCGACAGAGCGCATCGTAGTGCAACGCTCCATTGCAGAGAAATTCCAGGAGTTACTGGTTGAGACATCGGAGAAGATCTTTGGCAAGAATGCTCCGGCGCCCGTTCTTGTGGCCGCCGCCGCCGTCAAGAAGAACAAAGGCTTGGTGGTCGATGCACTCGAAAAGGGTGGCAACGTCGTGTTTGGCGACCCTAACGGAAGCGAGTCGTGTGCCAACTCCCTGCGCCCCCTTATCGTCGGAGGCGTTACTAAGGAAATGGACCTCTACGCCACAGAGTCCTTCGGACCGACAGTGTCTCTCATCGTCGTTGACAGTGAGGAGGAAGCCATCGAGCTGGCCAACGACACAGAATATGGCCTCACATCGGCAGTGTTCACGGGCAATTTGTTCCGCGGTCTGAGGGTGGCCAAACAGATCGAAGCTGGGTACGTTGATTTTTTTATGGCTCACTAAACGCAGTTTGCTGACAATATTCAATCTCAGAGCTGTTCATATCAACTCAATGACGGTTCACGATGAGCCAACTCTGCCTCACGGCGGATGGAAGAGCAGTGGATTCGGCCGGTTTGGCGGCACCACTGGTTATGACGAATGGCTGCAAACCAAAACAATTACCTGGCAAGAGTAAGAAATGATATCACTGGTGACTGAAGTAGTGACTGGCTCACTACCGGGTAACCCTCGGCGTAAAGGCCCATGATATCCGGCTTTCCGCATAATGTAACGATATGAATAGGATATATATAACAGATACCATCATAGTTATCCATATCAGCAGAAATCGTTCAACAGTAATGCGTATCGACGAATCGGAGCTCGCATATATGGGACGGATTTCGATAGTCTAAGTGGACCCATGGTACTTCGAGTCTGGTGGGTTTGCTTCGGCCTTGGAGCCTGGGGGCTGAGCTTGTTGACTGCTCCCTGTTCCTCCCTCCGTTTTCGGCCTGGATTAGGATATCATCACCTCCGGAGTCCTCAGTGATACGGGATATACGAAGGGTGCAACGGCAGGCCGAGTATCCGGACATGGCCGTTCATTGGATGTGCTATAGAAGCCGACGATGCACTCAGGACCAAGACGTGAGAACGGTGCTGGATATCCATTTCGCAGATACTGTTGTGACAGCAGCAAGAGTCTTTGGAAGCTTACCTTAAGCTTTGCCTGCAGCTAAGCTATCATCTGCCAGTCTGCTGCCTGGGTTTCATGATGATGCGGCGAAGTCAGAGTTGAGACGCCGAACGCACCTTTGCATAGCAGGCTTAGCAGCATAGCCATGGAATTGGACACATCCCATACGGCCCACTTTATCTTCCCTAGACGTCACAGGGCTAGGAGCTCAGACAATTCGCCGGAATCCGTGGAGTCATGGACCCCAGCGTCGGAGGAATCTCAAATAATTATCAGCCCTGGCCCCTCTGATTTCTGTAAACCGACGTTACAGCGGTGAATAGACTAAATTCGCTAGAATCAGTAGTGCAGGCGACCAAAAGTCGGAGGAACTTCCGTTCGGGTAGAGGCTCAGTTTCGAGCCGTTTGGCGTTAGTCGTGGTTAGTCGCGCTGTTAGCCTGAAAGTCGAGATCTCATCAAGATCAGTCGCAATATATTGCAAGAGATCACCAATTTAAAAGGCACGGGTCACACGGGATATGGCAAGTCAAAATAATGATGTCCAAATGAAAGAGGGACCGGAGACGGGCCGAGAGAGATCATTCAGTTTCAGAATAAGTGAGGTGGAAGTTGCGATGCTTAGGTTGTGGGAGGCTGGAGCAGTGGACCTACATTGCGGTGGCAGCCTAGTAGTACTAGTTATCTCGAGTATCACAGACAACAATTCGGACATTTACTGACTCAGCCTGCCACGTTGGCCATGTTTTCTTGTCTTTGTTTGTATCGGAGCCAGGAGCCTCAGGGACCGGCCTTGGTTATCCAAAATAGGAAACCTCTTCGAACAGGGTCGGGACTTGGAAGCGCTGTGGATGGCTGGGCGCAGCGTTAGGTGCAGTAGTAGCGAGGCCCCCGAGGCCCGACTCCTCTATATCCCACCAACGAGACATCTAGACCGCTGGTACCTGGAAACGGTGTAATCGAGGGGCTGCGGCGTCACACAGCTGTGTTTCCTGCAACGTCTTTTTTGCACATTTTTGTACCGGCTGCCGAGCCGAGGTCGATCTGTCCAACAGGGCGCTTCACGTTTTCTAGTCCCTTAGCCACCGCCTCTATTTTTTCAGCCTTTCTTTTTGGCTTCAAAGTTAAAGTCGATTGTGAACTCAGCTTATTCTAAGAATAAATCCCAGGCATCGTGGACTACTCCGTACCGGGATTCTTCCGCAGCTTTCGATGTATCCAATCAGAGTGTCGGAAGGCTTAGATTCATTTTAATCGACCGAGGCAATTTCCGGAACTAGGACTAAGATCCGAACAGTGCGCCACTGACCAGCTAGCGCTCAGGAACAGGAGCTCAAGGATTGATTGCAAATATCTCCTCGGCAGAACGTGGAATGACTTCACCACATCATCCTGGTACGATCATCTTGCGGGTCATTCTTCTTAACATACTCACAAGAGTCAAGGGATGCTTGCCTGAGAGATGATCTCATCATGATAACGATCAACTTATCAGGTCTAGTATCCCAGGGGTCTGATTAACGCCAGGTACCATGGGACCTCTCTGCTTAACTCGCTTACTATAAATACGAGAAATAACCGGCCAGCCAATAATATGTCGCATCAGGCCAAGGTTTTTCAGGGACCAGAAAGTCTCCAGCGCGCGAATCATGCGTTCAGCACACCCGATAATCTTCCGGACCGGCTTTTGTCTTTGTTCCATGAAAGCATGCTGGTCCCTGACTCCCTGGCCGCTGTCAAGTTTCAGTAACAACTCCTTACGCAAGGCTTAACCATCTCCGATACAACAGCTGCCGAGTCCTCGAGACTCGAAGACAGAGGAGTAAGACGTTGTCTGGCAATTCCTGGTGAGCTCGGACTGAGCAATGCAAAATGTGTAATTTCCTGGTTGATGATGCTAGGCTGAATCTCCACCAATCCCAGATTCAAGGGTTCATCTCGCGTCCAGCCCAACAGACTAAAATGGGTTGTCTCCCCGGTGGATTGGCCCAGTGAGCGTCCAGCAAGTCAACGTCGAATCTCACGGTTCTCACCTCCTCGTTGCCCCGCCCTTGTTCTCCTTCGCTGCTCGTGAGTCGTGAACTTGTTGCCCTCAGTCACATTCCAAGCAACGCCAGCGAAATCCTAGGCTCAGACGAACAATGCAGGGGTCACAGACTCACTCTCCCGCGTTGCAGTTACATCCAGTTGGTGGCCTGTCCATCAATCAGACAGCGCCTCTCTCCTCGTGTAATTTCTGGGTCGACCCACTACAAACATGAGCCGCAGGCTTGAGGCCCAGAGCAGGAAATAACGAGCAAAAATACAGGACTCCCGCTAGAGTAGCGCGTCGGCTTAGCTCGCGAGATGGGCCTTGTGCCTGAATTCCGTGAACTTAATATGAGCTCTTTCCCTGCGCTCCCCTCTTCTCTCTTTCTCTTCTCTCCTCGCTCCTACCTTCCACTCCTCTCCCTCTCTCATCCAACTCAAAGGTGCTTCACGCCCTTCAGTCATTCTTTTAAACAATCCCTTGATCCAGTCTCTCCTTCGGAAGACCAGTCACTCTCTTCAGACCACCACTCACGACCTCGTATCTTCACGCTAAACAAAAACACATAACACAATGCGTTTCTTCGCTACCGGTCTCGTCTCCGCCCTCGTGGCCATGGCCTCTGCCTACACCACCCCCGACTACTCTGTCGGCCCCAGCGGCAACGCCATTCTCACCCCTGGTCTCCAGGAGCAGGTCCCTGCTGGCAAGCCCTACGAGATCACCTGGAACCCCACCACCGAGGGCTCCGTCTCCCTTGTCCTCCTCCGTGGCCCCAGCGAGAACGTCCAGCCTCTGTACGCTATCGCTGAGAACATTGGCAACAGCGGCCACTTCACGTGGACCCCCAGCACTGAGCTCGAGCCCGATGTCACCCACTACGGTCTTCTCCTCGTCGTTGAGACCGGTGCCGACAAGGGTGCCTACCAATGGTCCACGCAATTTGGCATCCAAGCTGCGGATTCTGAGGCTTCCTCCTCCTCCGCTTCCACTGAGACTGCTCAGCCCACCGAGGCTCCTTCTTCCACCATCACCGAGACCACCGTTGTCACCACCACTACCTGCCCTGAGGGTGCTTCCACCTCCGTCCCTGTCATTCCCACCGGTACCAGCAGCACCTTCGTCCAGAGCCCCTCTGCTCCCGTCTGGACCCCTACCTTCACCCCTGCTCCTCCTCAGTTCACTGGTGCTGCTGGCCGCAACGCCGTCAGCTTCGGTGCTGTCGCCGCCGGTGTCGCTGCCGTTCTCGCTTTTTAAGTGCTAAAAGGGATTTTGAGGGCTTGGTTGGATGATTTGATGCTTCCGTGATATGTTTAATTGGGCGGGCACTCAAACCTTTATTCTCTTGTCTCATTTTCTGTACTCTTTCGATTCTGTTCGTGTATCTAATTAATGATATCGGAATTTCTTTTTTACAATTCTTACTTGACTTCTATATTATGGTTTTACGATGCTGTCGATTTAAAACATGCTATTGTTGCTTATACATATTGCATTCCCGTATCCGGTTTAGTGTCTATCCATTGTCAGGGGTAAATATCTTCAGCCCCAGCCACTTCTATCTACGGAGTATGAAGACGTCATATAAAATCTAAACGACGCCTTGTTACATTATTGGACCATGGACGGAATGTATCATCTACAATGAATTTGACAGCGCGTCGCCGTAAACAAAGCGCCTCCAATTATCCGCCAGCTGCTGCACCCCTTGCCGCAGATTCCACCCGCGAATTGCACAGATCTGCCGAGTCACCTCCTCGAGCCGATCATCCATCTGCTGCCCAGCAATGTGTAGATCACTCTCAATCAACACCCTGTCATCCGGTAAAGCCTTGATCACCGCAACTGACTTGTCCGAGTGATGGCTGAAATTGATCACGCTCGAGAACGAGAAGTAAACGTCTGATGGGTTGGACGGGTGCAGGAATTGCTTCAGCGTTTCTGCGGGACCCGAGTACGAGTGCATGCATATCCGCGGCGGGAAGGGGAGGCCCGGCGCCGGGGCTTCATGTTCCCCTGCGTCTGCACCTGCACCGTTTGACTTTTTCGATGTTTGTATATCCCCATCTTCCTCGTCGCTCCCTGCATGAGCGTCTGCATGACTCCCCCGGCGTTTCCGCTCGCGCCGTGAAGCGATTTTCCGCTCGTGGCCTTTCCACAGAGCCTTGAATACCTCGATTACACCTCCATGCGCCTGAACGCTGTGCACCGACACGGGCCGCTGCAGCTCCCCGGCTAGACGCAGTTGCGCCTCGAGGATAGCCTTCTGGTGCTCCAGTCTGACTTGGTGCGGGGAGAGCCGGCGGCCTTCGCGCGACCCGGGCGTCATTCCGCCGTCACGGATTTCGTGCTCCTCAGCTGTCCAGGGCTGAGGGAGTCGGAAGGCGCGATCGATGCCGATTTCGCCGACGAGGGAGCCGGGGAAGCGCTCGAGTCTGGATCGTGTTTCGGAGAGGAGCTGCGAGAGGGGCTTTGGGTCTGGGAGGGAGGAAATGAAATCGTCGTCTGGCGGTGGCTTCAACACTGTGCTGTAATGGGCTTTCTTAATCTCGTCAGCGCTCTTTTGGCTATCTTCGGATGTTGTTGTGTCGTCTATTATTTGGTGCGAGAACCATGGATGCCAGCCGAAGCAGGGGAGAATGCGCTGTTTCGCGTCCTCATCGCCTTCGCCGGATTCATTGCCAAGGTTGGATGCGACTTGGAAAACGAGATCCTGGTCGTCGCCCCGCGTGGACATGGCCGTGAGCGTTGTTGCCTTCATGCGGGGAATATCAGCGATGGACGCCATGGTGTCGGTGGGGTGGCAATGGGCGTCGAACACGCCAATTCCCCAGGGAAAGTCGGATTCATCTTGGAATTCAGGCGGGTTCATGGTTGGTTGGACTGAGAAAGAAGGTTTGGAACGATTTCTGGAGAGATGGTGAGAAGACGGGATGATTGACGTAATGCTTGATCAGTGGTGTCGGTGTCTGAGGCCCTTATCAGCTTACCTCTCTCACATGCCTCCCCGCATCATCCTCAACCGTCATCCAACAATTGCTCCGAATATCTATAGCGCCACGAGATATTAATATCCGCTTGCAAATGATTATCCTGCTGCATCGTCCCACTCCCGCTATGAGGTGCTGTGCTTGTCCTGCTTTTTTTACAGAGCTTCTGTGTGCAACTTGACGCAGACCTATGTGCCCGGATAGCCGCCTACATGTCCGCGACGTCGCTGCTGACGCTCCCATTCCTCGTCCTGGTCTCAATCCCCCTCGTCATAACCGCCTCCATTACCATCTTCATCTCTGTCTTAGCGCTCTTTCTCCAGCTTTCCGTCATCTCATTCGAGCTATGCTACGCACTCGTGACGAACCTCTTCACCATTCCTCCCTCCTCAAACTGGTCCCTCCTCAGTTTCAGCGTCTCGGGCCCGACCACCCCAGATAGACGCCGCTCATCAGATTATGGCCTCCGCCATACTCCGCTGGCCTTCCGGGGCCAAGGCCAAGGTCAAAGCCAAAGCCGGAGCGGCCGCCCAAATCTAGGCCCGCGGATGGGCTCCTCAAACGCGCTCTTAGATAGCCAAGATACACTTCCTAACATGAACCAAGATATCCCCTCTTACCTCGAGCATAGACACAGAAACGGCCTTAGCAGCCACCACAGAAACTCCTCAGGGTTCTTCGGCCTCATCAGCGGGGATGTAGACCGTGACTTCGAGGGCCTGGGCGGCTGGCGCTGTCCACCCTCCTACACGAAATCTCCGGGTTACCGTTCCGGCCGGGCAACGCCCTCCTCATCCAAATCAAACAGCGTCGGCGATGAAATCGACGACATCGCCTGGCTGTCCATGAACAGCCGCCTTGAACTCCCCTCGCAACCACTCCCTCTTATGCCCCGCCACAGCAACAGTGCAAGCTCACATAACCTCGTGCACGCGGCATATGGCGATACCTCCGTTCTCCCGGAACCTCAACCGCATCTTCCATGGCGGAGCCGCAGCAGGAAGAACAGTCTCGCGGGCATCCCATCAATCGTCTCAGCGGCCCCAGCAGCAGACCCCAAACGGAGCAAGAGCAAGGGCCAGAAGCGGCATCACCGGAGGTCAGCGACCACGTCCGCCCTATCTCTTTTGCCTCCGGCAGGATCTGGAGCCGCTCCAACCTCCCCATCGCAGTTCCGTCAGAGCCAGAGTCAGAGCTCTCACCACGGACAAACCCTGTCCCAAATGACCATGCAATCGAGGGCCGATGCCCTGCGCTCAAGGTCTCATACCTCTTTGTCTGACCACTGGATTCCGAATGCGGGCTTTGGCTTTGGCTCTGGCTCGATGGCTAGCTTTGCGAGTAGCGCCCCAGGAGCCGGTAGTTACTTTGCCCTGCAGCCGTTGAGCGCGAATGCCGGCGGTGGTCATGGAGCCCAGACGACTAGCAATACGACCCCGAATGAAGAGCGTAAGCCGGCTAGGGCTGCTAGGAAAGCTCAGACGCACCAAGTCCCAAGTTTAGGGAGTCGTTGAGACAGATATTCCATTTGCCCAAGATTGTTTAAAATCGACGTTCGAGCGTTGCTTGCTCTTTTCTTAACCAGACTACTTACTTCGTATCTGTGAAGATATATCATGACCTTATGACCCGAACTGTGTCTATGCTGAAATCTGCTGTGGCCTTTTGATTTCATGATACGCTTTGTCGTCTTTATGTGATGAGCTGATGACCAAAATAAACGCGACAGAATCGCATCTCTATTCGTATTCGTGCATACCTATATACTTCTATCGAAGCTGAAGGAGGTGTAACTGTCAAGCCTCCGGTCACCCATTCGCAATAGACATGGCCGAAGGCGTCCCTGATCTATACACCTATCAATACCAAACACAACACTTGCTCAAAACCATCGCTAAAGAAAAACAGAATGGCACCCTGTACAATATGTATGTTGAAGTGAGTATCATCACCATCACCATCACCGTTTAGCCCTATCTCTCTTCGCGACTTCTTCCATCTCTGAAAGAACGGAATCGTTGAACTGCTCCCACCCATCTAAGTAAACGTGGTGTCCTGAGTTTCGAATCATAACAACCTTAGCCGAGCCCTTATCCGCCTCGCGCTCAGCGGGCGTGGCATTTTCCAGGACACGGCGCTTCTCTTCTCTGATTTTGGCAGCGGCGGCCTGTCCACCCCGGTAGTCCATCCAGTCGTGGTCGCCGTACATAAAGACGACGGGGAGACCTTCTTCGCGACTGGTTTGAGTTACGTTTGGGGTGTCAGTCGGGGAGGATGAGTATGAGGGAAGAGACGGTGTGGAGGCGGGGATCATTTGTCGGCCGAGGCCTTGGATTCGGTGGATGAGAGGGCTGCGCGCGAAGGCGCCCGGTGCGAGGATATATGCGAGGGCGTACTCTCCGCTACCGCGCTGGCTGAAGATCGAATATGAGTAGTCGTGAAGGGCTTTCGCTTCGTCGGCGGGGAGGTGCGAGAAGCGGCGGGATGTCCAGCCCGAGACGAGGCGGGGCCCGAGGGGTCCTGCCCATCGGACAAGAGTGAAGGGTGAGATATTGGCTTCCCATAGGTAAGCAAACCATTTCGGGACTGTGCGGCGGGGAGGGCGATCTCCTTTAGAGGCGTCTGACGGAGGGCCCCTGAGGAGAATGTTATTGTCGCCCTTGGGCGCAGTGTCTCCGGGTGGCACTGCTGCGGCAGAAGCGGCAATGGCCGGTTGGTCTTGTTTTTGGGGCAAATCTGAAGACATGGCGTAGGGATCCTCTGGGATGCCGACGGGTGAAGCCAAGATGAGCTTGTTGAGGCGGCCGGGGTATTTGAGCGCGTAGTTCACCGCTATGTAGCCGCCCAGACTGTGTCCCAGGAGGGTGAAGCGCTCAATCTTGCGCTTGACGCGCCATTCTTCCAGCGCATCCACAAACCAATCTTCAGCCTCGCGGATCGCTTCCTCGCGCTCTTTAGCCTTAATGCGGAATGGTGGCCGCGTACTGCGACCCATACCGAGAAGATCCAGCGCATGGAGTTGCCATCCTGGCAGCCGGCTCAGAGGCTCAAAGTTTTTGTAGAAGAACCCTAGACCCGCTCCATATCCGTGGAGCATAACCAAGTGCTGGTCTGCCTCCTCGCCTACCCTCTCCACGGAGAACTCATTGAGTGCCCGGTTCTTGCCACTGAGCTGCACCATACTCGAGAGCCATCGCCGAGGGCCGTACGGGTCATCGGTGGAAGTAGCCGCGACCTCGCCCAGCTGACTCTGATCCGCCGATTGTAAACTTGCGGATTCGCCACTCGAGCCATTCGTCGTCTTTCCGGTTTGTAACTGAGTGGGCGGTTGATGTTGAAGGTAGGGGAGGTAAGAGAGGACCTTATGTTCAGCTGCGGCGGCGGGTATAGAAGCCCACTACATGAAGGTCAGCAAGTGGCAATCTGGCATCTGTGGAGGGCAACTCACCCACTGACTGAACCCCTCTCTGTAGCCTAGAGGAAACCAGGACATGGGCGATGGAGTCGCGGCAGCTCCGCGAGCGGCGTGGGGAACAGCGTCAGGTGCGGTATCCTGTTGATTCCGATTTTGTAACTCGCCTCGGGACGAGTTTAGTGATTCTGATGCCATTGAAGACGCCAGACGAGAAAGAGCGGAGTTCGGGGGGTTAAAGATAGAAGCCCTGGGAGGGTGTAGCGAAAGAAGTCGGTTGGGTGGCACTTTGTCGTTTGGTCGCGCAAACGTCAGAGTAACAGAAGAGAAGAGCTCTCCGTCTGTTACTCTGGGTCATTAATGATCAAGGGAGGCGAAGTACTGACGGAGAAAAGGCCGGTTATCAACTTATCCCCGAAACTCGACGTCAGCGCGAAAAACGAGCGAAATTCGGCGGATGCGGCGATAAGACTGGTCCGTCTATGGTCTGTAAATAGACGCGCAAAAGAGAGTCGATCGCGGAGTCGAAAGATCTCGAGGTGTTCGATGAAGTGGTGGAGTGCTCCGTGCCCGTGCTGCCCGCCAAAACCGATCCTCCCCAACTGAACTCTTACGTAGTAACGGAGCCCACTCTCTCCCCCGGGCCTTTCCTGCATCCTCGTCTCCAGCCTCCTCCCAGCTATCTTCCCATGCGATGTTCTAGCTCAGCGCTGTACAGCGGCCATGCTCTTTCTATCGACTCACTTCAGTTGCGCTTCCTTCGTACAATTCCCCGTCGCATAGCTGTCTTTCGAGACCCGCTGCCCTTAACCCACCTTACCTCTTCGTTTCATCATGGCCGCACCGAGCTTGGATCAGCTGGTCAAGGGCTCTCCAGCCCCCAGTAACCGTTTACGCTCGATCTCAGCGCCGTCTGCAGAACCATTGACGCCCGGTCAATCTTCCTACCCCTCAGCCTTGTCGGATTCATCGACACCTTCGCCTCCGTCCGCTCATGATCCTCTCTCGACCCTGCCTTCTTCGCCCCCGCAAATATATCTGAATCTGCTCATTCTCGAAAGCTCACTTAGGGCTCAGTATCTGGCGTTACGCGAACGCCGTCGGCAAAATACATTCTTCCTTCTCTTGCTAGCAGCATGGATTACATACTTTGGTTACGCGCTGTTCCTGCGTCCCCGTGAAGACGGGCGCGGAGTTGGAGGGTCAGTATACTGGGTTGTGGAGATGTGGGAACGGGTTGCGCTTCTCGGGGGTGTGGTAACAGCACTCCTGGTCTGGGGCACTGGACAATGGGAGCGTGGAATCCGGTGGCCCCGGCGTTGGCTCGCCATCGCAAACCGCGGTCTACGGACCATGAACACCAAGATAGTGGTTATTCGAGGCCCATGGTGGCAAGAGTTGCTCTCATACCTCTCGTTTTTGTTCCCATTCTCCACGCCGTTTTTCTCCTCTGCAGTAGGAGATTTCCACTACCTCGACCGACCTCTATCCGAAAAGCGCAGCGGCCGCGCTTCCCAGCAGTATTATTACAATATTGACCCAGAAACTGGGCTTGTGGAGGAAGACCTCAGCCCCGGAGGAGACCATATTCGACTTCTTCTGCTGCCGAAGTTGTTCTCGCCCGAGTTCAGAGGTAATTGGGATGACTATCGCACCGACTTTTGGGACAAGGAAAACGAACGACGCGCTCAACTTCGCGAGAAATTGCGCCAGAGAGAGCGCCAGATAGCTCGACATGAGAGGTCATGGTTCTGGTGGACCGGTATTGGCTGGAAGGCGTCGCGACGTCGTCGTCTCGCCGCGTCCACGCTACATAGGTCTATTGAAGGTGATAAAGGCCATCGTCACCACCATCATTCCCACCCAAGCATCTCCAAGTTAGCCCACGAATCAAAGTCACCCCTCCGACGTTCGACGCGCTCCGACTCCCATTCGCGTACTCCCTCGCGCAGCACCACTCCCATCGACACGGATGACCGACCCCCATCCAGATCTGGCTCCGGTCGACCCCGTCGAAGCAGCCTCACGCCATCTACTCCTGGGTCAAGTACCGAACAGGTCCCACGTCGAAAGAGGGCCGGGTCGAAGACATTGAACCGTGGCTTGTCTCCCTTGACGCAAGCGCAGATCCGGGAGGGCGTACGCCCGCCTTCCGTCTCATCAGATGACTCAACCTCAACGTTGGGTTTGACGGTAGACAAGGAGAAGAAGAAAGAAGACAGTTTGGAAGGCTGATGGCGCTCACTGCGGCTTGTCCTGACATTTCGGCCTTGTTTTGTTTTCATATTTATATACTATACCCAACATAATTAATTTCGGCTGCATATGGGGTCTTGGGTTCGAAGTCCCCTTATATCTCATCTCATGTCTTTCATCTTAAGTCATTTTTAAAGCCCGTATTGCTGATGTGCTAGCATGACGTTCTCCATCGAATCATATACTCAGTAAGACACGAACTATGAACACAACGTAAACTTTCATAACTCGACTGCAAGGAACACAGGAACAGTGGAACTTTATTTGCATTGCATATCCGCCCTGACACCGCCAGAACGCCGGTAAAATGAGCCATTAGATAGGAAAGTTTATGATAAAATATAGCTGACAATAAACAGGGAATCCGAATGCGTTATATCCATCACCATCCAATTTGAAAACAGGTAAATATGACTTTCGTCATGTGAAGATACTAATAATGCTGATAAGTCGTCTAAATCCTGTAAACGGTGTCGTCGTCTTCAAGGAACCTGTTGGGAAAGAAGACACGTTAGTTCATGTCAAGCAAAGCAGGGACACAGCTGTAAAGACTTACATCAATTCGTTTCTCTCGTTCATGGCCTTCAATGCCTCGATCGCCTCAGCCCGCTGGAAGACCGCTGACTCGCCTAGAGCGCGAGAAGAGCGCACAGCGGTGTTCACGGCCCCAATGAGCTCTTCGACGTCGGCAGTGTCTGATGAAGAGAAGAGCGTGGTACCCATCAAGGGTCCCAGTGCTTGTCGGAAGACAGTCAGGCGCGCGGGCATGATTGTCTGGGAGGACGCAGAAGCAGATGCATTGGACGAAGCACCCTGGGATTGTGAGGTATCTGTTTGGGATTGGACGAGTTGTGAAGCCGGGCGCGACGATGCAACGGACATGCGAGTCTGGCTGGACTGAATCCGTTGGCCGCGGGGGCTGGCGCTGTACAGGCCGTCTCCGTCAACAGAGACGTCGTCACCCTCAGCGTCCATTTCCACGTCCTCATTTGCCGAAGAACGGGCTGCCGATGCGCGGGTCCGTAGGGTTCTTCGGGTGGTGCGAGGGGTGGCGGAAGAGGTGTTTGTAGGGGTGCGGTCGTCGCCATCATCGTCTGAATCGGAACCGCTTGATTCAGAATCGTCATCGAAGGTGGTGACCTTTCTTCTCTTGCGGCGTTCGTCCTCAACGATTTCCTTGAACATGGCAAAGCGCAGGATAGACTCCGCCACCTTGGCATCCTTCTCCTCAACCCGGCTTGACAGACGGGATTTGGCATGTGCTGTTGAAAGACGGATGAGGGTTTCGAGGGTACGGGCCGTTATTGGCGATGTTCGTCGTTGGTTTGCCGATAGCTCGTCGTTTCGTAAGGCAGAGTAGGTTCCAACGATGTGATCAGCAGCGCCCTTTGTCAGGACAGGCTTGATTCGTGACTTTGCGTATTGGATATATTTCTTGATGAATGGAATGCTCAAGATCTCGACGTCCTTCTTCCGCCCTCTGCTTGAGTTGGCAATACCAACATGAAGCATTGAATTAAACTTCTCGAAGACCTCGGTGGGTTGGTTGGCGTCCTCGGTGTCATCGATACCAACGCCTAATGTCTGGGTGAGCTGTTCCCGTACAGGGGCGCCTTCCTCCGTGCCGGGTTGGCGATAGCGGTGCATGCGCAGAACGTGCTCAGAGACCATTCGGTCTCTAGCATCCTCGATGTCATCTGTCACGACGAATAGCAAATCGAAACGTGACAGCAGGGAGTCGGGCAACGCTATGTTCTTGTGAGGATCCTTGTGGGGATCATATTGGCCATAAATAGGGTTAGCTGCAGCCAGGACACTACAACGAGCATTCAGACTGGTGTGAATGCCGGCTTTGGCAATGGTGACCGTCTGCTGTTCCATGACTTCGTGAATAGCCACGCGGTCAACATCGCTCATCTTGTCAAACTCATCGATGCAAACAACACCCCTATCACCCAACACCATAGCACCCGCCTCAAGCCGTCGTTCGCCCGTCTCCTTGTCAGAGGTGACAGCTGCCGTGAGACCAACACCAGAAGATCCTCGACCAGTAGTGGCTATTGCGAGGGGAGCGGTATTTAAAACAAAACGGAGCATTTGAGACTTTGCAGTGGAAGGATCACCAACCATGAGAATGTTGATGTCACCACGCAAATGCGTACCATTGTCGAGATTCTTCTCCATACCCCCCAAAAGCATGAGTAAAATAGCTTTCTTGATGTAGTCGTGACCGTGGATACTGGGAGCAAGGGAACTGGATAGCAACTCAAAGAGGTGCTTCTTCTTGGAGACCTTGTTGATGTTTCGGATGTCGGTGTCGGTAATAGTTGCCTGAGCGATTCCTCCGCCAGACTTTGATGATAGCTGGATTATATTGTTCGCCATGACGAGCGTGCGGAAGGTGGAAGACCCAGAGCTGGCGTTTCGGTTTCCTAGAGACCTATAGATTCCCACCAGCTGAATTCTGTCTCCGGGCTTTGCTCGATCAACCAAGTCGTCGTCAACAATAACGTCAACGCTCCGGGGGAGTTGACCGGCAGGAGCACGTTCGGGCATTTCCTGAATGGAGATAGTTTGGTGATCCATATAAGTAGAATAGCCGTATTCTGTGATGAGCTATACCAAGGAAAAGTTAGTCAGATGAGTGAGACGAGTGTCGAAATACATACCGGGTTCTTGTCCTCATCCTCCTGGGGATAGATGTTCATATTTGTCGCGCCACTGGCTGTCATGGTCTGATCTCTGTATTTCCTTGTAACGAACCTGTCTTTTCGCTCAACGTAATGCACACTCTGGATGATCTTTGGTCGGACTAATGAGCATTTCGTGACAATGCCTTCAAGGGAAACCATCCGGTTAAGGTGTGAGGATCCGAGTGTCCTAGGGTTACATGAGTTCTCGCCGAAAGCACCAACATAAGCGCAGTAATAGTTCTAGTTCGATGTTAGACAGCTTGGCAGCTATCAGCCAAGTGGACAAAGCTTACCACTTCGTCCGCCGTTTCACTCGACGGGCGACTAGGAAGAGTCTTGATGACATCCTTGAGCGCTCTGTCGAATGCTTGTGTCCAGTCAAACGGAGATGTAAGAAGGCTGCAAGCTAAGTGAGCAAAATAGGCACACAGCACGTAGACATTGCGTCTTACCCATCCGCCATCTCACGGTTGTGTGCTCGAATTTCATCGATACTAACCTATATACGGAACAATTAGGGCCTTGCCAAATTTGCCAATGCGGTTATCAGGAGAGAATCGTACAATTAAGCGGCGCAGTTTCCGATTCAGCATCAAAACAATATCTGCTCGGTAGCTGCTCGATTCAGTCAGGTCAGTTCGAGCGTAGGAAGGGGGTGCCGACGGACCTGCGTGCTCTAGCATCGCCTAAGGGAAAAGCTGTCAGTAGAACGTAATAAGACTTTGGCGTTGATTAATACTTACTCGGGTCGAGAAACTCAACGGCAGCGCGCACTCGATCTTGAGCGGCCTCATCGCGGAGTTGTGCTCCATCCATGATGAAGAGTTATCCCAGCGATGGCAGGATAGAGTAAGGTGGTGAGGCCGCGTACTGGAGGCGTTAAACAGAATTATGGAGGACCTCTTTTTCGATTGAGGACGGAATAAATTGATCAAGCCTGAGGGCAGTGGATCCCGGTGCTCTGTTGTGACCAAAAGATCATAGGAAGGGTGGGATGGAGATTCTTCCAAAATGCTAACGCGCAGTCCTAATTCGGCAAAATTGAAACGCGGTCCACGACGCGTTGATGGATGACTAAGCGCTGGTCATTGTGCACCCCCATCAATATCCACCTGTCTTGTTAGCCGCTTGGGAGTGGGACTGTGGTCAAGGATGCTTGTTGAAAAAACAGGCGTGCCTTGGTTATATGCAGGCAGACCAGAGGGTAATAAATATAAATGCTTGTGTTCAATCAAGGGCGGACAAGATTAAAAGTCTTTCGCTTTCTAAAGAGATATGTAATATAACAGTCGTATCCTAGACTACAGTATGGTACATGAAGGTCTTCTATATATACAGTTCAGATTCATTGCTTCCTCTCTTTCAACACCACGATCAAGGTGATTCGTCCCTTTTAGACGTATCGTCCGGCTTCGACTCTAGAGTTTCGCCTTGTTGGCCGGTGAGCTCATTCGCCTTTTGATGTAGCTCCTCGGACAATCCCAATTCGGGATGATTTTGAACCTGCCCCTCCTCCGAGGCATCGTGTGGCTGCTGATACGCCCCTGGAAGCTCGGGCTGCTGATCTGCCGGCTCCGACCTGTTGTACGGCTCCGATGTCAATGGATGAATATCCTCTTCCTCCTCTGGTAGCTCGTGCAGTTGCTCATGTGCCTCTGATGCATCATGCTGTCCCAACTCCGATATAATCTCATCTGCTTGCTCCGCAACATCGGGCTTTGGAATCTCGTCCAACAAGTCATCCGATAGCGATGCATCGTCCAGCGGTTCATCCGTGGGTACTTCGCGGCCAGTAAACAGTGCCGATTCTGCTTGAAGATCAAATGCGTCTTCAGAATCCACCGTTAACCAGCTTGGCTGTTCGGACTGGTGGGTTTCTGCATCGTCGGCGTCTGCGCCCGGCGGCAGTCCGGTCGTTAATGGGTCGATCCGTTTTGCCGCGTTCGGTAACCTGCGACGACCACCGACCCCGAGAACACCACCTGTCCATACAAAACGCTCCTCTTCAGGATACACGCTATCCCAGCGTTCAGTGCGACCTCGCAGCAGAACACCTTGGAATTTCTCTTTTAGGCGTGGCATTGCAGCAATGGCCGCAATGGTATTAGGAGCAGCATCATTGAGAGCGCTAAGTTCGGCGGTTCCAACTGTGATACTGTTGTCCCGCACCCGCAACAAAGCAGCTGCCAGGTATACAAGGGTGACATATGTCGGCTGCATGAATTCAGGATACCTCTTGCTCCAATACTTTCTGCCCCTCGGTCCCAACATACCACGCGGCTTCGGGCGTCGCTTTTCCATCAGGTCAATAGCAGCAGTCACGCCCGAATGCTTGAAACCATGGGCGTTCCGGAAGTGGTTCCAACCTGGGAATGATGGCATGAACTTTTGCTCGAAAATTGTAAAAGCTCTGAGGATGTTGGCCGGACTATCGGTAGCCGCCAACATCTGGACGAACGTAGACCAATTGTAGGTCGTCAATGAGAAACCGTCCGCCTCAACTTCAGCTAGAACATCATCTATTCGAGTGACCATGTTCCGATAAGTAAGGGATCGCATGTATAGCGTCAAAGGTCGAGAGAGTTCGAAACGGTACGCTGGGAGTAGCCGAGGTCTTGTGGTAGCGGAAGAGGTGCCTTGCGGGTTCCAGTAACGCTCTGTTAATGGCTTGCCTAGTTTGAGAGCTTGACGATAAGCTATTCTCCAACAATCATCCACCTTCTCGAATTCGTCTGCCTTTAAATGTGCCAGCATTAAGTTTGAAATGAGACTGAGTGGAGCCTTCTCTCGGGCTGCCTCAACCGACAGGCCGCGAGCCTTTGCATACTCGTTGAACAGCGTTCCGACCCGCTCAAGATTACCCTTCTTCGCATACTGCGCAATGAGACCATCGTAGTAGTTCGCGGGGTAAGCTGTAGCACGTGGCAATCTGTGAGCACTAAACTTATGAAAGACTTTCACAAGTTGCGTGGGATTAAATTCCTTAATGATATCGGCGAGGAGTCTCTCTGCATGGGTGAAATGAACAGCTGAGAGATTAAGACCACCTTCTTCTTCCTGAGCCTCATGAGTAAGACGCAAATCTCGTTGCAGCTGACTCATTAGATGAAGAAAGTGCGCGCCTGGCCCAGATTGTCCGAACCGTTCGTTGATCTCACGAAGGATGATGTGCACCATGTCACGATTGCGCTCCCTGACATAGCCGTACAGAATGAGGACATAGTGGAGTTGTGCGGCATGCAATTGGCCATTTCGACTTAGTGTCCTAAGTATGCGACGCGCCGAGTCAGTCTGTCTGAGCAGGACCAAGCTGGTAAGAAACGCGGCGTAGGTCATGTCGTCGGGCCGTATCCCGGCGGCATCTATTCGTGAACGAATCCTAGAGATTGATTCCAAGTCCATTTCGAAGGCATAATTCCATAGCAGAACGTTCCACATCCTCACCTTCGAGCCAACTGCATCAATGCTAAGGCAAGATTCTGCAAAATCCTCTGCCATTTTCATATTCTTGTTGCTACAATAGGCCTCGACAACCGTATCGAGCATAGGCGTCGTCAATTGAACCTTCTGCTCTTTGGCCATGTTGAGCGCCTCAAGGACTGTATCGATATCACCCCGATGTGCGCACATACCCATAATGATACCAAATGAGTAAGAATCAAGCTTCACTTTGCGCTCAACCATCATCTTGAGGCGCGCAAAACAACCCCTCAGATCACCAGCATTGGCATACGCTGTGAGCAAGATATTCCAGCAATGTGTGGGCGGTCGGCGGTTGGTTTTCCTCCACAGCTTGCCAAACTCAACCAAAGTCGCGTGTACATCGCCGGTCTTAGCATGGACATGTAAAAGGTGTGCACGCATTTTCCAGGCCTGTGCAGTCACCAGCTCTCCATAATGTGCCACATACTGCTCGAACAACTTGGTGACATTTGGGGAATCAGCATTCCTCGAGAAGACAGTAAGGGCATATCTGTAGGCAAGTGCGGGCGGTTTTGAATGGTAACGCGAGTATTGATCGAGGAAGTACTCAACGTTGGCAGTAATGTTGAAGTGTACAAGCTGTTTGAGGAAATGATGAAGTATCTGGGTTGACGGAGGCATCTTGTCCATGAGCGAGTCGAAATCACGGTAAATGACGACAGCTCGAACAAACGTGGATCTGCGCTCAGAAGACTGAAGGGTCTTAATGAGGTTCCAAAATTGATTGTGAGTGAGAAAACCTGCCGAATGGTAATCTCGGAGAAGGCGCAGAAGAGCGTCCGTCGATATGGTCTCAACAAGATTTGAGGTTGCAAGGATCTTGCTGGTCATGTATTTGATGAAAAGGGGCCATGTTCGCTCTTCTTCAACCGTGTTGTTAACTCGACTCTGGAGTTGCAAAGACAAATCAGGCAGGTTATTTGATAGTAAGTTGATGTCCAGTAATGGGAGTATGCAGTCCCATAGCTTGAATCCATCAACTGGGCATACGGCCTCATACAAACTCTGGGCGACGGACCAGTTGGCCCTATCTATACAGTGAGCCAGAGCCATCGCCCAACCCGAGAAACCATGGCCATTTGCCTCCGTCTGCTGACAGACGCTTGCCACCTCCCCCCATTGCCCCGTTGCAAGATGGGATTTCAATATGTTTGAATAGTCCTCGGCGGAGCGAGATTCTAAAGCAATGTTGAGGAACAAATGCTTTGCTCTTGCGTTATCTGTTTCATTTTCGGATTTGCTGTACTCCGCGAGCAGAACCTTGTTCAAGTCAAGGGGCTGGCCAGCAAACATATAGAGTTGCCACGTCCTATCAGCCTGGCCGAGAATCCCTCCTTCTTTTGACAATAATTCCATGAGACTATCTCTCGCCCAACTGTCGGATCGGCCCTCAACGTCTTCACTGATCACAGGCTGTCCCATATCATCTGATGGGCTAAAATCGCTTTTCGAGGCGAAGGTTCTGCAGACGAAAACGCCATTCCTCCGCCTCCTTCGCGACAGAGTGCTTCTCGAAGGACGTAGTAAGCAACTGGCCATAAACTCCTGCGTCTGATGGGGATACAGAAATCCGAGTGTCGGAGCCGGATGATCGTTCGTAGCTTGGTCAGCGCTTGCATTCGAATCACGCGACCTCAGATTTCCCCGGGGAGCAAGTCGCCATTTTGGATATTCAGAGCGGCTGCTGGTATATTGCCCGAGTCTTGTGCAGAGGGACTTTCGGCTTCGCAGAGCACCATTGGAGTCTCGGAAGAAACGCCTCCCTGCGTGTTCGACACATCCCGCTGTCCGTTCCAGCATCCCCTTCAAAAGCCTGGTTTTCGCCTGAGTTTTCACCGTAACTGCGTTGGATGGGGCCGCATGTCGCTTCTAGTATTCCCTGGGAAACGGACCAGTCAATACCTAAGCTTGTCGAATTGACGCGGAGATGGCGAAACCAACCTGAGTGTTTGGCCTATCGTTCGCTTAGCTCGGATTCAAGCCCCGTTCGAGAAGCTCAACAATGAAAATAATTGAGCAACAGTTCGCAAAATAATGAGTGGCGGGTTTAGCTTGAAATGCGCGGCGTCGACACGGTCTCGAAATTTCGGAGTCAAGCTGGGGGTCGGCGATAAGTTTGGCCGGGACATCATACGGTTGGTAAGATCGCGACAACCTCCACTTCGCGGGGGTGAACACCTTCTCAAATCACAGCCACTTTTGCAGGCAGCACTCCTGTCGTCATGGAGATTACCGAGTATATCTTTGCTCGACGAGAGGAGGTCCTCATTGCCGGAGACTACAACGCTTATCGTGCACACACAACCCGCAGATTGCACAATATCCGCAAGAAGCTCGGACAGACTACTCCCAAGGGCCGGAAGTATACCACGAAGCCTCCTATTAGTGCTGAGGATGTCAGCCAAAATGTGGCGTACGTTTCCAGGCAAAAATCTTTGTGTTGTGACCACGTGCTAATGAGCAATCACTGGCAGAAATGTTCATTTACTACTCCTCAGCGCAGAACGGGCCTGGGCTCAAGCAATGCATATGAAGTCAACACATTCGGCAGACCCATCAGCGAAGGGGATCTCCGGTGCTTCCCGGCGCCATATCATCTCACGGCTGAGCAAAGCGGCTGGATACGCTAATCAGCTGGTCGGCCTCCTCGAAGATAAAAGCGGCTCTGGGGCTACCGACACGGACATTCTTGAAGCACGGGCCTACTTGAGCTCGCTCCTGGGAGCTTCATACCTGGAGAAGCGTAACTGGGAACAATGCGTTCGAAGTTATTCCGTCTCGCGGGTCATCTACTCCGCACTAGGTCAAGCAGCAAAGAAGGATGCATTCCGTGACCTTTTGTCCGGCAACATTGACCCAAGTCTGCGATACGCCGCTTATCAGATGAAGCTTCCCCGAACCAAACCTATACCCTCATTGGCCATTGAGTACTTCCCTGTCGACTCCGGTATTAGGTCGGAGGTCGAGAAAGCCGATCCCAATTGCTTGAAGGAAGACGCCGCCGGGACTCGAAGAACTGCCGATGGGCAAGTCCACGAACTGCCTGAGACTGTTACGTGGAGATCACGCACTGTAACACTGGAAGATGCTGTGATTTCCCAAGCACTCGCAGCGGCGTCGGCCGAGGAATCGCGGCTAGCCGCTTGGTTGAATGCTGAGGGAAGCTCCGCGTCTTCGAAGGACAAGGCTGCGGCCTACGATAGCGTGATCATTGCCAGTCAGGATGCGGTCGATGCCACCAAGACTGCCATTGACGACCTGGCGAACGAGGGAGTGGATCCAGGTGACAAGAGAATGCAGAGCTTGCAAATAACGCGGACCGCTGTGAATTACGCATTGGTAGGCTGGAGAACTGGACGTAACCGTGTACTATGTGGGGAGAAAGACGGAATCGCCTTCGAACCCGGTCGGATGCATTCATCGAAGAACAAAAAGACAACCGCTGAGCAAGATGCGCCCAGCGGGAAGAAGTTGACCTGGCTGCGTGAGAGAGTGGTCCTGTGCGATTCCACTCTGCAAAGTATCGAGTTTATCCTCGAACTACCTGGTGTCGCCGCAGACTCAGACTTCGTCCGGGAGCTCGAAGTTAAGCGCAACTACTTCCGTGCATTACGGTATGACGAGTCAGACAGCCCTTCATCAATCACTTGCACTAACATGAATTACTCTTTAGGTCCCTCGCAATCGGCCGCTCCCACGCCCTCCTCGGAAAGTCCCAAAACGCCCTCGCACTCTTCTCCCAAGCTCTCTCCCTTGTATCCGAAACCGCCGCATCAATCCAATCCACAACCACCACCGCGATGGACATTGACGGCCCCCCACGCCTAGACATCTCCCCAGCCCAAGTCAGCTCCCTCGAGCACGAGCTCCGCGCCCTCGTCACAAAATATCAAGGCCTGGTGACGCTCGAGAGCATATCCGCGCAGGAACAATCGTCCAACAAGTCTACCATCCAGCGCCCGCTCGTCGAACGCCTGCACGAGTACGCCGGCGATAGCCTCGATCTGGATAACCTTGTGCCCTTCCCACCTGAGATCAGTCCGATCCCCGTTAAGCCACTCTTCTTGGATGTTGCGTGGAACTACATTGGGTATCCGCGTGAGGGCAAGGCTGCCGTTTCGTCGGCTCAAGCCCAGGCCCAGGGCGAGCCAGCGGCTCAGGAGAATAAGGGTGGGAAGCGTGGTTGGTTCGGGTTTGGGAGGTAAGGCGATGTGGTATTGCGCGTCGTGTGTTATACGTCACGACTGGCCGCCCGCATCCTTGTATGCATCAATTGAGTACATGTTAAGATCTATGACTTCGACTACTTTAACTACACGTCAGTATTTAGCGTGGCATATCTCTTCGCCATGGTTATCGGAGTTGAGAACAATTAGAATCGGCCACTGCCTGTAACGCTGCCTGATCCTTCTCGTCGAGGTAGAGAAACATCCCATCGTCCCCTTATCAATGCCCGATAATTCAAGCCTGCATGCTCCCTATCTACTAACCCGATATATGTGTACTCCCCATTCTAATATGACCACGATAAAATATAACAACGCTCTTAGCAAAAGAATCTCATTATTAGTATTAATATAAGTAACATCTAGGTCATCCGAGGGCTTCAAGTGTGACAGAAGAGTATAGATCACACAATGCAAACAACTCCACATGGCTCGTTCCCATTCCCATATGTATGACATTGACATGGGCGTGGTTGATTTTATCCCAAGCCAGCCAGCCCAACGTCACCCGAAACTCGAGAGCTCAAAAGCTGCAGGTATAGCCGGCAATCCATAAATATCCACACACAACAAAGAAAGAGCATGTTTAAACAGCAGAATGATACCCGGTCGGACAGTAGCGGTTTGATCAGTGAGAATAGTTACAGGGGAGAAGGGGAAAGGGTGGGGAAGAGGAAGAGGAAGAAAATCCCTTGGGTTGTTCCATCTCCAGGACAGAATCGCCGGGGTTGGACTCTGGAGCATCCCGCAAAGAGGTTGCTTTTTGGGTCCTGAGTTATATAGAAAAACTTCATGAAAATGCGTGCGCCATGAAGTGAGGTAGCTCAACTGGATCTCCGGGTTGCTGTTGCATTGTGGGTATAAATTCAAGCGCGGGGACGGAAGGTAAGCAGGCAGTCGTCCTAATGAATATTAGTCAAAGGCGCAACGAATATAGATCGAATGAGAGCATACCTGAGGGAAGATGGTAGCAAAGACCTTGATTTCCTCAGACTGGGGAGTCGGGGTGTGAACCCAGTCCATCTCCATACTGGCCTTGCCGATCATGGCCATCAGGTTAAGAACGGCGTAGGTCTGACCAAGACAATAATGAGGACCAGTGCCGAAGATAAGGAAGTTCTTAGGGTGCTGCTCAGCGGTACCGGTGACCCAGCGGTCAGGGTCGAATGAGTCGGCGTTGGGGTAAGCTTCCTCATCACGGGTGGCAGGGTAGACGGATGGGATGATCATGGAGCCCTTGGCGACAGTGATCTTGTCGGTAATGGGGAAGTCCTTCTTGGCGATGTAAGGAACCATGATGACGGGAGGGCGGTAGCGGAGGGTCTCCTTGACCACGGCGCGAGTGTAGGTCATTGAGTCGAGCAAGTCCATGGTCAAAGGCGTATTCACGTCCCCGTTGCGGAGGCGCAGGTTCTCCTCACGGACCTTATCAAGGATGTCAGGGCGATCGGCCATGAGCTGGAACAGCCAAGTGCTAGCGGAGCTGGTGGCATCCTGGGAAGCGAACAAGAAGGTGAAGATAGTCTGGGAGACTTCGTAGTCGGTGAAATCACGGAGGACTTGAGGGGGCTTCTCAGACGAGTCAACCTCAATGCCCTTGGCAATCTTCTCGCGGTACTTGGCAGAGTCCAACTGAGCCTTAATCCAAGCGTCCATGATGCAGCTAATCTCTCCACCAGCAGCCATGCGAGCTCTGCTCTTGGCAGCGCACTTGGCGAATTCGTCGAGAACCATGTCCGCAGCCTTCTTTCCGTACCAGGTCTTGGTGAAGGGAAGGATGATCGGGAAGTTGACAAGCTCGAGGGCAGCAGTGATGTTGTAGTAGTCGACGGAGATCTTGTCAATTGCCTCATCGGTAATGTAGTGGCCGACGAAAGTACGGCAAGAGACGGCGCACATCAGATCACGGAACTCAGGCATCCAGGGGGTGGGCTCGTGATTGTTCTCCTTAGACTTCTTAAGGAAGCGCGCGTAGTAGTCGTTGTAGACTTCCTCCATGCGAGGGAGATAGCAAGAAAGCGCCTGGCGAGTGAAAAGGTTGTTCAGGCCCTTGCGGAAGTCAACGTGCTCCTTGCCGTCCAAGAACACCCAGTTGGTCTTGCCAAGCAGCTTGTGCGCGGCATCGACAACACAGGGCTTAACGTAGGTGGGCGAGTTGAAGATCTTGCGGGACATATCACGAGTGGATGCAATAACAACGAACCTAACAAGACCAACCTGTCAGAGGGTGCGGAAGGAGCAGGAAATAGACAAATAACATACTTGTGGAAAACAGACACACAGCTCAGCTCGCCGCTGTCCCATTTGGCCTTGTACTCGTGGAATTTGGGGTTGACAGACTGGAGGAATGGTCCCATGAACGGGAGCTTCCATGCCGGACCAACAATGGCGCCCTTGAGGTAGATGTATCGGACTGCGAGAAAGTCAGAGCTTTGCTGGCAATCGCTGCGGATGGCAACCTACACTGGTCATAGACAACGGCCAGGGCGAGCAGGGTCGCCAGAGTCTTCCAGAAGGTCAGACCATTGAGGAAATCGGCGACCAAGCCGGCGGGTTGGAAGACTTGAGGGAAAGCAGTGGCATCGGCGGCGGGGGAGACGAAGCTCCCATTGATCTCAGCCATCTTGAGCGATTGAACGGTCCCCGAAAGCGAGCGAGGGAGAGAGGTCGATGGGCGAGAAAGACTCGAAGACACGATCCGGAAAGGGGCGAGACGGCGGATGGGAGCGAAATTAATTCTAGAGTCGCAATCGGATACAAGAGCCCTGCTCCACTACGGTTGCCGGTGGGACCACGCGCGCAACAGGCACAACAGGCACAACAAGGCACAACCTCCTGTAAGAACAGCCGAATTATTTATTCAAGCAGGGGGAATGGGTTGATACTGGATAGGATCAATGATCCTCCGTGGCCTGGTGCCTGGATTCCCCTTGATAGAGGATTCGGATGGTCTGTATTTATGTGTATTGACTCTTGACAGAAAGATACACTATAAGTCTTTGGCAAGGACAATGCACCAATAGAACTGGCGGGGCTATATGCAATGCGGAGAGCTGCCTGCCAAGGTATGGTCACGTATGGTCAAGTGCCAAAGACGGGACCTAAATAGCCGGATGGGCCGATTGCAGCCTCAAATCTCAGGCATCCAGGGGTAACTGTCAGTGGACGGTCCACAGCAGGTATCTCGCAGGTATCTTGACAAAAGAAATACTAGACCATGCTCCTGCTCAAATGCGACTGTATGTACTGATTTTGCTTGTATGTGAGAGCCATATCAATATGTCATCAGTCACTATCCCTCTGTATGGGCATAGTCTACACTTGTATGATCAACGATAGCCAGCGATATATCTAGCAACCTTGTCCATTTACAGCCTCGGTGAGGTCACCGGTCACACAGGCGGTCAAACACCTTGTACGCAGCTGGTACTAATGGTAAACATTGATGCTATTGTGACGTGCATGTAGACGTCAGGAAGAAGAGACGCAAGGCGGGTAAAGAAAAGAAGAGAAGATGGAGGGGCGCTGAAGTACAGAGCTGCCGCTCCCTCGCTTCCCCGTGTCCCCGCGTCGAACCTATTTCCCAATTGCCGGGGTAAGATTGCGGTCTGCCTGAATCAGGACTTGTTTCATTCACTAATGAGATGAGACCTGACATAGGGAAATGGTGTCCAGTGTGTTGGCAGGCCAGTATGCTCGTCTGCTCGAGGAATACATCAAGCACTTCTACCGACATGCTTAGACAGCTCCTGGCATCACCGAGAGACCTGCATTAATGGCTCATCCATGATCTTATCAGTGCACATCTTCCAATGGTCCTACCCTCTCATCATTTGCTGTTGTCACTGTGTGACGCTGGTCTCGGGATTCAGAGCCTGTGCTGCCATCCTGGACGCCTTGCTCCGGGCTCTCGAAAGCTCATCTGCAAGCTTCATTTACAGCAGGTAACATCACATTAAGCCAGATGCTTTCACAGAAAGAAGCTTGATACTGCTAAGCACATGTAATGTCCCCTTGAGGCTTGACCTCGCGCGATGCGATGTGTCTAAACAATGTTGAAGCCACGAAACCACGCAATCCAATCAAGAGAATTCAAAGTCAATCTATCCTCTATAGTGATCCTGGACCCAATATTTCCTGGCCTATGCCCCTCCGTGGCAGACTGATTGGATTGCCGTTTTTGCAAATATGGAAATAGCAGCCAGATAGGACGCCTTCGTTGATATAACAGCCAATCGTGGCCGTGTTCAGCCCTACAAATATCAATCGCCACAGACTACACTTACAGTGTCTCGCCCTAAATAGCACGCCTTGGCAGCATTACACAGCATATGCCCCCAGGCGATTGCCATCTGCATGTGTGAGATCCAGACAGATGACTGGACCAGCAAAGCACCGCTGCAAGCCTGCAACTCACATCCCACAGAGCATCGACCAACGCCACCTTGATGTCAGCTTCAGAAACATCCCCAATCATACTCTGCTGTGGAACTTACCTACTGTCCATCGTGTTCGCCGCGGCTCCTCGATTGAGTTCCGATTCGTATCGGGGTAAGACATGCGTCGGGATCGCGCCGGCCAACCACATTCTCCCCGGCGCATGTCTTCGGCTCCCCGTGGCATTGGACTTTATGACCGTTACGGGCATCAGAATCCGCAGGGATATGGAAATTAGCAATCGACCAGGTTCCACAACTACCAGAGGGATATAAATACTTCGTCGGCGCCGGCTTGTTGGAGATCATCAACCGGCTTGAATATCCATTACTACCTCATTCTGTACCGGCGGGGAACACTCTATGCTATTACAAGACTCAAGCCTCAAGATGCACGCCCCCAAGCTCCTTATTCTTGCGTTCCTCGCATCCACCTCCCAAGCAGCCCAGATCAACAGACCGTCCGTCAAAGACTCCACCATCCTTCGATCCATGGTTAGCTGTGCGGAATGTCCTGAAAGGAGCTGCTACCAGTGCCGGCTGGGCTCGGAAAGGAACCTTCGCGCAAACACCGGCGGCCTAGCCTGGATTCGCAGCCTCGTCGGGTTCCGGCTCGACCTTCCCGAGGACATATACCCCGACGACATCACTAAATGCACTGTTCAGTTTCCAGCATTCACAAAGCTACCGGAATCCGCATTCAACCTGACCGTCAGTCCCGCTGTCTCATCCGACTGGGACGAGGTCACCGTGAACGGTGACAATGCTCCTGCCTCGACGGATGACCTCACTGTATACCCTGTGCCGGCGCTGACGAACCCACCTCTACTTGATGTCACCAACGCTTGTTGGCTGGCTGGCGACGACGGACAGTTTTCGATTTACCTAGGGGCTGAGTTTGGTTCGTACGAGATTTGGTCAAAGGACTCGGGGAACCCGGCTGTTCTGCATATTTATTATGATGATTAGGGCTGTCTGCTACTGTTTGCAGCCGCCGTATACCAGGCTGGCTGGCTTTATTGGACGATGTCGATGACGAATGATTGTATACTTACGCGCTAACAAAATAATGTAACTCGCCGATTCTGCTCTTTGAATGGCATGCCAAGTTCCAACAAGGTAAGCACAGTATTGTAGGTTGCAAGTATACAAACTGACCACGCTTTGACCACATCAACAACTTATGCCATAGAAGCTACGCTTTCTGGCCTGCATTTCATCAAGTTTACATCTCCAGGTAGCCATAGGGTAGAACATGTCCATAGCACACAAAATAACTGACAAATACCCACTGAATATGGCCGCTAGTCTATAAACACGGGCAATATATCTGCACCCACCTGCACTGTAGGAGGCTCGGGAAGCGATGCTGATGATGCAAGCGAAGGCCCATCGTTCCTTCCTGCTTACTCCATTTTCGTCCGGAACTGACGCAAGATACAACTTCGATCCGAGATACAGCTTCTCGCTGGCTGGTTCTTGCAGCTCTCTTCTCTCAGACCAGTCAAATGGACGCATTCACAACCAGATGTTCGGGCCTACGCATCCCACGTCCAAGCATACCCAACGCAACGGTCGAGCTCCAGAGAGTGCATCTGCACACCGGCGTATCCGCATATATCCCGGAAAGCATATACGTAAACCACGGTCCGGTGAATGTTACGGATGTTTCATACTGCGTCGTTTCTATCTCCTACACCCACACCCACCGGATAGAGGTCGTGAATACAGAAGTATGGCTTCCGACTGATGACATGTGGAACGGACGGATGATGGGCTTGGGTGGTGGGGGCTTTTATTGTGGGCTGTTCTTTGAAAACAAGAGGGCCATGCTGGGTGCGGTGGGAGAGGGCTATGCGGCCGTGTCTACTGATTGTGGCCGCCGCTTGCGAGAAGATAATGCTGACTGGCTGCTGGATCGTCCAGGCAAGGTCAACCTCCATCGGCTTGAGGATTTTGCGTCCGTCACATTGAATGATGCAGCAGTCATTCGCAAGAGCGTTGTTGAGAGCTTCTATGGGAGGAAGCCTGATCACTCGTATTTCAGCGGCTGCTCCCAGGGTGGGCGTCAAGGCATGATGCTTGCGCAGAGATATCCCGATGCGTATGATGGGATCGTTGCTTCCGCGCCTGCTATCAACTGGGCAGAGATCCTTGTTGCTGGTTATTGGACACAGTTCACCATGAATCAACTCGACTCGTATCCACGATATTGTGAGCTGGACTACATCACCAATATGGCCATTGAGAGTTGCGATGACTTGGATGGGGTCCACGATGGTATAGTTTCTGACGTCGACGCTTGTGACATTGACGCCTTGGCCATGGTTGGGGCGGACGTTCCCTGCGGTGAGGAAACGGTGCCGCTTTCTACTTCAGCTGCGATTGTAGCAAATGCAGCATGGCGAGGCCCGACTACCAAAGATGGCGTGAACCTCTCGGCGGGAGTTTCTGTTGTCAGCAACCTGACCAACGACTTCTCCTCTCAGTGCTCTCCTAATGGTATATGCAGCGGACTGCCGGTGATTTATTCGTCTGATTGGATTCGGTTGGCTATCGAGAAAGACGCCAGGTTTGATCTGAAAACGATGACACTCGACATGTACGTGAAGATCTTCAATGAGTCAGTGGAAGAATACAAGTCGATCATTGGCACAGACAATCCTGATCTGTCGAAGTTCAGTCAACGCGGTGGAAAGATTCTCAGCTTCCATGGCCTGGTATCTATTACTGTCTTTGCCCTATCTGCTTGTGCTGATAGGGTTGTCAATAGGTCGATCCGATGATCCCTTCAACAAACACGAGACGCTACTATGAGGCCGTGACAGAGATGGACCCGACCGTTCAAAGCTATTATCGAGTCTTCGAGGCCCCCGGCCTCGGCCACTGCTGGAGCCAGTCAGGGCTATATCCTTCGACGATATTTGATGACCTGGTAGCCTGGGTTGAGAAGGGGCAAGCTCCTCCCTCCTTACTAGCCTCATTTACTGATGCGACTGGTGTCAAACACGATAGGGTGATTTGCCCTTACCCAGAGAGGGCAATATATAATGGGCACGGGTTCCCCTGCTCGCTGGACAGACTTGTGCTTCAACAGAGACCGGACCTTTAGGATGCAAGTGTCGCACAAGATATTTGCAGTGTGATTGTTTTATGGTAGTCAAAATAGGAAAGGGACGTGCTCGGAAAGACAGAGCATCAAGTCAAACACTGGCTTTTGAAGGTGAGTGAGAAGAAGTAAAAACAATGCTGGGATGATACCTCTAGATGCCAAAGAATGAATTTGTCTTCAGTGTACCTAGGTATACCGTATAGCGCTCGGTCTTGTAATCCCAAAAAGTTCCCGCTAGTGACATCACAAAACCTTAAGCCGACCTCGGGAGAAACTGCGGAAGCTCAACACCAGCTCCGACAACTACCGGTGCTTCTAATCTACAGCCACAAAGCCAAATGGCCTCTTTGGTTCCCATTAAGCCGCAAAGCGGTCTTGCATCTCTCGCATCTCGCGCCACAAAGTACGCCCTCACCGGCGAACGCACAGCAGCCCGAACTATCCCCTCCGCCCGGCACCTCTCAACATGTCTCGCACGGCAAGCCGGCGGATACGCCAGACCTTCAGGACTGCAGTCAAGCTCTAAGCGCCTCCAAGCTCAATGTATCCAGCGCTCTATCCGCTGGAACAGCGCGCAAAGCAATACCGATGACAGCGCACCGCCTTCATTCCGACAGTGGGGATTTGAGGATGTACGTACTCTATGCCCCGGTCACTACACAGAAAGCTATATAACTTGAATGAACCACAACTAACAATACGCCACGCAGATAAATGCCCACCTCCCCTCCTCAACACCCAATACACCCCCCTCAACCCCGCAAAAGAGCCTCATCCTCGTCGACGTCCGCGAACCCGCCGAACTCACGCGCACCGGCATAATCCCCTCCGCCGTGGCCGTGCCGCTAGCCTCCCAGCCCGACGCGCTCTTCCTAACCCCCGACGAGTTCGAGACACGGTTCGGGTACCCGAAGCCTGGCGCGGATGAGGGGAAGGGTGATATCGTCTTCTACTGTCTTGCTGGTGTGAGGGCGCGCGCGGCGGCGCAGTTGGCTGTGCAGGCTGGGTATGATGCGGAGCGGATTGGGGTTTATGAGGGGAGTTGGAGAGATTGGGCGGCTAGGGGTGGGAAGGTTGAGAGGTGGGAGGGGGATGAGGAGTAAACTGAATTGTTAGATCGAAAAGGGGTATATATAAGTACAGAATATCAGGGACAGTGACACTGAAGAACATCCAAACTATTTTTGTGAGATTCAGTCGTAAAGTTAGCTAGGTATCAACTACAGCCGATTTTATAGTCCTAAGTCATGTACATCTCGATAAATCGAGTCATAACCTCTTTCATGTCTTTAGTCCTCCATCGATCTAAATCCGTCAGACGTTCACGACATATCTTATCATAGAATATCGAGCATCACAAGTCATTGAACGTCGTCTGCATGACACCCGGTTGAATCAGTCAGGGCAGAGCAGCAAAAACGGACTCCACCCCGGAGCATCTAAGCCGAGCGCTCGGCACTGCTCCTTTTATGAGCCTAGGCTGGGCAAGCCAATCAAGGAATGTCGAAGACAGGCTTGAGCTTCTTGATAAGAGCCCACTCCTCCATGGAGACATCGGAGCGGTAGAACTCCTTGAGGGTGTCGATGCTCTTGCGGGAGATCTGGGAGTACAGCGTGTCGGACTCTTCGAGTTGACGGCCGTACATGGGCTGGTTGGCGCCCTCGATCTTGACGGCGACGGAGGGCTGGCCTCGCTTGACGACGTTGACGGGCTTGTGGTCACGTTCGATACCGGCACTAGCTGGGGTTAGCCTTGAATTGTTGAAAGAAGATGGAGACACTTACACTCTTCCGAGTTCGACGAATTCCTTGGCGCCGGTGGTAGGGTTGGTCTTGATGGCAGAGATAGGGGTGTGCAGGCGGAGACTACCCTCAGCGACATCGACACCGATGACGATGGGGTCCTTCTTGTTGAAGACGGCGACGGTCTTGAGAACGCAGGGGAAGACGGCAAGGAGCTTGGCCTCCTCCTTCTTGCGCTCTGTGAGCTCAGCCATGTGCTTGGTGAAGTCATCGAACAGGTGGTAGATGATGTCTGCGGTGAAGATCTTGACACCGACGTCGTCAGCGTAAGCTTGAGCTTCCTTGTCAACCTTGACATCGAAGCAAAGCATGACCGCGTACTCCTTGGCCTTCTCCAACATGGTACCACACATCATGACATCGCGCTTGTAGACGGGACCGATGGAAATGTTGGCAACGGGAATCTTGGAGACACGCAGAAACTCGAGCAGGGCTTCTAGGGAACCAAGGGTAGAGGCCTGGACACTGACACCGCGCTGATCCTTGGAAACCTTGCTGAGGAGGTTCTCGAGATCGGACATAACTTCTTCCTCAATGTCCTCCTCGTCGTCATCAGGTCCGACGACCATGAGACGCGAACCAGCGATGGCATGTTCAAGGTCGTTGGCAGCAATCTTAACACCAAGAGCGGCTTTTACCTCCTTGTTGTGGACGTATTGTGACTTTAACCGGAGCTCCTTGAGAGGAGCGGGTGTAAGCAGCGCTCGAATATTAGTTGCTATAGGTCCGTTGAGACCGCACAGCACGACTCGATCACCCTCTCGGAGAATACCGTTGGAGAGAACGACATCGATGGTGGTACCAAGACCCTCAATGACCTTGACTTCGAGGACAGTACACTCAACCTCGGACAAGTACATGAGAGAGTTGGTCATACGCTCCTGGGTCAGGGTAGTCAACAGCTTCAACATGTCGGGAACACCCTCACCGGTGTGGGCGGAGGTGGGTACGAGAGAGACATTACGGGCCATGGACTTGTTCTCGTAGAAGAGCTCAGAGTTGAAACCCTGTTCGGCGAAGAGAACCTTGGTGCGCTCGAGACGAGTGCGGAACTCGTTCTGGACGCCCTTGCTCTGCATAGCCAAACTCTCCTGGAAACCGTTGTTGTCGATCTTCTTCCAGCCATACAGACGGTCAATCTTGTTTAGAGCGACAATGAAGGGAGTGCGGCGGTCACGGAGCAGCCTCATGGACTCAAGAGTCTGGGGCTCAAGACCGTGCATGATATCGACAACAAGAATGGCAATGTTGCAAAGAGACGAACCTCTTGATCGCAGGTTGGAGAAGGACTCGTGACCAGGGGTATCGATAACGAGCAGACCGGGGATCTTGAACTCGAACGAGCCATCCTTGTTGACGACAGCAGTCTTTTGACGCAGAGCATCGACAGGGAAGTAAGTGGCACCAATCTGTTGCGTGATACCACCAGCTTCACCTTCTTGGACGTTTGTCTGTCGAATCTTATCCAGCAGCTTGGTCTTACCAGTATCGACGTGACCAAGAATGCAGCAAATGGGGGAACGCAGGTTGTCCTTTGACCGGGCAGCCAAAGCCTCCTCGTGCTGCTTCTTTCTCCGCTCAGCAGCTTCCGCCTTCCTCTGGGCAATTGCCTTTTGAGCCGCGGACTGTTCTTCATCTTCAGAGTCGGATTCATCAGAGTCTTCTTCTGAGGAGTCCTCCTCTGATTCCTCCTGTGAGGCGGACTTGGCTGCAGGCCGTTCTGGTAGCGTCTTCTCTTCACCGTTGGTAGCGCCGGGCTTCTCCTCCTCTTCATCACTAGGCGCGTCCCAGCTGTCTTTCACATCCTCGGCATCGGCGGCCTTCTCCCAGTCTTCAATCTCACTCTCCTCGCCAGCAGCCGTGGCGGCAGCGGCAGCTTCAGCTTCGGCCTTGGCTTTCCGCTCCTCCTCCTCCTTTCGTCGTCGCTCATCTTCGGCCTCACGTTGAGCCTTAGCCCGAGCAGCAGCAGCCTCGAGGTCCTCCTCGTGCTTCTTCGGGCCCTTCTTTTTCCTGTTCTCGTAGACAGGTCGCTTCTTCTCTTCCTGGTCTTTCTGCAACCCAGCAACTGTACCAACACCCGCAGCGAGCATTTGCTTCATACGGAGCTCATTGCGTTCCTTAGCTTCCTTCTGAGCCTTGGTAAGCAGCTTTCCTTCCCTTCTCAGTTGTTCCTTCTTCTCCTTCTCCTTCTCCTTCTTCTTTTGGCGAGCCTCCTCCTTCTTCCTGGCCTCTTCTTCATCCTGGAGTCGTCGCGCCTCCTCAGCAGCCTGCGCTTCTGCTAGAACGCGTTCTTCCTCCTCGCGCTGCTTCCTGAGAGCTTCCTGCTGCTTCTGGATCGCAGCCAAGTGAGCGGGGACCTTCTTCTTCTTGCCACCAGTGGCAGGCTCGGGCGCAGCCTCGGCGGCAGCAGCAACAGGCTCCTCCTTCTTCGCTTCAGGCTTCTTTTGCTCGGGCTGTTTAGGTTCGGTGGTCTTCTTTTTCGCGGCCTAGATAATGAATGTCAGTCAGCAACGGCTCCGAGCTAACAAAGTGGATAAAAACATACCTGTTCCTTCTTTCGCTGCTTCTCCCTCTCCTTCTTTTCCCTTTCCTTCTCCTTCTTTGTCTTTACGCGAGGGCCGGTATCCTCGTCTGCGGGCTCAGGCGGCGAAGGTGCGGCCTTGATAGGCTTGCTTTTCTTTCCAGCGAAAACATCATCCTCGTCGAACGTGCCCTCCTCAGGCTGCTTGCTGGCAAGGTCCGCATCGCCGTCGGCCTCTTGCGTAGGGTCCTCGCCCTCGACGAAGTCGTTTGTCTGCTTGCCTTTCTTGGCCTTCTTGTTCTTGTTCTTCCTCAGAGCGGCGAGCAGGCCACCAGCGGGGGCGCCCTGTCCATCATCAGCAGTTTCGGGAGCCTCCTCCTGAGCTGGGCTATCACCACCCGCAGCAGGAATGCTCTCTCCGAGCTCTGCCTCCCAGTCCTCCTCCTGCTTCCTGTTTCCCTTCTTCTTCGGCGCCATATTGTACGAGCGACTCTTCGTTTAGTAGGGCTATCTTCGTGTGGTTTAGAAGAACTGAGTCTGGAAATGAAGAAGAATTATTAGCAAGAGTTCCTGCGCTCTGTAAAAATTTTGGTGGCGTCTTTGTGCGGGCACCAACAATATCAAGTTCTTCGGCCAGCGACTTGCGGCGGTCGGGCGGAGTCGTGGCAAAAAATGGCCGGGGAAAAAGCCAGTAGCCTCGACTACAAGGGTGATCACACAGGTAGAAGAGGGATAAATAAAATTCCCTTTTTATCTTCCCCTTGGATGAGTGGTATTTGATAAGAATGGAGAGCGGGAGGGTGGAGGGATAGAGTGCTCCGTAAGAATTTTGGTGCTTTGGACTCGGTGGGGAGTTTCGACATCCCGATTTGTTAAGCCGCACAAGTGCTCCAGGGCTCCAAGGTATGACAGGCTGCTTGCCACTATCCACGCATTTAATTGGGTTTCCATATTAATATAATGCTAATTTGTTGAAGAGTATATTGGTTCATTTTAGATATCTTTGAACAATATAATGACAGCGAATAGAACCGAACATATATATAGCAAGTCGAACTATCTAGAATTCCACATAGAACACTCTCTTCAACCACCTCATAACAGCCTCAGCAGGGCTTGAGACTTCTCCGAGAACATCTTCCGCCAATTCCTTGAATAGCCGAGTAGCGTCCTTTGCTGACTGTTCTTCCCCATCAGCCAGCATCCGCAGCAGATAATCGGCATCGCGCGTGACAAGCCGACGCAAGATATCACCATCGATATGCATATGGGAAGGCTTGAACTCGAGGGGATCATGGCCGACTGGATTGCGCTGCCTCTTCCTCTTCGGCGTGAATGGACAGATGCCAGTGTCCCGGATACAGAGGTCTTGTAATAGGCGCAGAAGGCGCCATTCCTTCTCCTCCAGGGTCAAAAGACGGTAGACAGTGCCATTCATAGCGGTACCATAGAAGGTAGTGGAGCGAGTCGAAAGCGAAGACGGCTCTGAGCTGGAAAAGAGTTTCGTGATCGATGAAGGGAGATGCGCCTCGCATAAGGCAGTAGGTAGCATTTTGTCGGTTTCTGACACACCGTTTTCGGTAAATAGGCTGACTCGTCCACCTCTGCTCGAGGCTAAAGTGAGCTTTCTGTCGCCACCAATGTGGATATGGGAAAGGCCGTCAAGCTTCTGGCGGTCGTATGCGTGAAGCGCCAGGTTATCCTCTGTGGCTTTTAGGACCATAAGGGATTCCCTTGCGATGGAAAGGTGGATGTAAGGTTCGTGACAGGATATCGAGACAGCCGGGGAGAAGACCGAGAATCGTGCGGAGCGAACACGTCGTGATTGTGCAAATTTCGGTTCCAGTGCGACGATTTCATGACCTGTCGATACCATCAAGGTGAAATCGCCGTAGGGGACAATGGTATATACTGGATCCTCGAATTTGTGAATATACTTGACAGAACACTCGACTTCCGAGTCTGGAGATGAGCCCCGGGAAGCTTGGAGGAAGATGACCCGACCGCGGTCTTGTTGGTTCCGGCGTGCAGTTCCAATGACGATAAAATGATATTCTTCGTCGCCCTTTCGCGGAGTCCATTCCAGGATGCAGCTGATTTTCTCGCCGGCTGCACCTTGAGGTCGCCATGGCTTGCTTCGTTGATGATCCAAATCCTCGACAGAGCCATCCAGGGGAAACTGGGCATCCGGGTCAAGGAACTCGATAAATGGTCTAGTATAACGCTTGACCGGATCCGAATCAGTATCGTACGCGGTTTGGCTGTATGCTACCACCAGGCTTTTTAGGTATTGCGAATACGCCAGCTTGTGTGCACTGCCAGGTAGGCTGATGCTCCGAGGGATAGTCTTGACAGTATGGTCTAATGTGCATACCATTAACTGCCCATCTGCAACAGCAAAAAGGCTTCCGGAAAGCTCATTGGCGTCCGTGTTGTCGAAGCCCGTCATAGTGAAACTGTGAATGACCCTGGGATAGTAGGCGGGCTGGGAACGTGAGATTCTGCTCAGCAGGTGCGATATGCGTCGAGACTTACATTATTCTGGTCTGTTATCCATACCCTCTGAATAATACAGTCACACGCCTCATCTCCTTGAGCGCATGTTATCTGCCAGAAGCTATTACCGCATGTCAATAGCCCGATGCTACCTCCGCCCTGCACATTGACAGACGTGTAACCCAAGTGCCTGAGTGCGGCTTGCCGCATGTCTAAATAATGCATTAGCCGGGATTTGTCTGATCAAGGCAGTATAACATGACAGCATACCTAGGGGCGAGTCGACCTTGTTGGCATCTATCGAGATATCAAACATGATTAAAAAGCCACTCCGCAAGCCACAAATCAGGATAGCTTTTTTGAGCGGAGTTTTTGTGTGCGCAACAATTGCAAGGCTGTCAATCGCTTTTGAGATATCATCATCAGTTTCAACAGTCACAGGAACGTCAAGGAGAAGCATGAAATTCTCATCAAGGCGATAGACCCGAACCCTACCATCACCGCTGCCTATGAAGACAATGGTGCCGACGTCGAGCTGTTGGATACTCATGCAAACAGGCTCATAATCGATGTTTAATGGCGGAATAGAATCGGTTATCTGAAGGGCGCTGTCCAACCGAGAAATATTTTTTGAATGTAATCGCAGTTCCTGAGGGGTTCGAATGGCCGTAACAACAAGTGAGGTAGGGCCATGCACAGCAGCTGCCGCGATACTTTGACCGACACCCAAGTCAGTTCGAGAACGGAGCTGCGAATCAGTCGTAGCACCCAGGAGTATAGCTCTGTCGGTTATCTGCACCAGAGTGCCGGACTCGATGTATCCCGCCGCCAGTGTTGATGAGTTCGGGTCCAATCCACATTCTGCTTCGTCAATAGCGGATATCTCTTCGCTGAAATCAGCCGGTAGATACAGAAAAGTTGAAGACATAGGATCGGATGTCAACATGATGACGCCACCATTGACGGTGTCCGGCAAAATCCATATGTCCCTGGCGCCTGATAGTTCTTCCAAAGATATCAATAGTCCAATCTGCGCTTCAACTCCATGTCGCAACTCGACAACGGCTCCTCGACCGTAAGACGACGCGGAACACATGAACAACCGATCACCGACAACATTATCTGTTGAGGTACTCGGGCCTGAAGGCGGCTTTACAAGCACGGAGTCAGTAACCGGGGACCAGTTCATAAACCTTTGAACGCAGCGGGGTTGGTCTCGGGCTCTTTGGACAAAAAGTCCGCCATCCCCAGTATTACCGGCAGCTAGGAGAAGATCGCCGCCCTCGTAGCCAATGTCTAAGATATCAAAAGCAGCGTCGACATCACAAAATAGGTGTCCTAGTTGAATTTGATTCTCAACTTCGCCATCGCTCCCAACACCCAGATAATCTATCCTCCCATCCTCGCGGCAGAGGTAGATGTCATCATGCATCTGATTATACACCGCAGTGCGCAGAGGGCGTGCCCAACGGGTCCAGAGAGGCGACCGTTGCTGCTCATGATCGGGGATAGGGAGTGGATATTTGATAGGTGGTCCTGGGAGATCCAGCTTATTTCGGTAGACAGTCATTGTAGTCGTGTTGACTAGCATAAAAGATGAGGCCTTGGTCAATGGGATCAGCATAGTAGGCATTCTGTCTTCGGAAGGCAACTGCTTTTTCGTTACACGGGGATGAGCTTGTCGTAGAGCTTGATGCGCGTCCCACTCGTAGCATACAACATGTGTTGTCTGCTCGTGAGCAACCAGGAGAAGCAGGATGATTTTGTCGCCATCTTCGGGCTTCGGGTAGAGGAAGTCCATAAAGATGATATCGCCATCGAGGCGGAAAAATCGCTCCTAGATTCCATGGTTGATGTTAGCAAGTGCTTTAAAAATCAAGCAACGATGTTTATTCGCACCTCTGCCACAGGATCCAACCGCTCTTCTGACATTTGGGCCTGCACGGTGGAAGGGGCCTTCAGCACGAACACGCCGAAGTAGTCACTAGAAGCGCTGACAGCAACCGCTCGAGACCTATAAGGGGTTTAGGCAATGTCCTCCAAAAAAAAAAAAGATTCGGCATTAGGACTTACCTTGGTTCGATAGCAATATTACGACCAAATCGCGCAAAAGTGCTGACATCGCTCGGCAATGGGCGATGATAATGAATAAATTGAGGGGCGGTGCGTGAGTGGTAAAGAAACACTAGCTCTTTCGAAGAGAGGCTGAGTACCAATATCTGCGGAGGTAGATCGTTGTGCAGATCCGTGCTGGCATCTGCACCGCTAGACCCGGCCTTCATCTGAACTTCCCAGGGCAACTCGGTACTGACGTTGACAACCTTGGCCGCCATGATATATGCATCGAAGTCCGATTTTGCAGTTACCTCCTCTAGGTGCGTCCCCGAGATTGCTTCCTTGATCTGAAGGCCTCGCTCGCCAACGAAGACAACATCATTGTGATACCTGCTCCTGAGACGGGCAGGCAAGATCCACTGAATTATCGGACTCGATACAAATGTATGGCTTAAAAGGCCGAGCTTTGCTTTGCTAGCTCCAAGACCCGAGTCAATATCCATTTCAATGTCAGAAGGCATTCTTGTAGGAGGGAGTTTTGTCTAAGTGCGAATGTACTCAAAGAGATCCTTGACGAGGCTGACAGCACCGGGCAAGGTATTCCTCCAATTGAGAGTCGTCACTCCCGCTGGAAAAAGGTCTGTCGTAAACTGATTTGTGAGAGTCAGGTCAATAGGTCTTTGGAGCAGTGAGCTTCGCTCCCTTCATTTCCTATGTCAACCTTGTATGTTGGTTCAATCACAAGTACGAATACAGTGGAGAAATAGCCCAGCAAGAAGAGGCAGAAGAAGCGTCTATCATGAGGATGAGCTGTGAGAAGTCGGACGTTTCGCTGATTTCTTCACGTCATGCTTGGTTCGATAGACGTGCAATTATCATTCTCGCTGGGTTTTGAGGTTATAAACAAAATTGGTCGATATTGCAATGCAGACCGTTATGCCGTATAGTTCCCGTCACTATAGGCAGAGACCTCACACAGGGATATGGCTGGAAGACGTCAGAACATTGCACTAGTGTTATGAGTACAGAAGGCATACTTACGGCAGATAGGAAGGAGCAGGAACACCCTGTGAAGACGTACGGCGATGCCTTACAAAAGGACAGTTAAACACTCTCCAGTTCTAAGATCCCAGGCCAGATAAGAAGCGTAAAGCTAGATCAAACCGTTGGAAATACCAGCTAAGCATGACTGCCAGCAGAGAGAGGGAGGTGTTGCTAACGAGTTAATATGATTTCATCCCGGCTGGAAAGACACAGCACTCTGACACTTTTGAGGACGATTTAGATAGCAGCTGTACACAGGAATATGGTTTATTAGTGCTCGGAGTATTAGTGCTCGGAGTGACAGGCCGATTCATAAATAGGCCGGGATGTTTCGGAGGGGCAGTTGGGCTGTGGAAATGCATGAAGCTCATTGATGCCTGTCCCGTCGTACGGTAGATGGCTTAGTCAGCCTTAGCCGGAAAAATAGACTAGCGACGCAGGGTCATAGAGGCCTCAGGCATCATATCGCGACGTCCATCAAATCTTTCCTTGTTTCTCTTCCAATCGTCGACGAACAGACTCGAAGATCGTGTATTTGACATGTTAAATACCTTATCGCTCTTATGCAACTCATCATCAAACCGTGAGCGGGCTTCCAGATGAAAGCCCCATCCGAGTAACTAGGATACGAGGATAGCCTCCTATGACAGACAGAACAGTATCCGCCTCACTCCGCACACAGGAGTAATCTTCTTTAGCCTCCAGCAGAGTTCTATATGCCTCTCGCCTTGAAGTGGAGACTACAGACCCAAAATACCTCTCTTCTGAGTTCTGAACATGTCCCACGCGTCGGGGCGTCAATGGTCAGAGAGCGCCTCTTCAGAAAACGACGTAACCTCTGAGAAACCCCCCAACGCCGTGATCGATGGGTCTGTACACAGCTCTAATGACGATCTGGCTCGTATGACTGAAAAGGCTGAGGCAATTCGAACGGCATGCGATCTTCGCGACATAGATGCTTTAGTGTCGCACGCCACATCGGAAGGTGGCTTCCTTCAAGATGGGCTCAGAAGACTAGCCTGTATGTTGCCCCAGACTTATTAGTTGTCAGAAATAACTCGGTATTCAGGGCCCATACTGCTTCAGTATGATAAGAATATACAAAAGCCGCTCTCGCCAGAAAGTGACCTACCACCCCACCGCGATGAAGAACAGGTCCAGCTGGACGTGAACCGTTCATTTGTGTACTATCCTGAATGTGAGCACCCCTCAACATACCTTCCCAGTCCCGGTACTGATATGTAGCCATCAGGCCCTGATGATGAATTATCAACCAAAAAGAATCAGCTGTCAAGGGTGATCAAACAAGTTCTGCGAAATTATCCTTTGCTGTGCTATTTTCAAGGCTACCATGATATTGTTCAAGTCCTGCTATTAGTTCTGGGCGAGGAACAGTCTGCTCCAGCAGTCGCCCGCCTCTCTCTGCTCCGAATCAGGGACTACATGTTACCTTCACTTTCACCGGCAGTGAAGCACCTACAGCTTATCCCAGCAATTATCCAAACCGCTGACAAGGCTCTGTACCAGCGGCTTTCAGGAATCCGACCCTTTTTTGCCCTCTCAGCGACACTCACGTTATACGCCCATGATATCCAGGAATATAGTGATATAGCACGACTCTTCGACTTCCTGCTGGCTTGGGAGCCCGTTGTCTCAATATATCTCTTTGTAGCCATTGTTCTCTCGCGCCGGAAAGAGCTACTCGAGATACCGGAGGACGAACCAGAAATGCTGCACTTCACTCTTTCGAAACTGCCTCAACCTCTTGACCTGGAAGGTTTAATTTCTCGCGCGGTGCAGCTCTACAGTGATCACCCGCCAGAGATGTTGCCATTTGGAGCCTGGAGAAAGATATCTAGCTGCAGTGTCCTCAAGACCACACGAGATGAGTTGAGAACGCAGTCTACAAGCCGAGCGGTTGAACTGTTCCAGAAACAAACCAATCAACTTCGCAATGAGGAGAGAAGGGAGCAGTTTGTCGGGTTTCTGTGGAGCCACAGGCGAACCATAGGCTCCGTGGTAGTTGCTGTCTTCGTCGGCGCGATGTCCGTCTGGATAAGGAAGAGGGGACTGGACAACACTATACTGTCGTACCTTGACCGTTTCAGGCTAGCTTTCCAAGGCCGCCTCTAGCCCTTATCTGAGCACCCTTGTGAGACGAAGATAAAGCTAGACTACGATCTTGTCACTATGTAAAATAAACATGTCCGTTCAGCGATATATTAGCCTTGAGTAGGCTCACCCAAAGGATCATGAAACAGGCGAGCTGAAGCCATTGATTGATATATGGTTATACAAGAAAGCAATATATTCAAATCATTCAGTTGAATCAGTTCATACAGAGACTTCGAGTAAAGGCCTCTCCGCATTGCACGTGACGGACGGGTTCCCCGCTATCCTTATCGTCTGCTTTCTCCAATTTCAAAGGATGAATCATTCCAGATCATGTCATGAACCTCGCTAGCCTTATTGACTCTCGGACTAATCTAGGTGCTGACGGAGAATGAAGCCGCGGGTCTGCGGGTCCTAATCGCCTTGTCAATGCTTATGCTATGTCCTCCACAGAGCAGCCCGGCAACGTTGCGCCCTCAGGTAATGGTGTGAATAAGCGCAAGCCAGGTACTAACGTCTTCAAATCTGCCCTCTTTATATGATGCTAAATGTTCGCGCTTCTTAGGCTCGGCTGCCTGTATCCACTGCCATCGCCGTAAAGTACGATGCGACGCTCGCCTTGTAGGGCTACCATGCACCAATTGTCGCTCCGCCGGGAAGACCGACTGTCAGATCCATGAGAAAAAGAAGAAGCTGGCGGTGCGCTCGATACTCGACCCGGTTCCGATCCGTTGTCGGCCTCTTTATGCTGGTCAAGATAAAAAATTGATATCTCGTGCTTCTCCGCGAATAGAGCCTCCGAATGCCTTCACGACCGCACTCCGTGCTGTCCAGCCGGATATCGCAACACGATCTGGAAATGCAAGCCATGTTCAGGATTCTCAAAGCTCTCAACCCGCATACGAATCCAAGACTACCAACGATCATACGCCGGGCGATATTCAATATCAAAACGTTCTGCCGAATGCGAATTCCCCGCCATATAACCGCCCCGCGGCCTCAGATCCGCCCGAGGGAGAGTCGCGTGCGGATATTGAAAAACGGTTGGTGCATCTGATTGATGAGGAAGCTTCGGATAGTCGGGCGATTCAAAGAGGAGTGCGAGCAATATACGTTGGGCACGAGCTTTCAAACATGTCATTTTTGATCCGCCAGCAACGGGACACGGGGGATGATGTATATCACTTTGCAGGAAATGAGATCCCTCGGCGACAGCTACGAACAGGCCATGATCAGCTTCTCATGGATGCTCTTACACTACCCGAACCCGCTCTTGCCGATGAGCTCGTGCACGCATATTTTGCTCAAGTCAATTCAGGCTATCCGATCGTTGAAGAGGATTTGTTTATGTCGCAGTACCGCAATCGAGACCCGGCTGATGCCCCTCCAATTCTTCTTCTTCAAACTATTCTACTCGTTGGAGCCCACGTTACTCGCCAGAAGGCCGAACGTGACGCGCTCAAAGATATTTTCTTTCGCCGGGCGAAGTGGTTATTCGACAACAGGATTGAACGAAACCGCGATATCTTGGTTCAGGCCGCACTCTTGTTGACATGGCACTCAGATGTGGCTGACGACGACGTGTCCGCTAATGCACACTACTGGATCGGAATAGCTGCTAGGATTGCCACAGGGCTGGGAATGCATCGTAATCCTGTCGGTAGCAGATTCGTTCCTCGAGATCGCCGAATGTGGAGGAGACTATGGTACATCCTCGTGCAATTTGACGTGATGGTATCTTTGTCTTATGGGCGACCACAAGCCATGTAAGCATTGCAAGCTACTGTATATGGCCTCTGGAACGCTAATCTGTATGACTCTAGCAACCTCGAGGACTCTGATGTTTCCCCATTGACGCCCTCAGATTTTGAAGGCTGTGGTGCCCGTGTACAAACCGACTTCGTAATCCACTTCTCTGAGCTGTGTACGATGATATCGTACATTGTTCGAGAGCGCTTTGGACTCAGAACCAGCGCTGAACGCCGCAAGGCCGCGCTCCTCGAGGCGGACGAAACGCTAGCGAATTGGTCACTCAGGCTTCCAGACAGACTACGTCTAAGAGCTTCAGATATGGATCCCTGGTCTGCCATGCTTCATCTCACCTACAATAATTTTTTAATCCTCCTCCATCGACCTCATCCGAGAGCATCAGCGTACTCGGATGATTACGGTCCACACGACGCCGAAATTTGCAGCGCAGCTGCCGGAGTGATAGCCTCTATCTTCGAGGAGCTTCGTATGCACGATCGACTCAAATTCCTCTGGTACTCTGGCGTACACACCCTGTTCACAGCAATGATCCAAGTGCGGGTTGAGCTCCGCTTTTCCAACCCAGTCCTCGCAATCAACGCTCTTCGTCGCTTCGACTCGGCTTCGTACTCCCTCCGTGAATTAGCACAGTATTGGTCTCATGCCAGCACCATCCTACGGCTGTTTGAGGAATCGAGACGACTCCAAGAAGATCTACAGACTACGACCAGCGAAAGACCTCGTCGCTTCAGCAACAATACCACGCATAACAACACCTCGCACCAGAAGAACAATTCCAGCATGCCTCACTTGGCAAATATCAACAGCTCCACTACACCACCCAACACCACCAGCATACCCCATCCACAGCCAAACAGCCAACTATCCTACGATGTCCCCACCCCCGATTCTACCTCCCACCCACACCCACACCCACAAACTAACCTGAGCCCTCATAACCATACCAATGCCATAGCAACCCAGCCATTCAACACCTGGATACCATCCAACAACCTAACCCCGATGGACACCGTCGACAACCAACGCGAATCGCTCGACTGGCGCCAACTCTTCTTATTCGCGGACCTAGAGGGTCCCGTTCTCCCTTCAGCCATGGAGGGAATTACCGAGCTGGAAGACGAATGGCGCCAGATATACTGGCAGGAGACGCCCATGTCAGACCTCCTGCAGGATGGTGGGTGGATGCATGGGTAGTGTACCTGACTTGCAGGTGGCCAATTCCCGAGGTATTGGTTTCTTCTTACTATATCTATTCTCGGCACTATATTGCTTTTTAATTTCCCTTTTTGAGTACTTGGTACGCTAATGGATCTTGGTGTCGTGGGGCGAGGATATATATGATGGTGATCTAATGTGGTGATGAATGTTTGGATAGTGGATGGACTGGACATAATGCTGGTATTTACCTTGAATATATATACTTCTTATCCTCAACGTTCAATGGCAAAGAGCAGAAGCACTAGACGTAAAATCCCGTCTGCTCATTCTATCACATAAGAATGTGCATGTCTTGATGATTGAGCCGCCCTATAGCCTCCAATTGATAAGAACGATAAATCATAACTTCACAAGAAAGGACAAACATAACGCCATCAATCACTTCGCAATAAGTAATAGTAGTACCCTTGGGGAAGGTGCCACACGGTTGGGGCAATAGAGCGGCAAGCCCGCACTCCCTGAAGAGGCCAGGCTTGGCTCAGAAGAGGGAAAGAAGAATGGTAAGAGTAGGCGAGGTAAAAAAGTGACGTGAAGCGCTAATTCCTAACAAAGTTCATCATATCCCTGTCCTGTGTTCCGTCGGCTCGAAGATAACGCCGGTGTATAAGACCCCATAATACAAGACTAACCCAACCCAGCCCAGCCCAGCCCATATGAATGCCGTACAGGAAGCGGCGTCTAGAAACTTTAATGATACCAATGCCCGCTGCAGGGCAAAGTTCCGTCTGTTTCGAACGGGCTACCCTTTGAAGGATGAACAAGAACCCGATTTCAGTGTACTAGCTCGCGCAAGATGAGCGTCTTACTGAGCTGTAACAGATAGTTGGGTGCCTGCATTGTCAACAGTTCCCCTGTAAATTTCACGTATCCGAGAAACTAATAGGAATCCCCACCCGCGCCGTTATGGCTCTGGCCAACCATGGGGGGATATCCATAAGCTGAGGTATCTTGTTCAGAAGGGTCCAAGCCCTGGTTCATCATGCTACCGGCACTATCAGAGGCATCAGGGAAGGCTCCCCCGGCCGCTGCACCGCTGGAACGCACGGCTGAGGGGCCGCTGGCAGCGCCGCCAACGGGCCCGCCCCCGCCGTATTCGGCTACTGGTGGCCCCGGATGCCGGGGCTCCCCCCGGGCGGATTGAGTCTGAAGCTAATTAGCGACACATGCCCTGGCACAAAGCCCATCCGGGATAGACAGATCGTCCAAAAACGTTGCACAAGTCTTACCTCTCGATATTTCGACAAATAGATTTTCAGGGCTTCAGCATAGTTTTCGAAGCCAAGGGAGGTCATGGCAAACAGGATGTCTTCTCCGTTGACGGTCTTGCGCTTTTCCTGTTGGCATTTCTCGGAAGCTTCGCCAACAGATTAGTTTCCACCGGGCAACCATGTGATAGAGCTCACTCACCTTCACTGGTAATGAATGAGATGAACTCGCTCACGCATTCCTGCATGCATTCTTTCGCTTCCTTAGCAATCTTTGCATTCTCTGGCAACGCTAACTTCATAATACGCGCGACTGTATGCCATTGTCAGTATCATAAACTGTATCAGTTCACCGACGGAGGAGGCTCCAGAGAGTAGGTTAGAACGGCGGCAACGGCACAAGGCAGTGCAGATATCAAGCATTATCCGAGCAATGGGATGCGCGTAAGCATGAACATCTGCAACCGACGGGAAGGTGCTCGGACAGTATGGCGACAGCAGTAGACCAGCGGATGAACGCAAGGTACACACAAATCAGGGGGCAGACAGCTGCAAGGGAACGCAACTAACCATTTGCGATTGGTAGCCATCTATCTTGCTCCTTCACCTCGAACTCTCCTTGACCTTGCCCATGGAGATCTTGTTCCTTATCCATTTGCTCGTGTTCTTCACCCGATTGAGGTTCCTGTTCCACCTCGGGTTCCTTGGAGGGAGAGGTCGACGACATGGTTATAGCTGTCGGCGAAAGAGTAGGTGATTCCGGTTTTGGAAGGTACGGTTTCGAATAAGCTCTGTTGGCATCCACGTCAGAGAATGCACACACCACGCGATGGGCTTTCAGGTTCAAGGCTCATGGACCAAGGGGAGGAAAGCCAGTATCAGGCTGGGCAGCGAGCTGCTTCACAACAGCCTGAACAGGGACAGGGAAGCATTGAGCAGTGGTCAGGGCTTCTGGGGGATTGACAGCGCGTCCATGACAACTCTGCCCTAGCGGTGTAAATGAGATGCGGGGAGGGTCTCATTCGCCGAGGGGCGTATGAACGATGCGCTAGGACGCCCGTTTAAGATTTATTGCACTATTTTTTTTATGTTTATTGGGCCCGAAAGGCTGATTTGATGCCCAGGGACGGGGATATGGCGCTAGGGTTGTGGAAACTCCCAGACGCTTTGGTTGATAGTTCTGGGGTGACTTACAGCGATAACGTCAGCGGTGCTCAAGGCGGGGAGATCGGAAGTAACGCGCAAGTAACCGGTGGGCCAATTAATGGCAGTGGCACGTTGCGCAGGCAAAGACCGTCGAAGGCCGGGTTATTCTTTAGGATTCGAAAGCCTGTGGAATAGATCTGGTGTGTCAAGTAAATAATTGGCCTGTTACTGGAAGGGAGATAGGGCAGGAGTAATTACTGGCGACTGGACGCGATGCGCGCAGCAGGCAATTGGCGAACCAGAAGTGTCTGGCTGAGGAGCACGATCACTGGCTGATGGAGTCCAGGTACACGCGAAACACGCCAGCAGTTCCGAGGCGATGGACTTGGTCTCCAAATCTGGTCAAAACGAAACGCTGATGGCACGCCCCGGTGATTGGATGAAATTGGCTTGAATAATGCTGGAGGGAGGAGAAATGGGAATGGAAGAGAGAGAAGAGCGCTGCAAGGAGATGGATGATTGAACCGCAGGAGGGCCTGAGGCCTCTGTGACGGCTCCGATACCTAACAGGCGGCTCATTACAGCAGAGCGTGGGGTAAATTACACTAGAAAAGGAAGTGGGGGTGGTATTGGGCTGGTACGTTACAGCACGTGACCCAAGGAGGCACCGGTGCCTCTCTGCTTGACATCATCAACTCACGGGGTCGTAGTATACCGAAGATAAACAATGAGTATCTGCCTTACTGCTTCATCTCTGTAATGAATACCACTACCATCCCTACCTTACCGACTGGCTGATCCGCCAATATCACCTCATTCGACCAAAGGCTGTGACTGGTTCGACAGCTCATGTCTTGGCCTCCGATCCTGCCAGGGATCGCCTGGGGGCGCACACGACGTCCTATCAGTTTTTCCGTGGCCTCAAATTCTCCGGCAGCCACAGCTTGACATGTTCGTCAAGCTGAGAGCCTTCACGAATCGTTGCTGATCCTGCTCACCAGTCGGCGTTGGTCCAGGGCTCCAGGCAGGCTTCAAGCAGCAACTGCAGTGAGGTTAACTGGACACCAACAGGTAGTCTAGGGTGAAACATGCTCTGGGCTAGCCCAGCAAATCTGCAGCGCACCACCTCTGCGGCCCAAAAAATGACGTTGCGAGGCTGTCTAAGCTTCTTTAGACTACCCTGTAGGATCATGAAGTCATATCAAACAAAGAATATCGCATGTTTCAACGTTCAAACATAGGGCAACTGTGAAGCAGGAAGCATGACGCTACTGCATCAGGATGTGCGCTGCAATTGAACCGGGGTCATGGATATCGGCAATTGTAGCCTCAACAATCTCCCTGCAGCCAAGACAAGCAGAGATTGACTCTAATGCTCTTGACAAACACTTACCTGTTGCGTAATCGGACTGGGTCAGATCGCCAACTCAGTAGAGCCTGGAACCGACCATGTGTGCCTAATCAATGCATAGGCGCCTTAACACGGTTGGCCAGGATCACACACCACTAAACTAGGTCAAACGTCAACTTCATGATGCAAGATAAAATATTGATGCATAGTTTTCTAGGCACAAAGGATTAGGGTAATGCCGGTTCGCATCGCTTCAGGCGGTCAATTTTCTTTCACCCGGCCATGTCAATCGTCCTAGCCCGGGCCTTTAGGTATGAGTGCATCAAAGGCTCAACCTCCATGACTACCGCATCACCACCGCTGTCTCACCTTTGGAAGTTTGATGTTGGACTTTGGAATCTTGACTGACATGCTCAAGGAGCCCGGGCCTTGGAGACTCCTAGCTTATCGCGTAGATGAGTGCCGTTGCGTCAAGTCTCAGACCCCCAAGTACATCCCGTTAAGCGACTCCAAATACGGCTCGCGGTCATCGTGTTTCCGCAATCAAGGAAGGTATATAGTACGCTCGGTTTAAACAGTCCACATAGCGCGGAAAAAGGGGTTCCATTCATAGATCGTCTCTTATGGTTGCACAACCTGGATATTGTTCTTTTTCTGTAGCCCAAAGTTAGCGGCGCTCCCTTGGACAACCCATCCTTAACAGCACGATCGCCAGGGCAGGCACACGTACCTTCCAACTGTCTAACTCCGATTGCTTTGCTTTGTACTGCTTCAGCATGTCCTCCAGCACCTGCTTCAAGCCGTCTGAGTTCGTCTTCAACGTCGGTAAAACATCGCTAACTGTCCGCTCGACCAAAACGCCATTCACCATCCGGAAGCACGTCCGATCTTGAGGCAGGGGCTCAAGGGTGTCGATCACTAGCCTGCGCGGTACACAACTATCAGCACAGTCCACGTTCATTTGAGGGCCTTGGAAAGCGAAGTTAGAGATGCCAAAGTAAGCTTACTTGTGCTCCTCAGCCTCCTGCTCGATATCCCCGATCTTCTGCGCCAGCTGTTGCAGTGTGTTCTTGTAGTTTGTGTATTGAGCTTGAAGCTCTGCTCGGTGTTAGCTTCAACAGCGGATAGTTTCAAGGGACACGGCAATAGAAGGCGCACCTTGCTGCTTCTTCGGAGCAATTTGTGGTTGACTGGCCATTTTGTCTGGGTATTGAATTGAGTGCAAAGCTGGAATCGTTGATTGATTATGCGGGGCGAAACTGTTATCGGCCACTTTTTGGCCAAGCAACACTGAACTATGAGGAGAACAACCCTCCCAACCACTGAACCCGTACGTGGGTATAGATCACCGAGATCAATGGAAAATTAGAGAGAAATGAGGTTCAAGTAATGAATATTGTGAATAATCTGCTAACCAAGCTGCGCAGCTACACTCTAGAATCATACACGTGATCGGATGATTGCACTGTTTGGCTCAGGTATCATATCGCCGCGGCCCTACATTCTTGTCAGTAACTTCTTCATCAACCGCCAGAAGGGCGACCTTCTGGAATCTACGAACCCTTGATTCTGAAAGCCATACCCCGTTCATATCTACCACTTGATATATACCCAGGATGGCTTCCAACGAGCCTCCCGCAAAGAGGCTGAAAAGCTCGAACCTCCCGCCGTCACTCCGCGATGCAAAGCGCAAAGATATTGACAACTGGGAGACGAACCGGATGTTGACCTCCGGCGTTGCCCAGAGACGCGACTTCAGTGGTGACTTTATGCCCGAAGATGAAGAAGGCACGCGTGTCCATCTGCTCGTCCACGACCTCCGCCCACCCTTCCTCGATGGCCGCACGATCTTCACGAAACAGTTGGAGCCAATCTCCGCCGTCCGAGATCCTCAGAGTGATATGGCTGTCTTTAGTCGCAAAGGTAGCAAAGTTGTACGGGACCGGCGACAGCAGCGGGAGCGTCAGAAGCAGGCGCAGGAGGCGACAACGGTTGCTGGCACCGCGTTGGGGAATCTGATGGGTGTGAAGGAAGATGAGGGCGACACTGCTGTCGCGATGCCTGTGGAGGAGGTCTACAAGGGTGGAGGGAACAAGTTTGCGCAGCACATGAAGAAGCAGGGTGAGGGCGGGCAGAGCTCCTTCAGCAAGAGCAAAACGCTGCGCGAACAACGGGAGTTCTTGCCGGCATTTGCTGTTCGGGAGGATCTTCTGCGGGTTATACGTGACAACCAGGTCGTTGTGGTCGTTGGAGAGACGGGGTCCGGGAAAACGACACAGTTGACCCAGTTCCTCTACGAGGATGGCTACGCTAAGTTCGGAATGATTGGATGCACACAACCTCGTCGAGTCGCTGCAATGAGTGTCGCCAAGCGTGTGAGTGAAGAGATGGAAGTTGATTTGGGAGATCTCGTTGGATACGCCATTCGATTCGAGGACTGCACTGGTCCGAACACAGCCATTAAGTACATGACTGACGGTGTCCTCCTTCGAGAGTCACTGGTTCAGACTGATCTTGACAAATACGCATGTATCATTATGGACGAAGCGCATGAGCGTGCTCTGAATACGGATGTTTTGATGGGTCTCTTGAAGAAGATTCTGGCTAGACGGAGGGATTTGAAGTTGATCGTCACATCAGCCACGATGAACGCAGAACGATTTTCGAGGTTCTTCGGCGGCGCTCCGGAATTCATCATCCCAGGAAGAACTTTCCCTGTGGATGTTCATTTTTCTCGCACGCCCTGTGAAGATTACGTCGATAGCGCTGTCAAGCAGGTCTTGGCCATCCACGTTTCACAAGGCCCCGGAGATATCTTGGTCTTCATGACAGGACAGGAAGATATTGAAGCAACATGCGAACTTGTCGATGAACGATTAAACCTGCTCAACGACCCGCCGAAACTTAGCATCTTGCCGATTTACAGTCAGATGCCTGCCGAGCAGCAAGCGAAGATCTTCGAACGAGCTGCTCCCGGCGTGCGAAAAGTGATAGTAGCGACCAATATTGCGGAGACCAGTCTGACGGTCGATGGTATTATGTTCGTGGTGGATTCTGGCTACTCCAAACTGAAGGTTTATAACCCTAAGATGGGTATGGACACGCTCCAGATCACGCCAATCTCGCAAGCAAATGCCAACCAGCGCTCTGGAAGAGCTGGCCGGACTGGGCCTGGTAAAGCTTATCGACTTTACACGGAGGTGGCTTATAAGAATGAGTTGTACCTGCAAACTATTCCAGAAATTCAGCGAACCAGTCTTTCAAACACAGTCCTTCTCCTCAAATCCCTCGGCGTGAAAGATTTACTCGACTTTGACTTCATGGACCCTCCACCTCAAGAAACTATTTCCACCTCTCTCTTCGAACTATGGTCCCTAGGGGCCCTCGACAACCTAGGCGATCTCACCCCATTGGGACGCCAAATGACTCCCTTTCCCATGGACCCTCCGCTTGCAAAGCTCATTATTACAGCCGCAGAACAATACGGCTGCAGCGAGGAAATGCTCACGATTGTCTCGATGCTCTCAGTACCAAACGTCTTCTACCGCCCGAAAGAGCGGCAAGAAGAATCCGACGCCGCGCGCGAGAAGTTCTTCGTCCCCGAATCAGATCACCTAACGCTCTTACACGTCTACACGCAGTGGAAGTCAAACGGCTACTCAGACCACTGGTGCGTGAAGCACTTCCTGCACGCGAAGACCCTCCGCCGCGCCAAGGAAGTGCGCGACCAGCTCAACGATATCATGGTTATGCAGAAGATGCCCCTCGTCTCCTGCGGGACAGACTGGGACGAGATCCGCAAATGCATTTGCTCGGGCTTCTACCACCAAGCTGCGAGGGTGAAGGGTATCGGCGAGTTTATTAACCTCCGCACGAGCGTCACCATGGCGCTTCATCCGACCAGCGCGCTTTACGGCTTAGGTTATGTGCCCGAGTACGTCGTCTACCACGAACTCATTCTCACGAGTAAGGAGTACATGTCTACTGTGACCGCTGTCGATCCACACGTAAGTTCCCGTTTAAGTCCTTGAATGCAATCAAATCAGCTAACATTTAATGATTCAGTGGCTTGCCGAACTAGGTGGCGTCTTCTACAGCGTCAAAGAAAAAGGCTACTCTCACCGCGAACGCCGTGTCACAGAACAAGAGTTCAACCGCCGCATGGAGATCGAATCCCAGATGGCCGCGGACCGCGAGCGCGCCGCGGCGGAGAAACAGCGGGAAAAGGAGAAGACGGAGTCCTCGAGACGGAAGAATGAGGTCGAGGTTGGTGGCGGAAGACCTGGTGTCGGATTTGGGTCTGCGGTGCGCAGGCCGGCCGTTGCGGGCAGGAAGGTTGGCGGTGGCTTGACGGCTTCGTCGACCACAAACCGAAATGGTGCCTCAGGCGGTGGTGGAGGCAGTGTGGTCAAGAAGCCGCAAATTAAGCGCAAGCCAGGACGCGCGTTCTGAGGGGCTTGTGACAGTGCTCAGGGACCACGTACTGCGTACTCGTCATCTCGCCTGCTCTACTTTACTACCATCACCGTCGCGGGGCTAGCGATGCCATTACTGCCGCTCAGTGATCGCGCACTTCTGGATAACAAGGTATACAAAATATCCGGCAGCCAGTTCCCCCGCCATCCAAAGACAGCGGGCTCATACCACCTAACAACGAGGTTGAATTGGCACGCGAATACCGTTGCGCATCACAATGGGTTGCACGGCTCTTCGGTTCCGGGTCGGTAACGTTTTATAAGCTTCACAAGCATATAACTTGGTCTCATGACCGGGCTTGCTCAACATGGTCATGGAGAAATAACTAGATCGATCGTGTTGGGTGCTGAAAACGAAATATAGATTTAGATTACTTGTGTATAATATACCCCAAGGCATTCTGTTTAGTGATGCCGGTTTTTGTTCCCATCTGCTTATGAGCTCTGAATGAACAAGATATAAGTATAAAGTCGCTATGCTATAACATACAGATACTATCTCGCCTCCACGCCGAAGGCATATGATGACATATTTTGGTTCAAAAGACCACCACAGAATGGTTCCACCAGGGACATATTCTTGTGACAATGGATACAGACATTCTTATCCAGCAGTCTCTCAAGCGAGACCGCTCATCCCGGTAAACGAGAGTCTGTAAACCGGTATACCACCCACCAGCAAACACCTCGGTAGCTCTAGTTGATGAAGTTAATACAGAAGAAATGCAGAATCAAGCTGCCAAAGATGTAATCCGCGAATGCCCTGTACGTCATAACAAGCGATCCATTAGCATACCGAGACCCTATGACCATGCGGGCAGGGGAACAAGGGGGATCTCAATCTCACCTCTCATGCGAAATGCCACCATCCGCCCCCTCAGCACGCCCAGCAACAGCAACAGCAACCTTGCCCACTTTCCCTTTACCGACGCTCGAGACCCCCTCCGAAGAACTCGTCTGCATGCGCAAACTAGCCGTGAGAACGAACTGTCCGACTGCAGCACAGAAGCCGCTCAGGAAGGCGTTGAAGGGCTATTAACCGTACAATTTTAGCGACCATCTCATTTATATCCACTCAAGCAAGGAAGAAGAGGTATAGAAACAGTGAACATACATAATTCCCCGCCAGCACACAATAGGCAAACTGCACTCCGCCAACAAGGACAAGGAAGGCCATGAAGGCGTCTAGGAGCATTGTGCGCTGCGGCGTGGTGGTGAGGTACTGTTGCCAGACATGAATGGCGATATCGGAGACGGAGGAGTTTGCGGAGAGCGTTTTGGGGCCGGAGGAGAGGGTTGGCAGTGGTGTTGAAGTGCCCGATGATGATGCGGATGACGGCGCGGGTGCGGAGGAGGACGAGGGCGTCGCGGAGGGGCGTTTGGAGGGCATTGTTGGTGGTTTTCGTTGGATTTATGGAGATGATATATTCTCGAGTAGATTTAGAGGTTATGAAGAGAATCAACAAGGAAGACGCGCGAGTTGCGATTGTATTGGTTTAGATAGAGAGGTCTGGAGCTATGGCAAGTTGTCCTCCAGTCGCAGAGTAAACTGGCTTCACGTGATCTGCGAAGTATACCACCACTCTACTTATTCAGAAGAAATTGGGGTCGCTTGAATGGACTGGAAGCAGATTTTATATATGAGTAATATATAATTGACATGGTAAGTTTACTGTACTTTTTAGATGATGCTCAGAGCATAGATATACCGTGCGAAAGTATGGCACTGGTACAGACCATAATTGCAGGAAAGGTACGTAATCACATGAACTTATGTGTAAATGTCCACTGGCGATAAATGATAGAGGTGAGAGTCTCAATGGCGGTGTACTGCTGGGTTTATAATATATTTAGATGACGGATGACAAACATTCAATTCATCGATACACCCGAAGCAGGATCAAGTCACCCACCCGGTAATGTCACTCAAGGGATTGCCCTGCATTTCCTGCATGTCGAGCTGAAAGTCCCGCAGCACTTGGTCCCATTCCTGGTAGTTGGCACCTGGGTTAAGGGGGCCTTGGGAGGTTCCATTATTTTGTGCATTGGACATGGTCGTTGGGTCACTCAGGCTCTCAGGAGTGGTGAAGAAATTACCTCCAGGGAACATTGAACTGAGAACACCCATCGGACCTTCGCTGATGTCAAATTCCAGCGGGCCTTGCGGTTGGGAAGAGATCAAGTCCATTGGTGGTGCCGCAGCAGCCAATCTTGAGTGCTCCGGGAAGTGAGATGAGAAAGGAGATCCTATGGAAGGCTGTTCTGACCTTAGCCAATCAGGCCGGTCTGATCCTGCGAGAACAGGTATTGTGTTCTGAGCAGGAACATGATTGCTTTCTAGCTCCGCCAGTTGCTTCTTTCTCAACGCGCCTGCACGCTTCATAAGCTTGGCGAGCGGTCTCCATAGCATACCCTTCCGCTGCTTTGCGGTCCGAAGCCAGTCATCGTAAACAGTCGTCACAGCTACCCATGCACGATCTGTTAAAGGGCTCAACGGACGTACACAGAGTTCAGAAAGGACCATCGCTATGGCATGCCACTGCATATGAGCGTCAAACATCCAGCTCCACTTCTGCGTGTTTTGGTCTTCTTTGATCAGACGCGCAAATTCGGTAACCTCGATAGAAGTGATGAACAGACTTTCCCGAGACTCATGGCTAATCTGAGAGTCAAGATCGGAGCGGGTTATCGGATGGTGTATCACTAGCCACATCTTCGTGAGGACGAGACGCGCAACAGTTGCGCTAATCCACTGTATCGGATCGGACATGTCACAGTGCTTTAAATATTGCTCTTCGATGTGCATGTTGACAGTTTGTACAACATTGGGGCAGTTATCTGGAGTTGGTCCCGAAACCGCGCCACTCGTGTTCGGGCATGTATAGGCCACTCGCCGAAGAGCATAGCAGATGTCACAGCGTATGAGAAAGAAGGTCATGTCAGTAAATCCAACTCTTGGCGTGGGACGTTCTGTCGCGTGAGCAGAGAGGTCGCTCTCGTTGACATTCAGGGGAAGTCTGGTATCAAACATTCGGTCATGGATCTGAACATCCGTCCCATGGTCCTCGGAGGATCGAAGGTCAAGCAGAATAACATGCCACCATAGCCTTCGACGCATCTCGGCATCGAATGGCTTCAGGTCAAAATTATTGCCATCTCGGTGCAGGCCGAGTCCTTGTGCCAGGCGGAGTATAAGAGCGGACATTGACCAAACAAACTTGGTGTCATCATCTCGACGGACAGCATTCAAGAATATCACCGCGGCTTGCATTAGCGTCAGACTCTGGGTATTCATAAGACCGGCTTTGGACAATGCTTGCTCCACAGCGAACCGGTAACGGCTGACGAGGGTATCACGAGCTTCTCCTAGACGGGCTATACACTGCTCAGCCGACATGCTCACTATGGCGGCAAAGTACATAGAAAGGAGCAAGGCTTCATTGTTTTTGTCCAACACTTCCGGGGTACGAGCAGCTATTGCGAACATATGTTGAGCGGCAGGACCATAGACCACAGGCAATAGGGGCTTGACATTCTCAGCATAGATATTCCATAGCACTGGGACCTTGCCTGGAGGTGGGTGGAAACTCTGCAGGGAGTGCGCAAGAGAATAGAAACCAAAAAGCATTCCATCATGCGCTGTAGAGTAACTAGACGGTCCGGGAGATGGGGAGTCGTCATCGTCGGAGGATGAATGATCAAGGATGTCCTGCAGTTCTTCGATCTAGTTCAGTCAGCACATAGAGAGAGCGCTAGCACAGCTGAAATAACCTACCTGGTCCCCGAGGCTCGCCCAGAACCGATTACTCACATACCGGCTCCGATTATCTTCAATAACAAGTCTTCCAAACTCGTGCTCCAAAGGAGGCAACTGGATCTGGCGTCCGGCCACTGGGCATTTTTGGGCATCGCTCCCGCCCACGTCGTGAGGTGGATGGGGACGTTCAGGCGGGTCGCCGCTCGAGCGATCACCTTGCTGCTGAGGTGGAGATGGCTGAGTATTCGGGTTCGAAATAGCTGCTTTGACTAAGTTCTCAAGTTGCCGCAGTCGTGAGAGCAGAGCTTCGTTTTCAGCAGGGGGCCGTTTCAACTTGCGTGCGGCTCGGCCTGGAGGGGGAAAGATACATTCGACGCCTGCTCTAACACAGTTCGAGCACGGAGATCTTTTGTTGCAACGGACTTTCCTTCGACGACAAGTCACGCAGCTCCGCACGGCCGACAGGTCGTGATGAGAAACATTGTTCTGAGTAGCTTGCAGGGCTGGAGAGGCATTTTCATTCCCACCGCCAGAAGGAATCGAGGTTGACTGGTTTTTTCCTGAATTGGCTGTAGGATGAGAGGCGGGAGAGAAAGACATGGCGATGAGGTTAATGTGAAGCACGGCCGTGTCACATTGTCAATGTACAGAGCAGAGGTATGTACGGAGTAGGGACGGAGTAAAAACGGATGAGACGTGAGAGAAGAGCAGCAGGGAAGGTGCAGCACGGCAGCTGAACTTAGCTCTGCAACTGCATTCTCCGCTACCAATCTTTGTTTACTATAGATAAGCGAATGACCCTTGAGGCCCCAAGATTAGGACAGCGATCCCCAAGTTCTTGGGAAGCTGAACAAAGAGGAGGTAGATCTTCGCATGTTATCTCAGGGTGGGGCAGTTTTCATTGGCTACGGTTACCTAACCGCTACCGGTACTTAAAGGCTAAACCCAGTCTCCCCGCAGTTCAAAGTCAAACGGCTGTCAGTGGGGGTTGACCGATGCAGCCGATCAAGTCTTGGGTCTCGACTCTCGTTGAAGCTGCATCCAAGAGCATCGATTCGACGTTGTGATCTTGATTTCCTAATGCCGTGAATATCTCTAGGCTGTGGTTCTGAGCTCTGCGGCAGCTCCAGACATTGGGCCGACTGTCATCCTTAGAGAGTAAAAGAGTCTCATGTTTGACAGTCGCACACAATTGGGATGTCGTTAAAATCATCCATCGCACCAGGGATATCAAGAGATGAGGACGGATTTCCAAGTTTCTTTCAACCCTGGTCCTTGGCTTCAGCCACTACATTGCTCCGGTACAACGTGGACTCGGAGTTAGGTTGAATTAATGACAGGGATCTTGCAGGTGGGAGATTTTACACAGTGTGAGGCACATCCAAGTAATTATAGACGCCAAATCGGCGCGCCTATCATTATATCGAAACCATACAGTACATCGTAGCAGATATATACAGACGTAAAAGGCCTATAGAAGGCCACGGCGCAAGGGTTTAAGAGACAACGCCAATATTGTCAGCGTATACCACTAGACCATAAAAACCAATTGGCTATAGGCCTGTCCTTATACTCCAACAAAAATAACTTCAAGGTTTTGAACAATCACACAAACGCCGGGTATATGCAAGTCCTCATTATATATAACTGAGATGGCGGTCAAAAGAGGAAAAGATTCGTCACAGCCCTAGTTATCGGGCGGGCTATATAGACGATGAAGGGGCGTGGTTCGAACTGGGATCTTGGACACGTTCCGTCGGCGCGACAGAAACTTATGGTTCTTGATTTTCTCCCAAATGCTTGTCTGCTCGTTGAATTCATGACTGTAGAACGAGTTAATATTGGATTATCCAAAAAGCAAGCACAAGTTGTTGAGGCATGACATACCCTTGGTAGTTGGTTTTAGTTAGGGCTTTGGCGCCATACTCGTCTTGCAGAAGCTTGGTATATGCGTACGGGATCTTCGCCGGAACGTCTTCAAAGTAGCTATTTCGGAGAGGGTAGATCTCGGACTCCTAGTTAGGGTGAGCCTCTTTCTGATCAGCTGAGAATTCAGCAAGTACTAACATCGAAATTGTGGCGGTCCTTGCACATCAGAGCGCCGGGTTCACCGTTCGCTCGGCGTTGGTCATCCGCCCGGACAGCGGTTATGTCGATGAATAACCCGGAAGAAGTATCAATCCACCTCCCGTCAATGACGTTCGCTTTATCCAACTTCGACCGGACGACATATTGGGGGTTTATTTCGAGGAGATAGGTGCGCCCGCCTTCGACATCAGGAAGATCAAAATGATGTTCGGTCATGTTATAGTAGTCGGCAAGGAAGTGGATCGTCGGTTCGTTGATCTGGACATCAAGATCGTTGTCCCACGGGAAGATCTGACTTGATCAGCGAGGAGTCCCGCAATCACGCCTTCGGACTATATTACCTTCTGATTCCACCACCAAGCCAGAAGCGAGCCGTGCATTATCCATGTTTCAGCGCCGAGATCGGCCATCGTCGACAGGTATGTTTGGATGAGCGCAGACAAGTGAGGAAGGGTTTCTTCTTCGGGGAGGGTACTCTCGGCAAAGCTGCGATGGTATCAGTCTGGTGTCGAATCGATGGTAGAGTAGGGTACAAACCGCCCGTCATAATGATAATGGAAGCTGATAGTAATTGCTATTAGTATTTGAAGTCTCTGAGACCTAGAGAAAAACATACGAAGATTCCTCTGGTGTCCAGTTAGCAACATAGCCCCTGTGGATAAATTGATTGCGACTACGGAGTAGACGCGCAAGCTCCGGAGTACAGTAACTCACTGAAATATTTTGGGCCCGGTTCCCCTCCTTGCCCGCTGTAAGTCTTGGGCAATTTGTCTCTCACGTCTTCGAAAGTGACCTCGCCATCAGCCCTGGCTAATGATAGCAGCCCGCAGAGGGTGACGAAGATAGGGTATGGCGACAGCCGCATTGCGGGAAAACCGGCACTCCGGCACGTTCTTGTCTCAACTCTTCTCGGGTATCACTGCGACTTCATACGGAGACACGCGGTTACACAACGCGCCGAGTATCTGTCGGCAAGGTAAGCATAGGAAAGGATAAGAATGATTGAAGTATTGGAAATTGGTAAGAGGAGAATCGTCAGCGCGGGATGATACGCTATTAAAGGCCGAGGAGTGCCAGACCTGGCGCCCCCAATCTCGCAAGAGGCTAAGCCCTGCTGGGGACGGTGTCGTGTGCTTTGCCTTGCTGGAGCCCAGCCCGTGAACTGTGACTGGCTCAGCCCTGTGGGGCCCGTGCAGCCATGATTTCTTGTGCTTGTCCTTGGTATGATTTCATCCTTAACCTTAACTTGATTTTATACCCCAGGTTCCCCTGAAAGAGAAAACTATAACCATATCTTAACTCACAAACTATGTGAATTGCTAACTGTGGGGGCCTGTTCTTCAAAGCAGAGCTGAAACGCCGCGCTTCGCCAACCGATCCCAGCAGCAGATCTGACAGACCGTGACATGCTCCACCCGAGACGAATGCAAATCTCTTGGCTGACCGAAGATAATCTAATTGGATCCATATAGCGAGTCATATCCTCTGCTTATCGTCAACAGATATCTACTCCGTATGTTCCAGCGGAGAACAGCACTACCACAGAATATACGCCCTCTGGCTGCATAGTCAACTACCACCTGCCTCATTAGCCGCGCTTGGATTATGGTCAAACTAGGTAGCTAGGTATCGGAACAGGTGGGCGTTGGTTATATGCAGGCTAAACGGTGTAGCCTAAAATTGTTTCTGAGGTGACAGACTGGCCAGAAACATCCGGCACCCGAGCGATCTATCAACTGTACAGAAATTCTGCGCTTGTAACCATTGGGCAGCTTCATGCCGGATGTTGATCCCACGGGGATGAATACATTCGACCGGCAGGCTCCCACTCCGTAGATGCAGGCACTCTCAGGAAGCAGTCCAGTGAAGCTTTCAACGTTCATATTGGCATACGGCTGTAGGGACTCGATAGTGAGCGACTGGATGGAGCAATCTGATTGATAGGTTTGTGCCTGCGTAGGGCTCTGGAGCTCAAAACTCTCTATACTCCCGACCTTGGAGTTGATGGCCCAAAATATGTATGGCATATGCAATCTACTCTTCGGAGCCTCAAGACACAACTCACTTATGAATATACGAAGCATCCGCCAGCACTTTTCCTTCCCGTATATGTTCAGCGCCGAAATACAGATCATTAGTCTACATCGCATACAAGGAGCAGGTTACACTTTCTTGCCTGTATATAACAAGCCACCTATCAAATTATCCATGCTATGGGACCACGGTCCGTAACGTATAAAGTGATTACCCTGACATGGGAATGACCCCTAACCTATAGACGCGATTAGCATACGAAGTAATTATATGACATGGAGAAGTTCCATAGCTTAGATACCTACTCCATGGCCGTGCAAAGCGATCATTAGAGTAAATAGATATCAACACCAATTGTAATCCCTATATCAAAGAGGTCTAGGATGTGTGTTTGGGACATTACTTCGCGGAGGTGGCGACCTATGACGTTTGATTTCATCAATTCAGCCAAAGTATATAAGTTCGTGGAGTCGACCATCAACGAAGCACCAATTCAACTGAGGCCATAAATTACACCCAAGATGCCCCATTTGCCAGAACTAACTAAGAAGGAGCCTTCCACAGGTAGGTTGTCGCAGAGCGGAATCGTCAATGGGATGGGCAACTAATTAGTGACTACCACAGGTGCTCTCATAGACAACTACAAGTCTAGAGGCGAAGATATCGAAAATGCGCACCACAATGACGAGTCACGACTGGCAGAAGGAGTCCACTACGATAGAAACAAGGCACCGGGTCTGCTAGAAAGGGAAAAGGCAAGCACAGAGAAGGTGAATGTTGAAGGCGGCGGTGCTTCAAGTAGCATGTATGTTATGGCCGGATTCCCTATCCGTGACTATTTCGCTAACGGATTGTTTGCAGGGTTGATGGCCTCAGAAGAGGGAATCCTTCTGGGGTTGCCTGAACGATTCAACAATTACTTTGTGGTATTCGGGTCCCAGCGCATGCTCCCGATGAGTTCTTCAGCTTTACTTTGAAAGGCCTAGGAATATAATTGTGAAGAAGCATGGACCGATTGCTCTGTATAACAAGAGATGATATTTCAATACCTTTCAGAAGCACATACAGAACCAAGTTGCTGCTTTACATGGTACCATACATACTCTGGCACTCCTATAATCGAGTCATTAGCTTGAAAGACAGGCGGGTTTGATAGTTCTATCCAGGCCAGGGTGGTGCACTTGGTAGCTCTCGGCTGTGGCTACTATAGTCATGCACGGTCGTAGAAAAATATTCCGTTGATTGCTTGAAATCCACTTAGCAGAAACATTCTCCGCAATTTGTAGATCATGAAACTGTATCTACCGAAAGACTCGTGTGTTTTTTTGTTCGGCGTGGCTCGATGCTTTGACCCACGTCTGCTTTATTGATTTAATGGATCGCCGTTTTCAGAGGAACTTCATCCGCACCCCTCGATTGGAACACCAACTTTTGGGGCGGTGTCCGTATGAAAAGGTAGGAAATGTCGGATCTGATCTCTCTTTATTCACGTCTCTGTACACTATTGACCATTCAGGCTCCCATTAACAGCCTCCGCCGTCTGTCAACCGCTGTCGTCGTGTCGAATAATCGAACCCACCCCTTTTCGGATCCACCCCTCCAACTCGAACACCTTCACCTTCGTCGGTCGGAATCTTGAGCGTGTCCTGGAACCAATATCGCCAACTCTAAATCCAGACGCTTAAAGAACGAGTTGGAAACTACTCAAGGGTGGCCGTTTGCGCGGATGGGTCATATGATACGTATCATTGTCTCGGAAGTCAGACGGGGGTACCAATTGGGGAAAACAAAGGTCTAGAGCTATCTCGGAGACAACATCTGAGTTCACTTCGATGAAGAATGAGCTCTGGCCCGGCTTCCAACGTTGACGACCTTCCTGTCGATCAGCCCTCACGTACCTCGGCCCCCTCCCACGAGCCGTCGTCGGAGAACGTCAATGCGCCGAAAGCTGGGGACAACAAGGAAAATGACAACCCGCAGCAGGGCACGGCGGTAGATAAACCGACCACGGACGAAAATGATACGTCCAAGCAGGAATTCGACGATTTCGGGCTACCGATCCGCTCGCGTCCTAAGCCGCCCCGACGAGATACTGATTCACCAGTGGGGAATGACCAGTTCCATGATGCTGAGGAGAACGTCCCTGGAATGGATAACCGTACCACATCTGCGGAACCGCCGATCGAGAAGGAGTCTGAAAAAGAGGCAGACACTGATAGCAAACCACCGGTGGGCCGTCGAGAGGAGGAACATCGGTCTCCGACGCCTAGCATAAACGAGCGTGAGATAACCATACCGGATGGATCAACCACGTCTACGACTGAGAAGCATACGCTGGAGACTGCATCGTCAGATTCCCATGTCGAACCGCCTCCGCCCTATACAGAAACGCCTGCGCATGACACTGCGTCGTCACGACCCAAGCACGCGGTAGGGAGCGATATCCCTATGTCGGAGTGGTCGCACCAGCGCCTCAACGAGCATAAGGAGGAAGACGAGGCCAAGCATGAGGAAAGCGACGAGGGCGAGTGGAAGGAAATGACCGCTTTGGACGAGTTCGATCTTTACGACGACTACGGGCGACTAATCGCTCGCGGTGCCAAGCAAGAGGATGAGGAGGCGGTTTATCAAGGTCTTGGAGGAGCTGGAAAGGGCTACACCAGGGTACAGTTAGACGACGACGAAGAATCCATCAACAGTATGGATGAAGATACCAGCTACCTTTTCCGGGAAACGGCCGCGACTGCTGCTGGGGTGGAAGGTGAGGAACTTCGGGATACATTAAGCCAGCTGCAAGCTACGAAAGATCTCTTGACCGAAAGCCAGAGGATAGCATATGTAGGGGTTACCCGGTTAACTATTTATGCTATGGTGATGGATATGGAGAGAGCGCCGGCAACTAAAGGCACGAAAAAACGAAAACAAAAGGCCGTTGACTCAACACGAGGCTGGGGCCAGGCTATGATGACTAGGTTGTACTCTCACATGGACATCAACACCGCGGAACAAGTGATGATTGAGCAGCTCGCCGAGCACGGGGTTCAGCCTGAAGATCTAGTTCGGCCGCTTATGGAGAACGCCCGCGTGAAGAATCCGCTGGCAGAAGAAGCCAACCCGAAAAAATCACTATCTTCTATGTCCGGCAAGCTGAGGGATGAGAATCGGTCTATATTATCGACTGGTACCAATCGATCTTCAGAATCCAACTCACCTCCACCGTACGACCTGGAAGAGGACGTTCCAGAAGTCCAGACACCATCCCACCTGCCAACATCTGAAAAAATTGACATCGATATTCGATGGACTGTACTTTGTGACCTTTTTCTTGTCTTAATTTCCGACTCAAGCTATGACTCACGCTCGCGGACGTTGCTGGAAAAAGTTGGAGCCTCCATGGAAGTCTCGTGGTTGCAAATCGCCAAGTTCGAGAAGCGTGTCATTGATGCTCTCGAGATGCAAGAAGATGCAGACAAGGAAACCTGGGACGAGTCTGAGCATATGGAGAAGCGCCGGAAGTCGGCCTTGAAAACCAAGTACATGATTATGGGTTTGGCCACAGTTGGTGGAGGTCTGGTAATCGGTCTGTCGGCTGGCCTTCTAGCCCCAGTCATCGGCGCTGGTCTTGCTGCAGGATTCACTACCATTGGAGTTGGTGGTACCAGCGCCTTCTTAGGCGGTGCTGGTGGCACGGCTCTGATTGCATCTGGAGCTACTTTGACGGGAAGTACGATAGGACTGAGAGCGTCTCATCGGCGCACCGGGGCTGTTCAGACTTTTGAGTATCGTCCTTTGCACAACAACAAAAGGTTCAACCTTATTGTTACGGTGTCTGGCTGGATGACCGGCAATGTAGACGATGTCCGATTACCGTACAGTACCGTCGATCCTATCATGGGGGATATCTACTCGGTCTTGTGGGAGCCAGAGATGCTCAAGAGTATGGGTGAAACCATCAATATCTTGGCTACAGAGGTATGATCCAACCGATAAGCTTTATTTACTGTTCTGACACAAATAGGCCTTGACCCAAGGGTTGCAGCAGGTACTTGGGAGCACCATTCTCACGGCTCTCATGGCATCCTTGCAACTCCCTCTTGTTCTCACGAAGCTCTCCTACCTCATTGATAACCCATGGAACGTTTCGCTAGCACGAGCCACCGCGGCTGGGCTCATTCTGGCCGACTCCTTGATGGACCACAACCTGGGCAAGCGGCCGGTAACCTTGCTTGGGTACTCCCTCGGTGCGCGAGTCATTTTTTCGTGTCTAAAGGAACTTGCACACAAGGGTGCTTATGGGCTAGTTCAGAACGTCTACCTCTTTGGATCACCGGTGGTTGCCAACAAAGACGAGTTTATAAGAGCCCGGGGTGTGGTTTCAGGACGCTTCGTCAACGGATATGCTTCGAATGACTGGATTTTGGGTTACTTGTTCCGCGCCACTAGCGGTGGTATTATGCGAGTGGCCGGGCTGGCTCCAGTTGAAGGCATCCGAGGCGTTGAAAACGTCGATGTCACGAAGCTCGTAAACGGGCACATGGATTACCGCGCAGCCATCCCCCGTCTCCTGAAGCATGTCGGATGGGAGGTCCTGAGCGAAGAATTTGCAGAGATCGAAGACCCTGATCCTGAAAACCACGCTGAGCGACAGCGAGAGCTGATTCGTGAGATCGACGAGGCACGCCGAGAAGCAGAAGCCAAGCCTGAGAAGAAACGGTTTGGCTTGTTCAAGCGGGGAAAGCTGGCCCAGAAGAAGGCATGGGAGAATTACGAAATCAATTCCGAGTCGCCTCAAAGCCCGGGGAGCGGCAACGCAGCTGGCAGCGTACTTTTTGATATCGATGCCATTAGAGCGGAATTAGCCTCGGAACAGATGGAGGTCAGGCAACTTGAATCAACCTTACCACCTATGAAGCTGGATCTCAATTCTCCGCCACTGAATTCCCCTGCTACGCCGTCGTCTACAGAGGGAAAGAAGGCCGAAGAGCCTGTTCAAAGCCCACCTCAGCCTCCCCCAGCAGCGTCTTCCAACCATACTCCGCAGCGAAGGACACCGTCTCCTCCCCCGCCGCCTCCTAAAGATGAAGAATTCGAGATGACATTTGATACGTCTTACCATGAACCACCTCAGCGCTCCTTCTCGTCCTATGAAACGCCCACTTACTCCAGCGACAACTCCTTTACTTCTCGACCGGCTCTTCGATCGTCAGCAACAACGCCTGGTGTGCTTGGGGTGGGTGCCGGTGCCGCCGTCGCTGCAGTTGGTGCGGCTGGTGCGCTCGCCCTCGAAGAGAATGCATGGGCCGACCCTGATGAAGGCGAAATCTCGATGACTTTCGAATGATGAGCTATGATGTATACACGGATGATTTTTCTTATAGTCTACTTGAGGCTTGCTTCCGAGGTTTGACTTTGCTTTTAGCTCTTGATGATTACTGGTTGAATTACTCATCATGGCGATTATATACGGTGTTCCGGTTCTATTTCCCTGCATCGGCGTGCGAACCTCATTCGGACTTGACTATACAGATATATACATATATTTCTTATACGCCATATTTAATAGTCCAGAGGGCTGCGAGACAGTAGTAAACAAGCAGCCAAAGAATATTCAGTATGTCGGCCCTGGCCCCTACGTATACAAGCCCATGAAACAACAAAGAAGCGGGCAAATTGCGGAGAAGCTCAGGTCCCTCCCGCGTGTCACACCAACGCGTCTGGACTCTTACAATTCCCTCAACCCCTCAGAGACAAAGACCTTTCTTCCACTACTGCATACTGCAGACCATTTCGCAATTTATCGGTTTTCAACGGTTTCCCTTCTCTGGTCTCTCCTTCCCTCCAGTTCCCCCTTTTCCGTTCCGGTTGTGAGACACAAAAGCGAAACTCCTCACCCAACTGCTAGCAGAAGTCCACGCACTCGTATCCGCGTCTTAGCACTGCTAGCTAGCAGGTTGAATTTTCTCTCCTGGCGACCTCGCGAGCGTCAATTCGAATGCCTCCTTCCTTTTACCCTTAACCTATGTGACGAGATGCCGTTCATTTACGACCTTTAACCCTTAAAGCCCGAATTAATCGCTCGGTCTATTCCCTTACACCGCCGCTATGCCTAGCCTACGACCTAAAGCGAAGCGGCAACAACTGAAAGCCGAGCCCGAAGACGAGAGCCCTCTGTCAAGCTCCGGGGTCGAAGAAAGCGACTGGGAAACACCTCGGAAGAAGCGAAAGGTTAACTCGGCAAGAAGATCAATAAAAAGTGAACAGAAGTCGAAGCCGGTAAAGGTGGAAACTGAAGAGGATATCTATGCTTTACCCATCGGTACGAGTGACGAGGAGGGCCTTTTTTCAGATGTCGAACTGAGCGATGGACTGGAGACACCGAAGACTCGGGTAAAGGCAGAGCCTGAACAGACTTTGAGGTTGGAAGAGAAGCTTCAAGCAATTAAGGACGAGGAGAAGGATGTTAAATTGGAAAAGGGTATCAAAGTTGAAAAGGACATCAAGTTTGAGAAGGGTATCAAATCGGACAAGGATATCAAGGTTGAGAGGGACATCAAACTCGAGAAGGACATCAAATCGCCACCGAGCTCGAGCCTCAAGCGCTCATCGCAGAAGATGCTTGGTTCCGGCGACATCAAAGAGGAGATGTTTGATATGTGGTCACAACCGAACATCAAGAAGCGGCGCAGCGTTACTTTTGGGCGTCGCAAGACGCTGGACTCGAGCATGACCGAGTCACACCCTCCTTCGAGCGCACCACCGCCAAAATCCTCTTTGACTTCGGTTGAGCCAGAGCCAGAGAGCTCTGATGACGAGTGGAAGGGGAAGCTGAACAGGGAGTTCAAAGTCCCTCTCGAATTTGATCCTGATAACCTACCCAGCCCTTCGCCACCCCGAGAGATAGCTGACTCGGAAGACGAAACAATGTCTCCGCTCAGCTCCGCACCCAGTTTTGATTCCGCCGACTTTCCGTTGAAAGAGGAGGAGATCTCCGAACGCAAGTTCAATCCAGCGGATTACCTTTGCCCCATGTGCAGAGCACCGGTAGACCCAGGGGCTTTGCTCATGTTCCGAGCTCAGCCCAGGCAGCGTATTCGAGACCAACGCAAATTCTGCGAGTCACATAAACTATCAACAGCAGAGCAGGATTGGAAGAACGCTGGATACCCAACTATCGACTGGGACAAGTTTGATAACCGCATCGAGTCCCATTTTACCGAGATAGAGAAACTGCTGGTCCCGGAAACTCCGTCATACTACCGAAACTACCTCCAATCAATGCTGAAAGATGGCAAGGCGAGGAACTTTGTACTCACACTGGAGGGCGATGCGTTGGAGGTTTTGTCCTGCGGTTATTATGGGACTCGCGGGGCCGAGAAGATGTAAGGCTCTCCCTCATAACTATGTATACCCAATACTCACCAGTTCTACAGGCTTCATAGACTAACCACACGCTATTCCCGCAAGCTTCGCCGCCTAGCGACAGAAGACCATATCGTGAAAAAAGCAGGGGTTGTTGGATACACTCAGGCCGTGCTAGTCCCAGAACTAGCCCTCCGATTGATCAAGGAGGACATGGGTGTCGATGACGCTTCCGCGCGCAAGATTATGCGCGACAGCATTGATATCGGTGAAAAGATGAACCCCGCTCCAAATGATTTTGTGCCGGTTGGGGAGAACGAAGGGAGCGGGCTCTTTAACTAGGCTCTACAGCTACTTGTTTATCATACGTACGGGCGCCTGCCTCTCTGTGAGGTGTATGCTTTTGCATGCCATGTCTATGCTTTTGCTGCTCAGATACCTCCTCTTGTTCTTGTTTGTGTTTTGTCGCGGCGTACATATTTCTTAGCGTTTACGTTTATGTTCGTTGTCTAATCTTCGTTGCACATGGGAAATGCAGCATTTCGGTGTACAGCTGGATGTATATCTATCAAACTGTTAAGATAATAGGAATAAAACCGCTTTCGAACAGTGAACTGGGCCATGGATCAGCGGTAACGTGTCAGTATAGCGTAGTAAATAGCACTCAGTCTCAGCCGCAGCCGCAGCCGCAATGTCCGTATGTAGCTGAATAGGACGGCATCTGAGGCTCCTAGACTAGGTTACAGGCATGAGTATTACGCAAGGCTATTAACTCGGAGCCACTTGTATAGACGAGTCAACCAATAGGCTACCAACGCCCATCAGCCCTAGAAGCTAGCTTAGCACCAGGCACCAAGTGTATTCTTTGGCTAAGCACTAAGCCACAAAGCCGGGTACACTTTCTAATGTAAAGAGTAGATAACCCGAGCGTCCCACAATTACGGAGTAAACAGACATATAAATTATAAAGCCATTGTCTCCCAACATATTGTGGGTCAAACTATATCATACTTCTTCCCGCTTTACATTTGGACCTAACCGGGCCAACTTCCCTTTCTACATACTCAACTATACGCTCTCAAACTGACCTAGACAACATAATGTCAACGAAACCAACCCTCATCCTCGCCCCGGGCTCCTGGTACCCAGCCTCAACCTTCGATCCCCTCGCATCCCTCCTAAATGCCCACGGGTTTACCACAAAAACCGTTAGCTGGCCGTCCGTGTCCGAGCGTGCCTCCTCCGTCACATCTCTATCCGAAGACATCGACGCCCTACGCGCGCTGATCAAACCAGAAGTCGAGGCTGGGAGGGACGTCGTGGTAATCGCGCACAGCTGGGCCGGTTTACCTGTGAACAGCGGGGTGGGCGAGTTCATCAAACAACAAGGAGGCGAGAAGGGCGGCGTCGTCAAGCTCCTCTTCATAGCCGCATTCATACCCGAGATTGGGCACAGTCTCGTCTCGACGTTTGGTGGCGAGGCGGAATGGTATGTTAAGGATGTACGTGTACCTTGCCATCTACCATACCGGTACCCTACTGACAACGCAAACAGGAAAGCAACAAGACCGTCTTCCCCAGTACACCGTACGACCTTTTCTTCCATGATGTCGTGGATGGCGCATCCTGGGCGTCGAAGTTACGGCCCGCCGCATGGTCGACGACCATCGCGCCGGCCACGGATGCAGCGTATCTGAAGCTCCCGAGCTCGTATCTGCTCTGTGAAGAGGATCGCGCGATTCCGGCGTTTGTGCAGCAGATGATGGTTGATAAGGCGAGGGCGAACGGGGCCGTCATGGGGACCGAGAAGGTTAAGACGGGGCATACGCCTTGGTTGGTGGAGGGGATGGGGGAGGTCGTTGTGAATTGGATTAGGAAGGGGGTGGAGGAGGTTTGATTTCAGGAATTATAGCCTGGGATGTAGTTGAAGCTATGATGGTGTGAGTCAGTGGTTCGGGAGTTAGAGAAGATACCGATTTAGCGACCCATAGAGCATAGGTCACTAGTTAGCGTGGATTACCGGTAGTCGGGATACCTAAGAAGCCTCTACCGTAACAGCCCCTAGCGGTTGAAGCATCTTTTCTTCCCTCCTTCAGCCTCATCGAAGGAACAGCCTAAATGACTGCCGCCTAGCACAACAACCTATTGTTCAACGTGTCAGACCAACCAAATAAAGGCACCTTCCACCTCTTCCCAAAGCTACCAGCTGAGCTCCGTCTAATGACCTGGCGCGAATGTCTTCCTCGCCATGTCAAGGAGCTCGACATGCCACAGGACAAAGCCATGTGGACGAGGGCAAGCCCTCCCTGCGCTGAAAACTGGAAAATAACATTGATCAATGCATCTCCGCCCATGATATCACGCGTGCGCCGTGAATCGAGGGCCGTGGCGTTCAAAAGCGTCCGCAAACGCCAGCAGGCTTTTGGGTCCGAACAATACAGTTTGACTTCGCGCAGTTTATGGTTGAACCGTCCTGGCCCTGATTCAACACTCCGCATGACTCCGTCCATATCAACTGGGGTTTAAGGTTTAATTGGGAATGGAACACTTATCAACTCGGTGACCCGGTACGCAGTCTCATATGGCATGCTTCCCTGATAATAAAGGCCAGGCATCTTTCACGCTTGATCTCTTGCAGAATATTCAGTATTCCGAGAGCCCGGACAAGAAGACTCGGTACGACAGATGGACACGATCTAGGTTTTTGCACTTGATGCGGTCAAAGCCAAGGTGGACGTTGTTGTCCTACCGCCTGTGATTATACACGCCGATGCTCAGGCAGCCGCGGGAGTCGAGCTGTTTGGCCTCCTCGCTGATGCGCGAGTCCAGATTGTCAATGCTGATGACGTTGTCAGAATTCGCAAGTTCATGGCACTGCATGAACCCAATGCGCCAAATAATCCTTCTAAGCAGTTTGAAGTTGGCGCGGATTTCGGAGCTCAGAATCTGGACGACGCCAAAGAGAAGTTATAAAAAGTAGCCAGGAAGATCTTGGATTCAGAGCATGAGGCTCCTGAGATGCATCCCGCTATTCTCTTTCCTCTTTACACGGGACATTCGTGTAGACCGTGAAAGTATTGAGCTATCTGTTTCTGGGTCAATCAGGAGTATCTTGAGCACAGTTATCTCAGCCTGGTCAGCATAGTCTGACCAAGGCCATAACCGCAGTGATACGTTGGATGCAGAGCTCAGTTTACAGAAAGAGTCAAGGCATGTGGCTTCCGGAAAAAGCGGCAAGAAGTGATAAAAGGGATGAGCTTGGAGTCTTGAAGCCAAGTTAAACGGTTCAGAGAGTAATGACCCTAAGCGATGGCGAGCTGTCAGCGACTCAATCGAAAGGTCAACCGTGTAAACCGTAGTAACCCAGCAGATGGTTAGGATGTTGTAGATCGGAGGCTCCTTACATACATTTGATAGCAGCACTATCAGCACGTGACTACAAGGCTTATCGATAATCCCGATAAGCAACCCTTGGAATTTTTCCTATCTCCGCAGCACTCCGCTCGCCGCAGCAATCAGAACCAGCTCAACAACAAATCAACATCATCCGTTCCCTCTGTGCTGCTGGCAGTACCTCATTCTCGAACCATCCAACCTTGTACACCATGGCCCAAGGTCTCCTCAAAAAGACTCCCGCGAAGCCCGGCTCTTCCGCGAAACGGTACGTCCATCCTGCATCCAGCATTATCGCACGGCGTCCAAATCCTATATTCTTCATACGCAGAGATGACAAAGCACCAAGTAGCTAACATCTGCTTTGTACGGAATAGACCCACAGCCCAGGGCCCCAAAAAGGGACGCAACAGCCAGATTGCGCCGAAGAAGACGGCGCTGATCAAGCAGCAGAAGATCACAAAGGTTCGTCGCATATACCGTCTACACACCGGTCTGCTGGATGGCAATTGACGATACGGAACATGTTTGAGTTGAGTAGAAGCTAACATGCGCATATAGAAACTCTCAGCCGGATTAACCGCGAGGACGGAACGGAGTCTCGCGCAGCGGGCGGGACACCTTGAGATGCTTGCGGGCGGAAAGAAGGATAAGAAGGCTGGGGCGGCTAAGGGGGAGAAGAGGGGCGGGAAGTAAATGCATTAAGGGAACAAGAGGGGATGGACTTGTTGGTTCGGGATTTTGGATATGTCCGGAGTTTTTAGCAGATGATGCGTAATGAAGTTTTGATACCCATCTACCTTTTCTATTGTGATCTTTGCTATATACAAAACGGAGTACTGAAAGCCTGGAGGTAAGTTCAGGTGTAGGCATATATAGGAGGAGGGGAATGTAGTTGGAAACAATAGATGTCCATGCAGCCAGCGCAATGAGAATCATAGTTCAATCCGATATCAAATCAAGAAGAGAATCATGCAGAAATTTTAGACAAAGCAAAAGCATATGAGAAATTCGTAAGTCATAAACAGGGAAATAACGACGCTGCAAGGGTATCTCAAATAACAGCTTATCCACTCCGTCAGTCTTTTGGGTGGTTCGGTTCTAATGGTTGGTCCAAGCCTAGATCTTCGCAACTCGAATGGGTGCCCCAGATTGTTCAATCAGCTCGGTGCCTCGTTCGATCCACGCTTTGAACCCGTCGTCTGTTGGGTCAACGGGAAAATCGTCCCAAACGGGGTTCTCGGCGTCAGCGTATGTAGACCAGATGCCCTTGGGTACCTCGGAGGCGCACCAGGACGGTAGCTTAGCCAGGACGCAGGTGTAGTAAACGTAGAGGATTCTGCAGAGCAGGTCGACTCGGTCCACGTAGTGCTGCTTGGTCGGGTCAGGCTCGCGGCCGCCATCGCCGAGGCGCCTCCACCAGGATACTCGCCATCGGAGGGTGAGAAGGATGTGGCCCAGCTCCTTGAGGAAATTCATGTGTGTTTCTTGGGAGATTTGTTTCCATTTGATGTTGTAAAAATCACGCTCCAGTTTGCGGAAACCATCGACTTCGAGCATGCGGCAAACGATGCGCGAGAGCTGGGCTGCGAGGAGAATCTCGCGCTGATGTCCTTCGTCACTGACGTCCATGAGCTTTTCTTCGCCTCCAGCTTCAAGTGGAATGAAACTGTAGCAGGCACGGCTTGGCATGTTGTTCCATTGAGAAAGCAGGGTCTAGAACATTAGCCAAAGATCAGATTAAGAGTAATATAGCTGCACTCACGTAGATATTTCGCATCGGATCACAGTCCTTCACGCAGGTCAACCAGTTCTTGGACTTGTCTTTCGATTCCACAATCCGTCGATCGATAAACTCGAGGAAATTTGAGCGCGAATTGCCATTGTACTCGCTTAAGCCCCGGAGAAACTTGTATGTTTCTCCCAGGTCAAGGACGTAAAGAGAACCCCACGCTTGGCTGGCACGAATGTTGAATTTGCCCTGTCGCTCGCCAAGGAAGGAAAGCAGGTCGTTTAGGTCGAACTCGGACGGGATGTCTAATCGGACACGTCCGGCTTTATCGAGTGTGGGGTGGTTAATAGCTCGTTGAGCTATAATAGTTAGCATTGAACGAGATTGACGGTGTATTTGACGTACAAATATAATTGCACGTTCCATACTCAACAATGCTTGAGAAACACGCCCGAGCACACGGCTGCTCGTGCAGCGTAGGACGACAGGCTTCGCACGGAGCGTTTCCATCACACTGACCGGGTTAGCCATTGCTTCGCAATAAATGGCTGAGAAGGGTTACCTTTCGCTTGTTCAACCGACACTGGACGCAGGTGTCCTTGTTCTTCCTTCGCATTCCGGCGTTGGCCCTTCCAGCCATGCTCAAAGGTCCCTTGCGACGAGCACCACGGGGCGGAGAAACAAAATCCGCAGACGCAATAGAGCCACCCTGGCCGTCTTCCTGTACGATCTGCAGAGGCTTGTGACTGTCTTGACTGAGGGCGATACTTGGATTGCGCTTCTTGCGCTTCTTAATCGCGGCGGATTGAACTGCAAGCGCTTGGGGCCTAGCGGGTGCGCGCTGCGTAGCGACAGGCGACGCTCTTGTACTCGAAGGAACAGAGGAAAAGAGGACCTCCGGGTCTTCACTCACAACAAATGCAGTGGCTGTCTGAGGTTCGTGCGAGTCATCTGAGGACGCCTCGTTCTTCTGGACTTTCCACTCTTCTTCCAGCTGACGATCTGCAAAGGCCGGAACGTCCTCTCCAGTAGCAGAATAGAAATCGTAGGCACCAGGGATGTCGTCGGATACAGACGAGTTTTCCGATTTGTACTGGAGCACATCTTGCGCCGTCACCTCGTCCTTGATGAATAGAGGCCGCTGCGAGAATGCAGAAAATGATGAGGGCGAGGTCATGTTGCTAGGTAGTTGAGACTCGAGGCTGTCGAGCCAGCGCGTCTCAAGGGACTGTATAGCATTCTGGTAGCCGCCTAGGTGTTTAGTGTTCCTGTTGAGGGGCTGCGGACCCATGCCAACAGCAACCGGAGACTGCCTCGTCATAGACTCGGCGTTGGTAACTGGTTCTGTCCAGGGTTCATTTGTGAACGGAAATGCATGAGGAATGCTCTGAAACGGCATGAACTGATCCGACGGAATATCAGAGAATCCCTGTCCCTGCGACAATGCGGCGCCATCCTCAACAATAAATGCATCGGTAGAAGTCGGCTCCTTGGCGTAAGGGTAGAGCAGAGACCCTTCCATCGGATAGCCGGGCATGATATTGCTGAACATGTGCAATGGCGGCCATGACTCGTCCAATTGAAAGTTATCATCGGCGGAAGGCAAGGTCTTGGGGCTCACGGTGCTGCTGAGGGTCCCCTCAGCGGAGGCCTCCGCTAGCCCAAACTTGTCTGGCGAAGTTGCATGCTTGCTACTAGACAAAGCGCATTAGCCGGCGTTCTCCGGAAGCGCCATAAATCCAGTACGGTTCGTACCTGCAATCATCGCTGTGGTAGTCGCCAGGCTGCCCTAGTAAAGAAGTGTTTCCGCTCAAGTCCGCAAACTCCGAATCGCTGTGGTTTGAATCCTGGCTCGTATCCCAATCCAGCGGCTGCTCGTACGCTGTGTTTTCCCACGGTATAGTAAAGACGGTATCTGATTGATAGCTATCGAGGATCTTGGGGTCAATGCCCGCAGCGTTCTGAGCACTCTCGCAGTCCATACAGGGGAGTCCGAAAGCGGGGGCGCGTCGTGATATGCGAGAAGCCGGCAAGGTCCCCGAGTCGACTGGTGTTCGGGGGGTGGGAGGCTGCGCGAATGCGACAACACAAGTCAGGTACAGGCGATGGAGGGTGTTAGGAAGTCCGGAGGTCGGGAATACCTCCAGATAAGTAGCGATGATCGATGGGTGTGAGAGAGAAGAAGGAAAGAGGGAGAGAAATTTGGATGACAAGAGAAGTTCCCCACCAGACTTGAGGCGATCGGCCTCCGGTGCGGTGCGCAGTCGTCAGAACTGGACGGTGATTACTGTTAATAATATCCGCAGCACGGGCCAGCAGTCTCAGGTTATGTCTTTAATGCTGCCAATTGTCGAGTAATCTGGCCTTTATAATTCTTGTCGAGTGAGTCTCTGTCGGTGTTTTATGTGTTTGTGTATGGCCCCTGCTGCAACCCCTCTGAAGATCGAGCAGATCAGTTCTGGGCATGAAACTCGCTCCAATTCATGATCGCCAACCGCGCCAACACACCAAGAAATACCAAGTCCATAGCCCGCGTCATTATAGCCAGATCACCCAGCTCTCATTGCGAGATAACGCCCAGTTTACTCATACGATGTTTAATGCTCACTATCAGCATTACGCACGATCATCCCATCCAACAGACCAGCTGACCTTCGTCGCAGTCGCATAGTACGGCGTCTTCACACTCAATCCAGGTTCGGAATGCGCCCCAATGATCGGTTTTTCCTCAGCCGGAGATGGAGTAATAGAATGATTAATGGTATACTACCAAGACCGATCCAGGGCGCCCTTCTAGAAGCGTGTTCCGTTCGGAGTTATTCTTTGGTTAACCCAGAGTTGACTCTGGGCGGAACTACGGGCAAATATCACCTCAGGTCGCCCGTCCGAGTCTCAACAGTCAACAAACGGTGAGATGTCACGTCTTGGCTAAGCAAAGAATGCACCGCACCTCAACAAATGCACTGGTGACTGAGCACCCCGGGCTTCTCCCTGCGATGCAAGAATACTCCGTAGAAGGCCCGGAGCCTGGCCGGAGATGCCCAGCTGGAGGCCCCGGACCAAGATCTCCCTGTCAGCCCCGTGTAGTTTGAGGCATGAACCCACCGGAAAACTCTGGTGTCATGCTACAGCCGATCCAATTCTCGGCGCTTCACTGTTGTTTCGTGAACTATATCAGGATCTCTCTTGGCATGCCTCACTCATAATCGATCTTCTCCCTTTTCCGCTCTCATTCCAAATCTCTCGGCATCTGACTCGACGTCTGGCTTCAACAGCACCTTGAGTAAGATGACGGCTTTTTGGATTTCGGCGGCAGCTGGCCATGGTTGGAGTCTGGATGGCGGAGATTTGTTCCCCACGAGAGCTCACCGAATCCTCTTTCGGTCTATCTAGGTCTCGGCGCGTCTTGTCTCATACCATACTTGTTTTATACATCTTTCTACACTTCATCTCGTCATCTATACCGTATAAGTATTTTCATTTCATACATCGCCCGATCCCCCTCTCCCCGCAAACTCCCAAAAGCTTCACCGTGACGATGAAGTCGAAAAGGACGAGAAGTGACATCGGTAGAAAACGGGCAACGAAAAGGCCTCATTCCGAGATAGCTATAAATACAAGGAAATGGGTGACCTCTCGAATTATCGTTTCAAGATTCCACGAAATCAAAGTCCCAGTTCGCCTCTTACTTAGGTCATAACTATATCCGGCACGCCGTAACTACATAACTATCGCCTGCCAAGTATCGAAACACCCAAAATACTCTCGGAAAAGGCGCCTGTGATGCATATATTGGTATGTTTTCTTTTTGCTTGCTTGCTCAATCTGGGACAAATCAGTGCAGTCCATCCATTGCTTCGCCTCGCCCCAGCCGTCATGCTTGTGGTGATCATGAAGTCACCAGACCAAGACCAGCAGCATTAGGCACTCAGCATTCCAATAATCCCTTCGCTCCAAGCGAACACAGACAAGTTCTTGAAGGCGAGGTGGCTGATCGGACATGGCCCGAGATCGGGAGCCTCCGATGGAAGGACGATGGAATTGGATGCATCATGCACAGATCTAGAAACAGACGAGACTAACAACTCCCCCAGCTAGTCAACGACGACGGCCCGCCCTCGGCGCGCCTCTCCCCATACGTGCAGCCTCTCGTCAACGCCCTCCAGCGCGCCGGCCATCTCATCTCCGTCGCCATCCCCGCCGCCTCACGCTCCTGGATCGGCAAAGCGCACATCATCGAAGCCCCATTGAAAGCAACCTACGTACCCCCAGCCGCGTTCCGCAATGACGGCACCTGGGACGAGTCATACACAGACGACAACGACGCCGAGACCGAATGGCCCTGGGTCGTGATCACAAACGGCACGCCCGCCAGCTGCGTGCAGCTCGGCCTCTTCAACCTCTTCAGCGACAGACCACCCATCGACCTCGTGATCTCCGGCCCGAACCACGGGCGCAACGCATCAACAATCTACAACCTCTCGAGCGGGACCGTAGGAGGCGCTCTTGAGGCCGCGACGTGCGGAAAGCGCGGGATCGCAGTCTCCTTCGGCAGCAAGGACGCGCAGCCGGGTGACATCATTGAAGCGGCCGCGCGACTAGCCGTGCGCATTGTGCACCACCTTCTCGAAAACTGGGATGAGCGCGTGGAGCTGTATAACCTGAATATCCCCATGCGGCTGGACGTTGAGACGAGGCCTGTGCTGTATACGAGGACGCTCCCGTATTATTGGTCGCAGGGTTGTCTTTATGCAGAGGTTGATGCAGATGCAGCTGCAGCTGCAGCTGTGGGTGGGAAGAAGGCGTTGACGAATGGGGTGAATGGGCATGGACATGGTCTTACGAATGGCGAAGCGGAGAAGGAGAAGGAGACGGATATCGCGACGCTCAGCAACGGCGCTCAGGATCAGACGAATGGGACGAAGCCCTCATCTACACTCAAATCGCGTGACTTCAAGTGGTCCGCCCAGCTCACAGACATGAAGAAGGCCCTGCAAGAGAGTCCAGAGGGCACAGATGCGCATACCGTATTGAACGGCAGCACCAGGTACGAATTGCACCCCATATCCAAACCCGACCATGGATTTGAATACTGATTTTGGACTATCTGCAGTGTGACACCTCTTTGCGCAAACTTCTGGTATGTGCCGGGGTTAGAGGGCCCTTTGCATCTTTGATTTGATACAGCACGGCTAGATCTGTTTCATAGGATAGATTTCCGACCTACTAGATACCTACTTGCTAGAATGATACCCGCAACGGTTTCTTGTTTTCGACTCTCTTCTTTGCTTCCAGGTCGAGCAGCTGCATTCTTTGAAAGGCTAACGGGAGCTTTGGCCGTGTAAGGTCTATACGACAAGGTTTAAGGCTGAAACAAGATAAAGCTGTCTTACATCTCAAGACTGTGGTTAATGGAATGGCGTTCATTGGAGTATCATAATAGCTCAAGATAAGTCTTACCCGAAGAAAAAGCCAAAAATGACAAGCTTTGCGACGGGCTGAGATGCATTAACGGCGGTAGATATAAGAAGTGAGATTAAGCTGCAGCACGTCACAGCGCCCGGGCAGCTTCCCCGGCTCCACTCTCCACAACAGATGCCTGCTCAGCACGCATCTTGCCTTTTGAAGCAGCGGCCTCACCCACGCCCATCCTGCGTGCAACGTAGCGCTGCGCGACGACGCCAATAGCAAGCGATATGGACTCCTCAATCCATTCAGCCGCCCATTCGCGAGGGTCGACGCCACCACCTTCGACGATTTCAGCAATGTCTTCCGGAACTACGGCACGGGGCACGTGGCCATCTGCAGACTCAGACTCAGGGTCATGTGCAGGAGCTGAGGAGGCGTCTAGCCAGTTGATCCATTTCTGGGGAATGGCCTGTGAGACTGCGTGAAAGGCGATGCCGTGGATAGGGTCGTGGAGGTAGAGGGCGAAGGCAATTTCTTCTTCTGGTGCGTCGGGTACATCAACTACACCCTGCGGCACGGCCTTTTCCGTTGTTGGGCCAGCCTGGAAGAGGTCAGCAGCTGAGGTTGTCTGGGCGACGGCTTGGATGGCGAGGAAAATGTCGCTGCTCCGGACAGGGTTGGTCTCGCTGAGCACTTGGGTGGCTTGCTTCGCGGCTTCTTCAACCCCGCCTCTAGAGGCGTAGAATTCAGCCGCGTACCCCTCTGCGCTGGCTCGGCAAAGCTTGGTTGCCTCCACGAGGCCGGGCACGGCCGAAATGCTGCGGGGATTCCCTGGAGTGACAGTGCGCCACCATGGACCATCACGCCAGCCTGCGGTTGATGCGCTGTTGTCCTGCCCACGCTTGGGCGCGGATTCCTGGCCTCTCTGGATGACTAGCAGATCGCCTCCTTCAACCTGGGACATAACACGAGAGAAGACCGCGTAAACAAGGGGGTCAAGGCTGGGGTATCCTGACAAGTCGTGTGTAACGTGGATTTGAAGGCGCTCGTGTGATGAGATTGGGGGTGCAATCGTGTGGATGAGCGAAGTAAATGTAGGTATAGCCATGCTGCGGAGCTCGCCGCCTAGCGATGTCAGTACAAGCATGCCATTCATGTGGTCGGAAACAAGTACCCAAGTCTCTTAGTGCACCGACATTCCCTCTCACCTGCTCCGCCCACTTCAGAGCTTCTTCATTCTGTTGGATTTCCTTGACGGCAGCTTCAGCCTGCTTCATAGCGGCAGAAGCAGTCGCCGTCGCAGTTGCGAAAATTCCTCCCCACCAGCCTCCGCCACCACTAGAAGATGTCTTTTCCTCAGCTGGCAGTTCCTTGCTAGGAGCGGGTTGCGCATCTGCGGCTTTGTTGTGTCGGCCACTCTCCCCGGACTTTCGAGGCGCGGGCTTGTCCTCACTCGACCGGCCAGCAGGTGTCGCCGGTTTGGGCGATTTCGTTGATGGCCTTGGCTCATTTGTCGATGTCCGCGGGGTTCCAGCCCGGCTGGCAGGGCGCTGGGCTGCTAGGGATCCCAGCTCGGCCAAGATATCCTCATCGGACGGGGGAGCGGTATTTGCGGTGGTGGCTGCGGGCTTCGTCGAGGGTTCCGTTGTGCTCTCAAGGCCCAGATTGTCGAACTGGGCGAGAAGCTCGTCACTCGTGGGTTTTGCGCCTTTGGGGGGCATTGTGGTTTACGTTTGTGTTTTGGACACGAAGATGAGAACTGCGATGGTGACGCGGGTTGCTGCTTGTTCGTTGGAGCGGTGGGGATCCTCCGGCCTGCGCCAAGAAGCTTTAGCGTGCATAGAGAGAAGCAAAGGGTCAAGGCAACTCTACTTACTCCGTACGTCCCTGGTCTACCACTGCCTTCCTTCTTCCTTCTAAAGGCTCAATCTAGGACTGTGTGGAGCGGAAAAAGAGTGTTCTGGAAAAGAGCCCTCTGTTTTTAACTGGTCGCCTCGCCCTTTACTGAGCTTCCGCAGGAGTCAACTCGAAGGCATGACCTCACCGTGAAATAGTCACGGCACACGAGCAATGGAATTCTATGCATGATCCAAAAAGGAAAGCAACTTTTGCCTCCTTTGTTTCTTATATTCCCTCGGCCACCTACTGGCTTTTTTTCGAGCAACATCCTATACCAGTAAGTTACTGTTTCGCAAACCCATAGCAACCGATCAAGAGCGTCTATGCATTCGACGTGCGAGTAGAACACCAGCGAAACATTTTCCCGCTGGCTGGTAGGGTCTCGTGAAGGTCTTTGATATTCATGACCAGGGAGAATGTGGCCGAGGGCGGAGCACAGCGGAATGAAGCCGGGCGCGGCGTTACCGATGCTGGGTTGATAGGCCACACTGCTCCCACCGATCCGAATAGACCATGTAAATCATCAACAGCATTAATGGCCGTGGTATCGCAAATGGCTTTTGGGATAGATCTGTAGATAGAACGAGTAAACAGGCCCGCCGCCGCCCGCGGACCCTCCGTTCCCGCAGTCCACGCGGGGTTCCTTGGTGGGCCATGATCGGACTCACTCCGTCCCTAGGTATAAATCAGCCTATCCCCAAGTCCTTTGCAGGTACATCCACAAGACCTAGTATCAAGTCAGATCCCATTGTTCTCTATTGGATAGCGGGTAAGTCGCACTTATCACATCTTACTCAGATCATCATTAATCTGTATGAGTAACTGACGCAGTCTAGATTACCTGGTAACCAACACCATATTGCAGAATCTAAACTTCAAGTATACCTAAGTTTAAGACACATCAAATCGAAATGCGCCTCCCGTATGTCGCCGACCCGCCACCAACGGACACACCCGAGGAGGCCGAGATTCTGGCCAGGGTCCAAGCCAGACGTGCACCCAATGGCCTCCTCCCCCTAGACCGGGCCCTTCTGCATTCATTCCCCGTGGCAAACGGGTGGAACTCATTTCTCGGCGCAATTCGCCAAAGGACCAGCCTCAGCGATGTGATCCGTGAACTTGTCATCTCCCGCGTGGCAATCCTCAATGGCGCCCTGTTTGAGTGGGAGCAGCATTCGCCTTTGCTATCACAGGCTGGGTTGAGTGATACAGCGCTCCAAGTTGTCGGCGATGTTGATGCTGATATTGATGCAAAGGTGGCGGAAGGAGTGTTTAGCGCTGCCGAAGGCGCTGTTTTGCGGTATACCGATGCCGTTACAAAGACTGTTACTGTGCCGGAAGTGATTTTCGCCGCTGTTAAGGAGCGCTTTAGTGATAGAGAGGTTGTCGAAATTACTGCGACTGCTGCTGCTTATAATTGTGTCAGTCGGTTTTTGGTTGCGTTGGATGTTGGAGAGAAGAATATGTGACGACCTTCGATATATATTTGAGAACGGAGCACCAAGGCAGTATACTATATTCCCATCTCAAGTCAAATTATGCAAGGGACATAACATTTCCATATTAAACTTTCTTAGAGAAGAAAAAGACGAAATATCCATGGTTTAAGCATACATGGATGGATTTTGCATCCCACTATCATCAATCTAATTTCCACTTGTTTCTGATCATATACTTCGGAAACGTAAACTCAGAGTTTAAGGTGCAGCCATGATAAGCGTCAAACTCTCCCCTCAGCTTCTCTGACCACCCAATTAGAATCCACTCAGTTAATACTTCCGGTCCAATTGATTTCTGCTAACATTGTGTCTATAGTACCATGGCTACAGTGAATGATGTCAATTGTTGTATTACCAATACACAGTAAGTATATTTGCTCCAATGGCAGCACGCGATCAGGGGAAACTCCAAAACTCATCCAAGATAAATCTCAGCTTGAAGGGCATATTCATGTACCATTCATACCGAGTACCGAAATATGCTTACTGTGTTACTATGTCTCTATTAGTCAATAGTGAGACCTCTGAATCACCCATTGTCAGGCTGTTCAGCAGAGACCGGGATCAAAGCCGGGGATCGATTGGCCGATGGAGTGGATCTAGCCCAGGGAAGGCGTAATATTGGCCGAGGCGCGTAAAGGCCTGTATGAGCGCTAAGGAGCAGTAATTTAGGGATCATCTCTAGTTCTTCTTCTACAGGCCCTCGCTCTCAGAACTGTACGGACTCAGGTTTTTCCCTCGTCTACACCTCCTCCATCATCGAGTCCTTTTCTTTGTCGAGTCCAGCTCGCGCGGACTGCCGCTGGTTGTGTTGCCTGTCTTTTGCTCTTATATTCTCCGTTTTTCATTCGGCTGCTTCTTGTCTTTTCCTGCTACAACCCCGTCAATCTCATACTTCTCGTCAAGCCTTTTCCCGCCTCCTGCACTGGATAAGCCACTAGCACAACCGTCAATCTCTCAATCTCCCAGTCTTCTAGTCCTACACACATTTGATCGAGGACTGATCTGCCCTGCGCTCTGTTTTGGGCGTGGTCGGGACGCATAGATTTCTGCTTACCCGCTTGGTTCGTCTCTACTTTAGCGGTTCCAGAACTCTGCGTGCCTTACTACTACTACACTACACTACACTTCATACATTCAATTCAGTCCCTGGCAACCACTCGCGACCTCCTTCTCTTGTTCGACTACCCTGTCGCTATCCCTGAGTCGCCCTCTGGGTCTCTTCTCTGGGGTAGTCGAGCCTGTTTTTACCTTCTTCTCGAACTGCTCGATCTGTTGTTCCCGGTAAGTGTTACATCTCGTTTGTTTCGCTCGCACCACGTATGTGGATTTCTCCGTCGCATTGTCAAAGCTTTATCTACTCGATCTTGCGATTTTATGCATTCATCCAATTATTTCCTTTCTGGTTTGTTCTTTCCGCTACTCACTCGATGGACTCGATCCTTACTCTTTCTTCTTTTGTCCTACAATCTTCCCTTGCGCACTCTATTACTTTGTCTTGGCAGCACGGCGAACTTTTCAAGCAGGATTTGATCGACTGACTCCATGTCCAGGCTTCTTTATTTTGAAAATTCATCTTAGAGGCTGGTCTCCGACTTGTTACTTCTTGTAATTATTTTTTTACTTCTATTCACGCGCTCTGTTTCGGTCAACCATGAGACCCGTTTCTCAAAGTGAAGCGGACATGGAGAGCCATACTTCAGAGATGGCCAGCCAGGACTCTCCGCTGCGCCGAAAATTCTCCGAACCCATACACGAGAATTCTAACTCTACCAAAACAACACCCTCACCAGCGCCAGATGAACCAATATGTGGTAAATGTGGAGAACACATTGAATCATCTTCTGATATGTCTCCCGATGCAGCCATCAAGTGGCACATGAACTATAAACACAATGGTGCCAAGGACATGGCCCCGTATAACAACGATACTGTTCCAGATTACGAGAGTCAGACCTATGATGGCGATGATGATGATGAGCAGGCTGAAAACGAAGATATGGCTGTTGATCAAGTCAACGGCTCGCCTCGCTCAGCAGACTATATTGACGACAACGCCGAAGCTGCTGAAGAAGAGCAAGAAGAAGAAGCAGCAGCAGCAGCTGAAATGTATGGCAACGGAAAGGAGCCTGCTGATGCAGATGGCGCTGAGACCACTGGTTATGGAGAAGTTCCCGAGGGTGAATCCGATGTTGCCCTCTCTAACCAGCTCCACGAGTTTTCTCGCGAAGAAGATTCTGCGTCTGTCGAGAAACGCCTTCACAATCTATGGAACATCCATGATGTCCGTGAGTTTACTAAAGACTATGAAGACAACACCGCCGAGATGAATGAGACCTGGACAAGCGTATTCAGCGAACCAAAGCGCGGCAAGAAACGCGAGGCGCCAGAGCTTCTCCAGCGTCCAGATCCCTACAAGGCGACAAAGGTCGGACGGGGCGAATTTCTCGAAATGGCACCTCTTGAGGATTTCTTGGCTCAACTTCGCGAACCGGAATTGCGCTCAAGCGATGAGCTGTTTGCTATTACCGAGAACGTCGCTTATGCTCTGAAAGTGTGGCAAGATGAGTTTCTGGCGATCGACAAGCTCCAAAAGCTGGCCACCAGGCACAATCTCAAAATCACGAGTGATCCACGAAAACTCGAGCGGCCTCAGGTTTTCGAAGACAAAAAGGAAGCAATGCTGTACGGCTACAAACACGACCCAAAAGAAGACAAAGTTGGCTTTCAGAATCCTTTCTTGCAGGGTGGTTTCAAACCAACACCGGCCCAATACAGGAAAATGGTTCAGAAAGCTGGCGTGAACAATCCTAACCCCGATGGGTGGCGAACAATCTCCAAGTTCGGTGTTGACCATGTCCCCAAGTTTCAGAACCCTCCTCGGGAAGACGTTATTGCAAAAGCAACTCGGAAACGCAAGGCTGCCGAACTTGAAGCGGCTACTAGAACCAACGATTCCGATGAAGCCGCAGCCACCGAGACTGCTACGCCCGCTGACGCCGACCAAGATTATGCTAATGCTGCAAAGCGCCGTGCTCGTAATCGCGACTCCGCCACCGAGAATGGACGAGGTCTCACCACGCGCGGCCGTGGTGGGCGTCCTCGCGGAAGAGGTGCTGCCCGTGGAGGCTCGCGTGCTGCTTCAGAGGCCCCGCTGGCTCCAGCGCATACACTCGGCACTTCGGCGAGCGCGACACCTGTACCGGAAGACTTGCAAGTACGGCTCGGTGCCTCGCAACTGGTACCGATCGAACCGGCACCGAATGGAGGGCCAGCAACTGCATCTGACACCAATCAACTACTCGGAGGTGCGCAAGGTGTGCTTGACGCAGCCGATATTGCGCGAAAACAGAAGATTGCGAACTCAAAGAATCCGAAACGGACGGAAGCTATGCTCAACCACTGGGCTCGCTTTAACCGAGAAGGACGAGTGCGTAACCCGAAACGGTCCAAAGCCCAAATCGAAGCGGACAGGGCTGCAGAGGCGGCCAAGAAGGCCACAGACGGCCCGAAACTCGGAATCAAACCGAAGAAGAAATCTGTCAGTCCGGGGGCTCTTCCTACGCCCCCGCGAGTCGACGCCGGCCTTGCCCCTGCGCCGCCGCCAATGCCCTTGGCTCCCCCGCCTCAGTTGGCGCCCGGTCCTCACCCTCATCCTCACCCGCACCCGCACCCTCATCCTCATCCTCACGGCCATCCTCATCCACATCCGCATCCGCATCCGCATCCACCTCCTCATCCCCATCCTCATTCGCATCCTCATACTCCGCAGCTGCCACCGCAGCTTCAGTCGCAACAGCTTCCGTCGCAATTGCCACCGCTTGCTGCGCCTCGCGGCTTGGCTCCATATCCACCTCCGCATCTAGATCCTAGGCCCATGCCGCCATTTCCTCTCGCTCGTGGACCTGGTCCTCTCCATCAACCGCCGCCGCCGCCCTATCGCACGCCATACCCTGACTATTTCAACAGTCCATATGGACCACCTGGGCTACCTCCTCCAGGACACCCGCGGCCTTAGTTGTCCCTCTACTCTGACCACTTATTTTCCCTATGTTTCCCCTGTTAATACTAATGTAATCTATCTCACTTTTGTGGCGGGCTACAGGAAGGGTTGTACATCTAGTGCACGTTTTGTTTATACATACCCGGCTACACGGTGGGTTTCTGCCTTATAAGCGTTATACCAGCGAGAGGCGTTTGGAGTCCCAGTTTCTTTCTCTCACTGTCTTATTTATACTGTACTTACCACTTTTTCTTCTTGTATTATTCACCGATTGGTTAAGGGTTATCCGTACCATACTTTGGGTGGAAGTGTTTATCACTTGGATTGAAATGGAAGACAGGAATTTTTGTCAGTCTTGTACCTAGAAGACTAGAATCATTTTCTGGCCGGCTACTCCGTATCTTATCCTACTTCATAAGACATGCCAGTGTGGCACCGTAACAGTCTTACTTGATATCACGTGCTGAGCTTATTGCACGTGATGGGTGTTCTCCCTCCGGTCCTAGGAACTTCACCATGACCGAATCTCCACCAACACCTCCGCTCCTCATTTCTACCTCTCTGTTGCATTGACTCTCAATCCCTCATATTCTTCTCATCGCAATGGGAAAGAAAAGACGCAGCCCTACCTTGGAAGAGGTTTTAGCTCGCCCGTGGTGTTACTATTGCGAGCGCGACTTTGATGACCTCAAGATCCTCATCTCACATCAGAAAGCGAAACACTTCAAATGTGAAAGATGTGGCAGAAGGCTCAATACAGCTGGAGGTATGCTTCATCTTTTGTCAAAATTGTCGCTAGCTCTTCTAACTCATTTCTTCCAGGATTGTCGGTCCACATGAGTCAAGTACATAAGGAGCAACTGACCGCCGTTGACAATGCGCTGTCCAACCGATCGAGTCTCGACGTCGAGATTTTTGGTATGGAGGGAGTACCTGAAGATGTCATTCAATCACACAACCAGCGCGTTATTGCCCAGTTCCAGCAGTCAGAGGCGGAACGACAAGCGATAACGGGAAACCCTCCGTCCGGAGCGTCGACTGCGACCGGCCAACCTGCGAAGAAACCAAAGGTCGAGAACATATCAGATCTGAAGAAGCGACTTGCAGAGCACAAGGCGAAGAAAGCGGAGTCTCGAGCTGGAGGGAGCAGTGGCGAAGCGACTCCTGTCGGTGCGGGCCAGACTCCAACAACGGCCGGATTTGTAAGTGCACTCTTCTAATGCTTGAAAATACTTGCTAATATGTCGCATTCGTAGACGCAGCCACCTACGATCGCCGCCCCTACGCAGCCATTCTCTTATCCTCAGCCATATGGCGGGGCTGGTTCCCCTTACCAGGCGACGGCGAGTCCTGTTTACCCAAACTTCTCCCCCGGACAACCGCAGTACCCTCCTCCCACGCAATACTCCACTCCCGGATACTCGCCGCAGCCAGTACCAGGCTTTGGAAACACACCGTCCCAGTTTCCACAACAGCAGCCTCAAATCAACAGCCTACAAACCACATTTGCTCCTCGATCGGGAAGCTTACCTTCGGCACCGAGTCTCCCTCAACGACCCGCTGTTGGCGCTCCGCAAGTCAACGCATATCAGTTACAACAGATGCACATGGGCCACCCTCTTCCTACAACGGCCGTTCCTGGTGTTGCCAATGGCGAGAAGCCCGAACCTACGGCGTTCTCTTCTTCGGTTGACGATCTAATCTCCGGAGCAGCCAAACAAGCTGATCTAGCGGCGGCGGCGACTCCCAAGCCGGCAGAAGGCGCAGAAGAAAAGCCGAGCAAGAAAGATAAGTCGAAGCAGTCACGGTTGGTCTATTCAGATAATGAAACCAGCCCTGAGGAGAAGATGGCGAAACTGCCAAGGTACGCATTCGTTCCTGATCGTCGGGGAGAGACTGCGCTGCAAGAGCTTCCGCCTTCTGTAGTCGTCGGTCAAGTGCCCATTTCAGAGGCCACAGTCATGCCGGATCCTTGATCAACACCGTACGATTAGGTGCATCCGAGTACAACCGTCGGCACGCGCCATGCAAAGACAGATTCGGGACAATATATTCCAGCTAAGTCGATGCATGTTGAAATTCTAGATACGCTATGAGTGCTTTTCTTTTTCTTTCGCTTCCGGTCATATATCGTGCAATTCCTGCCCTGATGCTTTATCAGTAGTTCTGCCGGCGCACTTCCTCTTGCAATAGGCGCCGGCTTTACTCTCTGGAACCGAAAACGAGCAAAGCTGCAGGAGCAGACACGGTTTGACGAAAATGGCCGATCCGATGTAGTCTCGGTGAGTGCGTTGCAACGCCCTGACTCAGGAACTGATACTTGGGTTGTTACGAGCGATGCGGTTGCGATATCGATATCTGGCACTTGATATTTGAACTGTTGTCTGGAGGAAAACGCCTACTTTGATGCTGTTGGGCGCCGGCCCGTCTTTATCCTCGTTCGCTTTCGTTACGTCGCATGGGCGAAGAAGAAGTTATCGTTCCTACTGTAAGTTTCGCCAAGGTAGGCAAAACTCCATTTGCATGAGAAATTTAAGGCGACATAACCGAGAATACAACAAGTAATCTCACAACTCCATCTCATCGTATCTCCTTTTCCGTTCCGTTCACCTACCCACCTCTTCCACGTAAATCCCATAGACCCATCTCATCCCCCGAACTCAAAACACATCCTAATCAGACCTTCCTCCGAACCGCGCCCCCAAAAATCACAATCCCATAGATCGCCAGCACACTCAGAACAACAGGCACAAGCTTCCTCAGCCTGATCGCGCGCGGGATCGACGCACCGCCCAGCACAACAGATGCAAGGAGACCAATTTCCTCGCCGTATGTCTGGCCGGCACGCAGGCGGAGGAAGGAGAGGAGGTAGAGCGTGCCTACGGATAGGCCGGCGATTATGGAGGGGAGCGAGCCCGTGCGGCTGTAGCCGATTATGCCGCCGAGGGAGGTGAGGAGGGAGAGGGTTAGGGCGGGGGTTGTTGGGACTGTGGCCTGTAAGCGTAATGGATGTTAGAATGTGGTTTGAGGGATGGGGGTGACGGAATGTGCTTCTGATGTTGAGGGGGTAGGGACGGAGTAGAAGGTATGAACGGGGAACTGGAACTGCGGATGGAACTGATGATGAGGGAGGGCGTACCATTGTGATTTTTGGATGAGGAGTGCTTATGAATTTGGTTTTATTGTGAATTGACGGTGATGAACTGAAAAGAGGCAGTTGTTGTGATTGTTTGTGAGCTCTTGACAAGCTATGCGATTGCGACAAGATATGGGCTGATGTGGAGTAAGTCGAGGCGAGTGGGGAATGGGCCGTGGCCGGGACGGACCCGGGTTATGCTTGGATTATTAATGCTTGGTTTGAGGCTGTCAAGTGTCATGCATGAACTATGCAGCGGCCCCTTTGCTGTCGGACTTTGAGGTGCAAGGGTGACCTGGATAGGTCAATGCCGGGACAAGAAATTAGAATATTAGATTCTGCGATGCCGATATTTGCTTTTTAGAGGTTCATCTCTAGATTTGGTTATGATTGTCTATCAACAAAAGATATAAACAGTCTATGGAGACAATCGGAGTATATATAAACGCTCAAAATCAATCTTAAATGCTTTTGATGCTGGACTTTTGGTCAGTTTGGATCGATGTCGAGTAGTCGTGGTTCATCATTTTTCGTCTCGTCTCGTCTCGTTTTTTTCGTGGAAAGCGTTACGCATGTAGATACCGGTCATCATTGGTGACCTGGTGGAAGCTCGTGGCTCAGAGAAGCGAGCTCATCTAAGCCCTGGCCTGGCTCTTCGCCGGACTAACAGTTTGATGTTCGATTTCCGTCTCCGACTCATCCGAGTCCTGTCCTTTATCCTGACGCTGGAACCCATCACCCTCAACGATCCACAGTATTGGGATCGCCGAAATCACAGAGATAGCACTGAGAAACCACCAGGGCAGGATAATAATTCCGGCCCTGAGTCCCAGCGAGAATATAGGGCCGAGCATAGCAGGGCCGGCGGCGCGTCCGACGGCACTCATACTCGTAGCCACACCATTCAGCGTCCCAAGAATACTAAGACTGCCGGCGGAGTTCGTGAGCAGGATTGTAATACCCGGGAAGTTGAAGATGGAGGCTGTAAGTTTGGAGAGAATCAAAAGGCATATTGCGGGATTCTGGAGGGATTTCGGGATGAGGGCTATGTAGGGCGTTAGGAGGTAGACGATAGGAAAGACGGCGGTGGAGGCTTTGACGCAGTTCAGGACGCCGAAACGCTTTGCGCAGAATGGGAAGATGTAGAATTGCATAATGATGCCGATGCAGCCGGTGATAGTGTAGAAGAAGCCGATTCTCTGGGAGTCTGGAGAGCTCGTTAGATACCGCAGGAAGGAGACGAGTGATTACGTACCCATGCCAAATCCCCCCACAAACTTGAATGGAAGTTCTACGTCAGGGTTGCCATGCAGGGACTGCACGGGTGTATGTAGAAACACTGGAAGAACCGATTCAAAAGCCATCGTATGCACTGACATCAAGGTATACGCTAGCAAGATCAGGGCGGACTGCGGACGGAGCACCTCCCGCCAGCTGTGCTTCTTCACTTCGGCCACGGCCTGAGGCTTCGTGGGACGTTGGCGCTCCCCGAGCAAGGGAGTCGTCTCATCGTCTTCCAACTTTTTCGAGCTTTTCCTGCGTTGACCAGTGCAAGGGCTAGTGAGCATCTCACCAAGCACTAGGCCAGGGTCGCGATGACCCTGTTTCGACAGTAAAGTTTCCTAGAACTTTTAGCAGCGTTCGCGAGATGTAAGAGGGATAACATACATGAAGAAACAAGAACCCCGTGGAGATACCAATGACAAAAAAGAACCCAGAAACCAGATTGGGCAGGAGAAATGGATACTCCTTGAAAAAGCTCGAGTTGCCAAAAATCTCGGGAAACTTCTCCGTCGGCCTTGCAAGAGAGCCTCCAAACGACGGGCCAAAGATACTCCCAATCGTCCACACCATCGGCATGATACTGAACGCTCTCGGCTGCAGCTCCTTATCCTGAACCATCTCCGCGACCATGGTCCGAATAATCCCAACATTACCATTCATGAACCCGATCATACCGCGGCAGGTGATCAGCATCACCAGAGATTTGGAGAGACCGAACGCCAAAGAAAAGATCATTGTCGCAGTGAGTCCTAGCAGGACGATGGGCTTGCGGCCGAAACGGTCCGAGGCCGTGCCCCAGTAGACGGCCATTGCCGCCTGAGAGAAGGATGAGATCGCCGAGGTGAGGCCTGCCCATTTTGCAACTTCGGATTGGGGTACGCCGACGCTTTCGATCATTTCAGGCTGTCCTTGTCAGTATAGGTCTATATGTCGACCGGAAAGACTCACAAGGTACGGCAAATAGCTCGTAACGGCGATCGGCTCTGCGAAGCGACATATTGCTGCGCGGACGGAGTTAGCAAGATGTCAAATCTCGTATGGGCGTGGTTGACTCTTACAGAGAATGAGCAGCTGCCGCACAGGCAGCTTGGGAGTGCTTGCATGCATCAACGAGCAGGTCGGTAAAGAGGGCCAATTACAGCTGGGAGAGGCAAGCGACAGAGTTCAAGAAAGCAAATAGAAAGAAAAGAAGAGAAAATTGAACGATAAAGGACAAGAAGAGTGGAGAGAAGAAGAGGGTGAGAGTCTAGAGCAATGGCTCGGATTTGGAGACAGACTCGCCATCGAGGTCTTCGCATGTGCCGCTTTCCCGCACTGACTGAGCCTGCAAGAGCAAGGGCTGTCAAGTGATCTTCCCCTCTTTCTGTAGCCTCCAGGTAAATCCTTCGTCTCCTGCATGAGCTTGATTGACTTCAAGATGGCTGCGCCTTATCATACCGCTCCTTTCTTGGGCCCAGCCCGTGCGTTTTTACTTGTCTAAGAAATCCAGCGGAGTAAATAGCGGAGTCGAGCCGATGGAGCCTGTCTATTTGTATACTCCGTGTAATGCCCCAGCAACGGCACTTCTGAAGCTGACCATGTCTCTTTCTATTACAGATTTATTGACAATAATCCAACCCCATGCATTAGTCGGAATATAACGAATAGTAATCATTGGTCTCAACCAATCATGGTGTTGGTGTGGTTTCACGACCGCCACATCTACAAGGATCCAGACAGCTAAGTATATATAGCCGCTGTGGTACAAAACGAGGCTCGAGCCTAGACATTGTAATGTTGGACATTCCAAGTGCAAATGGATGACCCAAGAACATTTCTAGATCGGGCAACCTAACTATGTACAGTTACAGGGTTTAGCAACCCCGCCGACCGCGTGATGTATCGTATATGCATGGGATGGGTTCCAATCCCTGCTCGGCCATGCAGCTTAATCCTGCTTAAAGCCGCATGCAACCATCCCCAGCAGTTCATGCTCTCACTGGAGCAATTTTGTCGCCGCTTCGACGCGCTCAATGACAATGTAAAGCCATTTCTGGGAACCATGTTAGCATGCTTCATCTCATAAAACAAGCCAAACAAATGTGAGAACTTACCGCAGCATTAGCAACATCTCCAGCCTCTAAGCTCTCCACGATTCCGGGATAAGTCGCGCCCGAGTAGCCTGTCCAGAGACCGGGGGCGAAGACCACGTGCTTGAACCAGCTACGCCCATCCAGCCCCTGCTCGTACAAGAACTGGCGTTCGATGTTCTTGTACTTGGTGTTGACCTCATGGATCAGGAAGAACAACCGGACTTTCTTCCACCAGAGGTACCAAGGAAGGTCCTCTGCAAGCTGCGACGTCAGGTCCGCTGCATACGCATCGAAATCAATGGCTGTCTTCTGCAGCTTGCCGATCGCTTCATACAGGGGCCCAAAGTCAAAGGACAAGCCGCTCGGAAGTTTGTCCGCAGCAGGCCTGATCCGGTCCACATACTCCTCCAATCCATAGCCGTAGTCAGTGGCGTTGAAGAACAAGACAGGCGTCTCGGCTAGCTTCGCGGCGGCCAGGGCCCAAATCTTGGTGCACGCTTCGTGATATAGCCACTCTGGGTCGCCGAACCGCTGCATCCAGTCGAAACTGTCGTAGTTGGAGTGGTAATGGTAGACAGGGTCCTGGTCACCGTGGCTGAATCCAAGGTCGTAGCTGGGAATTCCAGCGAAGTCTTGGAACGCAGTGAAGTCACTGCCGCTTCCCATTGTCCCAATGTAGCCGTCCCAGACATCACGAACAGTTTGTCCGGGCACGGTTTGATTGGGAGACTGGACAAGGCCAGTAATCTCGTGAATCAGCTTGTTCAAGAGGGGGCTTGCGCTGGGAGCAAGCCGGGTACCAGACGCAGCGACATCGACGTTCAGATACGCAACGTTGGATTTCGAGAGCCAGGGAAGGTACTCCTCCACCCACTCCGTGGAACCAAGCAGACCATATTCCTCGCCGTCCCAGCTGGCGAAAACGATGGTACGGAGCGGCTTCCAGCCAGCCTTGAGAGCCTCACCAAAGCTGCGAATCACCTCATTCAGAACAGCGGAACCGCTGTTAGGGTCACCTGCACCGCCAGCGATCCAAGCATCGCGATGGTTACCCAGAATGATGGTGTCAGGAAGCGAGCCGGGGATGACACCGATGACGTTCCAGAGAGGAGTAGTAACATACTCCTGTTCATTGTACAGGTTGATAACGAGATCATCTGGCGAAGGCCCGATGTTATACTCAACGCCTTTGTACGCGAGACCACCGCCTTGCCACCATTCATTGAAGTTAGATGCCTTTAAACCATGGCCATTCAGAGCCTTCAGAAGAGGCAACACGTCGTTAATAGAGACAGGAATCGATGGAATCGACGGGATGAAGTCATGAGGATCCTGTCTCACGGCACCAGGCTTGGATGGATAACCAGGCGTTGTGGGATCACCAGGGCCGAAACTCAAGAATTGAGTACTACCGCGCTGAACTGCGCTGGGGTTCCTCGCCGGGCCGTCGGGGTAAGTTTCATAGCCATTTGCCTCTGTATATTCTCCATCCGTCTGCGGATCATCATACAGAATCACGCCGACCATCCCAAGCTCCTGTGCGCGCTTGACCTTCAGGCCACGGAAGATACGGCCATACTTGGCAATCGCAATCTTCCCAGCGAGGCTGACATTGGCATTGACCAGATCCTCGTAATCGGCATATGTGCCAAAGTTGACAAAAACGAAGGGCGCAGTTACATTTCCGCTTGCGCTGTATCCATGGAAGGTTGGGACGCGATCGGGCAGACCGCTCGTGCTATCTTCCTCGAGGACATCCTCTTCCAGCGAAGCTTCGAAACTGACGTTACCACCCTGGTACAAAGCCAGCCGATGGTCGAGAGGGTAGTTGAGGTAAACATCGTAGGCAGCGATCTTGGTGTCGGCAATACCGAATTCCTCCCAGCGCTCCTTCGTCCACAGCGCTTGGCTGAGGTTCTTGCCCGTAAGATGAGGCCCCGAAGTGTAGTACTTGCTCCATTCGCGGGCGCGGGCCGCAGATGGGGTTCCCAAGAGAATGGTCGTCAGCTCGTCGTAGTCGAGACCGTTTCCGCTCGGCCAATATTTGGGATATGGTTGTGCGCCGGGAAGATAGGACCAGAGCGAGCCGCCCTCACGAGGCAGAAGAGCTGAAGGTAAGAGGAACAGGACAAGCGCGGCGGCGAGGAGCAGGCATAGAGAGTAAGTGCAGGCTCGGCGGAGCTTGTTATGGGGATAGCGATAGCGCTGCGGAGCGACCTGGACCGTCGCCAGAAGTGGGCTCGTTTCGGAGGGAGGCATGATGGATTTCTCCTTCATGGCGGCGAGGATAATAATAATCAAGGTACTATTATCCAAGCCAGCTACAAGCAATGCTTATGTGCGCGTGATCGGAGGGGGAGGCAAGCATTAAATACCGGCGGCCTGGCCCGGTAATATGGCGTCAATGACAGCCCCGATAACAAAAGCACCTGCAACCCTGCTATCTGCCCGCATCGGTGTTTAACCCGAGGTCCTTGCATTGGAGACAAGATAATCATTGATATAGGTCACTCTCAGGAAACAGGGATTTTGCAATTCAGACAGAGGTACGGAGTAAGGTAAGGGTTATCTGGTCATGAGCTACATCCCGGCGCGGACAGTCATGATTTTGCTTCTGGAGCAATTGAAGGATTGATTGTACCCTTCGCCCTGAGTATAAACTGAGACACTTGTTCTGATAGCCACTCTGCACGGCCATTATAGCTGGTGTAGATAACAAGACAGGTGGGCCCTGACTACCGGTATAATCTCGTTATCACAGTAGATTTGGAGATTGGAGGCCATGTCTTGATATCAACCTTCCTTCTCTGGTTAATCATAGGAAGACTTCTTACTACCTTGTAAGCTTCCTTGCTAAGCTTGACCATAGTATCGAATAAGAATATACTCGGGTTAATCAAAAAATCTCTGTAATTTTGTGTCATTCAACTGACACACTTGTTGTAGCATAAAACCACTCATTACGCGTGGCATAAAACTGTGGCGGTGTGTGTGGCTGGTGCTGCATACGTACTCCGCAGCGTTGGCCGCATCATCTTTCAGAACAGCTGGCGTCTCACTCAGTATTCACACCAAGAACAACCTGCCCAGAATGTCGAGCCAGGGCTACGATGTGGTAGTGGACGTGGACGCTGAGGTACGCCTGATTATATCTAGCTTCAATTAGACAAAACCCTAACAAGAACAGGGCGACGACCTCGGACACACAGACCTCCAAGAAGACCTTGAATTCCACCCATCCAGTGAGCTCAGCATCTCCAACTCTTACCCTCAACCAACCTAACATAACTGACTAGACTTCGAAAATGACCAACGCAACGCCAAATCCCACCCAGACAACGCCGCCTTCCTAGGAGGCAGCGGCGGCGGCTCGTCCTCCCGCCGCAACCGCTCTCCAGGTGGCACACCGACCAAGCACGCCTGGTGGTCAATCCACTACTACGAGCAGTACTTCGACGTAGACACGAACGAGGTCCTGCGCCGGTGCGTAGCCTCCGTCTACCCCCGCAGCAACTTCCTCGACGTCCTCGAAGGCAACGCAGACCTCTACGGCCCCTTCTGGATCGCAACGACCGTGATCGTGATCCTCTTCCTAACCGGTACAATCTCGCAATGGCTCTCGAACAACGACAAGGCGCATTTCAAGTATGACTTCACTCTGCTCTCTGGCGCGGCGGGTTTAGTCTACGGGTATACGTTCATTCTGCCCATTGCGCTCTGGGGCGCGCTCAAGTGGTTTGGTAGCTCGACGGCGGATCTCGTCGAGTGCTGGGCGCTATATGGGTACTCGAACCTCGTTTGGATTGCGGTCGCGATTGTTAGTTGGAGTCCTTTGACGGCGTTGAACTGGGCGCTTGTGGGCGTCGGCTTTGGCTGGACGGTTTTCTTCCTCCTTCGGAATTTGTATCCCGTGCTTAGTGCGACGGATGCGAAGGCTAGTCGGGCGCTGTTGATATTGGTTATCTTGTTGCATGCTGGATTTGCGATTGCGATTAAGATCTTGTTCTTTGCGTGAGTTTCCCCGTTCTCCCTCTTGTCATAGTGTGGTCGTGTGACTGATGGGATGGTTTAGGCATGGAAGCCCGGTTTCCAAGAAGAATGACGGCGACAAGGACCACGATGATGATAAGGATGATCATGATGATCACGATGACAAGCGCATGTTTTAAAAAGGAAGTCCAGCTTCGTCGGTTGTTGCGGGCTTTTAGGATACGTGATGTTGACTTGCTCCGGCAGCATTTCGTCACAGGTATCGAGTTCAGGCAGATTCTAGCCCTTTGCCATGTATACTGTACCGTAAATTGTTACATTCATATCTACCAGACTCAGGATAGCAAGTTGAGGGATGACTGAATTTTACAATTGTTTGATTGAGTGCAACTGGTTCCGAGAGTAGTCATAAAAATGTATTGACTCCGGCTCTTCTGATGTTTCTTCAGCATTCCAACGCCGCTTGTAAAAAAAGGAACCCTTTTCGCGTTGCAATTCGTCTCATCACAATCACACCCTTCCGCACCAGCAACGCAGAAAAAAACGTAAGCATGAGGCGAGTCGTTTATTTGAGCTTCTTCTTGGGGCGGAGCTGGTTGGAGTGACCGCACTTCCTCTTACGGCAGTTGGTGGCACGGGGAGGGAGACGAGCCTGTCATGTCATTAGTTCGAGTTCCTGAGCCTGGAGACGAGTCGAGGTCGAGATATTCCGGTAGACGTACGTAGCACTTGCGGCAGATGTTCTTCTCGCAGTTGTACTTGGAAGCGAGGGCCTTAAGAGAGGGCTCGATGATACCACCACGGAGACGGAGGACCAGGTGGAGGGTGGACTCCTATATCGTTGGAAGAGAGTATCGTCAGCCGCCCGTTCATTCATCCCAGTCGAACTGCAGCCATATAATCCATGCCATATATCCCTCCTCTTCCCAGCGGAACAAACCGGCAACTTGCGCCATTTTCATTGCACAAGATGACCGCGTGTTATCCCGCCCTCTTATTCCATGCCGTTCCATGCGCAAAACAATCGGTAGATCAAGCCTCATACCTTCTGGATGTTGTAGTCGCTCAGGGTGCGGCCATCCTCGAGCTGCTTACCAGCGAAGATGAGACGCTGCTGGTCCGGGGGAATGCCCTCCTTATCCTGGATCTTGGTCTTGACGTTGTCGATGGTGTCGCTCGACTCGACGTCAAGGGTAATGGTCTTACCCGTCAGGGTCTTGACGAAACTATTCAAGGAGAATAATCAGCACATGGTCCTATCCCTCTTCCTTCCGATTCAATGGTGCAAGCGTTCTCGTGTCGCGAGGTCGGTTCAACGATAGGCGAGGAAAGTGGAGGGTGGTATCGGGGCGCTATAAGATATTCGGAAGACCTACATCTGCACTGTAAAATCGCAGAAAAAAGGACATGTTAGCTGGCGGTTCAAATGGAACACTACCACAAGTGAATATCATGGTGTAAACGTACTGGCTGCGATTTTTCGTTGTTGCTGGTCGTCGGTCGCTGGAAGGGTCGGTCGGTCGGATGAGGCAATGTCAATTTGGAGAGTTTCTCGCTTAGCAAGCGGTGGATGGGCGCGGATCACGAGACCAGACATACCCTCAGCCCTAGTGCTGGGCTCTAGTCACTTGGCGTGGTTGCCTCGGCGCCTGAATCTCTCCACATTTTCCGCATTACGGAACTTCACATCGCAGTCGAGACTCGGCCTCTTCCGGAGTACATACATACGGCTACTATCAGGCGTCTTTTCGATTATTGACCGTGAACCTGTCAATGCTATAATACATAGCGTATGCTGATCGACACAAGGGCAAATGTCATTTAGCTTGGCCGGGCAGTCCTTACTCGCTAAGACCCTCCATCTCATCAACATCCGAATCCTCACCAACATCGATCGAGCGTTCGGCAAAATGTTTGATGCGTCTCTGGTTCTCCAACCATTTGTTAATCTGAAGCTCTGCTTGAGAGACACACCGAACAAGAGTAGAAACGGAAATACCGACGACCTTGGCAGCTACTTCGTAGAACGCTCGTGCCGTGTCCGGGAGATCGGACTCATGCCTATATCGAGCATACTGAGAGCCTGGTCGCGGTATATCCGAGTCAGCTTCACTGACAACCTCCCTGGTTCGCAGGTAACGTGAAGCGTTTTGTAGCATTGCTTTAATGGATTCCTCCTCGTCGTCTTCAGGTTCTGGTACACTTTCTTTTCCCTTGGATGCTGAGCCGATGGGGAAAAGGTTGACCAGATGGTCCGTTGCTGTGCCGGTCGGACGATTGTTGGTATCCAACCAGGAGCTCTCGTACCAATCCATGTACTCGTCCAATTGATCTGGGGTCATGGTGAAAACGTCGCCCTCCTTGACTAGAATTTCCTTGCCTTTGCCAATTCTCCCGGCGGAACTATCTCGACGGTCAAAATGATTCTGGACATCTGCCCAAGCTTCCCAGTCGATTGTCTGCACAGTAGGCTCCTGTGTAGACATGGGATGCCGCTGGACATCATCAAAAGGAAACAAGAGTTTGGTTGCGATCACTATGAGGGTGACGAGCTGATGTTCGGGTTTCTCCAGAGCCTTCCGCTTCCGCCTATAGCTATCGGACTCGGTCCGCCACTCGAATGTAAAGGCCAGGAGTTCCTGTAGCCTTTTGGTAACGGGATATATGTCAACTAGGATTGTGAGCATAGATAAACAAAGTTCGAGGATGGATACCATACCAGGCAACGCAAGCCTCTTGATGAGCCTGTATGACAGAACAGGAGTATTTAATGGCGGAAACTGCACTCCGAACCTGCGATGATAAAAAAGTAGAAGGTCCAATACAGCGTTGTGGAGCTGCTCCGGCTCCAAAAGCCTCTATAGTAATGTTTAGTTGCGTTCCCAAACATAACCTGCTAACATACCGTGGTCTGAAGGATAGAAATAAACTCTTCAGGTAGATTTTCCTTCATTTGACGAGGAAGATGAAGAAACACGTTGTAAAAGGGTATATCATTGCGCAACGTCATCCTAGAAACCAATCAGCCAAGTCCGACGTATGGATTTGAGACATACCGATGAAAGTCCATAACGCTTACTGGAAGCCTCATCAAGACGGACGCCAAATAACATAGAGCAACGGTGTCAATAAGGCGAGGCCATTGTACGACCTTACCACCCAGCTTGAACGTCTCTGGCCCAGTGTCCTCAGCAGCACTGCCTGCTTGGGAACTAAAAAACTTTGGCTGACCATCAGTTCGTTCTGCAATCTTTTCGGCATAGGTCTCCAAGCGGAGTGCCCAGAGATCGCGAACGAGATCCTGGTTCATAGATCAGTTTTCAGCCTCCGGCGTGGCGGGATGCATATGCATACTTCTAGCTCTGGTGGAAACCCTCGCTTGTTCACCAATGCGTGGCATTGCTTCCAAAGAATCAATTGGTAGATTTCAAGAAAGAGGCGATATGCGTCTGAACCGGAGAACTCTGAGAATTGTTAGGGCATTTGTGTTTCTTGAGCTTTGGGGGAAGGACTTACTTTTCCGTTCCTTCTCCTGAACATCCTTCTTCAAATGGTTTATCTTACCCTGAGTCCCCCAATCACCAGGATCCTCTTCTGTTTGTTGGCCGCCCTTGAGATTGCATTATTAGCGACGTGCTCAGGCCACGCATTCGCAGCTTTGGGAGTTGGAAGAGTAATTTCATACCGCCTGTTGATGACCTCGCCTACAAAACCAAAGGCCACGGTCAAGGATAATGCGCCTCTCACGGCATCCTTCCTGGCCGCAATCATGATTCATGTATTTGTCCATCTAGGAAAAGCCGCTTCATCCTCACAACGGTGTAGGGTTAGCGCATGACATGGTCCCCGCATTTGCGGAAAGAGGTTAAGAAAAGATTTTTATACTTGCTCACTCTGGCCGTCGAACCCAACCACAACGCGTTCTTTACTAATCTGCTCGGAATGTGGCCTCCAATAATACTCGAGATCATCGCGTCAGAAGACTTCTACATTTGGTACTGGAATAAGGTAGATGCGAACGAGGCAATTTTGACTATTATGATGACTACATGCGACCTGATGGAAACATCGGCTTCATGGCTTCAAGAGGATTTTTATTCGTCAAACAATCGTAAGAGTACGGAACTCAAGACTGTTCCGCTAAGAGGCATGCTTGACTTGCCCAATGCATGCGACTAAGTCTGCTCGCAAAGCACACCCAAGGCTGCACTGACGGAGTAAACATCAGTGATGCCATACTCTGCCCAAAACGTAGCATCATGCTCCAGTTTACAGGTAACACATGACACGCTTTTGAAACAAAAAGGGTTGACTCGGCAGTAAAAGACATTATAGTTATTTATTTGGGAGCCTCCTTGACTTCCATGCACATCTGCTCGCCCATGGAGGTGAGGATGATGACGTCTACAGAGCAGGTCAGTTTCCACGTTCAAACACTCCAAAAGCAGCAGAAGGTACTTACTGCAGTCCTTGCCCTCGTCGGTGAACATCTTGTTGATACGGTCACCAACCTCACCCTCGGGGACCTTGACATCGTCCTTGGTGTCTCCGTTGTCGTCCATGAGAGAAAGGAAACCGTCGTCGGTAACATCGAGCTGGTTGAACGTCAGTATTTGTTCCGACGCGTGGTTTATATTTTCGGCACTTACGAGCTGGTACTCCTTGCGGGAGACGTTGGGGACGTCCATGTTGTGGGTGGAGGGGGACAGATCTTCGTACTTCTTGCCGGTGAAGATGTCGATGGCGACAAGGTGAACCTTGGCGTGACCGTGCTTGCCGGTCTTGGAGGTGGACATGTCGACGATCTTGCAGGGGCGGTTCTTGATCACAACGTGACCGTTCTTGCGCAGAGCGGAACACTGCATGGGGTAGGTGGCCGAGGCGCCAGCATCGGCGGACTCGAAGGTAACATCGTGAGCCTGCAAGTAAACTGTTAGCCCTCGTGCTCATCAATGTGCCGTAAAGCCTTTGTTTAACAAGTCGATTGGCAAGTAGATCTGCACAATTTGTTGCGTTGGGAGTCATAAGATGCGAGTGGGGTAAGAATGCTGGTTCCTGTATCCCGGCTCCTCAAGACCAGTGATTGATTGCAGAGAAACAGGACCAAAATCAACGGAGACGTGCAGATAGCAGGGAAATCAAGCGGGAACAGTACCTCTTCAGCCATGGTGATAGATGCTAAAGCAAGATAGAACTCGTGAAAAAAAGAAAGAGAAGATAGGAGTTTGTTTGTTGGATGGAGGAGGAGAAGGAAGAGAAAAAAAGACCGTCAAAAATCCACGAAAAGAGGAGGGGACGAAAAGAATGAATGGCCTTCTGTGGCGGGGTCGTCGCTAGTCCTAAGTGGGCTAGACCGCGCTAACCAGCTCTAGGTATATTTCTCCGCGACCTCGACGGGTGATGATCCGGTTTGGGGACACCTAGAGCTGTACGGGGTAGCTTTCTTGCCTGTTCTCATACTTGTCGATCGTTCGTCGCAACAGCTGGTTTTCCTGCGTCTGCGGTGGCTTAGGCGCCAATTCAGATCTCCGTCTAACATGATATACTCATAATCCTCCCTCGTGCTCCAACATGTGGCTTGACCGCATCGCCGGTCACTCGACACCTGATCGCGGCCTCTCTCCGATTCCCCAGAGATCATCTTCCCACCTCTCGCCGAACCGTTCAAACGGTCGCCCTGGACTTAGCCGACCGGGCTCATCGCTTTCCGCTTTAGTTTCTCCTAATGCCTCAACTACCTCCCTGCCAACGGTAGCCCGTGTACCCGAGGAATCGACATTAAAACAGCATGCCACTGGTAGACGCCCGTCGAATGTCGCCGACCCGCTGGAGGTACTGAATGGAATAATAAAGAAGCACAATGTGGGATCTAGGCCCGAAAACGCTGCTCAAGACTCTGGGCCGGTGAAACCAACTCGGCTACTGGAAGACATTGACTTCGGAGGCTTGAGCTTGGAGGGCTTTCTACAAAAACCGGAGTTGAACAGAACGGCAAAAAGCGACATTAATGCCCAGACGATTCAGCAGTTCGAAAAGGAGCGAGACAAATTCCAGGATCTGCACAACGCTATTTCCGGCTGTGATGATGTATCTAAATCAGTGGAAATGTACTTGAGCGACTTCCAGAATGAACTAGGGGCGGTGTCGGCGGAAATCGAGACTCTACAAACCCGGTCTGTGCAGTTGAACGCCATGCTAGAGAACCGAAGAAACGTCGAACAATTACTTGGGCCTGCCGTGGAAGAGATTAGTGTCTCTCCATCTGCTGTCCGAATGATTGCCGAGGGCCCCATTGATGAGAACTGGGTCAAAGCATTGAACGAATTCGAGACGCGCACCGCAAGTATAGAAGCCAAGATCGCCAGCTCTAGTTCTACCAAGGCAATTGATGACGTTCGCCCTCTTCTGGAGGATGTAAAGAAGAAGGTTAGTCTCGTCCCGTCAGCATTGGCGCGCATACTCATAAACCCAGGCTGTAGAAAGAATTCGAGACTATTTGGTCTCTCAAGTGCGAGCCTTACGATCGCCGAACATCAATGCTCAGATCATCCAGCAGCAGCGCTTGGTCAAGTATAAGGACCTGTACAGTTACATGTCACGAGCCCATTCTAAGCTGGCAGGAGAGATTGCCCAGGCCTACATCAACACCATGCGTTGGTATTATCTGTCCCATTTTACGCGCTATCATCAAGCGTTAGCAAAAATCAAGGTCTATCCAAGTGACCGGAATGAAGTTCTAGGAGGGGATCCCCACGCTCAAAAATCCGGTATGTCTATAAATCCTTTCCGTAGGATTATGATGTGATTGACATTGTTGCAGGTAATCTTCCTGGTGGTCGGGCTGGCGCTGCTGCGCACGATCCTTTCTCGCTCGGTAGGAGAATTGACATCTTGCGGACGGGCAACCAGATGGCCATCTCGTCTTATCTTGCGGAAGAAGATACTTCATTCCATGGTATCGAGATTCCGTTCCGCAACTTCAACCTCGCGCTTCTAGATAATGTTTCGGCTGAATACTCCTTCATGACCGAAATGTTCTCGACTCTGTCTTTCCAGCAGATCTCTCGCAAGGCGCTGGAGGTATTCACTCCCGTCTTTGCCCTAGGCCAAGGGTTGACTAAGCAACTGATTGAGAATACTACCGACTCACTGGGTGTACTGATGTGTGTGCGACTGAATCAGCAAGCTGCCTTTGAGCTTCAACGGCGCAAGGTACCTGTTGCAGACTCGTACATCAACGGGATTAATATGCACCTATGGCCACGGTTTCAAGTAATCATGGACGCTCATTGCGAGTCTCTGAAACGGATAGGAGCCAACACCGGCCGCAGTGCTGTGTCTGCCCTTTCTCTTGCAGGCGGCGACGACCTGAACCAGTCATCCGCACCGCATTTCCTAACGCAACGCTTTGGACAATTGCTACACGGCATTCTCGTGTTGAGCAGTGAAGCAGGCGACGACGAGCCTGTAGCCAACAGTCTTTCTCGTTTGACCTCCGAATTCGACGGCCTCTTGACCAAACTCAGCCGGATCGGCGGTGATGCGAAACGAAGAGAGCGGTTCCTCTACAACAACTATTCTTTGGTCCTGACCATAATCAGCGTAGGTAGCCTCCTCTTTCGAGCTGGGGTATACTAACTTGGTATAGGACACGCAAGGTAAACTAGCAACGGAACAGAAGCAGGTGAGTCTATTTCTCTCCCAAAAAAAAAAAAAAAAAAGTGGTAGCTAACCGGTATAGCATTTCGAGGAGATGCTCAAGGGCGTCAGCCGACGCAGCTAGAGAATGCACCTGCACTACGAAATATCATTCCGAGATACCTGGATATACACACGAGGCTGGTTGCTCACATGTATCATAATATTTGCCTGGACGATAGACTACCAAAGCTGTACATAATTCACATATATACCCATCATTACGTCTACCTACATATTTTTCTACTACTGCTATCTTACCGGTTACCGAAGTATAGAACATAAGATCCGCCTGTTTTATTAGCCGCTCTAGGCTTCTGCACAAGAAGACTAGCTATCAAAACAGGTGGAGGGTGATTAACGCGCAATGTAGGTTCGGAATCAACTCCGACTACGGTATCCACTCTTCTCCAACTTGCGAGCTCACCACCACTCTAGGAAATGTCGCCATCAAGCACAAGGTACAAATAAGAGAACTATCACGCCATTCATACTCCAAGCTGCCAATATAAGGACCGATTACAGCTCCTAATGGCCACTCGAGCTGGCCTCTCCCTCCGCCGGAGCCTTCCCCGCGCGCGCGGGTTTAGCACTACCCGCGCAGCCTCCGCAGACGTCACTCACGCTGTACGCTCCATCTTCCTGCCTATCCATGGTGTCTGCAGCTGACCAACCCACCGCTACATGTAGGTAATTGGCGGCGGTGTTGTCGGCCTCGCAGTCGCCCGGCAATTAGCTTCGCGCCCAAATACATCGACCATTCTCCTTGAGCGGCATGATGCGCCGGGGACGGAGACAAGCAGTCGCAATTCAGAGGTACCCTCAACACCCAGCCCATCTTCAACCCAGTCGCTACCAGAGCAATACCAATACTTTCAATCCCCAGGTAATCCACGCAGGCCTGTACTACGGCACCGACACCCTCAAGACAACGCTCTGCATCCGCGGCAAACAACTCCTCTACGCGCTCTGCGCAAAACACGGCATCCCCCACCGCAACACCAAGAAATGGGTCGTCGCGCAAAACGAAGAACAATGGGCCGTCACGCTGAAAACGCACGAACTCGCTAAACAGCTCGGCGTCCCCACGCGCCTTCTCTCACAGTCTGAAGCGCGCGAACGAGAGCCCGAGGTCCGCGGGCGCGCGGGGATCCTCGAGTCGTCCTCCACCGGTATCGTCGACAGCCACGCGCTCATGACATACCTACAGGGCGACTTCGAGGATAAAGGCGGCGACTGCGCGTTTTTGACAGAGGTAACGGGGATAGAGGCGCTGGATGGGGGACGGGGCGGGTACAGGATCACGGCGCGCTCGGGGTCCGGCTCGGAAAGCGAGACGACGAGTATCGTTGCCGAGACGGTGATCAACAGCGCAGGGAACTACGCGTGCGCGGTGAACAACATGCTTCTCCCGGCTGAGCGGCACAGGACACCGTTCTATGCCAAGGGGACATATTTCTCGTATGCTGCGTCGTTTCCGACGCGCGCGCCCTCTGTCCTTGTTTATCCCGCTACGCTCCCTGGGACCGGGGGACTGGGTACACATCTCACCCTCGATATGGGCGGGCAGATCCGGTTCGGCCCAGACGTGGAATGGGTGGATGACCCGAACGACCTGAAGCCCTCGCCTGCACGCATGGAGCTCGCGATCCCTGAGATCCAGGCGTACCTGCCGAATGTTGATCCGTCTGCCCTGACACTGAGTTACTGTGGGATCCGGCCGAAGTTGGGAAAGGGGGGTTCGGTGAATACGGGCAAGGGGTTCCAAGACTTCGTTATCCAAGAGGAAGAGGGGTTTCCTGGGTTTGTGAACTTGCTTGGTATTGAGAGCCCCGGGCTCACGAGTTGTTTGGCGATTGGGGAGGTTGTTGACGGTATTCTTTATAGATAGATCAGTCGTTTCGTATACCTATATAGACTAAGCATGATGTTTTTCTTGATATTGGATGTGTTATGGAGTGATTCGTATGTTCAGCTGCTTGTTTGTTTGAATGCTTGATTCTGAACGATATGATCTGAATCGGCTATAGTATGTCGGAGTCAGGAAGTCCCAGAATCCAGACACTACACACTTATCTATACTCTGGGCTAATGCTGTATGTCTAAGCGAATATATATGTTTCAACGTCAACATCAAAGGCCAGCAGAAAATCGGGCTCAGGCGCAACTCGACTAGGGACCATGTTCAAACCCGCTTATAAATATATATATGGCCGATGATCCTGAAGAACAGAATTGAAGCACAGCGGAGGATAAAAGCAGGCTCAAGTAGCGGAACATGCTACGCAGAAGGTCATTATAGTTAACGATGTTAGCATTTTTGTGTGGTATCATATATACTATATTCATACAATGGGGGCCGTAAGAAGTCATTAGAACAGTTGATGTCCAGCCCGCTAGACGCACTTTCTGAGCTTTTGATGCCGGCGGCGCCGAACCATGCGGCCGTCCGTGTATTCGTGGCGACGTCCAGCATCGCCGACCCTGCCACTTTGCAAGACGGAAAACTGGCAGCATCTCCTCTACTCGACCTCCATGAGCACATCACTCATGATATGAAGAACATACGAGAACTTGCGCACGCTCCACTTCCCTGCGTCCTTGAGGAGACCCGCATAGTCCAGCAAAATGCGACGTGCAGACTGATACCCGCCCTGAAACGGCACTCCGCGGAAATAAACCGTTCCTCCGTTGCGGATGAAATTGACTGCTGGATCGTCCGAGGGCGTGAACGTCTGCGTACCGCGCGGCTCCATGAAACTGGTAAACCCCTCTGTTCCGACACGCTCCCAGTCGATGTCGTCCAGTAGTTCGATTGACGTTCCACCAACTTGGAGCTCGCTGGGACTGGGGACCATGAAGATGTACAGACCTAGGACGAGAGCTGCGGAGAAGAGGGAGAAGACGGAGTGAAACATTGTATGATCGGATGCTTTACGGTTGGTCATTGCCTTGTAGATGTGCGCGGCATGGAGACATGCTCGTCTGGCTGCTGGTGTTTGTGACCACGTCGCAATGTCATCTAATGCTTTCCTAGCGGGTCCTGCTCCTGCGCGACCGGCGGCTAGGTCGAAGATTTGGGTATCTGCTGTTAGAGTCATGCAGATGTTGTGCCACATGATGGCGGCATTGGGGTTGAGGCGCTCAAGGACTTCGCCGTACTTGTCTGCTATTTGCAGCTGGAGCGACGGTAAGCATCTTGCGCGCCCATCCATGGCGTACGTATGGCAAGGTGCAAAGGGATAGCTTGCTCTATTTGACAAGAGACGATGGTACGCTTCTGATAATCGGAGCTGGACCATTGCTAATACTCCGTGAATGCAAAAGTCGTCGACGGGATTGTCCAATGCGGGCACTGTAATGTTTTCCGAAGGCGCCATTACGGTTGGCATCAGAAGACGGTTGCCGCTGCGGACCAGCTGGATCCAACGCATGGAGCCATTTGCCCGGAAGAGGCCTTCATTGCACGGTAGGATGAGCTGAATCGAATCTGGTACTGTAATCGGGCTGGTTGATAGGAAGGAGGAGTACCACGAGTCCAATAGTAGGAGTCCAGTGATTAATCTAACTGGTCAGAGAAATGTAGAGTACGTGATAGGACAAACGTACCGCTTGACGGATTCAACCTTGCTCCACGTCTTCCACCTGACATCAATATCCGGTACCGCCTCAAAGAGGGTTATGTCAAGGATCTGACCTTCAGTAGCTGCGAAAAGGCCATGTCGTTGCGCAATCTTCCTTGTTAGCCACGAAAAGGCAGGACAAGGGCTTAACATACCGATATGAGGTTGACATAAAGCATTTGCGACTTCTCGAGATGTTCCTTTTCCTGCTCCAGTTAGCCAGGCACAATCTGACAGAAAATCTGAGACAAGCTTACTCCGGTCATTGCCGCCAAATTAAGGAAGAGGAATGCTGCTGCAAATGTATTCAGAGTGCCTAGTGTGTTCTCAACACCCACAGAGCACTTCGCTAGGTCCGCAGTGATTCTCTCCAGAACATACTACCGACGTTAGTAAACAGTAGACACTCCGATAATGTACTTACGGAAAAGTTTTTCGCGACGAAAGTTGTCGTTCCCTTCGTCCCCAGCATGATCATGCCGATGAGACACATGACGTATAGCACTGGAAGACGAGTGTTCTTTGCCGAGAAAGTCGGAACATGAACAAAAGGGACAAGCGGGTGAAAGTTGCGAAAGAACAAATCCAGCGCCATGTCCAAAATTTCGGCTGGAGGGAAGCTCTGACGTCCCCCAAATGGTGAATTGGACGTGGGTGATAGAGCACTATTCGGCGATTGTAGTTGATTGCTGTGGCGGATGTTTCCGAAGGCCGCTTGCAACTGCTGACGGCATTCCTCGTCGAGGCCGTATCGGGACCCTGGAAGCAGTCCTGATGGGCTGCTGAAAGACTGTGATGAATGCATGGAGAAAATATTATCAACGTCGCTGGTGGCGACATCCCGCCAGAGGGTGTTCATGAGCCTCCCGGTGGTGTTCGACGGGGCCACCCAGTACCGCTGGACTCTTGCGAAGCGTTCATTCGGAATATCACCGGTCTGCTTGCTCTTGAGATCATCGAGCTGAGGCCTGGACTGCTGTTCCGGAGTAATCGCAACATTATCTCCCATTAGGCTGAAACTCGGCTCGCCTAGCATGTCAAGCGACCCATGATGCGAACCCGTCTCACCGCGCGGCTCCAACCAAAACTGCAGCATGTCATTCGGCATAGCATCAAATATCGGCGTTCGGTAGGTCTGATGATCTGACGGCGGAGCAGCGACAGGCTGAGGCGGCGGGGGAGCGGGCATCTCGTTCCAGCCAAAATAGGTCTGTTGTTCCTCGACCATCATGGAGCCTACGTCCGGCTCGGTCCGGGCATGGTGGGCGGAGATATCTGCAAGAAAGTCCAACGACGAAGACTGGACCTGCGGAAGGCTAGAGAGCGAGACATCGCGCGGCGCAATAGGAAGACCGTGAGAGGGATGAGTATCGCTGTCCATCGGAAGGAAGCGGGAGGAGTCGAGCGGAGCGGGCGTTGGCTGAGGAGGATTGGAGGGCTGGGAGGCTGACGGAGCGCGCGGTTTATTCTGAGCTTGACTTGCATTCGCCGCTGTACCATTTGCATTGTGCCCTTTGGCATGGCGACTCAACACATCGCTAAACAATCAGCATCGGAGTTTGTGCATCTCGAGGCTACCCACCTGCGGGAAAATCGCTTATGGCAGACGCTGCACTCGTAAGGCTTTTCCTTGGTGTCTGGAACACGTCAGTGAAAGTCTCCTAAGTAGGACCGCAAGACTGACGCGATCGTTCATGGCGCTTGAAATGCTCCGTTTTTTTGAAGCGACGGTCACAGATGTTGCACTTTCTGATAACCATGGTGACCCGCGGGGGCGAGGAGAATAGTATGGATTGACTTAGGAACCTGGAAACATATCGCTGCGCACGCGATTCAAAGTCACTAGGCGACAGCGAGTCTTCGGGTTGGTAGGTGGTTGGTTGGAAGACTTGGAATGTTGCGAACGTTGAAGAGCAAGCCGGAGTAGGCCCCGGGGAGTCGTGACGGTGAGGGGAAAGGCACGGCCAGCGGTAATTAATCGTACAGGACCGGTAAAGTACGGGGAGCACCAGTGGCTTGGCCGAGATCCGGGGTATCGTACCGTATTCCGGGGAGGACTTGGGGTCCTGCTGGGCCGATTGGACAGGACTTGGGTGTTCAACTGTTGTGAGCTCGTCGCGCCTTCGCATCTACTTTCCTTGCAACTGCATTAGTCCGGCAAACCCGGGCATACACCGGTATACAGCAAGCCTGCGTCCCAGTCAACAATACAGCTTGCTCTCATTATTAAGAGCACCAAAGAGGGAAAAGCTGCTGATCATCAAAGGCTCGGAAAGTGGAGTCGCGGCAATTGCCAACTGCCGGCCTGAGCCTCTATCAACAGCGACGAGAGAATACGAATAAATGGGAGACACCCAGCCTTAACCAGAGACTGTTTTTGCCAACTCTATATTCGACCCACTGGCGATTGGGGATCCAGGAGACACCTTACGCTCTCCGCAGGAGGCCTTGGAGGTACTCTTCATGCTGGAGGAAGCGAGCATCATTTTCTGCATCACCAAAATAGCAGCACTGATACAATACGGTGCTCCAAGGTAACAAATGTAAGTTGCCCACGCCCACGAGTTTCATTACAGACGACCATCTGGCATTGTCACAGGATCGAGCTCTATGCGTTCTCTTCATTCATTATCAATCCTACTCCTTACTTTGCTCTACTTCCCTATATTATTGTGGAATCCCTTATCCTCAACTCCACTTCTTTCTGCAGAGTGCACTTGACTTGATATCAAGGATGATGACGAGCTTCCGGACCTGGTCGATGGGATGAATCCCCCGGAAGGATAGAGTGAATCTCGAACTAGGCAGGATTATTGATACAGAGTGCCTGGAGGAATACTATCAAGCATTCTGCGCCGGCTTCCGGGAGAGGGAATGATGAGGATCTTGTCTTCATCGACCTAACACCTACTTCACGACGGCAAACCTGGGAGGGGTTTGTGGGGAACAAGCAGAAACAACTGGGTTGGAGATACCCTCCAGAGAAAGACGCGACCAGATATCGAAAGCATGGATTGAGGGCCGCGCACTCGTAGAAGACCAGGGCTTTTTATGGGAGAATCGCAGCGCGAGGCTAACCATTGTCAGTCATCAGATATGGGAGGAATCCGTTATAATCTTCCTGGCCAGGGCCAATAATTGTGTCACTAGACCGCCAACAAATCCGAGGGAGTTCCATCATGAGGCATCTACAGGGATTCATATTCAGTGGAGTATGTGTACAAAGTCTGATTGACACCTATGAACCCCAGTTCGCAACCGCCTGTTAGGGCTTGGGCGTATTGGCCAATTCGACCAACCGCTCATCATCATACCACGCGTCCAGCCTCCTCTTTCTTTCCTCCTTCTCCTTGTTGACCGCGTCCAATATCCCCCTGATACCCGGATACGAAGAGAACTTGTCAGGCAGCGCATCCCAAACCCGCGGATCCGTGCCCTGGCTCTTAAACACGCCGCATCCGGAGATCGCATACTCCGTGAACAGAAAGCTCCGGCTACTCTCGACCATAATGGTCATCTGGTCCTCCAGAATCCTCCTCGGCTCATTAACCTGCACCCGGTTCTCCCACACATACTCCTTACTAAAGTTCCCATGCGGCGTATGCGCAACCTCCACGCTCCCGCCTCCAGGCAGGAAATCCTCTGAGCGGCCAAGCCCATTACCATACAATGATGCAAGAAACTCCGTCGCAGCGTTGCGGTGAAAGTAAGGGAGCCGAAACGTATTCGAAGCCACGTCCCAGCGTGGCCCAAACCAGAGGAAGTCTGCGAGCGGTGTGTGTGGGTCGTGAGAGCGCGCTGTCAGAACGCAGTTTATCGAGGGATCGGTGTGGTCGATCGATGTGGCGTTTTGGGAGGAAAATTTCGTCAGGTCGTACTGTCGCCATCAGTAAATTAGCTTCTGGCGAAAGTTGGCGAGAAAGGGGTGGAAGGGTTACCTTGTATGGAACAACGTTGCCATGCCACGCGACCACATCAAAGGGGCTGTGGTCTTGGGCAATAGCATTAAGGCTCCCGTTCGCCTTATTGACGATGGTCCAGTCCTCATGCAAAAAGTCAAGATCATCAATATGCGCCACAGGGTGCAGGAAATCCCTCGGGTTCGCCAGACCATGGCCGCCCAGTGGTCCCAGGTCCGGTAGATCCCATCGTGACCCCCAGGTCTCAACGATATACCCTCTCCCCTTACCAACGTCACTATTCTCATACCCTCCCTCTTGACCTATTTCCTTACCCAGCCTAACAGCGAACCTCACACCCCTGGGCACTACACAAATCTCGCCCGGCTGGACATACAACATCCCCAACTCCGTCTGAATATCCAGGCTTCCCAACTGCGGCACAATCAGGAAGTCCCCGTCCGTATTACAGAAAGCTCGACGGTCCATATCCGCATTGATCATGAACACGTAGAGCGCAATCCCCTCATGCAAGTTCGGATTCCCACTTCCACCAAGCGTATGCAGGCCATCGACGAAGTCGACGTTCCCGTCACTTGCTGCGTCGGGCAAGGGAAAAGGCGCCCATTCGCCTTGTGAGGGGAGTGTATGCACACGGGGGTTCAGAGTCAACAGGCTGTTCTCAATATGTGATTTGCATTCGATGTCCGTTTTGTATCCGTCTAACATACCACCTCCATCAGCACACTCGCTCAAACCACACAACAAACCCAACCTAGCCACAATCCACAGAAGCTGAGGACAAGCGAACTCACCATGCGCAGCAGCCGGCCTAACACGATAAAGATAAGTGCTGAAGTTCTCCCTCCTCGGCGCCGTAAAAGCAGAGTATGTTATTCCCTCGGTGTAGAGCCCGAACCGCGGTTCTTGAGGGTTATTCTGCCCCGCGGGCAATGTGCCGGGAATAACCTCGGACTGGTGTCTGTTGCCGAAGCCGGGCGTGTAGGTGTAGGGATCGTTGGGGCGAGTTGGGCTGCGGGTCATGGTGTCCGTGTAGTGAAAGACATGGCGGAAGTCGGTGATGGGGTGGCGGGGAATCAGGGGGGGTGTGTTTGCCATTTTAGTGTTCTGTGAGTCTGAGATGGGCGAAGTTGAGATTGATTTGGATGTGAGGTTGTTGCAGTAGGACGAGAGCGTGCTGCTGGCTTCGTATGAAGGGAGTAGATATAAGTATATAAGTATGAGACGTAATGGTGACCCCGGCCCCTCTACATGATGTAGTAGATGGAGTGCAGGTGGTGCCTGGATGGATGTATGGATGTATGGATGTGGAGCAGGGCAGCTGCAGATGGAGCCCACATGAGCTTGGCCCTGCACTGTAGATTGCGGAGACAGTTCATGGCTCCATGTGGGTTGATCTCATGATGCTCGTCTTCGAGGGCTCACTTGAACCTGCGGGGCTGGGGCATTGTGGAGAGCTATACCAGAATCTGGGGTTGTTGATGCCATTGCCAGATATCTGGTACTACGCAAAATCCTGTGGAACGGTGGAACATCTTGCGCGCAGACACGTAGCCTGTACAATATACAATAAACCAAGAACCTGCTAGATCAATCAACCGCCAAAACATCATCCACCATCCTCCCACAAGCCCCCAAATAATTAACTGGATCACACAACTCCCGCACCCTCTCCAGTCCCATCTTCTCCATCACCTCCTCATTCTTCGCCAGCTCCTCCTCAAGGCTCCCCCCACTCTCAATCGTCGCATGACAAGCCTCATACACAATATCATGCGCCCTCTGCCTCCCCACAAACGGCGCAAGCCCCATCATCACCGCCTCAGCAACAATAAGCCCCTTCGTAGAATGGAGATTCCTCAACATAGCCCGCTCATGCACAACCAGCCCACCCAGCGCAAACTTCGTCTGCTCCAGCGCGCCCACAGCAAGAACAAAGCTCTCCGGAACGGCAATCCACTCAAGATGCCAGGGCCCACTGGCGCGCTCGAAATCCGCAACCATACCATCAAGCACAAGCGAGGCGTTCGAGCGGAGCCGCTTCGACGCGGCAAGAATCACCTCCGACGAAATGGGGTTGCGCTTCTGCGGCATCGTGCTGGAGGCGCCGCGGTGCGGGACGAACGGCTCCGACACCTCGCCGAGCTCGTTCGACGACATGACGATCACGTCGAGCGCGAGCTTCCCCATCGACCCGCCAAGCAGCGCAAGGAAGTTCGTGATCTCGCCCACGCCATCGCGCGCAACGTGCCATGTGATCGGCGGGTTCGTGAGGCCCAGTTCGTCCGCGAGGGCCTTGCGGACGCGGAGGCCGGCGTCGCCGGATCCCAGCGACGCGAGGGAGCCCGCTGCGCCGCCGAATTGCACGAGGAGGGTGCGTTCGCGGAGTTGCTTGAGGCGCGCCGCGTGCCGCTGGAAGCTCGACAGCCACACGGCGCATTTGTACCCGAATGTTACGGGGAGGGCGTGTTGGAGGTGGGTGCGGCCGGCCATGGGCGCGTCTCTGTATTTGACGGACAGGCCGCGCAGAACGGCGATGACGTCGTTCAGCAGCTTCTCTACGATATCGAGCCCCTGCTTCATTTGCAGGACGGAAGCGAGGTCCATGATATCCTGGGTCGTTGCGCCCCAGTGCACGTATTTGCCTGCGTCTGAGCCGCACATGGCTGAGAGTTGGCGCACGAGCGGGAGGATCGGGTACCCGACGATCTCGGTCTCCTTGCGTAGGCGGTCCATGTCTAGTGAGGAGGGGAGTGCTTTGTTTGTGACTAGGGAGCCGATGTGCGAGGGGATGACGTTGCATGTTGACTGGGCGCGCGCGAGAGCCGCTTCGGCTTCGACGCAGCGGGTTATGTAGGATTCATCGTCGAAGACCTGTCTCTGTTAGTGGACATGTTTCTTAGTTCTAAGGTATGGACGTACCTTTCGGATCTCTTCTGTACCGAAGAGGGTGCGGAAGATGCTCGAGTCGATTGCACTGACGGATCCAATGGTGCGCTTGGTGGCAGCAATCGGGGCGATGCGAAGGGGTTTCCGGGGGAGACGGGAGAGCTGTTTGAGGAGGGACATGGTGGGTTTGGTTGTAAGGACGCAATGAAGATGGCTGCTAACTTGAAGTCGCAATTGAAATACGGTCGGAGAGAGTCCGGGCCCCACCAGGGAGTGTTTACGCGTGGGGCTTGGATAGCTTCATCCCCGCATTACCTACACTAACATCTGTCTCTCATGGCGTTTTATGATATTGGTACACTTTCTGGGTGCTTTTATCTCTAAAGGAACATATTCTTCAACGAGGTCCACAAGGAGAGATCCCAACACAGTCAACACAGATAGCACCCTCAGTAACAACCAATCCAACACCACCTCCAAGATACTGGTCATCTGAAGCAGTGATGTCCACCCCATTTATCCTTCCACGAATACGCGCTCCCTGGGCTTCCAGCGCAAAGTCATACTCGCCATCCAAGGCCCACTCAAAGGGCACCGAAGCAAGCGTTATCCTGTCCTCATCCTTCGCCTTCACGAGCGCCACACGACGTCCCCCTGAATTGGTGTTGGTGAGTGGTAACGCATAGTACCGGTTCAGGCCTTGTACGCGGATCGCCACGCCCACCGGCGCACCCAGGTTGACTTTCAGCTTGGGCACAGAGACCCGGTAGTCTGTCCACTCTTTTGTGCCGTACATGGCGATGCCTTCGCCGGTGTCATGGGATAGAATGAACGAGTGGGAATCCATGTCGGTGTGGAGCTTGCTCATGCCGTTGATCCAGGAGCGATGCCATGCTTGGCCGCGGGTGAGGCTTGGAGAGGACGGACGGCGGAAGATCATGCGTGGTGCTCCGTCCCAGCGCAGGCTATCTAGCCAGACGATCCCATTGACGGGGCCTGTAGTCGGCTGAATGCACAGGCCAACTCTGTGGATTGGGCGGCCATCCATTACGTCTGGGATAGTCCATGTGATTGATTGTAGTGTACTGGAGAGAGCGGTTGTGGAAGTCCCGTCGAGGATCCTGGTGCTGTCGCTCTCGCCGAATACCTGCAGCCGCAGTCCGATTTTGGCTGCACCAGATGGGATGGTGCTTCGGAACTTGGCGCAAACTGTCTGGCCGGGGTAGAGGAGCGGCGAGCCTACGAACTCGTACAAGGTCATCTTTAACTCCTCGGACGATCCAAAGACGGGAGTCGATACTTCGACTGGAGTGGTTGGGGTTCGGAGGTTTTGGATATGGATTGCCAGGCCAGAGTTTCCATCTTCGTCGAACTCTTGCTTCACGCTGACATTGTCACTTTCCGGCCCAATGACTTCGAAGCCCTAGACACTTCCAGGTAGGGTGAAGTGATACTGAGCGCCGTCCTTGGGCGGTTGGATACGGCCATGTCCAGCCAGTTGCCGGCCCATGTTGGCGATGTCGATGGCTATCCTAGCGGCATTATTGATGGAATAGCCTACCTCGGCCGTAGAGAGCAGTGCTCGATCAGCCAGTGGCCCTCTCCAGTCGTACTTCCTCTCAAAAGCCGCTAAACCAAGCATGACAGCCACTAAACAGCCCACGTTTCCCGCGTTGCAGTCTGTATCCCATCCACACGTATTGACGATATGCATCGCTTCATCAAAGTCATGGCCGGCGTAGATCACAGTCATTACCATAATCGCATGATTAGGGATCACATGGCAGACACCGTGGAACTTGTCGTATCCATAGATCGCCTCGATGCGCTCTCTTGTTTTGAGCCAGTCGCCGTCAACTTTACACCACTCGCGCACCTCACCAACAACGCGGGCTACCAGCGAGTCCTCAGGAATAACAGACAGCCCGATATCCAAGAGGTAGTTTATATCCCTTGACAAAAAAGCTTCAGCCTCCATGGCGGCCCACAGTTGAGCGGCATAAACCGACTCCCCATCGTGACTGACAGAGCCAGCGGCGCGCGCCATCTTCGCCGCCTGGACAGGTGCCCCCGGCGAGACGAGAGCCCAGCCATCGATGAAGATCTGCGCCCCGATCTGCTCAGATACGGTTTTGCCGTTCGTCAGACTGGATCCGCTCCACGGCGCAGGGAGGCCGCTTTTGAGATTCAGGAATGCAGTATGTTCCGTTGACACGCCCCGTCCTCCCCACCAGAAGATAGTCCGGTTCTCGATGACCGTGTTCAGCCACGTCTGCCCGATGTCCTCGGAGGTGATGTCGTCGGAAACGCCGTGTTCTTCGAGGGCCCGGATGAACTGGAAGGTTCCGGAGACGTCATCGTCCGTTACGACTAGTGGCTCCTTGAGTTTGTCGTTTACGTAGTAATGGATGTGGCCCAGCTCGGCGAGGATGCGTTGGTGTGTCCATCCTTCAAAGGGGCGGCCCATGTAGACCCCCACCAGTTTTCCCAGGACGCCGGCATAGACGCGTTCTAGGTAATCTGTTGGTAAGTTTCTGGGCGTTTGGAGTGTTGAAGTCATGGTGCATCAACTCTCAGCTCATTTGGGATACTTGAGAAACCACAGGAAGTTGCACAATGCAACGATGTTGTTTGCGGGGGCTCTCGAATACAGATTGCGGTACGGTGGTCCCATCAGGCACCGGTCTATCTCATCGACCCGGAGCCAATGGCCATGGGCTGGGAGCGATCCTCGGCATCAGTCACAGAGATAGCGTGCAGCGAGTGCCTACACGGTTATGGACATGAAATTACTCCCAGGCAATCTAGGATTCGCTGGTCTCTTCTACAATCCGGAGATAAGCACATGGGGCATCCTGACCCCACACTTGCAAGCTTCTCCGCACCAGCCCCAGCACAAGCCCATAAACACCCTACACCGATATACTAACTTTTTCTCTCCTATCACCATTGTCTACCTCGTCCCCCCTCCCTGCACATATACCCAGAGCAACCATGTTCCGCAACGCCCTCAAAAAGACCCCGCACGACATCGTCCTCCTCTCCGCCGTCCGCTCCCCCATAACCCGCGCCTTCAAGGGCGGCTTCCGAGACTCCCACCCAGAGGACATCCTCATCCCCGTCCTGCAAGCCTCCCTGGCACGCGCCAACATCCCAGCGGACAGCATAAACGACGTCCTGATCGGCAATGTGCTTGCGGAACTCGGGTTCGCGAAAACCGGCCGCACAGCGCTGAATGCCGCGGGGTTCGATCCACGCAAGACAACGTTCCACACGGTCAACAGGCAGTGCAGTAGTAGTCTCCAGGCAATCACGCATATTGCGCACGCGATTGCCGTCGGGCAGATTGAGGTGGGGATTGCGGGGGGCGTGGAGAGCATGAGTAGGAATTATAACCCCAGTCGGGGGATTCCGAGGGATGTGAGTCCGTTGTTGGTAGGGTGTGGGGTCAAGGATGCGAGCGATTGTCTGTTGCCGATGTTGGTGACGAGCGAGAATGTGGCGAGGCGGTATGGGGTTAGGAGGGGGGAGCAGGATGCGTTTGCGGCGGAGAGTCAGAGGAAGGCGGGGCGCGCGCAGGAGGAGGGGAGGTTTAGTGAGATTGTGCCGGTGAATGCGATTCGGGTTGACGGCGAGACGGGGGAGGAGGCGTTTGAGGTCGTGGAGAGAGATGATGGGGTGAGGAAGGGCGTTACGGTTGAGAAGTTGGCGGCGTTGAAGCCGGTTCTGGAGGGGGGCGCTTCGACTGCTGGGAACTCGTATGCCTACTAACTTGCCCGTTCATGCTAGTCTGTTCCTCGTACTAACTGTGATCAGGTCTCAAATATCCGATGGCGCCTCGATTACAATCCTTGCCAGCCGCGCTTGGGCTGAATCAAACGGGTACAAGCCTATTGCCCGCTTCGCTGGAACCCAGGTTGCAGGCTGTGCCCCGGATGAGATGGGCGTCGGGCCCATCGACGCAATCAGGAATCTGTACAAGTACAGCGGGATCTCGCAAAGTGACGTGGATATATTCGAGCTCAACGAGGCGTTCGCAAGCCAGAGTATCCACTGTATCAGAGAGCTGGACATCGATATGGCCAAGGTCAACCCGAATGGAGGCGCAATTGCGCTTGGTCATCCGATCGGAGCTACGGGCGCGAGGCAGACAGCTACACTACTTGCAGAGTTGGAGAGGAGCGATAAGGAGGTTGGAATTGTGAGTATGTGTGCCAGTACGGGAATGGGTGTTGCGAGTTTGTTTGTTAGGGAGTAACTTTCCTACTTTCAATATGGACTATGGTGTATAGTGTATAGTGGCAGATTGTATATATGAGTTCTGTATGTTGAAGCATAAATTCATTCTGGAGTCCTAAATCGGTCATGAAAACTAAAGCGAAGGGGCACTAGGCTCATAAAAACTAAAGCGGATGGCACTAGACACGAGATCCCTCTACTCCAACATAGCCTCGATCAGTCCAAAGTGATCAGGCATAGTCTGCAGACTGACAATCTTCAAGCCAGCCTTCGCCAGCAACTGCGCCCACTGCTCCCTCGTCCGCTCAAGGGCTCCAAGGGTCGCCATCATAATCATATCCTGCCACGCGGTGACCTTATCAGCCCCGGTCTCCGGCACAACACGCTCCAAAATCCAAAGCTTCGAATACCCCGGCGTGAAGCTCTGCGCCGTGTTCTTCAAAATCTCAACCGCCTGGTCATCCGCCCAGTTGTGCAGCACCGTCTTGAAACTGTACACCCGCGCCCCTTTGACAGGCTGCGCGTTGAAGAAGTCATGCTTGACGTATGTAAAGTTCTCATCGCGCATCTCGGCCGGAACATCATCGATAACAGCAGGCCGGTCTTCGACGACAAGCTGCCCCTTGCCCAGTGTGTAAGGGGAAGCCTCAAGATCTTTCTTGACGTGTGCCAGGTCCTGACCGTATCCGCCACCGATGTCGACGTATAAGGGAGCCGTGTTGTCAATGGTCACGCCGTCTTCGAAGATGAGTTTTGCTGCGTTGAAATGGGTAGGCCACGGCGCGCCACTGGTCCGCGGGATCGTCATGAACATGTCAAAGTCACGCTCGTGCTCAGGGTGCGCGGTGTTCCATTCGAAGTTTCCAAGTTTTGTCTGGAAGCTGTACTGAAAGAGCCCGTCGTTGTGACCGGATGGGTTGGCGTAGTTGGTTTCCTTGAGGAACTTAGGGAGGTTGTGAGTGCTTGTGCAGAGAAGGTGGCTGGTCTGTGTCTTAGCATACTCTGGATCGTGGAATATTCCGAATAAAGAAGGGAAGTCACATACCAGTAGCGGAGACCGGCTGCAAAGGAGGGGTGCGCGAGGACGTTCGAAGCAGGCGTTCCGATGTAGCTTTCTGGACCTGTTTCGGCGATGTAGCCCCATGCTACTGCGACTCGCATGAGACGGACTATCAAGGAATCCATTATTCCCGTTACAACATATGAGATGGTCTAAGGACAGGCTCACCAACGAGGTCATGGTCTGCGCCGGTCTGTTGCGCAATTTGCGCTGCAGTCAAGGGACCCTGAGCGAGTTTCTGAAATACTCCTAAATTCTCAAGGGCCACCAGAGAGGGATACATCGTGATCTAGCGGACCGCGTCAGAGCAGTTTGAGTCTATTGTTGAAGTAGAACTTACGCTGGAAATCAGATTTCCAGCCACCAGTAGAGGGCTCTGGAGAGCATCGACAATGGATTGGCATTGTCGAACGATCTCATGGTGAGAGCTTGCATCAGAAGCGTCGAGCGATGACAACTGAGCCAGGGCGGTCTTTGCTGTGGATACTGCGTGGTCTGACATGGTGGATTTGTGGTGAATAGAGAGCTCGATAGAGAATCTGGTATGGACAATCCAGAAGTGAAGTCTGATGGGGCTACCCCAGGTAAGTCCGCCAGGGGCTATTTATAAGACGTCCCGGAGAAACTTGAGTGCAAGACGTGCACCATATTGATGTATGGCCGATGTAAGGTACACTAAGCCATTTACTCTGGCAGGCTGCACGTCAAGGGTTAAGCGAGGCCTGTGATTGATTGGTGGCTGTATGAGATGCAGCATAATCCTGCGCCGTGGTATTTGCTTCTTGCATCCCCAAGAAGCGGGGATGATGCAAGATCGGCGGCCATCTTGAATACTCTCGGTGACCTGGGCGCCGCAACGTCGCCGACGGGGATATCTCACGGATGTTCATTCCAGGAAGGGCTCAACATCTCAGAGACTGACAGCGGAATCCATGTCGAAACGATCCTGCAGACCTGTCAGTGACTGCTTGTCGACAACGTATTGAAAAATATGAGCCGGTACCTCTCCTGGTCTCGATCTCCTTCGCAATTCCTTTCACCTACCTCCAGATCTTGAGATTCTGGCAGGTATTACCGTATCAGTGCCTCCACACCAAGCCCTGTCCAAAAGAGCATCGGTAAGGTGGATCCTCGGTGACCTGGCGACGGCGTGCTTTGGCGGGGTAGCTATACTCCGCTTATGATGATTGATCAAGATTCCTCAAGAATGAAGATGATCTGATGAAGTATGACATCGAGAAAAACTCCGTGCAGAATGCAACTCCGGAATCAAAACTAGACCAGGGACGGTTAGGAAGATGGAGAGGAGCCGGGGAAGCCGTGGAGCTCGACACCTGACACTTGAGGCATTAAGCTGAGTCAAAGCTTAGTCACCGCTGCGTTGCCGACAGCTCTCCCCGGGCATCGGATTCGGATGCGCGGCTTGACTCTTTGCCGGATAACTGCCGGATGAATGCAATTCCCCACGCGCCCCCGATCCGATATGGAGCACCCCGTCTTCCTCTTATTTCTCCAATTGCCTCGCCCTCGAATCTCTTTCCTTCCTCTCCTCTCTCCCCAGAGTTGACCTCCATCATGGCACGACCCGTCCCCGCGGTCGTCCGCCCGTTCGCCGTTTGGCGGCGGCAATTCTCCGCCTCATGCTCCCGACCAGCTGTGGACAAGCGATGCAATTCAGCCGCCGAGGCCGTCAAGGACATGAAGGGCCCGGCCACGATACTCGTAGGAGGTTTCGGTTTCTCCGGTGTCCCCAACACTCTGATTAACGCCGTCCGCGACCGTCCCGACATTAAGGATTTGACCGTTGTCTCGAACAATGCTGGTATGCCCGGTGCCGGTCTCGGCCAGCTGCTCGAGTCTGGACAGATTGGCAAGATGATTGCTTCATTTATCGGTGAAAACAAGGTCTTTGAGAAGATGTATCTGAGCGGAGACCTCTCTCTCGAATTGACCCCCCAGGGCACCATCGCTGAGAAATGCGCTGCTGGTGCCGCTGGTGTCCCCGCTTTCTATACCCCTGCTGCTTATGGAACTATCGGTACGTCCTTTTCTTTGCCTCCTACATACTATACTAATCCTATTGTTGCAATAGTACAAACTGGTGAACTCCCCGTGCGCTACAACAAGGACGGAACGGTCGCGGAATACTCCAAGCCCAAGGAGACCCGCGAATTCAACGGCAAGGCTTACATCCTGGAAGAATCGATTTTCGGTGACTACGCTCTGATCAAGGCCGACAAGGCTGACAAGCTCGGCAACTGTCAATTCCGCAAGGCTCAGAACAACTTCAACGAGGCCATGGCCAAAAACGCCAAGTACACCATCGTTGAGGCTGATGAGATCGTCGAGGTCGGCGAGCTCCGCCCGGAAGAGATCCACGTTCAGGCCATCTACGTCAACAAGGTTATCAAGAGCACGGAAAAGAAGCAGATTGAAAAGCTCACCTTCGCCAAGGACCCTAGCGAGATGCTCCAGGCTGGTGAGTACCATGATTCGGGATATTGTCGACTAAGCTAACTGTTCAGGCTCTGGCGAGGCTACTGCCCGTCGCGAGCGTATCGTCAAGCGTGCCGCTAAGGAGTTCGAAGACGGAATGTACGTTAACCTCGGTATCGGAATGCCCCTGATCGCCCCCTCCTACCTCCCCGAAGGCGTTGAGGTCTTCTTGCAGGCTGAGAACGGTATCCTGGGTCTGGGTGGCTACCCCAAGCCCGGCGAGGAGGACCCCGATCTGATCAACCCCGGAAAGGAGACCGTTACCCTGAGCAAGGGTGCCTCCCTGTTTGGATCCCACGAGAGTTTCGGCATGATCCGCGCTGGCCGCATTGACATGACCATGCTCGGTGCTCTGCAAGTCAGCCAGTACGGAGATCTCGCCAACTTCATGCTTCCCGGTAAGGTCAAGGGTGTTGGTGGCGCCATGGACCTGGTCGCCAACCCTGAGAAGACCAAGGTTATTGTCACCATGGAACACACCGACAAGAAGGGCAACCCCAAGATCCTGTCTCAGTGCTCGTTCCCGCTGACCGGACCCCGCTGCGTGTCCAAGATCATCACCGACCTTGCTGTCTTTGAGGTCAGCACCACCGAGGGTCTTACCCTCGTTGAGCATGCCGAGGGCGTGTCTGTGGATGAGATCCGCAGCAAGACCGAGGCCCCCTTCAAGGTTGCGGCTGACCTGAAGCCAATGCTGTAATGATACCTTACGTTTTTGAATAGTACAAAATTTTCTTACCCTTTCAAACTCAATGCGTCCAAAAATCATTTCTCCGCATAATACTCCGTAGGTGAATGTGGGGTCGGACTGAACCCACGTGGGGCTCCCCAAATTTCTCCAACTGAGTTCATTAGAGCTTCAACCTACTCCGTAGTTTCTCCAAGTCAACACGGAACAAGCACATGCGCAATGCTGCTATCGCGCCTCCCATTAACGCTCTTCGCACCCAATGGCGCTTCAATACGCAGCCTGACAACTGCAAGCAATGCCACTAAACCCAAGAGCAAAAAGCTTCCCCTTGCCGGGCTGAAAGTCCTCGATCTCAGTCGCGTTCTAGCAGGGGTACGTCAATCCACTTTTCAAGATACTGTTCGCAAGTTAACAGTTCAATAGCCATACTGCACTCAAATCCTCGGTGATCTTGGGTACATCCTTACATCACCGTTCAGAATCTGCGGGAACGAGCTGACGAACCCGGGCCAGCGCAGACATCATCAAAATCGAACATCCCGTCCGCGGCGATGATACACGCGCCTGGGGTCCGCCCTACGCACCCTACATCGACGGCCGAGAAGGCAAGGGCGAGAGCGCGTATTACCTCTCCGTACGCCTCTACCCAGCATCTCCATCTATATACAACGCAGTAGCCAGTACTAACAAGAGCCCAGGTAAACCGCAACAAGCGCTCGCTGGCCCTCTCCTTCACATCAACGGCCGGCCAAAAGATCCTGCACAGACTCGCCCGCGAAGCCGACATCCTCGTGGAAAATTACCTCCCCAACAGCCTGCAAAAGTATAATCTCGACTACGCCACGCTGAGCTCCATAAACCCGTCCCTGATATACACGTCCATAACGGGGTACGGCCAGACAGGGCCCTACAGCAATCGGCCGGGCTTCGACGTCATGGTCGAGGCGGAGTTCGGGCTTGCGCATCTGACGGGGAGTAAAGGGGGTCCGCCGGTGAAGGTTGGTGTTGCGGTTACGGATTTGACGACGGGACTTTATGCGGTGCAGAGTATTCTTGCGGCGCTTTGGCAGCGCGCGCAGAGTAAGCTGGATGGAGCGGAGGGGAAAGGGGAGGGCCAGCATTTGGATGTTTGCCTTAGTGATTGTCAGGTTGCGACGCTGGCGAATATGGGGCAGGGGCCGTTGGTCTCAGGACAGAAAGATAGTGGGAGGTGGGGGACTGCGCATCGTACGTTCGCTCTTCTCTTCTCTTGGGTGTTACTGTTGTGGATATACACCGTGGATCAACCTCGGGTTTACGGATATGATCACTAACCCGAGCCGTACAGCATCCGTCGTCCCCTACCAATCCTTCGCCACAGCCGACGGGGATATCTTCGTCGGCGGCGCAAACGACAAGCTGTTTGGGATCCTGTGCGCGCGTCTCAACAAGCCTGAGTGGGCTTCTGACGCGCGCTTCCTTACGAACTCGGACCGCGTGGCGAACCGGTCGATCCTTGAGGACCTGATTGAAACGGAGACGAGGAAGGTCTCCACAAGCGAATGGCAGAAGAGGCTCGAGGGCTCAGGGCTGCCGTTTGCTGTTGTTAATGATGTGTTGGGGACTATGGGGCATGAGCATGGTATATACTTCCCCTCCCCCCTTATGCTGGAATAACAGGTTCCTAACAGATATGTGTTCAATAGTACAAGCACGCGGCATGGTCCAAACAATAGCGCACCCGGCCTGCGGGCCCCTTAAGGTTATCTCGCCGCCGGTGAAATACTCGAATGCTGAGCCGAGTATTCGGCGGGCACCGCCATTGCTGGGAGAGCATACGGATGAGATCCTGGCGGAGATTGGGCTTAGTGAGGGAGACATTGCAGGATTGAGAAGAGAGAAGGTTGTTGCTTAGATAGATCTAGTAAGACTTGTGGGCAATATTTAGTATGTATATTGTAGGTATATACAGCATAGACCATGTACATAGAGACATGAGATGGATACATCTGTTCAAATGCGTTAGGGCTGTCGCTAGATGTCCGTTGGTCCCAGAATAGTTTTGACCATTTATGCTACTTTGACACAGCATATAGGTATATGAGACCACCGAGGACTCTCATATGCTATTCAGATCACGTCAATGGTCGCTTAAGAAGACAAGATTGCCACCGCAGCCTGTCCAAACGGAATCATCAGCAACGAACACCCATAAGAAAAGAAAGCCTGGGACCCAGAAGACAGAAAAATTAAGAGAAATCTCACCTTCTCAGCAACCGCATAAACCGAGCTCTGAATATGCGTCGCCGGCAACAAGGGGAAAACACTCGCATCCACCACCCTCAGGCCGCTGACGCCATGCACCCTAAAATCCGTATCAACAACGCCGCCAAGTTCAACCCTCCCCACCGAGCAAGTCCCAGACGGATGGAAAAGAGAATCCGCTGCGCCACGAATATACGCCTCCAAATCCGAGTCAGAGGTAACGTTGCCACCGGGTACGAGTTCGACAGGGTTGAACGCAGCTAAAGAGGGCGTTTGGGCCAGAGATCGCGCGTACTTGATTGCCTCGACTAGGATAGCCACGTCGACGGGATTTCGCAGGTATGCTGGGTCTGCGAGGGGCGGCGTGAAGGGGTCGGATGATGCGAGACGCACGCTGCCGCGCGAGAAGGGGTGCTGCAGGCCTAGGATGAAGGTGCCGTCTGACCAGATGATTTCGAGCTGGGCTTCATTTTCAGCGGCGAGGCCGGTGGTGAGGAGCTCATGTTGGGAGGCGTAGCCGCGTGCTAGCGTAGCCGGGGTATCGGGGTCGAGATACAATGTGGTATGTTGGGATTGGGCGAGCTGCTGTATAGCGCTCGTTTGAGATGTGAAATTTGCTGTAGGCAGGAAGGCAAGAAAATCTCCCGTTGCGTCTGCGTACGGGCCCGTCTGGTCAGTGTGATATAGAGCCAGGGATTCGGCCGCGAATGTGCTGTTCGTGGTGAGGTTAGTGGCTGTCAGGGGGAAGTCGACTGGTAATCACTATTAATGCAGATACTTAGATGGCTAGGACGTAACCCACATGAAAAGACCACCGGAACGTAAAGATGGTCCTGGAAGTTACGGCCGACGCCTGGGACATTGGAGACGGTGGAGATGTTGTGCCTCGCGAGGAGTGCCGGGTCACCTATACCAGAGAGCTGGAGCAGTTGGGGTGAGTGGATAGCTCCGGCAGCAAGAATTACCTCCTTGCGGGCATGGACGATACTCCGTTGAGCGTAAGGAGATGGCGCAAACTGATCAATCAATGAGTCACGATTCTCTTAAGAGAGGTTAGGGCTGATGTACATACCTCGACTCCTGTGATCTGCACTCCACGAGCAGTCTGTCGATTTAGCAGCTTTGTGACCTTCCGACCAGTGACCAATTGAAGGTTTGGCCTCCCGGATGCTGGGTCCCAATACGCCCTACGGGCATCGCTCCGAGTAGCAGTGACCGGATCCTGATTATGCGAAACGAAGAATCCACCGAGGGCATCGCCGCTCGCACCGTCCAGGGGAATACGAACCTCAAGGTCAGTAACAGCACTAATGAAATGCTTCGTCGATGGCCATATCCAGGGAGCATAGCTGGACTGGACGTTTCCTGTGGTTCCATGGACTGATTGGTCGTAGGTGACGTTCCACTCATCAATGATGTCGCTAGTCGGGGGAGTGAAGTTCTCACTCTACGCAATGCTCATTCAGTAAACGGTTCAATGGTACTTGGACCGTATTCCTACCTTTTTGAAGAAGGGAAACAGATCTGTCCATCCCCAGCCGGAATTGCCCAGCGTCTTCCAACGGTCATAATCAGCCCTCGACCCACGGTCAAAGGTCATGCGATTGAGCAAACTCGAGCCTCCAACCGCTTTGCCCAACGGAATGGAGACACTGCGGTTTCCCAAGTCTGGATTTCCCACATAGGTTAAGTTCCAGTCGTATTTTGATCCGATGCCGGTCCCAGCCAAGCCGGGAATCAGGATGTAATCCTCATCTTGATCACTGAGGCTGTCAGTATGCCATTTTTTAATAATAAGCTGGATAGAAGTGACCCTACAATTCACCTGCTTCGATGACGAGAATACTGAGACTTTCATTTTCCGACAGGCGGTTGGCTACTGTAAGACCTGAGACCCCAGCTCCAACGATCACGTAGTCGTAGGTAGGTAGTAATCCGGACTCGCTGGTCAGAGCTTGACTTGGTGAGATGAAGCTGAGCCCTAGAGCCAGAATCGTGATAGCGGTTGTCCGTACAAAGTGCATCGCGGTGGTGCTATTTGCAAGTATTTCTTCTTGCCCGCAACTTATAGGAAAGGAATATAAGGGGAAGCAGCTGGGCGGCCAAGCAAGTAGGTGAGATTGGAGAGGTGTCATGGCCAAGCGAGCATCGACAAGGGTGGCCGCTTCGGAGATTTTGCAATTCGGCCTAGGCCAAATATGAACAAATATGATCCCACCAATAGACACCGCAGGGCAAGGAAGCTAGACCTAGATGTATATTGAGCTCCGGACTGGTCGCAAGTCAGTATAAAGACTGTGGACCGGCAGAGTCTAGTAGGTTAGGTAGTGGGTTCTCCAGTGTGCAAACAGGACCGCAGACTTAGCGGCCTCGAGTGCAATACTGGTATTCTCATCTTTGGCGCAATAGTTTCACAATGCCATGGTGATTTCTCACAGTAGCCCATTCGAGGGCAAGACCAACAAAGTCAGCGGGCATATGCGCATATTTCTGAAGCAATAAGCGCACGATTTGTTCGTGCCCCGAGCTAGACGCCATCCACAGAGCAACGCCCCAGTGACCCTTGCAGGAGTTTGCGTGTGAACAGGCTGATATCAAGACGCGCACCATCTCAAGACGCCCATCATAAGCTGCCCGCTCCAACGCTGGGCCGCATATACTCGGAATTGCCTCTGCTCCAGATCGCAGCAGCACGTCCACAATCTGCGGGCGGGAATAGTAAAGTGCTTTCTGCAATGGGCTGTCGGCTTTTCCGCGGTAGATGTTTGGATTGGCTCCCTTGTCAAGGAGCCATTGCAACATTTGTTCGTTTCCGTTTTCTGACACGATCTGAAGGGGAGTGCCGTGAGGCTTGTAGTTGGCGTTTGGATTGGCTCCTTTGTCCAGCAGGCAACGGGCCACTGTAGCGAGATTCTTCGCCAATGCCATGTTCAAAGCGCAGCCGTGTTCGACGCAAGTTTGGCTTGGATTGGCGCCATACTCGATAAGCCGAACCGCGATGTGTTCACGATCCTGAGACATAGCCTCAACCAGAGGACTTTCAAATACTCCACTTTTGAGGTTGGGGTCAGCCCCCCGGGCGAGTAAGCATTCTACAATATCGATGTTGCCTTGATGCAAAGCTATTTGTAGGGGGGTCCCAACGTCGGCGTCGTACAAGTTGGGGCTTATCCCCTTGTCAAGGATAAGCTTCACTGCCCCCGTTAAGCCAAGCAGCGACGCATAGAACAAAGGTAATCTGTCCTTGCGGGCTCGGACATGATCTTTCCACCCGGACGATACACTGTTTTTGTAAAGGCAGACCCAAGTGCAAAATGATTCATCCTGGAGAAGAAAGAGTTCTTCGATGAGCCGTAACACACTAGCCGACCCTTCTCCGGCAGCGCGAGCATGTATCGGCCAATGCATAACCGCATATGTTGTCAGCGGAAACCTCTCCCTAATTCTTCGGTCCGAATAGCAATTGGTATCAAGTTGGAGGATATACCTCAAACAAATGGAAGATATTGCTGTATTGGCGGTTTCGCTTTCCATTGAGTTTCTGAAAAACGCTTGGGTATGACTTGACACGAGATAATCCCGGACAGAGAGATGGGACAGCTTGACTAACAATCCCTGCCCAGACTTTTCAATTGTAACCAGGCTGGAGCATATGGATAGAATATCTTCAACATCTAGAAGGCGGTTTCGTGGGTCGAATGCATGTCCTTCCTCATTAAAGCTGACTGCGAGAACATCGATTATCTCTTCAATCATTAACGGCCGAACTGCGTAAACTAGCCACTGGAGAATCCTCAGAGCGTAGTTCTTGTGACTGTCGGCAATAGTAGAAAGGATCCTAGAGTACGTCTCCTCCATTGTGTCAGGGAGGGAGGAGAGTGTATCTCGGAGCATCGGAAGGTCCAAGCATCCCCGAATGGAGTTGAGCTGACATACTGCCCAGCGAAACCTAGGATACTATCAATAAGATCATTCTCGTTGGCTAGATTAGAGTGACTCACATTCCGTCGGCTTTGTCCATTATCTTCCTCTCAATTTCTTGAGCCGTGTTTGGTAGTTTCCTCCACTTATCGAACCCTTCATCGACTTGCAGTCTCCGACGAAGGTAATGGTGTATATCGGCATTGACTCTTTCCTTGTCCAACACGATACGTCCATTTTCTGGGACAATTTGTTGAAGGACTTTGTTTATGTCCTTTTCTTGTCTGCTGGAAACGCACAAGTGCAATTCGGCTTTCCACCATGATGTAAACTTCTGCATAAGCCACATGACATTTTTTCTGTCTGTACACTCATCAAGAGCATCAATGACGATGTAGATGTCCTTCTTCCCTTTAACCATATCGCCGAACGTGTTATATAGGTGTTTCCTTGAAGGCTGAGCTCTCCCACCGTTACAGCGACTGAAAAGCTCACTTAGGATTCTCATTTCGTTTGAACCCTGGCCAGCCAATTGCCAGACGAATGACCGAACCATTGCATCGTGTGTACGTTTCTCCGCATCCGTGAAGTCAAAAAAGAAGTATAGCAAGGAAGTCGTCGGCGAAGATACTAGCCCGGCGCAGTCTTCAATTATCGAGGAGCTCAAAACGGTCTTTCCGCTACCTGGAATTCCACGAAGCCAGATCGGCGGGACTGGCGTAGCTTCTAAGCCTCTGTTGCCTTTCCAGATCTTGTAGGCTTTGCTGTTCAGTAGCCAGGTGCCGGTCCCTGGTGCTAAAGACATTATTGCAGCATTGAAATTTGTCGATGGGTCTGGCGGACAAAGCCAGCGATGTAGTCGGTCCTCATCAAAGGATGTTTGGACTTCTTGCATGTGGCCGGAGATACATTCAATCGCTGAAAGCTGGTTAGCAGGCCATAGTTGTTTGTATGTCGGGAAACGAATGGTGTACATACAGGTCTTGACTTCAACGGCCCATGAAGGCATCGAAGCAACTTTAGTCGGCTTCAGTACAATCAGGAGCTCTCTGGCATATGCTGCTGCTGCTAGTGCTGCATATTTATGCCAGACGTCGTTTTTGTGGGAGTCCGAATAGTCACAGATTCCGCGGACCACCAAGCAGGGTAGATTGTTCATCAATCCAGCCCCTTCCATCTCAAAGCACAAGGGGTTCATATCAGACTTGGCTAATTCGCTTCGTACAGCAGCGTCCTTGATTACCGAGTTTCCTGATGCAATTGTTCCATAGTGCACTCCCACGACGCGACCCTTGCGCTCCTCTCGTTGGATCAATTGACTAGGGTCACATGAAAGGCAGCTATCGCCCCCCTGGTGGGTGTAGTGAGCCTGGAAGAGGTGGTCATGGGCAGGCCGCCGATAATCAGGCATATCATCCATGCGCCGGAGATGCTCGGCAATCGCATCCGGCTTTCTCGGGTCATTGTAGCGCTTGCGAATCTCCGGTATTACTCCTAGAAGTTTATTCGGAGGGGCATTCAGATGACCAGTTCGTTGAAAGTCACCATTGGGTAGCCTCTTTCCCAAATCATATTGAACCACGCCGCCGAAGACACCATTGGGCATACTAACGACCACGTCCCCGAGTCTGATGTCATTGCTTAATGTCGGCAAGCCTCCGCCAATGCCAACCATTAGAGCAGACCTGAGGCTAGGAAAGCTGCGCATCATATCTCGAGCCACACAAGCCGCCGAGTTGGTCCCATATCGGCCTGCTGGAAGGCATCCAACAACGACATGGTGGAACCCGACACGACCAAATGTATAGGTATTGTCATCCGACGCGTCGAGTTCCACTGGGTCATCAAACTCCTCGTCTAGCATCCGGCAGGCACTGTCGTACTCCTCTTGTAACGCGCAGATCCATCCGACTGTGTAACGGTCGACCGGTTCGCCTTGCTGTGGTGTTTGTTCACGATGACCTAGTTCGTCCCGACCGGTAGATGAAAGTAGGTCATGGGATATCTTTCTTTGCTTGAACATGGCTCTGAATAATGGTTTCGCAGTTTGTCGTAATCAAGAGCAGCCTGCTAAAGGATGCTCGTCAGCGTTTGAAGCACATTACACAAGATGGGGGTTAGATAGCTCGTCGAACGTGCTGGAGTCCCGGTAATGGAAGAATCATTCGTGCATAAATATGAAGGGAAGTGGCATGTCGAGACGGTGAGAGAAATTGTCGAGGAAGGCTGAGTCGATTTGGCGAAGGAGTTGCGATTCAGCCTCGTTGTTGCCAGCCAATTGAAGCCACCCTTCTGCGGGCAGGCTTTCTTGCGAAATGACATAGACAACTCACAGAAGGCAGACTTGCGGTGAGGAGTTGAGGCGGCTGAAGACGATTGGTTGTAATACCGTAGAGGGGTAGAGGGGTAGATGGTGAATGGCGGCATCAAACGGGCAAGTAGAAAGGCAAGTAGAAAGACACTTGCTACTTCCACTTCTAGGTAATCCTCTGGCCCTCTACGGTAACGGACATGTAGCCGGAGCCTAATTGTTGTTATAGTCTATTGCCAAAGAAGTCTATTGTGTTTATAGTCGATCAATCTCTGCACAAACAGCATCAACCACATCCTGTGTCTTCGCCTTTCCCCCCAGATCCGCCGTGAGGATGCCAGCCTCGCAGACTCGCTCAACACACGCCATCAGCTTATCCGCAGCCACCTTCTCGCCCAACCAAGTAAGCATCTCCGCAGCAGACCAAAAAGTAGCCACCGGATTCGCAACTCCCTTGCCCGTGATATCAAAGGCACTTCCATGAACCGGTTCAAATAACGAAGGGTTCTTCCTTGTTGGATCGAGGTTCGCGGACGGCGCAACGCCAATCGAACCAGCCAAACCAGCTGCCAGATCCGACAGAATATCCATGTGCAGGTTCGTCCCGACGATGGTGTCCAGCGAGTCAGGCTCAGCGACCATTCTGATCGTCATTGCGTCAACCAGCATTTTATCCCAGTCGACATCCGGGAAGTCTTTCGCTACCTCTGCAGCCACTTCGTCCCATAGAACCATACCGTGACGCATGGCATTGCTCTTGGTCACCACCGTGAGCTTCTTGCGTGGTCGTGAGCGCGCTATTTCAAAGGCGAAGCGCATGATACGCTCGATGGCAACACGGGTAAAGACCGCAACCTCGGTGGCTGCTTCCCATGGGTGCCCGATATGGCTGCGTCCACCTTGTCCGCAGTACTCGCCCTCGGAGTTTTCCCGAACGAGCACCCAGTCAATGCCGTTCTTGGCTGTGTTGAGAGGACTCTTGGTGCCGGGGAATGTCCGAACAGGACGAACGTTGGCGTATAGCTGGAGAGGGCTACGGATCTTCAAGAGCAGCCCCCAGAGGGAAAGATGATCAGGGACGTCTATACGGTTAGCATTCTCGCGACACTGGAGGGACGACGAAGCGTACCGGGATCACCGACAGCACCGAAAAGACTGGCGTCAAACTCGCGGAGGACATCCAGAGCATCGTCGGACATGAACTGGCCGTGTTCCTTGTAGTAGGCGGTTCCCCATGGGATGTGGGTGAATTCGATCTCGAAGCCCAGTTTGGAGGCCAGCTTGTTGACAACTTGGATGGTGGCCGAGACCACTTCAGGGCCAATGCCGTCGCCAGGAATCGACGCGATTCTATGCATTTTGTCTGGTGGGTATTGACGATGAGTGAGAGTATCTCAAAGAGGAGGCCGATGTCCTTTTATGTTTCCAGTTGTAGACCGGCAGAACCATTGCCGACGGCTGATCCGTTGAGCCGATCCACCCTCTCCAACAAGAGCGTCAGGTCATGTTCACGGACTTCGTGCTAGAGGCTTCGAGGAGAGAAAGCTACCATCGGCTATGGCAAAGACCTAGGGTTAGGTCTCTCCTCTCCTGCATTGCTTGAAGAATCAGAGAGACAGAGCAACAGGGGCAAGGTCACGTGATTCGAATCTCGACGCGAGATCTGAGTCTTCTTCCTCATCGACGCAATCATCGTCTCTCGTCAAAATGCCTGCTCGATCACAATCACGTATCACAACGGCCTGTAACTCCTGCCGTCATCGGAAGCAAAAGGTAAGGATCTCTCCCTAGCAGAAGCCTGGCTAATCCTTCAGTGCAGTGGGAATCGGTAAGCGCATAACGGGCACGAGGAACCATGACTGACGAGGTAAAGACCGCAATGTCTACAATGTCTCGAGCATCGGCGAACCTGCGACTGGCCTGAACAACTAAAACGGTATGTTTACCTGCATTGGTTCCATGAAAACGTGCCACTGATAGCAATGTCAAGGGGTCCCGCGAAAGGCTACTTCGAAGCTCTCGAACGCCGTCTCCAAGAAACCGAGAACCTTCTCCTGGGCCTTCTACATCAGGTATCTGACGCTCAGCTGTCAGACGCTATCCCAGTCCCACATCATGGTTCCCCGGCGCAGCTCCGGTTGTCAAAACGGGGCAGCGAGCATTGGAAGCTATTTCCGCTACGATCTGTACAGGAAATTCGGGCCTGGCAGGCGGATTCCCAGCAACCAGTGCCGGGAGGTGCTTCTACTTCTACCTCTACGCCTAGAATCGATCGGAATGATGTTTCTATTCCGGCAATTCAAGAAGAGCTTAGACTTCCGCAAGACTCTCCACAGACGCAACGTGAGAGTCCGGAGGTACAACCGAGCGTGAGTGCATGGAGTGGAGCTCCCTCGGTCAACTTCCAGCAGCAGTTTCTGTGGTAGCCTGTCCGTAAAGTCATTCGCCGCGCTCTGTTTGTTCCCCGCATCCGCTGGTGTCAACGGCGTACTCCCCGAGTTGGGGCTCTCCCCGGCCTCCACAGCCCCGCATCATGCATACCTAGGGGCTCGCTTGGAGTTGGCAAGTTAAGGACCAAAATACCCCGCGACAAAGACATCAGATGTTTCTTTGGATAGTCAATCAAGTAACGCGGACATGGCGCTCAAGAAGGTTGGTCTTCAAATTCGTTCAAGAATTCTGTTAACCCCATGTAGATTATCATCGTCGGTGCTGGTCCCTCGGGACTTCTCCTTGGCCTTTTGCTCTCCAAACAAGGCGTGCAAGTCGAGCTTTTGGACGCTGAGACCAAAGTTAGCGACCAACCGCGCGCAGCACATTATGCCTCTCCAGCTGCCTACGAGCTCGACCGCGCAGGTGTCCTAGAGGACGTAAAAACCCGCGGTTTCACCTTCAAGACTATGGCCTGGCGCAAACCGGATGCCACGTTTGTTGCGGGCAACACGACCGAACATCTCCCTGCAGACTATCCGCATCGCATGGTGGTTCTTCCGCTCGACCTGCTCGGTGAGCTATTGGTGGAGCATCTTCAGCGCCAACCCACGGCGCAACTCAAATGGTCTCATCGTGTCGTGAAAGTCGGACAAGAAGCGGATCACGCCTGGGTAGATGTTGAGACTCCAAACGGCCAGCAACATTTAACCGCAGACTATATTGTCGGATGCGACGGGGCGAGCAGTACGGTTCGCAGAGAGCTTTTTGGATCTGAATACCCTGGCGAAACACTGAATGCGCAAATCATCGCTACAAATGTAAGACCTTTCCTATATCAGTCCGCCCAATACTGATGCAGTGTAGGTCTACTACGACTTTACCAAAGTCTTCCCGTCAGATTCCAACTTCATCATCCACCCAGATAATTTATACATGGTCGCACGCGTCACAAACGACGGCCTCTATCGCGTCACATACAAGGACATCCCCAACCTTACGCGTGAAGAATACATCGCACGCCAACCGAAGCGCTATGAAGAGATCCTGCCCACCCACCCAAAACCACACGAGTACAAGATCACCAATATTTCGCCATACAAATTGCAGCAGCGCTGCGCACAGTCATTCCGCGTCGGGCGCGTAATTCTTGCAGCCGATGCGGCGCATCTGTGTAACCCTTTGTATGTCTCCCGTCCAACAGCTCTTCTAATTTGCACAGACAGCTAATCTGCAACAAACAGTGGCGGCCTCGGTCTCACCGGTGGAATTGCAGACGTTGGTAGCCTCTACGACGCGCTACTCGGCATCCACAAGGGTGTCGCAGACGAAGACATTCTAGACAAGTACGCGGAGATCCGCAAAAAGATCTGGACGGATATCATCGACCCGATGTCGAGGGAGAACTTTGCGCGACTACATCAGGATGCCGAGACAGCAAGGGAGAAAGATCCGTTCTTCCAGCTTTGTGTGAAGGCTGAGACGGACGAGGCTCTTAGTAGGGAGATTGCGATGGGGTATGAGAAGTTGAGGGTTGATATGACGCAGTTTTATAAATCGTAGATATTGTCATTATATTTTGTAAAGCGTGGCCTAGGTATATGATATGATCCGATATGTTTCCTCTTGTTGTATATATTTCGCAACGGCTCCCTAGGCACCGGACAAACTTCCTCCGACTGGTCCATATCAACTTCAACTTCTCTTTTAATTTTCTTTTCTTCCCTTTCCCATCTCACACCCAAAAATGTAACAAAACCCCATCAACCATGGAAACCCCCGAAATCGGCTCCTTGACAGCCCACTCACCCCAAGAAAGCCAATTCGTCGGCTCCTCCAGCGGCGTCTTCTTCATCAACACCGTCCGCCGCGCATTCGGCTCAACATCGCGCGAATTCCCCCAGCCGGAGGACACACTAGTGGGAAGCGAAGACACATTACACGGTCTGCACCGGAACAGTCCACACGGCGAGTCCGAAGAAACGCCAGTCTCACGGTGGGAATATGACTCCTCCATCGCGTGCGTGCTGGGCCTAGCCCCGCCGCAATCGCTAGCGAGGGATTTGATGATGGTGTACTTTAAAGTGTGGCATCCGCTGTTTCCGTTCTTGCATGGGCCGACGTTTTTGAGGGCTATGGAGGGGTTGTATAGGGGTTCTGGGGACGGGAACGGGGACGGAATTGAGGCCGGCGACAAGAACCAGCACAAGGAAATCACCTCAACCGCCTGGACGGCAATCTTCCAATGCATCTTCCATCTCGCGAGTTTGGTCTCTCCTGAACTGCAACTCCCCCCGGAATGTCACATCCAACCGCCCATAAGCGCCAGCATCCACACCCTCCTCACACCACTGACTGCGCGGCATGACCTCCTCTCCCTGCAGGCCTTGCTCGCAGCGCAATTGTACCTCGTGGCAACCATGTCCCTGCGCACCGCATCCACAGTGGGCGGGTGCATGCTACGCTCAATGCTGCACGCCGGGCTACACAGATGTCCATTCCGGTACAGGGAACTCTCCGCGTCTGCGTCCTCACAGCACCGGCATCTCCGCAAGCGTATCTTCTGGAGCGCATACGCGCTGGATCGGTATCTAAGCCAGGCACTTGGACTGCCGCTTGGTGTCCAGGACTCCGACATCGACGTTTGTCCGCCCGGCGCACCAGAGGCGCATAGGCCATTGGTGCATCTGCCAACAGCAAACTCCGCGAATCCAAAAGAGACACCGAACGAAGCAGAAGCAGCAGCAGAAGCCGAGCGCACAAGGAAGGAAACCCCCTTCGCAAGCTACGTCCAGTCGGGCAAACTCACCGGCGAAGCCCTCGAGCTCTTCCACAAGTCCATCTACGTGCGCTCGATATCCCAGACATCTGTGCTATTGCTGACGACCTCTGTGCATAAATGGTGGAATGGACTCGACTTGCCTGCCCCGCCAGTGCCACAGCCGTCCACATCCGCATCTTTACGCAGCAGCAAAGAAACCGCAGGAGCCTCATCCGACCTCGAAAAACCCTTCAACTACACCCCCTTCTTCACAATCCTCTACCACCACCTCCTCTTACTCCTGCACCGCCCCTCCCTCTCCCTCCCCAGCAGCACACCGGAATTCGCATCCGCCCTACAATCCTGCATCTCCGCAGCGCGCCACATCCTCTCCGCCCTGACGACGCAAAAAGACGCAGGGCAGGCGCTTTTCTGGCCGGGCTTCCTAAGCGCCGCGTGGATGGCGGGCCTCGTGCTCGCGTTCGCGTGCCAGCTGGGCCAGTATGTTCTTGCGAAGGGGTGTGCCGAGATCGAGGCTTGCTTGGCGATCTTGAAGAGTATGGCGGGGCAGTGGGAGCCTGCGAGGCATTGTCATCGGGCGTTGGGGCTGCTTCTTCGGGCTGTGGAGAGGGGGGATGGGCGGGCTGGCGGTGGCGGTGGCGGGTTGGCTACGGCGGCTGGCGCTGATGGGCAGGGTCTTGGGTTTGCTGGGTTGGGGGGTGAGAATGGGGAGGTGTCAGCGGTAATGGGAGAAACGGGGTCAACGATGAACCCGCGCAAGAGACGAAGGGTGGAACCGTCTTATTCGACTGGTGTACAATCACAGGACTTTCTGGAGGATGAGCGGATGAATGCAGACTCGGCTCTTCTTGGAGAGAACGCTTTGGATACCCAAGGCGAGATGATGGGGCAAGATGTCAGCTGGGACCAGTCGTTGGGGTTGGATATGAACATGGTCGATCTGTTGCAAGAGGGGAATTTCGACAGTCTGATGGATTTGTTCGGGCAGCAGTATCCAACTTTCTAGGAGAGCCACAATGTTCATATCACGATAGAGCTACGTACAGTCTACGCAAATTGCTAGAAACCATGAGGAAGTCATAGTCTATATTACACTCGTGCGATCGATATAACGAGCAGGTAAGAAGCTAAAGACATCACAACTTCCTCCCTCTCGCCACGAACAGAAAAAAGCCATGGAATACCGAAGAACTTTTCTCCCGTCCTTCATAAGAACGTCGGGGAACCCAGGGATATCAGGACCAGGAGGGTAAAAAAAAATTCGAAGATAAAAGAAATAGGAGAGTAGAGTCGGAGATCAAGGAGGATATGGGGGAATGCGGATAGAAAGAGATGAATCGTTAATTCAATGGGTCATGTCATCAAAAATAGAACGTGGGACAAAATTCCGACATGGTAGAATGTAGACGCATTTACGCCTTGTTCTCCTCAGCGGGAGCCTCCTGAGCGGCCTCCTTGGGCTTCTCAGCAGCGGGCTCGTCGGACTTGTTCTTCATGTACTCGTCATAAACGCTAAGGGCCTCGTCGACCTTGGCGCGCAGAGCTTCCTCATCCTCGAGACTGTTTACAGGTTAGTGTTGTCTTGCAGAAGCGATGGTTAGGATAAACTTACAGGCCGAGGAGCTCAGTGTTGTCCATCTCCAAAAGCATACCGGTAATCTTACCGGCCAGCTCGGGCTGAGCGGCTTGGATCTTGGGGTACAGAGCCTCACCGAGCATCTGCTTCTGCTGCTGGGGAGGGGCGGCGGAAAGAGCCTGAGCGGTGAGACCACCAGCGGGGGCGGCTTCAGGTCCGGGCTGACCCGGGGCCTGACCACGACCGCCCTGGCCAGGGCGCATCTGTCCACCGAGGGGAACACCACCACGGCCACCACCGTAGCCACCGCGCATAGGACCGCCCATACCGGGAACTTGGCCACGGCCACGGCCGCCGAACTGACCACCCTGAACCATGGGGTAACCCATGCCGTTAGGGATACCAGGACCCTGCATACCCATGGGAAGACCCTGGAAGTTGGGAGGAATCTGCTGGTTGGGGCCGACACCACGACCACCCTGTTGGCCAGGGAAAGGACCGGGGTACTGACCAGGACGACCACCGGGCATGCCCATCATCATACCGGGTTGGGGAGGGAACATCCCACCACGCTGACCACCAGGAATGAAGCCCTGCTGGCCGGGACCGTAAAAGACGGCGGGGGCCATGTAGGCCTGACCCATACCGGCAGCGGCGGCAGCCTGCTGCTGGCGGATGTTGTTGCGGGCCTGGATGCTGGCCTCGAGCTGGCTGCGGCGGACATCCTTGCGCTGAGCAAGGGCGACGTAGAGGGGCTTGCCGTTGACCATGCGCTGGTTCATCTCTGTCACAGCCTTGGAGGCCTCGTCGGGGCTGCTGAAGCAAACGAAACCGAAGCCCTTGCTCTTTCCGAGGAGCTTCTTCTCGGACTTCTGCTCACCCTCCTTCTCCTCAGCGGCGGGCTCCTCCTTCTCACCCTCGGCGGCCTTCTCGTTCTCCTTGTTGGCAGTCTCCTTGGTCTCAGCCTCAGGAGTGGTAGGCTCAGCGGGGGAATTGTCGCGCATGACCTTCGCGGAGGTGATGGTACCGTAAGGACCAAACAGCTCGCGGAGCTTCTCGTCATCAACGTCATCAGTGAGGTTCTTCACGTAGAGGTTGACACCCTGGTACTTGGAGGCCTTCTCCATGCGGGCAGCCTCGTACTGCTTGCGGAGCTCTTCCTCACGCTCGTGCTTCTTCTGGGCACGGCCAACGTAGAGCTTCTGGCTGCGGACTTCCTTGTCGTTCATCTCCTCGACGGCGGCCTGCGCGCTCTCGTGGGTGGAGAAGTTGACGAAACCGAAACCACGGCTCTTGCCCTCAGAGTCACGGCTCAGAGTGGCGGAAGTGATGTCACCGAACTTCTCGAACAGCTTGCGGAACTCATCGTCCTCAACGTCCGGGTCGATGTTCTTGATGTAGATGTTGGTGAAGTTGGCCTTCATCTCCTCGAACTTGCTCTGGCGGTCCTTCTTAGAGATGTGGTGGCCAACGAAGACCTTCTTATCGTTCAGAAGCATGCCGTTAACGTGCTTGATGGCGTTGTTGGCAGCCTCGGCGGTCTCGTAGTGAACGAAACCGTAACCCTTGGAGACACCGAACTCATCCTGAGCGACCTTGCAGCTGAGAATGTTACCGAAGGCGGCAAAGGTGTCGTGCAGAGCCTTGTTGTCAATGGCGTTGTCCAGGTTCTTGATGAAAACGTTGCCCTGGCCAGTCTTGCGCAGAGCGGGGTCACGCTGAGACCACATGATACGGCAAGGCTTGCCCTTGATCAAAGTGTAGTTGAGCTCATCAAGAGCGCGCTCACCGTGAGCGGTATCGTTGTAGTTGACGTAGGCGTAGCCGAGAGAGCGGCGGGTGACGGCATCACGGCAGACACGGATGGAAGCGACCTGACCGATGGAGGAGAACAGCTCGTAGAGCATGGCCTCCGTCACGGAGGGGTCGAGCTCACCGACATAGAGAGAAGCCGAGTGAGGCTGGGAATTGGCAGCGGGGGCCTCGACAGCGGTAACCTCGGGGGCAGCGGCGTTGTCGGGAGTGCCGTTGGTGTTCTCGACGGGAGCGGGGGTGGTAGAAGCTTCGGCAGACATTTTGAGAGATTACTGCGGGAGACGAAGAGCGTTAGCACAGATCTCTTAAAGATTGTCTGAAAGACACTGTTCCAGAGAGCCAGCCGGAGCACAAAATCAATCATTCTCTCAGTCCGCGATACCAAAGCTATGATGTCAAAGACCAAGCTGAAACAACGAGAGGACTAAAGATAAGGATATCTTTCCAAAGAACATATACTGAACGCATGTAGCATGCGCAAATCAGATTTTCTCAGGATCCCACAGTGAGAGGAGGGGAAGCAAAGGCGGTCGCGAAAGACGAACGCACGCAAGCACAACTCAACACAGTCAGAACAGCAGGACGGGAGACGTACGAACTCGGTGAAGCTCGAGAGACGAGATAGGAGGATAGAGAAGAGTCGAATTGGAGGATTGGCGATGCGAAGAGACGCGATCACGAGGAATGAGGTAAAAGCGGCAGAGACGGGATTTCTACCACACAGACGCACACACAGCACAGTCGAGAGATATAGATTCTGATAAGAGAATCCGAAGGGGAGGTTTGGATATTTAACTTTTTTTTTCGTTTTCCGGGTTTTTTTTGAAGTTTTTTTTCCGATAGAAGTCGAAAAAAAGGGAGGATGGCAGGAGAAGAATGAAAGGGAAGAGGATCTTTGAGGAGGGGAGGAGGAGGAGGAGGGAAGATCAAAGAGAGGCAGACGACAAAAAAAACTCAAGACTGAAGGCGGTCCGCCCGATCGGGGAGAGTTTTTTCATTTTTTTCTGCTTTTCGCTGCTGTTCTCGGATATTCGTATACTGCCGACACCCCCCCACACAAACGGCCCACCACTCGTAAGTAATTAATTCGTTCATCTTTGTATGATACATCCCATACATTTCAGAACAGACGCCTTCTCGAACTATGTTCGCTGCGCGCGCCGCGCAGCGATAGGGTAGCGATTTAAAAAAGTATAGATGTTGTGCAGGTACATCATATTATATGGCAAACTGCATATAAATCAATGTACCGCACAATATATCGAGTTTTGCAAGGTAAAATGGTGAGAATCGATAAGTTACAAGGGGCGGTAAGCGCCGATTTGGCAGAATTCGGACTTCGGAGTCAACTACGGTACCACCATATTCAAATATATATCTCATCGTCAGATATCGACCATTTACTAAAACAGTGAATAACTCCAGAACTTCATGGATTTAGATACTAAAGAAACTTATATAAAGCAAAACTAACCTCGCGCTTTCAATATTTGTACTTTATTTTAATTTTTATTGCGATTTCATGGCACTACAAGCTTGCAAAGGTAGGAGTACAATCAAAAAGGGAGCGGCACGTGAGGTTCGAAGCTTCCGTACACGTGCTTCGTTTAAATCAAGCTATACTTTATATGGAAGCCCCTATATAAACAAAAGCCACAACAAAACCAGGCGCGTATTCCTCTACACACCCCAACCAGGTAAGCCCACCACCTACCAAGCCAATTTCTATGCTAATAGACCTCCGAATAGCTTCGAAAATACAGGTACATTGATTTATATGCAATTCTCTATAGAAAACCAAGTATCTGCACCTCCATAATCTTGCCAGCGCGTCGACGGCCTTGCCAACGCGTCGATGGCCTTATTCCTAGCCGAACACCACGCAGATAGACCTCTGAATAGCTTCGCAAATATAGGTACATCGATTTATATGCGATTCTCTATAGAAAACCAAGTACCAGCACGTCAACGGCCTCACCAACGCGCTGACAGCCTTGCCAACGCGTCGACGGCCTTATTCCTAGCCAAACACCACGCGGATAGACCTCTGAATAGCTTCACGAATACAGGTACTTCGATTTGTATGCAATTCTCTATAGAAAACCAGGTACCAGCGCGTTGGTGGCCTTCAACACCAATCTACAGTCAAAAAACGCGTTTACTGCGCCTCAAAATAACTTCAAAAATGAGTTCTCAAAGGTCTTTATTATTAAATTTGCCAGTAAGGTACGGGTACATCGATTTGTGTGGGAGATCTCATAGAAATCGATGTACCTGCACCTCAGCGCGGACTTAGCGATTTTCAAGCAAGTGCGCCCTGAAGGCCTCTGTTCGCGTTTGTATGTCATTTACCATACAAACTGGAACAGCTTGATTACACGGGCACGTGAGGCACTAAAACTCATTCCGACACTAAATGTGTCGGCAGTATACGAATACCCGCTGTTCTCTGGCTCTCCAGTGGCGCTAGTCCGCTCTCGGCTAATCTGCGGCCGCTTTAAGGGCTACCTCGGTCCTCAGGCGTGGCTTCCTTAAGTTCCTTATCGGACAGTCGACTCTTATAGTAGGAGCAGTTGACTAGAACTACTGGTATGTCCATTGGTGTCTGTAGTCTATAATACTAGCTGAGGTCGAATCCTGCCCCAGAATTCACCGCGTACAGCAGCTTCTCCCGCAGAGTGCTCGCGCTCTTATACCGCGGCAGTTTCAGCAGATTAACACAAGTACTTGTACTAGGAAGCCGCTCCTCGTCCTCACTTGAGTCCCGGATACTGAAGCGGGGGTTCAAATGGCTGAACCCCAACAATGGGGCACGTGGCGTCGAGGTCACAAAGCGAAGCACGTTCCGCCGCTCCTCGTTGGTCATTTGGTCCATAACTTCCCAAAAGAGCTTGATTGTCGGATGCTCTTCTTTGTCGTCGCCAATGACGTAGAGACCACCGTACGATGTGTTCCTTCGGAGGTCTTGAACATTAATGTCGCCCGATTCGCCACTGACCAGCGTCTGCAATTCGGACTGGTTAAACATGGAAAGCCACGAAGGTTGGATAATTTGTCCCAGGCCTTGTAGGAAGGCGTTGGTCTGCAAAGCCGGCTGTACTTGGAGCCGGTAGCGTGCGATATATGATATGTACACCAAGCGGTTCTGATTGGTGACGGCGGTGTCTGAGCCGTTGTTCTTCAGGTCTCGAGTGATAGTGCGCTTGCCTCCGCCTGGCAAGGGTATTGTGTCGGTCACGGTGAAATTTAGCGAAAAGTCTTCCACGTCTTCGGGGTAGTTCTTCAATTGTAGCTGGATAGAAATTAGTAAAGAGCATTTTATGAGGAACAATTACGTACCAAGCCTTGATAGAGTCCTTTATCCAGGTCCTGCAAGTCGTTGAGGTTGGCTCGGTATGCCGTCTCGCGTTGAGCAGAACTCATTCCACCCGTCAACGCCCATTTCAGTAGGAAGAAAGGCGCGAAACTGACATCGACCAGGATCCCTTCGTAGAGACATTTTCCGATAACACGTCCCAGGAATTCATACCGTCGGAGCAAGTCACGGACGTGGTCATTCCACTCAGGTGTGTTTTCCTTCAACCCCAGGTGTCGCAGATTTTCCTTCCGTTGTTCAACGGCAACAGGGCTAGGATAGAGCAAATGTTGATCGTTTTCCTCGAACAAGCGCAGACCAACTGTAGACTTGAACGCCTCATTGGTGACACTGGTGAGGAATTCTTTGGTAACACCGCCGCCATCAATCCCCGCTTCTGGGGCATCGAATTTGTCAATGAAAGTGATCTGTATCGGCTCCTTGAGGGCCTCTCCAAGCTCATAGAATTGCTCAAACGCGTCGTCGAATAAACTTTCGCGGCGAATGTTGGCGTGATGACGACTGAGGATATCCTGCATCGTCGAGCGCATATCAGTCAAACGGCCCATGGAAGCCTGTGCCACCGACATCCGCCAGGAATCGGGATCGATAAACCCGTGCCTTCGGCGCAGTTGGTCGCGGTAGATAAACTGGCGAAATATCTGTACCCGGGTGGCAAATGGAATGAAGAACGGCATGTTCTTCAGGATCTCTAGTCGAGGGGCCACAGCCTCCAACTGTTTTCGACGAGTAGCTTGTTGCTGGCGGCGCCTCAGAGCTTCAATCCGTCGCGCCTGCTGTGCGCGCCCGGTCCCAACAAGCCCAAGAGACGGCTCATCGAAGTCGTCCGTCATCAAGTCATCCTGATCTTCTTCGTCCTCGTCCTCCAGTTGATGTCTGCTCTCTTCTTCCGCGACAACAGCGGGGATAAAGCCTTCCATGTTGAAGCGGCTGGTCATCAGCCAGTGGCCGTCGGGAAGAAACTTTCTTCGCGAGTCGCGCTCATGGACCATCCTCAGGAGACCAGTGACAAGGCCCTTGAAATAATCTAGCGGAATTCCCGTCACTCCAGGCAATCCCTTGTCCTTGTTCTTGTGTTCTATATCCCGGACGCTTGCTACTGTATCCAGTGGTGCCGATATCGAGCTGAAGTAATTTCGGATTCCGCCGCTATCTTGAACCGTTTCATTCTCCGTCAAGTCCGCCGAGTTCCAGTAAAGAGTAAACGCGAGATTCTTGAGGAAGATTGTCATTTCTTGAACATCATTAAGAGGCAGGGCGCTCTCTCTAGTCCAAGATATACGCGCGTTCGAAGAGGCGGTAAATGAAGAACCGCTCGAGAAGAACTCATCGTCGTCCATGACCTTGAGCACGAAGGTATACAACTCGAGGAAAAGAAGAATGATAGTCCATTCCTGGTCTCTGTCGTCCTGACTGGAGTTTGATTCAACCGGCTTCAACAAGGGTAAAACCCCAGTGGAGTCACGGCTGATAGCGGCAAATACCTTGCTAGAGCGCGACGCCTGCCAGAAGTATTTGATAGCTGGAATCTGCCCACCCGCCTGATCTCCTGAGCTAGCTGAGCCCAGGTACAGCCACATGCGGATATCGTCACCTCGCCGGGGGAAGACCCGTAGAAGCGTCAAGGCGTAATGAGCCAAGTTCCTAGCTTCAGTGGAGGCGCCGGAGTCGGAATCCGCAAGTTCACTTTGTGACAAATGAGTGGGCTGCAGTTGCGAGAGCAGACCAGTTATACTTGTTTGATTGACCAGGCTAAACAGCTGATCCTTGATAAAGGGATGCAAATATGCTCCTTTGTTATCGTCGTCAAGCTCCGCAGACTCCTCGGCCTCCAAGACGCGGGAGATTTGCAGCACCGTCGAGTTTAGCAGTGCTGAGACGACTTTTACAAATCCAAGGTCTAAAGTATGATGCGTGGCCTGGCTTCCTAAGGCATATCTGTGAAAGAATATGAAATAAGCCAGCATCCAAAGTCGGGAATCCACGCCATCGGAGCCCTGGCTATAACTGAGGAGCAGAGGCGCCAACGCGGACGTCAACAGTTTGTAGTTGATATTGCTCGCCAAGACATCTAGCGATCCGAGAGTTTCCAACAGGTCGGGGAGGGTCAAGTAGCTCCTAGCAAACCACTCGTAGGCAGTAAGCGTCTCGGAGGTAATAGGTAATAACAAGGTAAGAACACTCTGAGCAAGATCGGTTTTGGATAGAGGCGACCGGCTGGATATCGAATTATAGTTCTTCGTGAGATTAGCCATGGTAGAGTAATATTCCCGTGCAAGCCGCGCCATCTGTTTCGGGATAAGATCTGTGAGAAATTTCAGGAGCTGCAGGTGCTGACCGATAGCAAAGGCAGGCATGCTTGGTGAAATCGCCGACTGCAAGACACGCAAGGTCATCTCGGCCAGCCGCTTCAGGAGCATCGTCCATTCGCCCTCCGTCGCCAGGGACGGCACCTCATGTAGTGTTCTCTGAAACGCATCCGAAAAGTATACCAAGCGAACGATGTCCCCGCCATTCCAAGGCTCAATAAACTGGACCAAGAGCCGTAGCTGGGACAGACACGCGGCGGCAGAGTCAAACGGAGCGGCCGGTTGCAGTGTGGGGCTCTGCTGCTTTGCAAGGTCATCGAATAAAGGCAGTGAAGCGGTCCTTGCATATTCGATGGCGTCCCATTCCGCCCGCCACTTCCCTCGCGTTATCTTCCTGCTCCGATAGCCCCTCCATGTGCGCTGAACGACTCGGCTCGCCCCTAATCGATCTCGTTCGAGTTGTCGGAGTTGTCGCTCCTGCTGTGCAATCGCAAGGGAACTCTGAGGACCGGAGCCGTGAGGATTTTGTCTTCCGGATGGGTATGCGGCGAAGGGGTTGTTGGTGCGGCCAGAGAGGTTCACCTGCCGTGGGCGGCGCGAGTTGCCCGTGAAGGACGTGAACATGGTTTCGTCGACTCGGTCGGAATCAGAGATCCGCAAGGACTCGATCTGTCAGTAGTAAGTACAGCTGTCTCAGAAGGCAAACGGACAACACGGACCCCATGCCGCAAGAAAGTAGTGATGACTTGTCGGGCGGCGATGGTCAGAAGGAGGTGGAAAGCCGGAGTTCGGTTTGTGATGACATGCAGATTGCAGGTTGTGCACACGCACTGGAGCTGCTACGGCCACCCACTCTTCTCAACACCAAGACCTGGCCTCCCCCAACAAGTTGCAACCAACAATTAAAGGACACAGCCGCTCATCAGACTTACGGAGTACAAGCAACATTAATGCCGAAATAACAATCAATTCTTAGGACTCTCAAGAGTAGCCCGCAAGATGATAGGCTTATTGATATGTTTTTTAGGACGGATATATCCGGATGTCAACCATCTCCAGGTTAACCACTGGAACTGATCCAATAATATCTAACAAGAACGTCCAGAGGCTGGCTTATCTTACTTCTAGGAATTACAGGACGAAGTCCCAATTGGAAAACTATGAAATTCAGACTAGTATGAGCTGGTTTATCCTAACTGTCTCTCAAAGCCTGGACTTGGTCTTTCAGTCTCGAGGCCCATTTTTCTTCAGTTTCAAGCAACTTTCAGCAATGTCGATCAACTGCCTGCAGGATTGCGTCTAACGCCGAATGACAACTTAACCATTTTTCAATGTGCCCATTAACGCCTTTTGACCCGCTTGCGTGCCTTCGTCAGCCTGAGATTCGAAGATGTTGGAGATTTGTTCACACTCTCCCATCCCATCAGACTAGGGTCGGTCACAGAATGGGTGCATAGGAGCCTGGCTGTTTGCGCGAGGAGGCCTAATATTGGTGGACTTGTCCTCGGGACACTCCGGGGGTTCTGAGTTGTCAGATGCACGTTCCAGCCCGTTTTGCAATGTTCTGGAATCAAGCTCGGGATTGACAGTCCAGATTCTCCAGAGCATATCCTGGTGTTGATCCTTCAACCGCTCTAATCTGCCTTTCAGATCATTTACTTCTTCTGTCACCCCCGTCATCCAGGATTTCATCCGGTCTTCAAGGCTTGCCATCTCCGCGAGGGCGTCCTTCTTGCCAGTGAACATGTCGTAATCTTCGGATGCCATATCAGCGAGCCCACGCTTGAGCTCCTCAATCCTTGGCAACATCTGTTCGCATGTACGCGAGACTTCCACCATTATACGTGCATGGTGCTGGTCCTCCTCGGCCTCGGCCCTGTCGCAGGACGGTTCCTGGACGCCTGACGTCCGGTCGTCCAACTGCTCGTGAGTTTCGTCAGGCTGGCAACTTCTCCTTCCGTTCTCTTTTCCTACTTGGCCTGACGACTCTCCTAGCTGTATGGTCTTGCTTTGCGACAAGTCTTTGGCATATGACAGATCTTTTGGCGAATATGTGCTCTCTCCACCAGTGCCCTGAAACGCTTGCTCTTGCTTCGCGAGTCTGTCTTCCAGTTCTGTGATTCGAGCCTGCTGTCGCATTTGCGTAGCCTCAATCATATCGAACATTTCCCCGGGGCATCGGGCGGAGTACAGCACGAACTCGTCGAGCGAGATAGTCCAGGCCGCGGAGTCCGCAGATTCTCTTATAATGATAAATCGCTGCATGTTGTGAGGATCTTCTATCTTCGTGGCTTGATAGATGCTCATAGATTTCAGTCTCTTGTATATCCGATGATAAAGAGGGAAGAGAGGTGAAAGAAGGTAGGAACTTGGTCCTGAAAAGTACATGACTTGCCCAGGTCCAGTGACTCAGAAGGAGAAGGTTCCCGACTGGTGAGGAACAAGGCCCCGACAATACATAATTCTATCAGAGACTGACTTCCGACCAGCCCCTCTGCCGTCAGTATTGTCTCTTCCAGACAAACCGGCGGTTAGGACCAAGGCTAGCAGCCGGTTGGCTACAGCCATGAACGACAAGAATGCCGATGCACTATTTTTGTTCTCAAAGTGCCCCAAGAGTCCAAGTTTTCGAATTAGCGTTCTGCGGGCATTCATTCCGGTTCCTCGTGGAAAAGTGCATGTGCTGCGATGTTGAATGGGCAAGTAAGTTTGCAGATGAGAGGCTCCCGGTACTCTAAGAACTTGCCATGTGATTCTCTCATCGCGATATTTCACTTGTATCTCCAATGGGACCCAATATCCCAACGCTTTTGAGCAGTACCTGAAATTCCTGAATACCTGGTATATGGATCGGATCGGATCTAACCGTCGATGTATGAATTCTATCCAAAGGCATCGACACAGCCCAATCATCAAGAGCAATTCCAACGGTCTGGTCTACTCAGTGGTTACCCATCTCGGAAATCTCCTCCTCAAACAGACCAAGACCCCAGCCAGCAGATCGATCTCAGCCTTGCACCCGCCAAGGCCTTCAGCCCAGGTAGCCAAGCCTGGGTCGCCTCAGCCCTAGACCGTTTCTGGCGCTACCCGCCGCCTGGGGGATGTCAGATTGTCAGTGGGGGCCTGGGCTGATCATTCAGCTTGGAATGGATTACCCAGAAATCTGTCAGACGCCGCTGCTGATTAGATGGTTTAGAGTAATCTTAGTTCGGTTTCCTTCAGCTGCGTTCTGCTGTAGGGTGTCTATAAAGGCAGACGGATGCCTACCTTTATTACCAACTCACTTTCTTTTGACACTCTACTATCTAGATACGATGTATGACAGCTTTGAAAAGAACAGAGGAACAGGGTTCCAAGGGCCAGGGTATGGCTACGGTTACAGCTATCCTCAACATCCAAACCCACAACCACAAGCACCTCTCCCTCAACACGGCCCCAGTTACGGCTACACCACTGGCCCTCCAGCTCAATCAACAACCGGTCCTGGATATGGCTATGGATTTGACTATAATGCTCCACCACCCAGCTACGAAAACCACAATGGATATGGATACGGACCGAGCAACGGCAACGCTCATGGCGAGATACCCGTACCTGGGCATCAAAACCGCTATCCGAACGAAAAACCTCACAACCAATATAGCCGCACCGGTTACTCCCATTACCAAGGCAATGTCCCAGCCCCAGCACCTCACCACATAACCTCCTCAGGCCTCACACCATCTCTACACCGTGGCCCGCAGAGCCTAGTCCTGCGACAATCGCCCAGCACGCATAAGGTAATATTCATACACCCCGCCGGCGCTCCCATCAACTCCCCACCGCTCTACAGTCTGACCTCATCCCCCAAAACTTCCAAAGCTGATTACGTCCTTGCCCGGGGGGCCGACCCGAATAACCCCGTTGCCCTAGTCGGTGAAGTGAAATCGCATACCTTTAGCAGCAAATATGACCTGACTGTCCGCGGAACGACATACGTGCTCAAGGAGTCGCCGATGGGGTCAAGCTTTAAGATCGAGCTGCCTGGAAGGGGAGTGTTCAAGTGGTATACGGACGAAGATCACCTGACGAGTAAGATGTGGTTGAAAGATGAGAGCAAGAATGTCCTTGCAACGTACGATAAGAGTCGTGAGAAGAGCAGTGTCGGGACGTGGAAGAAGTTTGTTGGTGGGAAGGATCGCGAACTTCAGCTGCATGGGGGCTTCGATGACTTCTTTGTTGAGGTCCTGCTTGTTAGCATTTATGCGGTGAAGATGGCAAATGAAGGGGCCATTGAGACGGCCGTCGAGGTTGCTAGTGCCGTTGCGGGGGCTTGATCAGTCCTCGGGTTGTATGTTGATTGTTCTTGCGCTTGATTATGGATTGAGTTGGAATTGCGTTTTGGTTTGTCGTTGAGAGCTTTTAACAAAGCAGCTCAATTTGACTATGAGGAGAATTGTTAGTATTCGATTCATGCACATTGAAGTTACTAACCTCCCATATATCAGTTTCCTGAACACTTCTTGGTCAAGGATTCATTGGTCTATACATCAAATGCCAAAGACTTGTGGATCACAATTTCTCTTCAACGCCGTACGGCGGTTGCTGGAGTGGTCGAGCGGCGAGTAAGTCCGATGTTCGAACAAGGATCCATGCTCGGCTTTATGGGCAGATTCAATCCGAAGTGCGAATACATTTAGAACTTGGACAGCACACTGGGTGCCTCCAAATGGGTGTCGCGGCTGGCATTGCGAGGGAACACAAGGGGCTTGAGGTAACGCTGCCCAAGCGGAAGGCAGGAGGCAACAGACATGAACGTGGTCGGGAAACAGTCGTACCTAATCAGCATAACTCTTTAACTCTCGAAAGACAGCAAGAGCGTCTTGAAGCTCTGAGTGTGTCGGCGAGACAAAGAGGGAAGGGACGGGGTTAAGGCGCGGAATATTCGCTCGGGCTCGGCTTCTTGATCTGGCCCGGCGACTTTGTACCTCTGTGTTCCCTCAACCAATTTATAAATTGCACTCAGTACCCCTTTGATCCTGATTCATACAACAAGACTTTCAGGTCAAAGGCTACCATCATGTCGAATCAACCAGTCGCCGAAGTGGCCGAATCGACTCAGACCTCGGAGGAGAAAAGGGACGAGCCCACCCAGCCTAAAGAGGGGGAGACCAGCCCCGACTATCCTGAGGGAGGCTTCAAGGCCTGGAGCGTGGCGCTGGGAAATGCCGGCGTCATGTTCTGCACCCTAGGCTACATCAACTCCTGGGGGTACGTATAAACTGGTCGACGGAATATCAAACTAACGTCTGCAGTGTTTATCAGGCCTACTACGAAGCAAACCAGCTCCGCAACTCGACTGCGTCGGCGATCTCCTGGATTGGCTCGCTCCAGTCGTTCTCCATCTTCAGCGCCGCTTTGGTCGGCGGCCCTCTGTTCGATAGATACGGCGGCAAAATCATCTACCCTCCGGCTCTGGCATTCGTATTCACTATATTCATGACGAGTCTGTGCAAGGAATACTATCAGTTCATACTGGCCCAGGGCATCCTCGGCGGCGTTACACAGGGTCTGACCATGGCGCCTGCCATGGCTGCGACGCCGCAATACTTCTTCAAAAGGCGCGGCGTGGCCATGGGCTTGGGAGTCGCAGGCGCTTCTATCGGCGGAGTCATACATCCCATTGTGCTGAACCAATTGCTCACACAGACCGATCTCGGTTTTGGGTGGTCCGTTCGAATTGAAGCCTTTTTGACTCTGGCTATTCTTCTCATCTCATGCCCTGCCATCCAGGCTCGTGTGCCACCGCGCAAAAGCAGCTTCTTTCTGCTGAGAGCTTTCAAAGAAGCAGGGTACACTTCACTTATTGTCGGCTCGTTCTTCACTTTCATGGGAATGTTCTGTCCACTCTTCTACCTTCCTTCCTACGGCATATCACAAGGCATGACACCCACGTTGGCATTCTATCTCAGCGCCATTCTCAACGCCGCCTCCTTCCCTGGCCGCATCGTCCCCGCAATTCTTTCCGACAAGTTCGGCAAGCTCAACGCCTTTGCCGCGGCAGGGATAACGACAGGTTTACTCACGCTATGCTGGCAGTTTGTAAAGGGCAACGTTGGCGTCATTGTCTTCACCGCGCTGTTCGGCTTCTTTTCTGGAGCGATCATATCTGGCGGCACGGTGACACTAGCCAATTGCGCAAAGCATCCCAAAGATATAGGAACATACATGGGAATGGGAATGGCATGGACCTCGGTGGGAAGCTTGATTGGACCGCCCGTTAGCGGTGCTCTGAAGGACACGGATCTGGGGTATAAGGCAGTGGCGATGTTTGCCGGGACGGCGAGTCTGCTGGGTGGACTGCTCGTCCTGCTTGTAGTGAAGCCATTGAGTGGGTTCAAGATTTTGTCACTGGGGTGATATGATCTCTGCGTTCAAGCCACTTCCTGATGGTGGCACTGATTCTCTTCTTCTCGGCAACTTCTGGTGGCTAATGCGTTTATATAGTTTTATTTAATGCATAACTAGGGAAGATTTGTTGATACTGACCACCTCCCCTTTGTCTTTGTGTTTTAGATTACAGTGCAACAGTATACAAATTAACATGAAAAAACTCGGTCTGCCGGGCCCTTCTACCTCTCCTGTTTCTCCTATTGTTACTTAGAACCTATCACACAGACAACCAGAAAACCAGAAGCCCCGGCCGGGAGCTCCATGTATAGGAAAAGCGACAATCGCATTTGTTTAGTTTCGTCTCTCTAGACTAGGTACCTTTTCCGCCTCGAATCTCCATCCTTCACGTTCATTGTGTTCTCTACCACCATCTTGCAATGATACGGTAGAAGCCAAAACACGTGAGGTCCTCAACGTCCTTCGTGTCTCCACACTCTTTTCTCTCTTCTTATTCCTCGCATTTGATATACTCAGCCACTTTATTTTCCCTTTCGTCCATTTTACGACGACCAGATCCCTAAGTAGTCATTCATCAAGACACCCGCACGTCCAAGGACTGTTCATGGTCCAGCCGTTTGGATTATCATTCCGGGCATACTGCTACCGTACTAAGGTGCGTCCTGGGCTTTGCGCAAGACCAGGGGAATTGACATTCCTGTAACGCTAACCTTTGTTTAGCCAGGACCCCGCTGTACAGCGCCAGCATTGACGAATGCAGCTCCCCTTCAAGCCAGGGAAGCCATGTCGTCACTTTCCAGCACATTTCCCAGACATAGCGATGCGCTCCCTTCTCTGCGAATGTGGCGCCGTTGAGAAATTCCTCGTCTGCGCAGCCTCCTTTGCGCCCATATGCACAATGCCTTTGAATGCGTCCCCCGATGGCCGCTCATATCTTCGGTGATCATTCATGTTTCTGGCCAGGGTTCAGACCCGGAGACCACCTTCTACTGAAGAATGGAGTGTTGCCCCAGGATCGGCCCGAGAGAGAAATAGTACGAAAGTTGAATTTGGGATAGGACGAATCCTACATATGAACCAGATTTTCTGATTCGAGCGGTATCTAGCTAGTACGACCTCCACGCAAGAACGCCCGATGTACTCAGGATTCATTAGGCTGGACAGATGTCTTATACCCACTACGTGGAAGTATAGCCTAACAAGGCAATTTGATATCGGCAACGGCGGACAAGTGAGCACCAACAAAGGGCCGATCCCCGTTCCTCGTGCATATGTACGCCAACGCTCCGATGACCCTGGGTACACAGCCCAGTATGATCTTCCACTCACGGACTTTCTTGGGCAGCTATAATTATCAGCGGGGCAATGCGGTGCAGCTCATAATGCAGTCGCAATTGAAATTACTCGTCGGGCTATTGTCGGATCTACCGTATCAGTGCCTAGATGGGGGGACTGCCAACCCTACCTCGGTTTTATCGGAGCGAAACGCGTAGATTCGGCTGATCTTTATATTGTTGAGATTCCGTGTTGACAGTAAGAGCCTCAAAGACGGGCTTGTCGATCCCGGGTTTGCGTTATGCATTACTGGTAGGATGATCTGCTATTGGGTCATCCATGCACCGCAGCCTGCAGCACCAGCAAGACAATCGGACATTCATGGACAAATGACAGAGGGCGGAAAATGTTGGTATCACCATGGTCCTTGAGCGCCCCGAGCAAAAGAAGGTCGATCCCATCTGAGCTTCTTTTCATGACTCGGTCATCCACGCTCGTTTAGTCCTCTGTTTTACAAGTATACCATAGCTGTTGCCATGGGATCCCACCATGCTCCAGAGCCAGACACCGTTGCCCACAGTCGAACACTGATCGCAATAGCTACTGGAACAATAACGCTTCTGGCCTCGTTATCCGTTATTCTGCGTCTTGCTTCACGGATCCTTAACCGGCTCGGGGTGCGCTGGGATGATTGGGCTTGTGTCGGAGCCCTAGTATTCGCGTACGGCTATCTAGCCACCACTATTGTTGCTGCAGTTCTTGCGGCGGATAGATTGTTATACCAGCCTTGGGAGCATGGCTTTTCACACATTGCCTTCTATCTACAGGTTGGTAGCCTGCCATACTTTCCAACCCCTAAGAATGGATCCTCTAACCACACCGACCGACCAGCAACTCATCCTCCCAAACAGCATCCTCTACAACACCAGCGTCTCCCTGTGCAAAATCTCAATCCTCCTCTTTTACACTCGGATCTTCTCGACGTCGCGGCCCTTGCAAATGACAGTGTACATCGTCGCTGCCTTCATAGCCGCATACTGGATTTCGGTTATCTGCGGGAGTATATTCATGACGGACCCCATTGAAGCGCAGTGGAAGATGTGGATTTCACACCGACGGATCAATACGTTCCGGTTCTACCTAACAATGGGGGTCGCGAACACGGTTCTCGATCTAGTTGTGCTGGTGATTCCACAGCCTCTGGTATGCGGGTTGCAGATGGGCCGGAGGCAGAGGGTTTCGGTGTCGTTTGTTTTTGCGTTGGGCGGGTTGTGAGTCCGTCCCTATCGTGCCGTATCTCGATAAAGTCTGCTCCATTCCATTTGTTTCTGTGCTGATCAAGGGACGGTAGTGTGTGTATAGCCAGCATAGTGCGTATCTACTTCATTGCGACGATGAATATGAGCGATGCACATTGTACGTCTTGCTTACCCATACTTCAAGAGACCAACTGACTCTGCGTTTGCCCTAGACACTCATACCAACGCGACGCTCTGGACCATGATCGAGATGAACACGGGCATCATCTGCACCTGCCTCCCGATGCTGCCTGGCTTCGTGCAGTATTTCCATCGCCGGTATTTCGCGAGGAAAAGCAGCACTGCTGCCACCGAGGGGGCACTCGTGTCGAGAGATATGACTTATAGTCCTCTACCACATCACGTCGAGGAGGGGAGTTCAGTCAGGGAAGCATAGGGTTGAATACCACATGCAGTGCTCTGTCCAAATGTCTTGATAAATAAATAATCTTACCGAGCCAACAAGATCAATGTGCTTGAGCTTTGTCTGGCAAATATATATATCATCTGGATGTTTCAACCTAGGTTATTGGGGAACCACTAACCGGCTCGGTCTTTCAAAACAGTCAATGTTCACGCTCTGGCGCACGATTATTTACGCAGTGTGTCCAGAGTAAGGCTTGCGGTGGGCAATAGGCCTTGGCGGCGCTGTGGGTTTAGTATGCCTGCCGACCGTCTTGAGACCTACCATATCGGCTTGGTGAAAGAAATGGCTTTGGAAATCATAATAAATAGTGCAGTGGTCAGATCGGGAAGCATAGTACAGTGAACAAAAAAAAAAACTGGTGAAAAAAACATACAACAGCTGGGATTCGCATGTGGTCACCCACCATACTACTAACCAGCCGGCGTGTGGCTTAAGTACGGCTGAGCGGACGGGAAGCCCTGTTCTCCACACCCTGTGGTCGTATGTGCTTGTCTAAAATTAATAGTAATTTATATATTAACTGACTGCTGCCAAGGGTTGCTGAGCGACGTCATCCGATCGGCACCAAAATCGACTTCTTCGGCCTCAACGCAACTTCGTCACCTTGACTCTCTTCCCTCAACCTCCCATCCTACCAACTACTCTCTTCTATTCTCTTTACCGTCTAATCCTCTAGTTATACCCCTTGTTTCTTTATAGACCTTTTTGTTACTGCCGCCATCGGATCCCGAGAAGAACGCACAATGCCACCCCCTTCCGATCCCCCAACGCCAACATCAACACCACGCTTCCCACCCTTAAAAATCCTCCTAATCTACCCAAACATCCTCCTAACGGGCTCCCTCTTCTCCATCCTCTCGCCCGTCGCACAACCCCCGCTCTCCGACGACCCCGCCGTAACCTCCGCCCCGCTAAACTACTTCGCCCGTAAAGACAACATCTTCAACATCTTCTTCGTCAAAATCGGCTGGATCTGGTTCACGCTCGCATTCGGCGCTCTCCTCCTCTCATACACCCCCTCGCCCGACCGCGCGCGCCGCCAAGTGCAGGCTCTTTCGCGGTACGCCCTCGCAACGCTCGCCTGGTACCTCGTGACGCAGTGGTTCTTCGGGCCGGCGATCATCGATCGGAGTTTCGTCATAACCGGTGGGAAATGCGGGGATGCGGTTGCGGAACTGCGCGCTGCTGAGGTTGAGAAGGGCGTTGTTGGCGCGCGCGTCGACGACTTCGGGACTTATTTGACGGCGACTGCTTGTAAGGCTGCGGGGGGTCAGTGGAGTGGTGGGCATGATGTTAGCGGGCATGTGTTTATGCTTGTGCTTGTTACGGCTGTGTTGGGGTTTGAGGCTGTTGGGGTTATGATGCAGGGGGAGGGTGAAAGTGCGACGACTGCGACTGCCTCGGAGACGGATGCGGATGAGAAGGCGAAGACTTGGGTGGAGGTAGAATCCGGTAATGAGGTTCGGACGTGGGCACTGCGCTTTGTTGCTGGGATTATTGGGCTGGGTTGGTGGATGCTGCTTATGACGGCTATCTGGTTTCATACGTGGTTGGAGAAGGTATGTCGCTGGCTCAGTTATAACGATGTCAAGCTAACCTCTCAGGCGAACGGTCTGCTTATCTCGCTCGGCGCGATATACCTTATTTACTTCCTCCCGCGACGCATGTCGCAATGGAGGAACATTGTCGGCATTCCTGGCGTATAACTTATAGATTTTTGGGTTGTATACTACGTGTACAGTACACTACAATTTTATACATCAATGCATGGCCTTGTTTCACGACATGATCGGCTCAGGACCGAAATATCCCCGTTGGAACGCTGCTCTGTCAGCCAGTGCCCTTATGATACTAAATAGGATTTTGGTTAGACGCACCTCCCGGAATCAAAGCTGCCGCATACATGACCCTCGTGATGGGCCTGAGATCCTCGGGCGTCGCATCCTTGCCGATCGCCCCATCCATCCTCGACCTCCAAACCTCGAGAATCTGGTCCCCGTACGCCCGCAGATCACCGGATCTCTCTTTCTCGGATTCCTGCTCAGCCATACATCGCAGGCCCAGCGCAGTCCCGAACTCGCGGAACGCAAGCCGGTATTTCATGCCGCGGTCAAGGTAGCGGCGGATCTCGAGCAGTTCGTCTATCGCCGTCAAATCCCAAATCCAAACTAAAGGAAGGGAGGGAACATACAAATCTGCTCAAAACACCTATCCGCCAACCTCCTCGCCCACTCTTCCTCAATCACCCAGTGCACAGTCCACATCGTCATCCCCAGATCCAGCGGATCCGAAGAGACGAAATGCTCGCCCTTGCGTTTCATGACGCGCGCATAATCGTCTATCTCGTCTTTCAGCACTCCACCTCCGTCTCGATTCCTGAAATGGTCATCCGCCGCCTGCAACAGCCGAAACATCACGAACCCATCGACGGGATCTAGATTCCCCTCGCTCGCAACCAACGGCCTAGACAAATTCATACTCATCTTCCAGACCATGCGCGGGTTCTCAGACGCCCGATTCACGAAGAACGGCGCGTGGATGGCTTTGGCCAGCGCGATCGCCTGCTCGTTGTATGTTGGGTCATCGCTCGCCAGACTCATCCGGTTCAGCGCGAACATCCACAGCGTCAAGTAATGGTGGTACTGCCCGTCGCCGTCGCTGCCTGCTTCCTCGGTTTTCCCGATCCGCAGACCGCCGCCGAGCGAGTTGGACTCTGTTGCGCCGGGGAGAAGCGCGGAGCCATCGCGGGTGCGCCCGAGGACGTCGTGAACGGTGGTTACGAGACGCGAGGCAAGTGTTAGGTAGTGGGTGTTCCTGGCGTTTGTGGGGCTATTGCGGTTTGTTTCGATGTGTAGTGTTAGTAGTGCGAGGACGCCGAATGCGTCGGTCCAGAGGTAGCGGCCTTTGTGCCCGCCCGAGGCTTGGGGTGGGGTCCAGGTGTTTGGGTGTGAGAGGGTGGAGGGTGTTATGGGGCCGTAGAGGGTTGAGAGGGTTGAGGTGAAGGTTTCGAGGGGGGATTGCATTGCTTTATTTGTGATGGAGTGGTGGGTTTGTGGTTTAAGGATGGGTTTGCTAGAGACGCAGGTGGGTAACTGAAGCTGAAGGAGGGTGGATATACCCCGATGGATGCGGATTCGATGCATCTCTTACATATCCAGACACATCAGTCTCTTACACAATGTCGATTGTGAATGAGTGCTGATTGATGGATGCCAGTGATGAAGTCATCATGACACCGGCCTGACATCTACACTGACTAACCCTAACTTTGTACAGCCACTAGGACACCAACGATCCCTCACCCTGACAACCAACAGCAAACCATGCCATGAACAGACTGAACACCCTCTACAACACCCTCAAACACCCTTTCCCAATCCACCTCCCAACCACCAGAATGTCCGACCTAACCGCGCTCTTCCGCTCTTCCATCCGCCCCCTCCCGCCCATAACAGACCCATCCTTCGCACCCCCCTTCGACACCTTCGCCAACAACCGCCTCGTCCTCCTGGGCGACGGCTCCCACGGGACCTCCGAGTTCTACGCCGCCCGCGCAGAAATCACAAAGCGGCTAATCACCCACCACGACTTCACAATGCTCGCCCTGGAAGCAGACTGGCCCGACGCCGAAGCCCTAGACCGCTACGTCCGCCAGCGCCCAGGCCACAAAGCGCGGATCGGAAAGTCCCGCTCGAAAGCCGAACTCGAGGCCCACGACGAAAACGACGACGAAGCCTTCGAGCGCTTCCCAACATGGATGTGGCGCAACAAAGAGATGCAGGATCTCGTCGAGTGGATCCGCGACCATAACACCTCCCTCCCGGCAGACCGCAAAGTCGGCATCTACGGCATGGATCTGTATTCGCTCGGGACATCCATGAAAGCAATCATCTCCTACCTAGACCACATCGACCCATCCATGGCAAAGGAAGCACGCAGACGCTACGGCTGTCTGGACCCATACACAGAGCACCCGCAAGACTACGGCCTCGACGCCCTGCGCGGGTTCAAAGACTGCGAGAAGGGCGTCGTGGCCATGCTGCGCTCGCTGCTTGAAAACCGCCTCCAGTACGCCGAGCACCCCGGCGACGGCGAGGAATTCCACAGCAGCGAGCAGAACGCGTACGTCGTGCGCGACGCAGAGCGCTACTACAAGGCCATGTACTATTCCTCCGCGGGCTCGTGGACGCTGCGGGACAGCCACATGGTCGACACGCTGAAGCGGCTGATGAAGCATAAGCCGGCGGGCAGCAAGGCCGTCGTCTGGGCGCACAACAGCCACTGCGGCGACGCGCGCCACACGGCGATGGGAATCCGGCGGAAGGAAGTGAACATCGGGCAGCTGTGCCGCGAGGTATTTGGGGCGCAGAACGTGGCGCTGATTGGGTGCGGGACGCACACGGGGACTGTTGCTGCCGCGTCGGAATGGGGCGATGATATGGAGGTTATGGATGTAAGGCCGAGCATGCGGGAGTCGTGGGAGCGGGTTGCGCATGATACGGGGGTTGAGAGCTTCCTGCTGGATTTGAGGGAGGATAAGATGAGTCGGGAGGTGAGGGAGGCGCTGGGGAAGGAGAGTCGACGGCTGGAGCGGTTCATTGGGGTTATTTACCGGCCGGATACGGAGCGGGTCAGCCATTATTCGGCGGCGGATCTGGTGAATCAGTTTGATGGGTATGTGTGGTTTGATACCACGAGTGCTGTGAAGCCGTTGGAGAGGGTCCAGCCGAAGACGGCGCTGGGGGAGGGGGAGACGTATCCGTTTGGATTGTAGCTGTATCCAAGTTCGATCTAGAATGTACTATATGTGTGTGTATGTTTAAAAGTGCTCAGGCTAATGTGCAAATCGGAAATCAAGCCTTTTGCTCCCTGTTTCGGGGCTGTTCTTGGTGTAGGCTTCTCGGTCCTATCACTTATCAGTATATCAAGGAAGTTAGGGCTAGGCGGGGCTGTACGAACCACCTCACTCATCTGCGCCCAAACAGCATCCCTCTGCTTATTCCGTCTAGTATAGTAGACCTTCGTCGCAACCAAGAGTGCAATCCCCAGCACATTCAACCCCAGCAGCACCGAGTATCCCCGTTTATACAGCGGCGCGTCGTCATCCCTGAAGATACTGTTGCCGATGATATTGCCCATTTGAACGCTCACTACCCCATAACAATTAGCAATCCCATTAAGCATGGCAAGGGTAAGGAGAAAGGACAGGCGACGTACTATTATAAACCGCCGCGGACACCGTCCGTGTTCCCACATTATTCGAGTTCTTGCTCGTCCAGCCGACTAATATCGCATGGCAGTATGGGTGCGAGAGTAAGATTGTCATGACTACGTACGTGCCCCAGGGGTTTATCATTGCGTTGGGCCAGAATCGCAGGACTAAGAGGCAGGGGAGGACCCAGAGGGATTGGATTGACGAGACCAGGGCGCGCTCGTTGAGACGCTCCGAGAGGTGCGTGAGAAGGTTCAGGAGGAGGATGTGCGTTATGTTGTACGGGACTATGAGGAGGTTTGTGGAAAACTGCATATAATTAGTGAACGATTGAGGTAGGGCTTGGAAGAAGAGAATACAGTATCGAATCCCACGCTCTTCAGCGTGAGGGTTATATACGTCTTGATCGGAACCATGGGGGTGTAAACGACCAAGCCTAGGAGGTAAATCGGCAAGAGATCGTAGTCGCATAAGGAGTCCCAGAGCGCGGAGAGGGTTATTGCCTCGCGGTTGTGCATGTCTCCTGTGTCATGGTAGTTAGCCCTACCTCCCATAGTATCAAGTAGCAAGAGGCAGTTACCCTTCGACGGATCATCCCTCAGCACGCGATTCACGACAATGCGCACCTCGCGATCAGAGAACCACCCGTTCGGCCTGAACCACGTCTTCGTTTCCACCGCCGACGCAGGCATCTTGAAGAACGAGGCTAGTCCGACGACAAGCGTGATCAGCCCCTCTATCAGGAAGAGCCATCGCCATCCAGCCCACCCGAGGACACCGCGCATATGCAGTACGCCGAATGCCAGGAAAGACCCAATGATCTCGGTTACGGAGAGAGTAGTCCAGAAGAGACTGCATCATTAGCCACCACCTCCTCTTTCTGTTATGGTAAGTATAAGGCCCATACCTAAGTCTCGTCGGCAGTTCGCGGCTCGTATAGAAATACGACAGCCAGAGCACGATATCCGGGATGAAGCCGCCCTCGAGCATGCCCAGTGCAGAACGGGTCAAGAAGAATGAGGTCCGCCCTGAGAGGCAGGACTGCGAGATTGCGACGAGCGACCAGAGCGACATCTGGATTGGGATCCAGCGGTCTGGGCCTAGGGCTTTGGAGAGGAGTTGGCTGGGGAGTTCGGCTAGGAGGAAGGAGAGGTAGAAGATTACGTTGCCGGCGTTGTAGTCTAACATCTTAGCAGAGGATATGGCGAGTGATGGGAGAAAATACCGTTGGTAGACAACCCCAGGTCATCCAGCATGTTATCCGAAACAGCCTGGATGAGATTGCTCCTGTCGACTTGGAGGCCGAAGAACATCACGCACTGTACGAACGTCTCAGCTCCAGTCCATCATTTAGGACAGAGAAAAGAATGAGGTGGTAGGCACGCACAGCCCACAAGCAAACCTTCCCATCAATCTTCCTCACAATCTTTCTTTCTTCCTCCCTCGTCCAGACCAAGGTCGGGTCAAAGACATGCCGACATTCATACTGCGCTTTCTCATAGAGCGCCGCATAGCGCTCTGCAACCTCAGGGTCCGCGAATGGATTCGACGAGTCGGAATCGGTCTCAGCGTCGAGCGCTTCAACCCGAGGTCTGGACCCGTCTTTGCCGGCTCTCGTGCCTGTGCCTGGTAGGTCCGTGTAAGATAATGACTTGTGACTTTCTAGTAGAGGCCGCGTAACCTCTTTGTTTGTATCCATGGCTTCGTTGATTCTTATGCCTGGTTCTGATTTGGTCCCCCGTAAAGAAAGGATGTCGGGCTCGAGCGTTTCCAGCTTGATTTCGTGGTCGGCAGACATGGCGATCGCTGCGTATAAACAAAGACGAGGTCGCATCGTCTGACGGCACGTCATTCGGTCCCAAGGTCGCGTATGAAGGGGGGTACTGCGCGGTTACCGAATAGGATCAGACATGCATCGTTGCGTGCTTGGGGCTGCGGCTGCGGTTGTCTTGTGGTGAGCCTTGTGTTGGTGTAGTGGGGTATACTATTCGCCAGAGGTATGCAGTGCTTTGGATGCATTCTTCACTGTCAGCTGCAGTAATGATGTACTCACCTGGGCAGGCAGTGCAACTGGCTGGGATGTTCTGGTGATCTACGCGTGTGGATGGCGTCATTTCGAGGGGTTCTTGCGATTGTTAAAGACCGTGTCACTGGATCGGAGCGATTAAGCGGCCTTATTTGAGATGGTTACAGACAGCTTATCTCTGTAATGACTCGGTAAAGGAACTCTCAGCCTTGATGCGTTGGTTATATGCGTGTGCTATCATGTTGACATTCCCATGTGCCCTAACGAACTAAACCCGTCTACCATGGATGTTGCATCGACAAGATGCCCCGCAAGATTTGAAGCCGAGGTAGAGAACGGACTAGCGGCAAATACTCTATTCAAGTCTGCACTCGATACTGGAGCAATTAAGAAAAGAAGAATGTTAGCAACCGGCAACACCTGTTCAACTACCCGAAACCCTAACCCTCTCCCCTCTCCCACCATCCTGTCCCCGGAAAACCCAATATCCATGGATTTATCTATCCAGCCTCTTGTTTTCCTGGTCCGTTGTCGTATTGTATCTTCCTAAAGGGTAGCGTGCGTGTTGGATACAACAGAATTACTGTGACAAGCGCGCAGCTCCCCCACCTTGGTGTCCCTACTGGCAATACCGTAAGCGCAACAAGACAAGGCAAGAGCCAGAACTGCGTGAAGAGCCCTAGGTACACGCGCTGGTTCCATTTTACGCCTATGTAGGTGAAGATGAGCATCTAACATGTACAACCAGTCAGCCATACCCTGAATAACAGGGGGAAAGTATCAAACCCCAGCCCCCGCAGTGTAAGTGTAAGATACTGATCACCCGGCGCCGGCGGGATCCAAACGTGAGCCCAATAACGTAGATGGGCCAGAGAACGAACGTGAGCCATGTTTCAGGTGCGGTTGGAACCGTCGAGGTGGATCTGCTACGCCCTACACGCCCTGCAAGTATGTCCCCGAGCCCACTGGATTGGTAAGTATGCTTTGCAATCAGTTAGAAAACTCAATGGGTGAAACGAAAGGTGTCGAATACCAGAGGCGGGATATATAATGTATTCAAAACTTGCGTTGGGTTAAGAAGGCGGTTGGGGATCAAATGCTTGTGGCGGCGGTTGGCATGATCAACAATGGTGGGTTGGCGGAGCAGATCCTGAACGACGACGACCTGGATGTGATCCTGGTTGGGAGGGCGTTCCAGCGCGATACAGGCCTCGCATGGCACTTCGCCAAGGACTTGGATGTTGAGATTGCCATGGCCATCTGCATATCATGTCCTCTCAACACCATCAACCGCCTGAGCCCAGAGTGTATATCAAATGGCACACGATCCCAGACGTTGACAACCCAGCCCTCCCCTCCCAAGGCCTTGAAGCCACCCGTCAACAATATCGACCACCTCATCGTCAGCGTCAACGCAACGCAGACAGTCGCAGCCCTGCAGGAGGGAGGTTGGGGTTTGCACGGAGGTCAATGAGGGGTTTGTGGGGGAGGTGCTGAGGCGGACGTCCGGTTGGGTGGGGAGAACGTGATGTTGATTTTGATATTGAATATTTGCATTGGATGGATACGGTGGGTTTAGCTATGAGTACTTGGTCGAGCTTTACACGGCTGGAATCACTATTCGGCTGTATCCCATGGCAGTGCATTGAGGTATATAGGGTAGACTGCTGCCGGCGTTCGGCGCGGCTGGTATGCCTTTGATGATAAGTCTCGCAGCAAAGTATTTAATATTTAAGCTGCCCCGTTGACTCTGTTTTCTTACTAATCTCTAAAGGGACATGTCCAGCATGCGAAGGTTACTCCGCCTATCTCCCCGTCTATGATAATGAGACCACCTTCCAAGCCACCAACCGAACCCTTCGGGCACAAAGACCGGGGGTTAAATGCCAGCAAGCCAACCCACACCTTCTTAACACCGGCAACCTAAATGAAATGTTGCTATCGAAAAGTTGACTCCCTGCGTCAGCTCTGAAGTCCGTGGGCCCCAGCTCTCGCAGCTCTCCGACGTGCCTGGCAAAAAGACGAGCTCGCCTCTGATTGCGGAGCGCGGCGTTGTTGCCTCCGCGATCGGGAGTTCAAGGATACTGGACCGGAGAAGTAGAAGGAGTTTGCTAGGTATTTTGGGAGGTTGCATGTTCACACGGGTAGGTTCTGTGCCAATTGACCAGTCCCAGGATACGGTATTGCCCGGGCATTTAGGGCTAATCGGGTACGTGGGTATCAGCCGGTCTGTTTCACCGTAAAAGACCACCTCGAATTCTACAGTATCTACCTAGGCGCCGATAACCTCTACAGACTGCAAACGCTTCCCTCGAAGCTCTCCACCGCGGGATACTATTGCTTACACTCCTCAGCGTGTTCTCATCCGGAGGTGATACAGACTGGGTCTCGCAGGTCGCTGCGTACGAGCGACTCTCCGCCCCAACCAAAAAAAAAAAAAAAAAAAAAAAAAAAAGAGAGAGAGAGAAGAACTACGCGCTGAGCATAGCAGGTTCCCGCAGGCTGGGAGGGCGAGAGCAGACGGGAAGTTTGTTCGCAGGGAGCCCGTGAGGCCGGAGCAACCGGTTGTTAGGGTTCACGGTTCACCCTGTCACGGGTGAGAAAGCTCTTCGTCAACCGGGCTTGACGAAGAGAATTATCGGGTCGGAGGATGAGGAGTTGGATGCAATTTTACAGTTAATTTTTACTGAGCCCAGCCTTTATATTTCTGTTGTCGGGACTACGGGATAAGGTGAGCAGCACATTGCTTTCTCGCAAGACATCCAGGTTCGTTAAGCGGGACGATAGGACGGTTTCGCGGTGCGATAATCGGGTCACGGCTCATACGGCCATTTCGGATTATAATGCCTCGACTGATGGGTTGAGGTATGGATGGCATTAGGTCTAGTACATTGGGAGAAAGGCCGGTTGGGTTGGATGGGTTGGAGACGGTCTGGTCAATCGGGGTACTGTAGGGCACCGTCAACGTGGGTATGCTATTATCGTACATTAGCAGAATGTCAAATCATTGTAAGGAGCGGAGATTTCCAAATCTATTACACAACTACAAGCCTTACAACATCGAGCGGAGATTCCGAAATACACTCCAATCACTCAGGCTATCTACCTCCTTATCCCCCCAAAGCCAGCGCCGTTCCAACTCAGGCACCACCCAACCCACCATCCACCGCGACGTTAGAACCTCGCGAATCGTAATCCTCCCCTCAGGCCTCAAGACCAACATTTTCCTCATAAGCTCAACAATAGCAGCCGCCTCCTCCGGCCCAAACACACCGGGATGAAACTTCGCCTCCCGATATCTCCAGTCCTGAATGTCCTCCTCAAACGACTCCTCCAGCGGCCTGGGCCATACCTCGCGTCTTTCTTTGGGCTCTCTACCCTCGTCGAAATATTTGCTTCGCGCGGTCCACTCGTTCCACCAGCTCTCTGGCATGGAATGCGCTCCGAGGGCGTCCAGGTGCTGGCAGATCATGTTGTCTTCCGTCGCCAACTCTGCGCTGAAAAGGGGCTGCATGCCGAGGATCTCCCAGATAGCGAGCGCTAGGCTCCAGATATCGGCTGGGTAGGAGAGCGGGGAGGTTGGGGCGAATCGGGCTTCGGGGGGTCGGTGTGCTAGTGGTGTGTGGCAGTCTTTGGCGAGACTTTTTTGCTTGTCGTTGTGCGGGGCAAATGTTTCGCCAAAGTCGCTGAGCAGTATGTTTGTATCGGCGATGTTAAAGTCTCTAGCGTGCTTGCCGAGCCAGACGGGGGTTACGGCTTCTTGGGGGACGTTTGGTGGGAGGGCCTTCCCGTCACGTCGGGTTACGGGCTCTGTTCCGGGCTGGCCGTACTTGGTGTAATAGTCCTGGATTGAGAGGTGGTTGAGGCTTGAGGGGAGCTTGACCAGGATGTTGCGAAGGTGGAGGTCTGAAGCCGGTAGGTAGGGTTAGACGAAGGTGAAACCAGACTGCCTTCGGAGTTCGGTAGGACTTACCTCCATGCACGAACCCATTCTCATGCAAATAAGCCACCGCAAGCACTAGACGGCCCGATATCGCCCTTGCAACATCAATGGGGAAAAGCTCGCTAAAAGACGCATCCTGAAGATTACATGCCGCGACGGAAGTGGAGTAGCATCGATGTCGTCCATTCGGCCCCTCGAGCTCGAAATCATCAAGCACAGTCGGAATAGCCTCATGTCCTGGACTTGCAAGACATCGCAGAGTATTTATCTCGCGCGTCACCGAGTCTGAGTCCGCTGTGCCGACTTTCAGCGCAACGTAGTGCCCTGTCTCGGTATCCCGGGCTAGCCAGACGGTCGAGTAGCCTCCATATCCTAGCTTGTCGACGATGCTGTACCGGTTGTGCAGTTTGTCTCCAATCATTACTGGGTGGTAGCCTCCGGGCTCATATCGTTCAAGTTCCTCGGCCCCGTTGATCCAGTGGTATCTGATGTAGTGGTCATGGTCATCATGCGATGTCGACGTTGCTATTGTTGATAAAAGTCGGACACGGCGCCAAGTAATCGGATTACCATGGAAATAGGTAGGAGTGGTATAATAAGTCACAGCAGAAGACTGCGAAAGTGAAAGAGTATATAGAAGCAGGGGTGTTTTTTTGAAGCTGCGCCGAGCCCGCATCCATGTAGAGAAAGGCCGTTGGCGCCAGATGACAGACCCGAGGGGGGAAGAAGAAAGCCCTCGCATATCTCTATGCCTGTCTCTTGCAACTATGTTTCACATGATAAAAGGCAATAGGAAGTTCTGATTCTATGAGGTGATGGCTGAGAGTAAGGTGGGGTGGTTGGGTGATGCACAGAGATTAGATAAGCAGGCGGCTAACTTGGTACGTCAGGTCACGTGAAACAATGATTATCAATCTGGCTTGGCTTAGCATGATTGGTCAGATTCTCCACAGCGATCTATACAACTCATTTGGAAGAGACAGCTGGAGGTATATCAGCTACCGTCAATGCTTACGTAGAGCATATCGAGCCAGAGACACTGCAAGGAAGACCACTCTGACTTCTTGGCCAGGTCCATAACTGTCACTGAATCGCCCCTATGAATTCGCCCGTGCTATGTACCTAGGTAGACTCTATTTCCCGTCGTAGGGGATGACTCCGGACTACCCATTGCAAACCTGACGTCTTTGAGCATGACAATCCGCTCTAAACAACCCGTCCAGCCAAGACCATCTCTCTGCGCCCCCGTCAGGGAGCCCTCAGCGACGTCGACGATACTCCTCGAGCATCCGGCCATCCACCAGTACTGGTCTTCATAAAACTGCAACAGCACGGCATAGTGCAGGAAGATTAACACAGCTACAGGCTCGTGACGTCGCAGTCGCGCCCAGTACTCATCCGAGACTGCTGCCGGCCACGCGGCGACGAGGTTGGTGTTGTGTGGTCCTGTGACGGGGTTCAGGGCTTTTAATATTATCCGTTGCAGATCCTCGATGGCGTCAAGATGGACGTGGTCGTGGTGGGCCATGCTCTGGAGGTGCCTGAATACGTCGCCTAGTACAGATGGGACTGGGATTGCGTTAGCGGCCTCAGTCGGGGGTTGAATTTCGAGGATCCGGCCGACGGGCCGATCGAGGATTGTTTCGTGGTGTAGTAGGAAGAGCGTCTTGCAGCCGCGTATGAGGCCAAGGGAATTGAGGATGTCGTCTATGGCGAGGGAATTGTTCGACACAACAGGGGCGGCAAAGGCCCAGACGACCAGGAGGACGGAAAAGGTGAAGAGGGCATCTGAGCTGTCTGTGCAGGTGGACGGGTGGGTGATTTGGTTTTTGAACAGCTGCAGGCCGAGACTGTGGTGGTGGAGTGCGCGCACATAGTAATTATTGCAGTCGAGGGTGGTTGTTGCAAGATGCAGGGCTGCGACGGCCAGGAGGCCGTGCATCAGCATTGGGTTGGAGCCGGCTTCGAATGGGACGTGTTTCTGCCAGACATCGGTGTTTTTGGGGCCGTCGAATAGCGATAGGGCGGTTACGGCTGTGAAGTGGTTCATGAGGACGAGGTCCAGAGAGTCGAACAGAGGCGAGTGGGGCGGAGGGCCATTGTTGGTTGACGGTGGTGGTTGTTCTGATGCAGGGGATGCAAGACGGGGGTAATGACAGGGACTCTGGGCTCGCAGGCAGTTGGAGCAGCTCGGGTGTGTTTCGTCGCACTCGGCAGCTTAGCACAGGCAGCGTCTTGGGGAAATGGGAGGTATGGTACCTTGTGACGACCTTGCGGGTTAGTCAGCTCAGTGGCGCTAGGCGGTAATTTAATATCTACTTAACGGCAAATAATAAGGTAACTTTAACTAAGGATAACTTAATAAGTATAAATAATAAAAGGTTTAAATTAAAAAATATTTAAAAAATTAATTAAAATATTTTAAATAAGTTATATTCTAAAGCCCTAGCCCTATTATATTTAAAGTAATAAGTAAATAAATTTAAATAGGTATTTTTTAATAAATAAAAAAAAAATTTATTAATAATTAGCTTAAGGCATTTATAAGTCTAATATACCCTTTTATATTAAATTTAATAAAATTAACATAATACTAAAATAAAAAAAAAATATTAAAAAAAAATAATTTTAAATTTAAATTATTTAATAAATTTAGTATATTTTATTAACCCTAGTAATTTTATAAAGCTATTAGTTAGTTACTTATTTATAAGAATTTATTATATTTTAATATTTTTTAAAAAAAAATCTTTTTTAAAGCTAATAGCAGTATATATTAACATGTTATAACTTAGTAATAAAGTTAAAATTTTTTTAGTAAGTAATTAAATAATTTATTAATTATTATATAAAATCTTAAGATCTTGCCCGGGATTAAACTTTAATTTATTAAAAAGTTTTTTTTATTAAAATAAGTATTTGCCTGCTTTTAATATAGCTAGAAATTTTACTTTAATTATAAAAGTAATAATAATTTATTAATAGCTTGCCTTTTAATTAATTAGGCTATTAAATAGCTTTATAATATAGCCTTTAAAGCTTTAATAACTATTTATATTAATATAAAATATATTAATAATAAAAATAAGGTTATCCCTAGTTATATAGGCAGTTATCTTAGTATTTTTTTTAAATATTATAGCAAGCGTGGCGGTTTTAATAAAATACTAAATTACTTACTTTACAGCCTTAATATAGGCCTTTATTAAATTTATAAAATATTATATTAACTTATTCGCGGCCTTTAAGGCCTTAGGTTATATTTAAATAGTTAAATAAAAAAAAAATTAATAAGTTATTAATAATAGTAAATATCTTACTTTTTTATATAATATTTATTAGGTGCTAACTTAAGTTTAACTAGTAATAATATTTTTAAATATTAATTAAGATTAAAAAAATTAAACCAAGTTTTAAAACTTTTTTTAAAACTTTTTATATAAAAGTTTTAAAATAAGTAAATAGTTTAGTTCCTGCGGTTATATATAATTTAAATATTAAAAAACTATTATATAGCTTTTATATTATAAATTTTATATATATTAATTATATATTTTTTAAACTTCGCGGCTGCTTGTTAGGCCTTGTAAGTTTTTTAATAAAAAATAAAAATATTATTAATAAAAAAATAATAATAAAATACTTACTAATAAAAAGGTATTTTTTCTTAGGCACTTGCTTAAGGCCATACGCAGTAAGTTTTATAAAAAAATCTTTTTACTAAATGCGTGAAAATTAGTATAGTTTATATAAAGGCCTTAACAACCTTTATACTTTATTTTTTAGTATATATTTATGCGGAATTCTTATATAAACTTTTTTATTTATAATACCTTAAATAAAGGTATTTATAATATTTAACTAGTTAATTTCCAGGTTAAAATAAGCGGCAAGCGCTATTATAAGTTAAAAAAGTTAGGTAATAAGTATTAATATTATAATATTTATTTTTATAAATAATTAAAAATCTTTATATATACAAAGCCTTGCTTTAAATTTAATTATATAGCCCTTAGTATTAAACTTATATTTAAATACTTATTTTAGTAATAATATTATTTTTTTTATAATATTTTTACTATTTTATAGGTGCCTATTAATATAAGGTTATTTATTTTAACTTTAGCCGCCTTAATCCACTACTTTTTAAATAAACTTTTTATTATTTTCTTTTAGTTCTATGGCTCTAGTAAAGTATTATTTTAGTAAAGTTATAAAGTAAAAAAAAAGCTATTATATAACTATACTAAGTATAATAAAAAATATAGCTTATTTATATACTAGATTTTTTATAAGCCTGGCGTATAAATTACTATAATATTTTTTATTTAGGTAGGAGATATTATTAATTAAAGGTATATTAAAAGGCCTTTATTTAATAATTTAAAAAACTTACTTTTAAACTTTATTAAATCTTATAATTATATTTTTATTCTTATTAAGTGTAAGTATGCTGTTATTTCCATACTTAAATTCTTAATTAAAAATAATTATTTTAGCTAGTAAAGTAGGAATTAAAGTTAAATAGTTTTTTTTATTTTTTTTTTAAATTTTATATTAGGAAAACCGCTAGGGGCGCTAATATTTATATTAAAAATTTTATTTATAGTAATATTAAAGTTAAATTTAAATAGGGCTATTTTATAATTTTTTAGTATAGTAAAAATAAAGTTAGCTAACTTATTTAAAAACTTAATATAATTAATTAAATTAATAAGTGGTATTTTATTAATATTATTATATAACTTATAAGTTATGGGTTGCAGGGCATTAGCACTTTTATTAATTACTTTAATTTTTTTACCCCCCATGCTAGTATTATTATTAATAGCATGTAATTTAATATTATATTTAAGTTTAAAAGCCTTAATAGGCTTATTTAATTTATTTTTATTATTATTTTTTAAATCTTTTTTAAGCCCTATAAAAAATAGTAAAATAATATAAAAAAGTCCACTTTTTTTAGCCACGTATTTTTAGGTAGGAGTAAGTTTATAATATATAAATTATTAGTAAGTAATAAATTATTTAAAGTATAAAACTTTAATTTATTAAATATAATATTACATGCTTAAAAAACTAACTAGTATAGCCTTACCTTAAAATTTTATAATTTTTAAATATTACTAGTATTATACCTAATAAAATAGCCTATACTAGCTTTTTTAATAAGTTTTTTAAATTATACCATGGCTTTTTAATAAAACCCTATATAACTAAAAATATATATATTTAATAAATTAACAGGCTGTAGAATGTTAAGAACAGCTTAAAATTATATAAGTAAAATAAACTAGGTGTTTTTTAAATTTCTAGCAGGCGTATTATTAAGAATATATATAGCTAATTTTATTACTTTAAAATTAAAATATTTAGGGAAATTTATTTTTAAAACCATGGCCCAAGCGTGTTTTATAATAAGGCCTTTTTAACACTTTAATATAAAGTTTTATTTAGGTATATTTTTAATAATTATATATAATAACTCCCTTTTTTTAAGTATTAATTTTAAAGTTATTTAATCTTATAAAGCCCTTGCTATTATTATAAAGTATTATAATTTTATAATTATATTAATTTTTTACCATGTTATAAAAATACTAAAAAGCAAGAATATATTTATTTTTATTTTTATAAAAAATTATAAATTATATATAAGTATAGTTATTAATAAAGTATAAGAGCTATTTTAGGCTGTTTTATAACTTTAAACTAAGCTATATTATATTAAAATAAATAATTTTAAATAATTAAGTTAATTTAAAAAAAATTTTTTTAAATATTTATTATAAAGCGTTAGCAAGCTTGTAAATAAAGTAAAAAAAATAATATTTATTAAAATCCTTATTTAAAGTAATAATCTCCACCCCCAAGGCTAACTTTTAAAGTTATAGTACTAGCTTATTACCTAAATAGCCTATATATTAATACTAAAGCTTAGTATCTCTAGCAAGCGCTCCTGGCTTTATTAATTATTAATATTTTACCTTAATTATAGTAAATACTCTTGCTAAATTAGGAAAGTACTTATTTATATATTATTAATTAAATATTTTAAATTTTTAGTACACTCCAAGGTAATATATTAATTATTTATAGTTATTTTTTATAAGGCGTTTGCAAGTATTAAAAAATAGTCCTTTTTATTTTAAAAAATTAAGTAATATAATATTAATATAAAAGCCTTTAATATACGCGTAGTTAATAAATTTAAGAATTTATTTTAAACTATTAATATAAGTTGCCTTTACTAAAAACATACTAATTATATTAATTATATTTAATATATTATTAATAAAAATCTTTTTTAATTTATCTAGTATAGTTATATAAATATCTTTTATTTTAGTAATATTATTATAAATATATATTATAAAAACACTATTTATAATTATTATATTATTAAAATTATATTTATTTATTATAATAACTAAGGCGTAAAATACTTAGTAAATAACTATATATATTTTATTTAAATATTTTTTCTTACCCTTGCCTTTATAAAAGTTATAATTAAGTTTTTTAAAGGCGCCTTTATAAATATTTTTAATTTTTTACTTTATATCCGGGTTGGCTATTACTTTAAAAACTTTTTTAAAAGTATTAGTATTTAGGTGCCATTTTTTTTAAGTATTTATATTAAAAAAATACTAGCAGTAAATAATTATATAATTTTAAATATAAATATTATACTTTTTTAGCCTTTTATTCTTTTTTTTAACTTATTTTTTAGCTTTTAAGGCTCCTTTAAACCCCTTTACTAGCTTTTTTTTTTAATCTTTTTTAATTTAACTCTTATTGTTCTCCTTAGGACTAATACCTTTAAAGGTAATATATATTATAAAAATTATAATAATAAATACTAATAAATTTATAAGTTTTTATTTACCTAAGGCTTGCTTGGCCTAGGCCCTAAAGTATATTTAATACCTAAAGTATTTTATAATATTATTAAACTTTAAAGGTTTATTATTTTAAAGCTTTTTATTTTTTTACTTAGTAAAAGTAAAGTTAAAAGGTGTTACATGTTTTAAAAAGTCCTATATTATTATTAATTTATTTTTTTAAAATAAAAATTTTATGCCTTTATTATAAAGCGCAATCCACTAATTAATTTAATAATTAATTTATATTATTAATATTTAAATTAAGCTTGCTTTAAGTAATTAAAGTTTTATATATAAATAATATAACTTTATTATTTTAAATACTTAAAATTACCTATAAAAAATAATTAATATATTACATGGCTTATTTACCTTTTTAAATAGCTTATAAAAGTTCTTATTTATTATTATATAAATTATTACTAAAAAAGTATTATATAAAGTTATTTATTTTTTAAGGTACTTATTATATATATTACAAGCCTTAAGGTATTTTTTATACTTTTTAAAAATTAATATATTTTTAGTAATCTTAGGTTCTTTTAGTATAAAATAAACCTTTTTTTTTAATTACTTTATTATTATTAGTTTAAAAATACTTTTTTTTTATTTTTTTTATATTTTACTAAAGTTTCTCGGGAGCGGTTCCCTAAGCTTTTACTTTTTTAAAAGTTATTTTTTTTTAATATTTAAATTTATATAATTTTAAATGCTTATTACTTTAGTATAATCCTTTAACTAGTTATATTATATTAATTAGTTATTATTAGTATTTAAAATAACAAAAACCTTATTAATTATTAAGGTAAGGTTAAAAAAATTTATAATAGTAAGTTATAGGTAGCTATAAGTACTTTAATTTATTAATTAGCTATTATATTTTATAATTAAATATTTTTACCTAGTAAAGTACTACTAGGCTTATAATTAATAATTTTATAGGTTAGTTAACTTAATAGCACTAGACGGTAATTTAATATTTACTTAATAATAAATAATAAGGTAACTTTAACTAAAAATAACTTAATAAGTATAAATAATAAAAGGTTTAAATTAAAAAATATTTAAAAAATTAATTAAGGTATTTTAAATAAGCTATATTTTAAAGCCCTAGCCCTATTATATCCAAAGTAATAAGTAAATAAATTTAGATAGGTGTTCTTTAATAAGCGGAGGAAAAATCTATCGGTAATCAGCCTGAGGCATCCACAAGTCTGACACCTTGACGCGGCAACGCCTGCACTGGAGACAGCCGCTGCGGGACTTGCGATGGAAGCGTTTCATTGGGAGGCTGCAGGAGGGTTCTGTGGACTCTGCGGCAGAATTCGAAGTTACTCGGTATTACAATCTTTCGTGTGAAAAGGGAATAAACAAAAGGGTTACCATAGTCTCTGGGAAAGGGTTTGTGGTTGTCTTGGGACTAACCCTAACAAAGTCAAGGCAAGTGGAGTAAACGAGGAACGAGCTCCACCACGAGTATACCAGAGGTACCAAGTTAGGGTTACAGAATCCTGGCACCTAGTTATCACTTATATACTGTACCGAACAACCCGACAACAAGAACATCACGCACCCTCGCCATGGACAACTGCACCAGCGTCACCCCAGCCTGCCCCGTCTCCGGCACCACGCTGGGCTACTCCCCCAACCTCGCCGGCAACCTCATCCTCCTCATCGTCTTCGCCGTCTGCGGTCTCGCCCAACTATGGCTCGGCGTCCGCTACAAGGTGCGCCTCTACACAACCCTCGTCTTCCTCGGGTGCGCAGGCGAGGTCGTCGGCTATATCGGCCGTCTAATGCTGCACTCGAACCCCTGGAGCAACGGCGGCGTCATCATCCAGACCCTGCTGCTCATCGTCTCGCCTTCCTTCCTAGCCGCCGCTCTTTACCTCACCGTCAAAACTGTCGTTCTGCACACTGGCCCGCAATTCTCGATCCTCAATCCAAAGCTCTACACCTGGCTCTTCATCATCTGTGACGCGCTGGGCTTCGCAACCTAGTTGGCTGGTGGAGGGCTGCAGGCGACGGCCGCGAACGGCAAGGGGTCTGAGAGTACGGTCAGGACGGGGACGGATATCATGATTGCGGGCATTGCGTTCCAGGCTGCGACCATGGCGGTTTGTGGGATTCTGACGATCGACTTTGCGAGGAGGGTGTATCGGCACCGCCGCCAGCACGGGGCGTACCCGAGGTCGCTCTCGTTATCAGAGCGGCGGGTCAACCGCAAGGAGTTTGTCTTCTTTGTGTCCTGCAACGTGGTTGCCTTGACCGCGAACTTGATCCGATGCATTTACAGGTGCTTGCCACTTTCTGGACCTGCTTTGCCTGTGTTGACGGTTGTTAGAATCCCAGAAATGGCCGGTGGATGGGGAAACCCGATGATGCAGGACGAGGCCAAGTTCATGGTTCTGGACGGAACGTAAGTCATGCCACTACTGACCTCAGTCTAGTGAGAGAGATACTGACCTTTATACGCAGTATGGTTTCCATCGGCGCGATCCTAATGACTGTTGCATTTCCCGGCGCTTATTTCCCCTCCATCAGCAGCCGTGCTATTCGTCAACATCAGAAGACCAGCAGCTTTGTCACGGAGGAGGGACTACAGTTGGCGCCTGGTGTAGGAGAGTCTGGCAGGCCGTAGAAGACCTGAAACCAAGAAGGACAGGTGCATTTATCAGCCTAAGTGCTACTTATGCAGTTGAGCCATCGTATAGTGATTGGAAAGGCGAAGGCCCTAGCAATTAAAAACGAAAGTGCGGCGGTTCGGTAGATCAATGCAGGGTGCCATCCTGGACTGCCATGTTTATAGAAGAAATACAATCCTCATTGCAAGCCGGCCTCTCCTAAGCCTTTGCCTCGCCATGATTCAGTAGCCTCCAATACCATTACCATGAAGAATGATTTTCATGACTGCACCTGCCCCCTCTTGGCACCGGGATTCAGCCTAATACCACACCATGTCAAGTGAGGCGAGCAATCGATGTTTACCCCGGCCAAGGAGCCAGTGTGCGATCCCTGCAATCCTTATTCGAGGAAACTGACAGACCCCTGCAAGCACCAGACTGGCCGCCGGAAAACGACGACACTCGTCACGGAGCACACCCGAAGTCCGTGACGGCCCGGTGTTTCACTTGGTATGAACCTGGCCAGTTGCTCTACGGTCTTCTGACGCAGATAGATGACCCTCAGACCTGCCACCGGAGAAATTGCAGCGTCCCTGAGGCAAAGTCATGGGTATAAGACCTATCTTTACTCTGTAGATCCACCAGGCTCTCCACTTGTTTCAATCCTGTCGATTTCACCAACCAAGAACGTCACAATGCTCATGTTCAGTCACCTTTTTATGCTTACGCTCGCGAGCGTTGCCTTTTCTAGACCCCATACGCACTCCAAGCGTACATCTAGAACCTCCGCACCACCCGGCTGCCTAACAGTCGGAGGAAACGGAACATACGCAACGATCGGCGATGCAATAACAGCTCTGGGGTCAGGTTCATCCTCATCCTCTGCTTGCATATACATTGAAGCCGGCACTTACGAGGAACAACTAACATTCAAGTACAATGGGAACCTGACCATCTATGGCGAGACCACAAACACCGCAACCTACGAGGAGAACACCGTCACCATCACACATACAATTTCCTCGCCGGAATCGGGATCGCTGATTTCTAGCGCTACGGTGAATGCCCAGATGGACGACTTCGCAATGTACAACGTCAACGTCGTCAATGGGTTTGGAAAGGGTGCTCAGGCTGTAGCGTAGGTCTATCCATCCGTGCAACATAGCCCTAGACCAGAGTCAGGGTCACGCTCACAGTTTTATCACATAGACTTGCTGCGACCGGCGACCGCCAGGGCTACTATGGCTGCCAGTTCATCGGGTACCAAGATACGCTTTACGCGCGGGACGGGATCCAGTACTACTCGCATTGCTATGTCGAAGGTACGCGTTGACCACCCACCCTGCAGTCAACCCAAGATCCAGACATTCCCGAGGTCCCTCTAACAGAGTCCCAACAGGCGCAACAGACTACATCTTCGGCGCAGCCAGCACCTGGCTCTCGACCTGCGCCATCGCCTCCAACGGCGCCGGCTACATCACCGCCATGTCGCGCGAGACGGCGTCCGATCCCTCGTGGTACTGCTTCGACAACTGCACCATCTACGAGAAGCCCGGCCTGGCCACGGCTCTCACGGGGAAGGTGTACCTCGGCCGACCGTGGCGGGTCCTTGCGCGCGTCATCTACCAGAACTCGGTCCTGAGCGACATTGTCCATCCGGCTGGGTGGACGACGATGGCGGAGGGGGCGACGCCGCTGTACTATGAGATTGGGAATTCCGGGGCCGGGGCGGATGCGAGTCAGAGGGTTTGGGAGAGTGGGATTGAGGAGCCTGTGAGTCGGGATACGGTTTTGGGCGTTGGGTGGGAGGAGTGGGTGGATGGGGACTATTGATGGCGGGCAGCAAGAACCCTAGGTAGGAGTCAATCACCGACCTCGAGGTTTCGGCGAATGACGGCATTGGCTATTGCCCGATGTCTCAAGAATTTGGAATAGTCAAAGTCAAGCATTTTATTATCAGCAGATTTTTTCTTCACAGGTTCTACGTTGCCGAGCATCGAGGTCCTGGAATCCTCTACCAAAACCCTGCCTCGGCAAATCGCTGATATTATCAAGGTAGGAGACGGCCATGTAAAGTGGTGACTTGGTAATTTCTATCGTGTCACGACTGTCAGTAAAATGGAGCTGTGGAGATTCTGACATCCCAATGGGCAGAGGGCACAGTCATTCGGCGTCCAATTCGGCGTTTAACCTCGAGAAATTTACTTTCTTAATGCCCCATTGCCATTCCGAGAGTCACGCACTCCCGGCCAATAAGTTCTTAGCGTCAGGCAATAAACAGCACACATGCCAGCCCTCCCATTCCAAGCAAGACAACCCTAACTGACCATGAACCTCACCCTCTCCAAAATCCACTCCCACCTAAACGAGGACATCCGCGAAGACCTCCTCCTGGAAAGCCAACTCCTCCTCCTCTCCTTCGCAACCGGCATCCAAGACGCCGCCGCATGGCCCGACTACGCCTGCTTCGCCTCCAACCAAACCGGCAACACGCTGTTCCTCGCGATCGGCGTCGCCGGCCTCGCAAACAACGCCTACAGCTTCCCCAACATCGGCATGAGCCTGGGCATGTTTGTCCTGGGGGCTCTGATCATGGGCCAGCTGGGGAACTGGCTCGGGGTGCGGCGCCGACTCTGGTTGCTGCTTAGCAGCATCGTCCAGACACTCCTGGTCTTCGTCGGGATGATTGTGCAGTATGCCGTGCCAATAAAGCCAGAAGGCCCCGCCGCGCTGGGGGTGATTGCGTGTTTGGCGTTTTCGTCGGGGGCGCAGGTGGCGATGAGTCGGGGGTTGAAGGTCACGGAGATCACGACGGCCATGGCCACGGCGGCGTATGTGGATGTTGTGGTTGATCCGGGGTTGTTGGAGCTGCGTAACCGGCTGCGGAACCGGCGGGTGATGTTCCTGGTGATGCTGACGGCGGGATGCTTTGCTGGTGCGTTTGCAGTGCGGGCGGTTAATTCGTCGTTTGCGCTGTTGTTGTGCGCGGTTGGGAAGACGGTGGTGACGGTGTCGTTGCTGGGGAATAAAGGCATTGAAAAGAGACGCCCCAGGAATTCGGAAAAGTAATTTCTTCATCCCTGCACAATTCGCTGCCTACATACCGCCTGGACGCAGCTGCCTTGATAATATTATCTGCCGTTGCTCTCCAGAGTAACCCTACAATGATTCTGTTCTGGCTGACTTGCGCCACGGGTCTCGAAAGAGGGGCAGCAGATTTTCAAGGCGGCCATCATTCTCAAAGCATAAGTAGCTAAAGATTCTATTTTCTACTATGAATCACAAGACACCAGCCTACACAAAAAAAGCGCAATGCCCGCCGTTCCTTGCTGTCGAGAAGCCCTGACCGAGGCATCGATGACCTTGGCATAGATTGTTGCTTCTGCTGTCCGCCGCATTGGAAGTGTAATTGGATATGCTAATCTATGCTCAAAGGCTCAGAAACGTCTGTCTGGAATTGCATAATTTCAAGTACTTTAGTGGAATTGAAAGCTATCAAAGCAGCATTGCCATTTTCTAGCTCAATGTTGAAAGATGCTGAGGTACCATGTCCATTACACGTTAACTTGCACCCGCTGGCCTGGAAACAGATAAACGAACAAATGTAGTCAGCGTCTTGAGAGGTCTCTGATAGCGTTTTCATATCAATAAGAGAGCTGTCGCCGGGGACGGCGAGCTGGACAAGTAATCGGCGACTGACTTCGATCGGCGAATATCCGCCTTGCCAGCCCGGCAATAAGTGTCCATGTATGACGGCCCAGGTTCAACCCAGTCTTTGATCTGACGTCCGATGGACCCGCTACAAGAATCACTGACCGCGCTTAATCTCAGGAGTCGCTTAATAGGGCACTCTAGCTGCTCTGCTGTTTAGCCGCCGAATTGCCCTGATCCATGAGGTTTCCGTACCAATTTATCTTCTCGTAGAACCCATCGAGCAGGAGTACACCATCAGCTTTCTTCTTTTTCTTTTCTTTATATCCGCATACTTTGACGATGTTTAGCGCTCGCGCTGCAAGGCTCCGTTCTTTCAGCACTGAGAACAACGTGGAGCTGCGGAGTAGCTCGCTAGGGATTTCTGGCAACAGAGCTGCTGGGTGGGCTGGCGACAGTTCAACTCGGCAGTGGCATTTATTCTGGAAGTACTCAGTACATACTAGCTAGCAGTCATGTCACTCTAGCCTATGGGCCCCTTCACTGGCCAGCAAAAATGCTCAGAATTCATGATGTGCTGGTACCTATATAAGACGCTCAACGTATGAGAGAAGCCCTTACTTCAAGGCGATAAATATATAGACTGCGAGTATCAAGATGAACATCTATATTTGGATCCTTGATTCATCATTCCTCCCATGACTGCACCGACTGGACAACGAACCTCGTATCTTCCAGCATCTGGACCCCGCCATACATCAGTATAGATCCAACAAGATAAGAATAGCCTATCAACGCAAGCATAAACAAAAATACCCAATCCGCGCGACTCGTGCGAATAACGATGCACTGGTTGAGACACTGGGCCGTAGTTAGGGCTTCTCGATGTGGGGACGCCGGGCAGTATCAATTAATTCGCCAGACACCAACGGAGGTCGGTATCGTTATAAGCAGGGCGGAGAAGGCAATCATGCTCTCAGCAGGCCAGGCCAGGCCCAATGCCTTGACATTATTGTATTAGCAAGAATATAACCAGCGATGTTGCTTGGTTGGCTGGTGGCTTTGTTATCCATTAGTTTACAGCTGTTGTTCACCTGGTGTGATTGAGTCTGCGCTGGTGAGGTGCCCAACGCGGCCCCAGAACCTCCCTCGCCGTTGTATGAAGCTGATAATGCGTTTATTGTTGTATCTCAGAGTGCAAGTTGCATTGACAGTCCCAGCAATGGGATAATTAGACCAGTTGGTTCAAGTTCAATTGCCTCGAGAACGTTGGAACACAGTCAGTTGGCGTGCCTCTTCACGCGGGATTTCCTCGAAACCAGGACTCCGGGTCCTTGTCGAAGTCGAAGTCGAAGCGATCATGTGCAGCATATCACTGACTCTCCACTCTTCAAGCCCTTGGAACGTCTTCCGCAGCTTGTTGGCTTTGTCTGCAACTTTCCCGATTTTGGAGATCTGGCTGCCGAGATCCTCCATTTTGCGCTTCATATTGGTCTTTAGGCTGCTTAGATCGCCCTGCCTGGCATACAGCCATCTATATTCTTTCTGCTGCTCCTCAAGGCTCTCAAGTCTTTTCTTGAGATCGTCTGTTTCGGTGCTCAGCCGCTCATTCCTCGCATCCGCAGCCTTGAGAGCCTCTATCTCTGTAGTCTGAGACTCGAGTTGTTTCCTCAACTCCTGCTGCGCCGCTTCGGACTGGTCTAGCCGCTGCTGGAGGGCGGCGATCGCAGCTTCAAAATCCTTCGCCTTCTTTTTCTCCGGCTTTTGATCGCCTCCCGAGAGTTCGGCGAACTGGTGGAGATATCTAAGGCCGTAGTTCAGACACTGCGCGGGCGTCAATGGTTCCGGTGATCGGGATGCAGCTAGGATTGGGGGTTCGAGTTTGGACTCTACTATTTCTAGTCCCGGTGATTGCTCGTTGAAGGTGTTATGTTCTTGGATCGTGCCCGTGGAGACCGGGACTTCAGGTTCGGGGGTTCGAATGCTAGAGGCTTCGTCGGTCGATGCTGTTGGGAGCGAGACTGTGTCATTCGATCCCGATATGAGGACAGGTGTATTCGCAGTTGGCTCTCTCAAGCCTTGGGCGGTGCAGCTTTCGGCATCGGTACTGTTTGCGGCCGGCAAGCTTGTTATTTGGACGGGTGCTGGCGTCTGAGAGATCTGGATGCGCTCCGATGGATTGTTGACTGGTGCTTCTAGTGCTGGAACTGCTGGCCAGCTGGGAATTGGACAGACCGTTGTCTCCTGAGACAGAGCCGCCAGTATCCGCGGAGCGGCAGGTGTGGTTGGTGTTGCGAGGTCCTTTGGCGGGTTTCGTATGGACACTGCATGGTTCACAGATGGTGACGCGCGGGTCTGCATCTAGGGGCTGTTAACATGACCTCGTAACCAACCTCTAAGGAGATACGTACCGGCTGCCTCCGACCGTCAATCTCGATATCGCCATCCTCACTATTACTCGCCGTCTCCGCATCCTCCTCGTCAAGCCTCGGTCGTTTCTCCGGTCGCGGCTGTCGATGCCCCGAGCTAGCAAGCTGCCGCTTTGCCTTGACATTGCTAGGGCTATTGTGTCCTTCCCTGGCGGGCTCAGGCTGCGGCGTCATGTTCTCGTTCTCGTTCTCATTCTCGTTCCCATCCTGCACTCGCAGTCGCAGGTACTCGTGGTAGATGGCAACCCGGGTTCTGCCTGGGAAGTATTGCAACTGACTGGTTATGAGCATGCAATTTCGATGCCAGGGGTCGGTGGATGCACTTACATTGTGGAATTCGGTCCAGGTAAGATAGCTATGCAGTTCGCGTAGCTCCACGAGGCGCCTTTGCTCTTCGTCAGTCCACCGAGGCCTGGTCATGGTCCTTGCTTTGGTGAATTGAACAAGTGCTTCGCTGAGAGTGGTCTGTCGTCTCAGCACACTTTGGGAGGAGGAAAAATGGGCTAACTATGTGTTTGTCGCTTTTCCTTCGCGCCGATTTTGAGAATAGAGCGGCACGCAAGAATAAAAACACTAAGCAGATGGTAATTCAAGGGCCGGGGTATCCGTTTGGTTATGTGGTTGGGGAGGGGGAGGGCACCAATAAGATTGGCATTTAATTGCCAGGGTATACCATGTAGATACCGACCAATTAGATATCGTTAGCAGCCAACAACAGCTTTCGGTCCTGCAATTTTATCATTGCGTGATGATCAAAATGAGAAGCAGACTTGGACAAGTCATTTTCCTCAGGCGCTCGGCCTTTTGTCCCGCGCGTAGTCTACTTTCTGCGCATTTGATAACTCTTCGACCAACTTTGAGAAGGTAGTAAGTGTAGCTTGTAGAAACAAATGGCCATGCTAACCCAATTTGCGACTTGGTATGGACAGTCCTGTCATTAGAGTAGCCCTTTTACTTGCTTTCATAGTGGATGCAAAATTGCTTTAGAACCTACGGGAGTCACTTTCTCCAATGACAGAATTCAAGAACTTCCAGGTCGCAATCGCTGTCTTACGCACCATCGAGTTTCTTATGTACCAGACACTACCAAGAAAATACGGTGTAGCAACCTGGTCGGATAACGCGCAAGCGGGCGTTGAAGTGGACATGATTTGTCCCAACATTCGTCCTCTCCAAGCACTGGTAGACTACTATAAACCTAGCCAACAGTCCAATATTACTTGCAACGTTACTTGAAAGCGCGGCTGCAAATTGCTACATACCGCCGCCTCCCGTACTTGAGGGTTTGTTGTTTATGCCACAGAGGGGAATACTACGTACAACCCTTAAAATATGATATGCCTGAAGGCCAGCTGGTGTTAACAAGTCGGTTTTACCTTCGAGATGCAGGAATGTGGTAAGAGAAAAAAAGAAAAGAAAAAAACAAAAAGAAGACGGCTCCATCCGCGGATCGAACGCGGGACCTCTCGCAATTGGTGCTTTAGGGTTTAGCCCTAAGCGAGAATCATACCACTAGACCAACGGAGCTACTTGTTGAAGTTCCGAGCTGTAGTTAAACCTATGTCCAAATTTAAAAAAACCGTCAAGAATTGCCGTGGCAGTCGATGAAAGATTCCTCTTTTTGTTAGGGAGTTTTGGGGTCTGGGTAGATATTTACAGGTATTACAAGCATTGAGTTGTTGTGTAGTACTAGGTAAGTCCCACTGCTCCTACTCTGGTCTAAAGGGTTGTAAACTGTTGTAAAGAGGCCGTGATACTTTGGAGTTTGGTTTATACAGAGGCTCCGCGGCTGTTAAAGGGACAGGCCGGCTGTACTACGACACTAGCCGTTCCAAGCTAGCGCCCGCTACGCTACCAAGATTGACCCCGGATAAAGTTTAGCCGCACGCACTAGCGCCTACTCTGTTTTAGCGGCAGCGCATGGCTGCTCTCTCTCGCCAATTGTAGCTCGCGTGCGGCGCCATTTATCTCAACCCTGTTCATATAGCAAGGATCCCAAACTGCTCAACACCTCAATACATCGATCAATTATCATGATACAGGACAGATCAATTTAGCAATACACAACCAAAACAAAGAAAGGCCAACATTTCCGCCCTCCCTCTTCCCATCCACCACAATTCCCCTTTCCCTACGCACCCCCGGACCCCCCAAGCGCCTCCCGAATCCCAACCTCAACCCGACCACTCCCCCCACTCCCATTCTCACTCCTCTTCCTATCCGGAAACAGCCTCACAAACGACTTCTTCCAGCCACTCTTACCGCTATCCGACTCGGCCATCTGCCCCTCACTCCCATTATTCAGCGTGGTCGACTGCGTCCCGAACGCCTCGCGGTCCGCCGTGTTGAAGCCAACATGCACAGGCCCGTGGTCGTCGCGCGCGTCCACAATCCCCAGCTTCACGAACAGCGGCTTCCAGGTCGTCATTGACGCGCAGAGGATACTAACGCCGTGCTCGATGAGCGACCAGAAGGCCATGGGGACGATGGCGTAGGTGATTGTGGGGTCTGCGGCGGCGATGCTCAGGTACACGAGGCGGATGACGGTTGTGACGCTTGCTCTGTGCAATTTATCAGCATTGTCCATTGTCCATTGTCCATTGTCCATGATATATATAATGGCTGGAGAAGGTGGACGGAGACGAACATCGAACCCAACCCCAACAAAACCCTTATACTCATCTTCGTCTTGTAGTACATCGTCGCGCGGTGCAGCAGCATGAACGGGACGACCAGGCCCAGCACCACATCCGCGATCATGATCCAGACGGACTGCACCATTGTCGCGGTCATGCGGGACCAGAAGGCGTCGCAGTGGCCTTCGGCCAGCGGGTTGGCGAAGCGGTTCCAGTGGTAGGAGGTCGGTTTGCAGAAGAGGGCTGCGTGGATGCAGGCGGCGGCGGTGATGATCCCGCCGGCGACCATGACGACGGAGAGGACGAGGAATTGGGCGCGTGTTTGCGTGAGGGTTAGCAGTGTGCAGGTGAAGGAGAGTTTCATGATGTAGGTGCCGACGGAGTAGAAGATGTCGCAGATGAAGTAATACTGGTGCTGTTAGCTGGTTGCGAGATGTTGGTTGAGGTGAGAGCACCTTGAGGCCTGCTCGGCCGTAGGCTGGGGAGGGGGTGATGGCTAGTGGGATGTAGCCCTTTAATTGGGTCCATGCGAATATGATGGTGTATACCGTGAAGGTGATCTGTGATTGTTAGGTCCTAGTGGGTGACGGAAGCAGGGCTGTATACCAACGAGATGACAGCAAGAGTGTCATCGATGAAGGGACCCTTCCTCATAGTAACGCGAACATACAGTCGCACACCTGTAAACGCCCAGGCGGCGACTAGAAAGCAGATGGCGGCAACGGCGCATCCTGTCGGGTCGTAGGCCATGATGATTGTATACCGCAGGGACGGTTGATTATAGCCATCGGTGGGACATCCATCAGCTACGCTGGGGTCCTCGAGATACCTATGTATCCCTCGAGCTGTGATGGGCTTACCGTTCCCTAGACACCGGTGGGGTCAGTACCATACGTACCTCACAACAAAGAAAGCCTGGTGTAGCTGTGCTTCGCAACATTTTCTTTATTTACAGCAGACTCGACGGATAGTGCAGAGCCATGGAACAGGGCCATGCCCATCAACGGTTCTCTCAGCCGTTTCATGCTGGCGCGATAGCTTCCTTTGATTGTAAACTCTGCTACGGCTCTGACTGCCTCGCGTTTCACACCCTCGTGGCCGCCCACCATCAGGGACCATTTGAGACCAATCAGAATGGGTCTTTTGCTCTTGAATCCGTGGAGCTTGAGCACGGTTCAGATTCTCGAATGATTCGCTCGATGAGCTGCGCATTTCAGCAGACTTTGGTCCACGTGTCTTGGCTAAGGGGTTTTCTGCACCCCGGATTCTCGCTCCCAGGTCATTCTTGTGGTGTGGCGCAGGTGAGGGGTCCATTCCATTGTCTAGCTTTTTGATTCTCTTCTTGAATTCCATCATCTTCCACCCCGCTATTTCCTTCGATGTGGTTTGAAGAGGGCGGGCAGGCATTTTCTTTGTCTGGCATCACATTTCCGCTCTATTCCCAAGCTACTCTTCAGATTTCAGCCACTTTTTTTCCTCGCTCTTTAAACCAGTCGTTGTATCTCTGTGTATTTAATCTCTCCTTGGCTGTTTTGCGGTGTCTACGCTGACTCCATCCAGGGCAACTCGGTATGACAGGTGTCTTTGAGTGACCCTAGATTGAAGAGGTAGGTGAAGGAGGAGAGGCCAACCATTGTTCAACGAACTTCCACATGGATAGAACGTGCAGAGTCTAGCTTGAAAATGGAGAAGTGATTAAACCTGGAAATGGTGTTGGCGCTAGAAGAGGTGGAATGCAAGTAACCAAAGTAGAGAGAACCCGTGCGCATTCAACACGTCCTACTGTGGCTTGTGATGGTTGAATCTGCTCAACTATATCCTCGGAAACAACAACTGCAGGAGCTCGCGTGCCATGATCAAGATGTTCGGGTCCATTGTTGTGGATGGGAGTTAGGACATCCTTCCTATTGTCAGTGGCTCAATGGGCTATTCATTCGACTCTCGGGTCCGACGGCGCCGACGGAAGTAATTCGGTTGGAGCTTGGGTAGTTCGATGCAGCTTATGCCTCGACAGTGTTTCAGTGGTCCAGTAGTCCCTGTTTGACAGACGTCTCTATATCAATTCCGCCGTGGGGGGCTGGTTTATGTAGGTACGGACATCGTCCGTGGTTGATGCCCTAATCTACGGCGGCCATTCCACCGGTGTTCAGAACAGCGTCTGTATCCTGAGGAGTTGCAGTGGTTCTTGAGAGTAGTGGCTGTTTTTCATTGAATTTGCTGGTTTGTGGCCCCAGTACCTAATGCCGTCCACGGCCAAACTTAGGTTGTGGTTCCGACGCATGCGTTGGGAAATATATATCCGACATCAGCACAATCAGGGACCGCGAACAGCAACCCCGAGCTCAAATGAAACTGGGCCGAGACTATAGAGACCTCGAATAGGTGCATGCGCCTCTTAGCAGTGATCATCCTATCCAATATCTTCAGTTACAGGGTTCGAGGACGTTACCAACAGTCTCATCACTACCTGCCGTTCATTATTTGCCTATAAGTTTTACAAGATAGCAGACTTCAACAATCAGCTCTGGTGGTCTAGTGGTATGATTCTCGCTTAGGGCTAACCCTAAAGCACCAACCTGCGAGAGGTCCCGTGTTCGATCCACGGCTAGAGCCTGATCAAGTCCTGTCCTTCCAGGACATTCATTTTTTGACTTTTTTTTGTGCTCGGTGGAGATTACCCGCTTTGATATCACGTGTAGAGCTAGGCGGCCGGCGCTAGGCCTGAAGCGGCTGAGGCTCGGTTAGTAGCGGCGACGAACCACTATACGCAGTAGAGGTACAGCATCCCTATCACGGGCAACGTAAGATTGCGTGTTGACCCTGCCTCACCAGAGCGCTTCTTAGCTTTTTCCGACTGCACGGCGAAACCCTGGATTGTTTTACTCAGCAGTCTTAGAATAATTGCCGACACACTTACGCTTTCGCGGTCCGGAGGACCATAGCCTACGCGGATGGGCTGTGCCGTTCCTACACTCTACCATACCACCACCTGCAATCCCTCTGAAGAGCAACTGTGCTCAGTTGAATTGATGCTATCACAATAAAACAGTCATAGCCAGGCAGACCGCCAACTACACTGAACCACCGCCATACCATTCCAATCTCACACCCAGTTCGCCGTCGCAATCCTCGTCCTCTTGCCCCAGTACCACTGCGGAAACAACAAGAGCGCAAAGAACCCCAGTATGCCCCCAAACACGCCGAACGGCACCGCGGGCCCAGCCTTCTCCACCCACGTGCCGACGAAAAACGTCCAGCTGAAGCTGATGACCGCGCGCATGCAGGTGATCGCCACGAAGCAGTCTGCCGAGAGGGAGCGGTAGGAGTCGATCACCTACATGAAGTCTGTTAGTGTTTTCACCATGTTATGAGGTTGTTTTGGGGACGCACGTAGTTAAACCCCACACTGGGCGCCTGCATCAGCCCAAACGCCAACATGCCAATGCCGAACTGCATGCCAATCCACATCTTCGGCGTCGCGGCTTCAGCGCAGAAGCCGAAGACCCAGAGGCCTACCGTCGCCAGGACCAATCCGGGCAGTGCAACGGGCAGTCGGGCCTCGGGCTCGGAGAGCTCGCCGTCTTTGACCGTTTTCTTAGTCACGATGGCGCGGTCGGCGAGCGCGACTGTTGCTGCCGCACCGAGGAACGACCCGATTACGCCGCCGACGTTGATCAGGCCGGCGTTCTTGCCCCAGCTGTAGGGCGGGTAGGCGACTAGTGTCGGTCCGACGGAGCTGAGGGTTACGATTCCGCCGACCAGACCGGCGTACCAGAGCATCACGAGCCAGACGCCTGGGAGGCGGAGGGTCAGCCAGGGGGCGATGAAGTTTCGAGTTAGATTGCCGTGGTAGGTGTTTATCTTGAGCGAGCGGAGGAAGGTAAAGTCGCTGTATTGGGTCTGGGGGCTGTTGGTAACTTCTTCGATCTGGGCGCTCTCTCCTTCTTTGATTGCTGACTTCTCGGTGGCCAGGATGGGGGCTGGCTCGTCTCGTATGTAAAGGGTCTCTGGGACGAAGAGGAGACATGCGGCGAAGAGGATCGCGGTGATGATCACGTTCACCCAGTGTAGCCATTCGAGCCCGTGGGCTGCGATGTAGCCGCCGGAGATACCCCCGACGAGGGAGCCCAAGCAGAGGAGCGCGGTGTAGAAGCCCTGCGTCGTCAGTAGGTAACATTTTTTTTGTGCCGCAAGATGGACATACCATAGCCTTTCCCCGCTGATGCGTGAAGTATATCTCCCCAATCATATTCGGTGCAACTTCCATCATCAGCAATAAAACAAGCTCAAACAAGATGGAAGCCATACTCGTATCCGCAGGCCCAACGCCAACCCCCATAAAGAATCTCGCAGCTAGCAAACTCTCAAAACTCTTCGCAAGGCCCGCCCACATCGAGCAAAAGAGCAGGATCAAAATGCTGATCAAGCTGACCGGTCTCCGCCCAAAGGTATTCGCCAGCGGCACCCACCAAATATTCGACGCACCCATCATGAGCACGTTCACGGCAACGAGGTGACTTAACCGGCCCATGCTGATTGGCGGATTAAACGCGAGCGGTGTTGCATACAGCGGAAATGCGCTTGCGATACTGCTCGACGTGAAGTTGCCGATGAAGGCGTAGACGGAAACGCATGTTAGAACGGTGGCCTTGCGCCAGGTGGCCCAGTTGAGGGGGTCGGCGGGGTCGGCGGAGGGTTGGGGGACGAGGATGAGTTCGCCGGTATGTCTCGTAGAGCTGCCGTGGAGGATCTGGTGGGAGTGGACTGCCCCGGACAAGATAAGGAGTTAGAGAGTTAGGTTGGGAGGAAAGGAGACCCATACTCGATAGCGAGACTGTTCCCGGTGGAACGGCGTCTCGGACTTGTTGCTTTGAGAGCGAAAAGGCGTGGCGGAAGCCGGACATGGTCGCTTTCCCTGGGTCGAGGGTTGATGGAGGAGGGTAGCGAAGGACCTGCGGCGAGGACGAGAGGGGTTCTCTCTCATATAGGGTAGGGTACCAGGTCCTCTACCCCGGCCCCCTTGTATCTGCGGTAGCAACCATTGGCCGCTGAGTGTTATCTACCCCGGATATTCGACCCCAGGAACTGCCGTGACAGGTTGAGGTGCATCCTTCGTGCATTCCGTGGCGTTCGGCTCCACCTCTTCCGAGTCCACCAGGCGAGGCGGGATATAAAGAGAGGCGTTGCACGGCAGAGACGAGAGCGAGCATTACCGACGCCCTTCATAGGACCTTGAGGATTTCCAAGACAGTTGAGCCGAGCAGACTCCAGGGCTGCAGGGGCTAGTGCCTGTTCGGGATCTCCTAGGCTCGTGTCAATTCTCGCCGAGGTGAGTCGGGATGTGGACAAGGATCACTAATGCAGATCGCTTACTGAACCCAATTACTGATGTCGGAAACTGTCTATGAGAGTCGTAAATTGGCCATCAATTATTATACTAGAAATGGAAGCGAGTCGTAGCCAAGCTGGCATCCTACCAAGTAGGGTCGCATCTACTGAACTGTCGGCAACGAAGCCCTGAGAGGAAGGTTGCGAGAGGAGCTTCCAACAAAGACTCTCTTAGGGTACTCCGTAATAACCCAGTTGTCCTTCACCACGTCCCAGTTGGACAAGTCGCGACGGGTCAGGGTCGTCGTGAACACGCGCTCCTCGCCAGGTTGGATGTCGAGCTTGTCGAAGCCGCGAAGGACCACCTTCGGTTCGTTGGGGCCGCCCAGGGAGACGTACTAGCGGGGTTAGCTTCGTGCCGAGAAAAAGGGCCCAAGTGACTTACCAATTGGGGAACCTCGCTTCCCGCCACAGAACCGGTGTTTTTGATCGTGGCTGAGACCTGGATAAGGTCATCGTAGAGGCGCGGGTTTCCTCCGGCACCTCCACCAGAGGGAAGGAGGTCTTGGGGAGAGCCGTCGCGGGCGCCTTCGGGGATGTAGTCCTCGTTGTCCCATCCGTAGTTCGGATCGCCGGAAGACTCCTTGAGGTCGGTGGAGTTGATCCAGGGGTAAATGAACTCTCGGATTCGCTTGATGCCCTCAGGGAACAAGTAGTCGGCGGCCTCGCCAATGGTACCGAATGTGGGCGCAGCCTTGCTCTGGCCAGACGTAGGAGTGTAGGCAGGAGCGTTCAGCTTCTGGACTGTGAGGTTAGAGTACTTGAAAGTGGTGTAGCTCAGTCCGTGGCCAAACTCGTAGATCGGAGTCTGGTTGGTCTTGTCAAAATGGCGGTAGTCGATGAAGACGCCCTCAGTGTGGTCGGTCTGCGGGGCACCGTTGCCATTGTTGGGCTCGGTCAGAAGGGGAGCGCCGTAGGACTCGCGCGTCTTGCCCCATGTGAATGGGGTCTTTCCGTTGGGGTTGACGCGGCCGTAGAGCACGTCGGCAAGAGAGTTTCCCGACTCCTGGCCAGGAAGACCAGCCCAGAGAATGGCAGTGACGTTGGGGTGCTCGTAGAACTTGTCGACGAGGACGGCACCGACGGAGTGGATGACGACGATGGTGTTGTTGCAGTTGCTTGCAGCAGCGTGGATCAGGTTCTCACCGTTCTTCCAGAGGGTAAGGTTCTTGCGGTCACCCTCGTTGCCATCGACGCTGATGTATCCTTCTCCGGCCCCTGCGTTGACGAAAACAAGAGAGACACTAATACGTTAGTATTTCCGTACGATGTTGACAGAGCATTGACTTACGTCGACTCGGAAGCGGTCTTGTTGACCTTGTCCAGGGCCCAGTTGTCAGTCACCGCAAATACATTTCCACGTCCCTGGAGCACCTCTGCCTGGATCGCCTGCTCAGGAGTGACGAGGTAGGGGAAGTTGGCTGTTCCACTACCCCAACCCATGGCAAGGGTTCCTTGAGCGCATCCGCGGTCATCACAGCCGTTCGCACCGTAGGGGTTCGAGCCCGCGTCCTCGCCGAGGAGAGCGACATTGCGCTCCTTACCGGTGAGGGGGAGTGACCCTTCGTTCTTCAGAAGAACAACACTGTCCGCGCCGACGCGGCGGATGATAGAAGAGTGGTCGCGCTGGACATCGATGAACTGGTTGACGGTCTCGTAAGCCCCATCAGATACCGCATAATGCTCAAAACCCTTCTCCTGTCGCGTCCAGGAGCTGAAGTTGGGAGGAGTGTACAGACGGTCACGGCCGACCTTGTAGAAAGCAGCCATAATTCGGACGGCCATGTCGTCAACACGCCACTGAGGAATGGTACCGTTAAGAACACCTATCGTCAAGTTGGCACCGTAGTACGAAAGTCCATCGTTGAAGGCGATGTCTCCAGGCATGGTCATGTCCATTCCAGCCAGAGCAGAGCCAACTCCACTGTGCGTGGCGGACCAGTCGCTCATGACGAAACCCTGGAAGCCCAGCTCGGCCTTCAGAAGCTTGTTCAAGAGGTGGCTGTTCTGGCAGGCTTGGCTGTTGTTTCCGTGCTGGTAGGAGCACATGATGGCACCAACGCCAGCGCGCACGGCATCTGCGAAGGGCCAAAGGTACATTTCGTGCAAGGTTTTGTCGTCGACGTTTTCGCTCAGGGTTGCGGTGATGTTGTAACCGTAGCCAATGGCCTCAGGTACCTGCCGGAAGTGCTCCTCTTCGTTAAGGATGTAGTGCTTCGCGGTTGCGATCACACCGGCATCCTGAATACCTTTGATAGTCTCGGCGAAGAGAACACCGGACAGCACCGGGTCAGGAGCGAATCCTTCCCAGTTGCGACCTCCGTCGGGGTGTCTGCCAAGAGGACCAGCGGCCGGGCCCAATTGCACATCAATGCCCTTGTCGCTGAACTCCTGGCCCATTGCCTGACCACGGAGGTATGCCAATTGTTTATCCCACGTCGCGGCGACGTTTACTCCGGCGGGGAAAGCTGAATTGTAGTCGGCTGGTTTTGTCAGCGCGGTCTCCGGGCATATCCTTCGGAGCTAACGTACAGAAACGGATACCCAGAGGGCTGTCTTGTAAGCAGAGCGATCCTATCCCGAGCCTTCTACTGTCAGTATTTTCGCATTTTCACAAACCGGGTGTCATACCTGGGAACACTTCCTGTCTGCCCAACGCATTTCTCGAGCTGCCAACTGCGAACAATTAGCACCAGAGCATTTTGCAGACCAACTGACCTTACCCTGTACCAGTTGTAAGGTTAACCTTTTCGTCCAATGTCATCTGCGACACAATCTGAACAGCGCGGTTGTATGCTTCGGCCCATTCACCTTGGCCGTTCGCCCAGGGGGAAGGGTAGTAGGGAGGAGAGAACGCTAGGTCATCCTGCTTCGCAAGCAATTAGCTTCATCGACCAAAGCCGAATCGAATTGAGATAGATACCTGAGCGCTGACCACTGAAGCAGCCGTCAAAGCAGCCGCCTCGATCCAACCAAGCTTCATGATTGCGGGTGTTTGCTCGACGAGTTGAGGGACGGAGAGAGAAAACGGAGCAGAAGCGAGGGAGGCAAGGAGATTATAAGCTCCAGCTCCAGCCCATGCCAGCATGACAGGAGTCAGAAATCGCTAATCCGGCTTGAAGGAGGCTGTGGAGACCTGTGAGGTATTGTTTTCGGTGCCGTTGCGGGGGGAATTCAACTGAGTTGGGGACGGCGCGGGGATCGGCACGAGAACCGACCAACCACTCGGTGAGAAACAGGTTGGATTCAGGCTAGGAGAGAAAATGGCACCATGACCGTGAAGGAAGGTCAGACTCGGATCGCAGTGAAAAGTCTCGTTGAGGCTGGACCGCTGGAGGAAGCAGAGAAAGGAGTGAGAAAGGAGAGGAGGAGAGTCTCACAAACTAGCCAGCTGGGTCTTGGCGGACCCCGCAAACACTCGATTTGGGGACCAACAGGGGCTCACCGCACTCCCTTTCTCCTGCTACTGATTCAGTGGGTTGATTTCTTGCTCTAGACGACCGACAAGGTGCCTATGACTGATGTCTTAGTCGATGACTCCAACTGCAATCAATCTTGTCTCCATTGCTTGCAAGCTCCGGGGCAACTCCGGGCCCGACCCACGGTCTTTCCCCATGGGCCCAATTCTCCAGTGACGATGCTACGGTAGCACCAGTCCCCGCATTCAACTTCCCCAGCTTCATCTCGCACTTACAAAACGCTGAAGGTTTTATTGTCGCAGTTTCATGCTCGCGTCACGGGCTTGCTCGGATCGCTCATCATATTCTCACCACTCCGAAATATGCAGGCCTTGCATCCGCCGCAAGGGTGCCAAGTCCCTGTTCCAGGGGCAAGCCGCAAACCTGACAATTTATTTCCAAGCCGCACCTCCAGCCCGCCTACTCCGGTTTTTCATGACCCTTGAGCACCCCGAGGACCAACTCCGAGGTCCACAATGCGTCCATGCGTCCATTCCCACGATCGGAGCATGTCCTGTCTTCCGAAGAAGGCTCCATCTCGGGTGACCGTCTTGACTCCATCTACCACGCTTGAAAATATCTCCGATGATTTACCGAGCAAGGGCCCGAGGCCATCGGCCGATATCCAATCATATTGGACTTCGTCCGCCTCTCGCCGCTTGTACACCGTTCTCAAGCCGGACCGTCGCTCTCTACAAGACCAAGCGGCAGCTTTAGACACCCGTTACAAGCCTGGACGTGATGTCATCAGCAAAACACTCGGACCATATCCGTCTGCCAAGCCCGGCTGTCCAAGGTACCAAGTCGCGGGTCACCGAGCTTGGACTCCTTGGAGACGACAATGTCGGCACAGGTTGACGGTCCGATGCCGCTTGGTTTTCGTACCAGTGGTTTCTTGACGTTGTTTGGCATTTGCTTTCCCACAAAGACAAAGGTCAGCCAGTCCTATCGCAGTTCTCTGCCGTGGATTGATTGCGATGTCCAAGATATTCCTGGTTAATTGGCTTGAGTCAATTATATTCCTCTAGTAGAAGGGTCACCATGAGGTGAGATTATGTACACTTCTATACCCGCCTTTATATTGATTCCGCTTTTGTTTTGTATCGCAACCACGACCACGAGCCCGCTCGCTCAGTCAGTGGTCGATTTATGATACCTAGGCAGGTCTCGGCCCTTCTTTATTGAAGCGAAGCGGCAATCGTCTCGCAAACCGGGGAGGTCGCGTTTTATGTGGCAACCATACTTGCCATTCGACTCGCGCCCGACCTGCTCTCTCTTTCCTCTCTGCCTGGCTCAACTCTCATAGCTAGCATAGCTAGTCAAAGCTAAACAACCTGCTTGCCCCTCGTCTCAAACGGCAAAAACACCATCGCCACGAACGAGGCTAGCAGAAGGCCACCACTCGCATAAATCGGGGCAATGGGGTTTCCACTCGCATAGATACCGATAATCGGCGCCATGAGACCTGCAATACGATTCAAACAGCTCGCAATGCCTGCTGCGGTGCCGCGGTTCGGCGCGGGGAAGACCTCAGGGGTGTACGCGTACAGCACACCATACATCATCATCTGGAAGAAGGATTCGAGCGACGAGCACACGAGCTGCACGTTCGGGTCCTTGGAGGCCGTGAAGCAGAAGAGCAGGACGGCGGTTATGGCGGTCGAGATTGCCATTGTGCCCTTTCGCCCAATGTACGGGAGTCCGACGAGCCAATAGGCGACTAGCGGGCCGGGGATTCCGCAGACGGCGGTGATGGCGTAGTTGCGGTAGGTTTCGTAGACAGTGGAGTTTGCGCCGATGTATTGCGGCAGGAAAGCGTTGAAGAGCGTGTATCCCATGCCGATGCAGGTCCAGCAGAACCAGATGAGGACGGCTGAGCGACAAAGTTAGCGATCAGACACATGGCATCACGATTGGTGCGGACGTACTGGAAAAACCTAGCTTCCTATCGGCAAACAGCGGCTTGATCTGCTGGAGGGAAAATCGTTCGAGTGAGCGCTTGACAGCACTGGCAGCTGAAGTCTCCTTCTTCGCCTGCTCCGCCGCAGCCTCTTCCGGGAATCCGCCAACCTCGTTCAGGACATCGACGGTCAGCCACGTAGTGGTGCGGTTCTTGCGCGCGATGCCCTGGACGGCGGCGACGGCTTCTTCCTGACGGCCGCGCGATATCAGGAACTTGGGGGACTCGAAATAGGTGAAGAGGAAGAAGCGGCAGATCCACATAAGAAAGGTAATGGCTCCCAGGGTGAGGACCAGGTAGCGCCATCCCCAGTTGTCGGCGCGCGTGCAGGTTGCGGCGTCTTCACAGGAGAAGTTGGGGATGAAAGCCCAGGCGAGCATACTGTCACCGTCCATCAGCTTGAATTTGCATAGGAGGATAGGATACTAATTCTCCTGGGAATAACTCACCTGGAAATCAGAGTACCGACGGACCACCATGTCGCCAGAGCACTGAGCAACTCACCCGAGTCGGGAGGGAGACATTCGCAAAACACGGCGGCGTCGACTGGCAGGTTTCCGCCAACCCCCAGGCCTAGACACGCATACAGAGCACAGGTGCTGAGGTTGTTAGCCAATGCCCCAAAGACCTTTCCCGAACCAAAAAGGGGAAACCATCTTACCCAACCCAGTTAGGCCCGCCACCAGCGGCAAGACCAAAGGCACCACAGAGGAAAAGCGTGCAGTTGAAGGCCGGTCGTCGCCCGATAATATCAGATGCAATACCCCAGAAAGTGGCGCCTACAATCAGTCCAACAAAGAGCGAGCATGTCGCGAATCGAGACTCGGACTCGCTGATGCCGAATTCCATGGACAGCGGTGTCAGTGTTAGAGCAACGCCCTGGAAATATCAATGGTTAGTGGAGGCCCTGCGCCTTACTATGGCGTTAAGTCAGAGTCATACCTGCAGCCAAAGGCTGAAGTCAAGTCAGCATTCTATTCACGTTCAGAATACGGCAAGTTAGGTGGAGCGTCTTACTTGTCGGCAACCCAGCCGAAGCCACAAAGCGTAAACAGGCCCCATTGGTAGCGACCCATTCCGATGTCCTGGATGGCCCTGTTGATGATCTTGGCTTTCCCTATAGTTGTGGAAGAATAAATAAGCAACGCCATCTCAAGCAAGCGCCAGCAGGCGGCGGGGGCGGGATGGAAGCGGGAGCGATTTAGCCATGCACGCTAGCCAAGCCATGCACGCTAGAAAAACGTACGGTCATAGGCAGAGTCATGGCCGGAAACAACAACCCCCGATTCGATTTCTGCGCGCAGAGACTCGATTGTTAACTCTCCGGCCACGCCCTTCTCCTGTGCATTGGCCTCGTTCTTGGACTCGGTCACTGGGGCCGTCGAGTCGCGGGCGAGGGGGACCACGACCTCTGGGTAGAAATCGCGGTCCCGGTTGGTTAATAAGTCCTTCCAGTTAGGCATGTTTGCGTACGGAGCGTCTACCGAGCCGAGTGGAAAGTGATGGGGTGCTAGAAGTCCGCGTTAGGAGTTGGTGGGGTGCCGCAATGGAGTGTTGCTGTGGAATACAGTCGCGAGGGAGAGTGGCTGCAATGGAGGCGGTTGCGGTTGCAATGGACAATGGTCGCTAGGAAGCTGTCGCAAGGATTATGGTCGCAAAGGCTCAACTCGCTGCCGTCTCGAAGGTGCGTGGCGCCGTGGAACAACGGGATAGCCGGTAAAAAGGTATGTTTGGCGCAGCGGGGTGAAGCCGACGGCAACTACTTGCTTGCTTGCAGCTACTTGAAAGCTCGAGGTGGTCAAAGTGGTGGTAAGTGGCAAGTGGGAACAGAAATCTCGTTTGGGAGACTATCAAACGCAACGCTGGGAGCGGGCGACAGTCGAAATGACAGCGGCAGCGGCGAAGAGTGGCAAGGTCGAACTCGAAAGTCTGCCAGATTGCACGCAGGACGAGGGGCATCCGCGCATCAAATAGCTTCGGGGTTGCCCTCTGGCGCCATAAAAATTTTGTGCCAAGACGTCGCGATGGGTCGCATCCGGTTTCCAGCGCTGGGTCCTAGATTGGCCAACCATGAGGCTTTTGGCAGCGTAGCTTGACCTTTCAAGCTCCACCGTCCCAGCCGGTGCGGCAGATGCGGAGGTGACCGTGCGGTGTCGCTGACCTTCCATCTTCGGGAGACGTATCCGAGAACGAGAATTCGGGGTGAAAGACATGGAGCACTGGAGAACCAGTATACCCCATCGTAATCACCGGCTGTCTGTGCTCGAGCTTCAAGCTGTATGCGAGTGAGGCACACGAGCAAACTTGGGAGTCGGAACTGGCCGGGGGATTCGGCAAAGGCGGCGCCATTGGTCGGCAGTGGCTTGGCACTATATAAGCGAGCAAAGCGATTGGCCAGATCTGATCTGATTGTACATAATCGCATTACAATCTCAGATCCATCGGCTACGTCATTGGCTACCATACCGAAGCCGTGCACATGCACAGGCCCTGCAGGAGGATGAGGACGAACTATGGAGCACCCCAAATGTGCATTCTGGGGTATACGGCTGTGTCGATATCAGGGAGTAGACAGAGCGCAAAGATCGGATGCATGTGCCTGTCTGGTAGGGCGGGAGTCTTTCGGATTAGGAACATCATCCCGCAAGTCAGCATTGCAAGCTGCAGTTTGGATGGGGTCCTACCAGGAAACAGGAAGAAAAGACTAAGGTAGCTACAGGGAACTCCTTAAGCGCCATCCAAAGCTCATATTAGTATATAAAGGGTAATCAAGAGCTCGTCCGTACTCCAACCCTGAGTTGGAAGCGTCGCCCGCAACTAATCGATAACAGAACAGAAATAACAATAAAGGTAGTTTAGCCCTAGAAGTAGAAAGGTACTCGGCGCCATATGCACTTGCTGCTTTGCTCTTAGAGGCTCTCTGCAGGAGACAGTACTCGGGGCCCCGACGATCGGGCGCTTGATACCTTACTCCATACATAGGAATTTAGTTTATGTGGCGCTTAGCTTTAGCCAAACGCTTCAGAGATATTTGGAGGATCTTGTTATCTAGGCCTGCTCAGGATGCTACCGGACGGCCTTGCTCGGAGATGTCCATGGACGACTATGCTACATTGAAGAGGCCTGGCTCATCTTCGTTACTTCTACTTAGACAATGTTATAATCACGCGCGAATTTGGAAAATCTTTCCGTCGTCTACCCAATTCTGTCATTCATTCCAGTGTCTACTACGCTGAACCTGAACCATATTGTCAGTCTCTAGCAACAGCGATGGAGGGAAACAAGCCTGACAAAGAGAAAACGAGTCGTGCACAGCCCCAGAAGCTTCTAAAATATATAAAGAGACAATACGAGACCTCTCAAAAGCAACGCAACCTGGTGAAAATGAGCCAGAAGGACCCTTGTGGAGTTAGGGCTTCTGGCTGTCCGGGCCTCCTCTAGGTACCGCCCACGTCCGGTATACTTCAATTTTTATCCGAAGAGTGATTAAAAGCATGCTAGTTCTGCCCTGCAACTACTGTTTAAGAGAACTGCGCTTCTCTTATAAACTGCCACTATCTAGATGCTGGCTTCTGGCGGCGTCGTCATGCGCGGAAGTAGGGAGATGGGAGGGCAGCATCGGACTCTCACTACAAGGATATTAGTGTAAGATCTAATCAGAAGGTCCTTTACCAGAAATTTAGCCATTGTAAATGTGATATATATTCGAACGAGACGTAAAGGGCTCAGCAATGGTAGTCAGCAGGGCACGGTCACATGCAACTGACCTCGATCCCCGGGGGCTTGCACCAAGTACGTCATAGACAGAAACAGCTCTTTCAGCGAAGATTTTTTTTTTTAAAAAAAACTTTGTTACTAACATTTTTGATCTTTCGTTCATAAGATGAAATTGATGATCTTTCGCCATGTGCTCCTCAACCCTCTCCACCCGGTTCCCTCGATGAAGGATCCATGGAGAAGGGCTCTAGGCAGATAAGGTACCCGACCGCATCATATCATCCTCGGTATCTTATACGGCATCTCCACAAAACCGCGATGCCAAAGGCAAGGAATCCGAGTCTCTGGACTCACCTCGAGAGTCACTTCCAGATGAGACCGCCAGACGACGACGAGCCGCAAGACTGGTGGGTCGCATCGACCGCGATCCCCCTCGCAGCCGCCACAACAGGACCCCTGGCGAACCTCATGTCCATCGTTGCGCTGGTGAGCCCGTGGCGGAATAACATTCTCTGGGACCAAGTCGGCGTAGATGGGACGGTGGTGGAAGTTGGATTTGCGGATCCGAAATGGTGAGTTGATGGACACTTCCAAGGTACCTAATGGTGCTCTGTTGTTAGGGCTGATCCAATGGTATGACGGACAGGTGCATTGCTCTCAATGCCTTCTCGCTCGCATGCGGTCTGGCGGGGAATATCTTCCTGCTGTGCAACTTTACCCGCGTGATACGGTATATCGTTGCGTTGCCACTGTCGATTTGTCTCTGGCTGCTGTCAACGGCTATCGTGAGTCCCGGCCTGGCACATAAGCAGAGGAATCATGACCTTCCTCACTGATCACCTCATAGTTAGCCGGCCTAACAGCCTCAATGTCCATATACGAACCCCCCACGCCCCCAAACCAAACCTTCTCCCAAGCCTACTGGAGCGCCGTGATCTCCGCAGCCCTCTACTTCCTCCTCTCGCTCACCCTAATGGTCAACATGCTCGGCTACTTCCTCGGCCACTACCCACAGAACTTCATACTCACCGACGACCAGCGCACCCTAATCCTGCAAACAATGGCCTTCATCGCGTGGCTCGCCATCGGCGGCGCGATCTTCTCGCAGGTTATCGACATCGCCTACGCCGACGCCGTCTACTTCTCCAACGTCACGATCCTTACCCTCGGCTTCGGCGACATCACCAGTCCCGACCCTGTAGCCCGCGGTCTGATCTTCCCGTATGCAGTAATGGGGATCGTCATGCTGGGTCTGGTGATCTCGAGCATCCACCGCTTTGCAGGGGAATTGCAGCGCGATAATCTTGTGATGAACCACATCGAGCGCAAACGCAAGGCTGTCGTGCGGCGCTCTGAGTCTCAAACCGAGCCTAGTGGTCCTGACACCGGCCCCGCCACCGAGCTCTCATATCGACAGCGCCATACCCGACGACGTCCCATCGTAAGCACCATCACGGCCGGAGGAAACCCCTTCAGACGAAGCAGCACAGGCACACGCCTCAACCTAATGCGCGAGGAACGCGACCGCTTCAATGCCATGCGGTCAATCCAAGCGCAGACCGCGCGGTTCCAACGCTGGACAAGTCTAGCGGTTAGCATCATTGCCTTCGCGATCGTCTGGACATGCGGCGCGCTAGTTTTCTATGCGCTCGAGGATAGCCTGTCGTACTTTGACGCGCTGTACTTTGGCTTCTGCTGCCTGTTGACGATTGGGTACGGGGATGTGACGCCGACGACGAATGCGGCGCGGCCGTTCTTCATGGTTTGGTCCTTGCTGGCCGTGCCAACGATGACGATACTGATTTCGAAAATGGGTGATACGCTTGTTGGTGGGTTTAAGGCTGCGACGAGCTTTGTGGCGACGAGGACTTTTTTCTTTCCGGAACGGGGTCACTATGCTTGGGGTTATAGGGGGATGGGGAAGGTCTTGAAGGTCTTTGGGAGGAGCTCATCATACCGAGTTCCTGCCCAAGACAACCTAGCTAAGATTTCGGAAGAAAACCATAATCTAGACGTGGAGGAAGGGACAACGTCATGGCGACGCACGCCTCCAGGCCAAGGCAGCTCCCAGAAAAAGAAGTTGATGTCGCTCGAAGATCTCGCGCGGAACCCAAGTCCTCCCTCGCCGGAACTAGCACAGCAACTCGCCCAGGCCATTCAGCAAACCATTAAAGACGCGCTGACCGGCGAAGCAAAAGAATACAGCTACGAGGAGTGGGTCGGCTTCACGCGGTTGATCCAGTTCACGAATCCAAATGTCAATACCAACAACACTCCAATGACAGGAATGAATGGCGACGGGGCGGCAAGTGGGAGCGGAATGGCGCTTGATGAAGACGAGTACGGTGTGCTGAGCTGGGACTGGATCGGAGAGCAGAGCCCGTTGCTGGCGGAGAAGACGGAGCCCGAGTGGGTGCTGGATCGGCTTTGTGAGAGCTTGGTCAGGTATGTTTCTATGCAGGGGAGGGCGGGAGACGTTGGATGAATAATCCTTGGATTATTGGCTGTGTCTTGGACAATTGGCCGTGCTTATATTAGACCATACCCGCCCGACGAGAACTGGCTTGCATAATTCTCATCGAGTCGTGATCTTGTCCGTGGCAGTGGAGAGGTGTCAGCCCTACACTAGCTGAGACGAAGGGGAGGTCGTGTGCTCGGGCTGCGGGGAGGGCAATGTAGAAGAGAACCGAGGTAATCAGCACAATGGCTGCTCTGGCGGAGTTGTTAGCTTGTTCTAGGGTTCCAATGTTTTGTGTGCGCCACTTAGCACTGTCGCGGCCACTGGGACATGTTCGCCGGAACGTACGTTTTCCGCTTCGTTGGCCAGCCTCTCTTTCCTTAGGTAGAGGTCCCAAATCTGATTCAAGGGCTTGTAGTACGACCGTCCTTTTCGATGAATTCGCGTGTGCGTTTCAACATGACTGAGGACTTGAATCGGGGGGTCTAGGCCATTTCGTTAGCCTCCCCAGCCATGTCAAGCTCCGATAGGCTGTCTTAGAGCTAACCGTGACACTCTCAAGGATACGTGGCCATGGTGCTCCTCGGGCCGATCCGCGTTTTCGAGAAGAATATCTCCATATTTGTCCTGCCGCTGCTGCTGTTGCTGCTGTTCGGCATCTTCGTCAATCCCTTCCTCGTCAATACCATGGGACCGTCTCAGGAGTTATGCCAAACAGCTCATCACCATATTCACTATCGACATAGTCTAGTGGTAGCTCTGGGATTTTGGTCGTTGCTCCGAGTTGGAATTTGGTTGACGCAACCGCCTGCATTGTATCGCATGAGGCCCTCGTGTTCTCTTGTCTTGGTGCAACCTGGAATGCCGATGGTGTATCTCGGGAATTTCCAGTGGGAACAAATCTAAAACCATTTAATTGCTCCTCCTGCGACAATATGTGTTAATCCGACTAAAAGTCCACTTATCGTCCGGGCCGAGAGGTGCTAGGTCTTGGTGCAATACAATTGTCTGACCTTGGGCGGCGTCATCCGCCTCTGTCTCCTCACCGAGAATCTCATACGCGGCGTGGCGTCTACCCCATCTTCAACAAGCTCTTCGTCGCCTTCGTCACTTGCTGGTGAATCCGGACTTGGTTCGGGGACGGGGCTCCTTTTGGACTTCTGATCACGCCAGGCTCGGAACCTCTGGTCTCTGATGTTCTTTGCGGCCGCGGCGCGATCAGTAGCCGTTGCATTGCCAGTGTCCATGAGCATCTCCAAAAGCTTATCCTCGACCTCCGCTGTCGTCACAAGAGTAGGAATAGATAGGTCATCGAATGTCCTTGCATGCTCGACTCTAGGCATCAAAAAGTCGTATTGGATCTGGCCGGTGTACCCTTGCGCTGTCTCGGTGTTTTTATGTCGGGCGACGTATCTGACGGCTTCGAGCGCTTTCACGACATTTACCGCTGGAGTTTCGATCAAGGATGTCACGAAGTGGACCAGCGCGAATTCCGTGATTTCGAACATACCCACTCAGGCCCGTGGCCTTCGACATTTTGATAATGGTCCGTTGCGAGGCGTCAATCTCTCGCAGTTCTTCAATCAAGTAATTGGGTGTATTCGATACAAACGCCGGAAGAACAGGTCTGTCTGGATAGATGAGCTGAAACGTTCGATCGCGCCGCTTCGCAGTGGCTGGCAAGAGTTCTGCAGGCAATGTCTGTTTTATCGCGCCAAAGCGAAGGACGAGGATGAGGATGGTTTGAATTGGTCGATGAGTCAGACCTCAGGGGAGAGACTTGAAAAAGTGCTCGTCTGGGCTGTTCTGGGACCACTTTTGGCCCTTCATGAAGTGTAGGCTCAGTTTGCTAGTGATGTCCCGAAATGACCGACCTCCAGGCTTTAACTTCATGACAATATCACCCTCGCGCGAACAATTTCCTCATTTGTAGAGCTTGCTCTGGGCGACCTCGGCGCCCCTTGAGGAGCAGTCGTATTGTAGGATAGCACATACCTGTGAGCGGTAGTGTAGGTAAACGCGATGAATAGAGCCCGGAGCTGGAGGCGAGCGTGAGTTGCTGCAATTGCATTTGTAGTAGGAGCTAACCGCTGATTCCTCCAAATCAGGAAGGAATCCAGAGCCACGTGACACTTCTTGGCCTCAGGCCGCCTAGCCCGCGCCGACGTTCCTCAGGCTACAAGGCCACCAAGTGCTCAGGCTACAAGGCCACCAAGTGCTCAGGCAACGCCACAGCGGTGGTATTAGCAAGTCTGGTGCAAAAGCCTCAAGCCAAACGTCGCCAGCTTGGTGTCAAGCTTCAACTACGAGATACGAAGACTCAACCAGCGGCCTAATCAGTTTGAAAAGGAAGTTCTGATGGTGAGCAAGCTCTGGGAGGTTCCGGGGTCTCGAATAGACGATGAACAGTGATATATTATGGGCTATTCCCTATCACTGACATCACCAATATCGGTATTCAGGCAAAGAAAACCTCCACACATTGCTTCGGGCACTTTATGCTGCCTGGATTTCCTACATGCTGTATGTGCAGGAACCCATGAGCGGCATATGTCGCCTTAGATGGTCAATGAAAACAGTATCTAAATGCGCCTCTATCTTGAGCGTCAAGAAATATGATCTTCGAGAAACGCCTTGGACCCTGAAGACTCTTGGAAGTTGGGTCTGTCTTTGGGGGCAGCCTGGTTGCAGCAGACCACTGATTTCCGCGCAACTTCATGCGCAATGCGCATACCCGTGTGGCTGCTTTGCGCACTTTTTGTTATTGGACGGCACCCCCAATGTTTGATCTGGCTCAGCCACTGATTCGTATAGTCTTGCGAATCCCGAGAGCGACCGGTCCAGAGCCCACCAGCCCAGTTCCCAGCTTTGACCGCTGCGTTCACGTCGTGTCGTTGCTGGTGTCTCACATGAGGTGTCTCATAGGCATGAAGAGCAAATGCATGTTGCCGTGATATCATACGCTATCACCGCCTGAAGATGTCAACCCATCAGCTCAAGAAAAAAAAAAGAAAAGATGGTGGGAGAAACAGCGATTGAGCGACAAACGGAAAAGAAAAACTTGAGCTCTCCCACCTCCGTCCGCTGGAATGTTCCAATTTTTTCTCAGGAACTCCTGTCTAAAATGATTACCACCATTTGAGCGCAAAAATGATCCAGACGAAGCGACTTCAGTCACCGAGGGATAAACTCACTGGCAATGGGTCAAACCGTCCAAGTCTCAGAGCAAAGAGGCCAATTCTCGCGCAGTCCGATCCTAGAAGCTCGCCCGCCCGGCCAGCCAAACAGCCCAGGCTGGATAACGATGACGAAGAAAGCAACTCAGACGACGGGGATATTGGCAGTGATGGCCAGACACGGCCGGTGAGATTGCCCCGTTTCATCGGTAAGGGTGAGGATCAACACTCACATTCTGAAAGCTACGGAGTCCCTCAAAACGGTCCCAATTCCATGCTTCGCACTCGCCCGAGCGACCGTCGGTCATCGTGGCCAGTACCCCAACCACCGGTCAAGGCCAACGGCGGGATCCTTCAATTGTCTCTCCCCAGCAGAGGCCGCCTCACCCGATTCCTACTCATCCTCCGGTGCCGATAACAGAAGGGCCGCCAAAGCATGCCCAGGAGCCAGCCCAGGTCCAAGTCAGATCCCCGAGACCCGTCCAAATGCAAATCGACTCCATCGTATCCGCCAAGCCTGGTCCTGTCGCCGCGCCCCCAGCCGTGCAAGCCCATATTCCCCAAACGACGGGAAAACCAAGCGCTGAAAGTCGCCCTAGCAAGCCGCCTGAGAACGCGGTAACCGTGACCCGAAACCCACAGTCGCCAAGCGACAATGTCGATGCCTCTGGCCTCAAAGCTCTCAGACCTTTCGAGCCTCAACCAACACCGGAAACACTTCTGAAAGAACCAGACGCGAGCTCCTCCCCAGCGCCCAAGCCAGCGGACACTCCCGAGCCCAAACTCACGCCGAGTCTCTGCTTCCGCTACGGCCTGCAATACCTATCCCAATACGTCAAATTCTCCGAGCAGAACGACGAAGCACAAACCGATAAGACGGCGGTGCTACAAGCCGAGGTCGTGTCTCTGCGCGATAAACTCGAGGAATCGGAGAGGAGGCAGGATCAGCTGAAGACGCAGCTTGAGCTTAAGAGCCAGGATCTGGATAGCCTTAAGGGTTTGCTATCGCAGGTTACGGCGGATTTCAACAAGCAGCTGGATGATGTTAGGGCGGATACGAGGAAGGTTATGAAGCAGCAGGAGAAGTTTCGGGGGGCGGAGGATTGGAAGGTCTCGGATATGTTGAATATGATGGCTATGGCGAAAAGTCAAAGGGGTGGCAGCGTAACTCCGGACGTCTAGGAATCCTACACAATGGATCAGCCTATCTTCAATTCGCAAGTCAATTATTCTCGAATATTACTAACGTTAAAAGCAGAGGGGAACTTATTCGTGGTTGATGCTTGGTGCACCGTAGCGATTCATTGTCAGTCCTGTTGATTTCCCTTCAAAAGCTGAGTGTGCTTCCGGCTTTGGTGCCCTTTAGTTTGGAACATCTCGGCTCGTCACAAACCGTAGAAGGCAGGGTTTTGCGGCGAATAAATAGTGAAGTGAAGCAGATGTCGAAGGGTGAATCACGTGGCCTGTCTGGTTGTCATCCATCCGAAGAGTACTAACACACCTGCGTCCATCTACCTACACCTTAACTGAATATAAGTCACACCATCAGAGCCAACACCTCAAGCAGCCGATACGTCTCACTCGACCTGCTCCTCGCTTGACCGAAAGAAAGATTACCGGAGAAAAAGCGGCAAGATGGAGGAGAGAGTCAAAGACGAGACCGAGTCTGCCCACTCTGAAACACAGATTACGGCAGCCGACGACTCTCCAAGACAAGCCGAGTCAGCCAACGAGCTCCCTGGACTGAGTATTCACTATCAGTGGACGTGCCAGGAAGAAAATCGTCTTTGGGACTTACGCGAAGAGAATGCTCAGCTTACATGGGAGGAGTTTTGCGCGGTTTGTCCAATGACTTCAACCAAATCTCATACGAATGTCTGCTCATGATGAATAGTTATACTATTTTCCAAACAGAACCCGAGTTTCCCTTAAGCGCAAGTACTCGAAATTGAAACGGGAGAGGCCGGGGGGATCGAAGCTTACCTCAGGCGTTAAACGAAGCCGAGCAGACTCCCAACCCAGAAGAGAACGAAAGCGGCAAAAGGATGTATCTCCTGATGAGCTTCGCACTTCGGACTTCATTGTTACGGATTCCGGGGCGGCCACTGATGGAATCGACGACATTAGGGAGGATGACGAGGATGACGGGACAGAGCCTGTAAGAACCCACAAACCCATGACCTTTTTTTGTACATTGGCAAGCTGACAATCAATAGCAACATGTGCACAACCCAACCCCGTCCCCAGTTTCTCACAACACACGAATCCTCCGCGAATTAGCTACGAATCACCCGGCATCCTCGTCAGACGACACGCCCATGGCGAGTCCTACAACTACGGCAGCGGAAGCGGCGTAAGAAGATGGCGACCCGGCCAAGCAACCATGCAAACCACTAACGCCGACGCGGCACTTGGTGAACGGACTCGAGCATCTGAATCGCTACGTCCAGCTCAAACTCTCCAAAAAACGCAACAAATCACGAAGAAAAGAGGTGGACCAGCTAATAGTTGAAAGCGCCGCCCTCAAAAAAAAGCTTGAGCAATCCGAGGCAGACCAAGAAAAGCTTGAAGTACAACTCGCCGCCCAGGCTGAGAGGATTCAAGCCCTCGAAGGTGCAGCTGAGAACAATCAGCGGCTAAAGGCCGATATCGAGAGATTGGAACGAGCGCTTGGTAACTCCACGAAACAGCAGCAGGCTCAGCATCACTCCTTCCTTCAATCAGTCTCATACCTGAAATCTTCGAATTATTTGCCAGGAGTCATGTTCCAGAGGCTCAAAACCGAGATTACAAACAACAACAACGAGGTAATGCGCAGAATTGGCTTTCTCGGGGATAGACTCAATCAACATGAGAAACAGCACGAAGAACAGAGTCAGCCTTCCGTATCACAAAGTGACCTGTGAGACTGGCGAACCAATTTGAAAGATGGGGTTCTGGACCTCCGCGAGCAGGTAAAACAAGTTATGGTGGAGGCAAAGGAAGCAACTCAGACGCAGAATAATTTCTATGGAATCGCAGACTGAAAACTAGCGATATGTTGAGGAGGGTCGCCGCGACGTAGTCTCGCACGGCCACTGAGGCGCAGCACTCCATTCTGACTGATGATGCCCGCGAGTAGCGTTCAGGATCACCTGGAACAGAGGAGTAGGAGCCTTCGACGTATGTACTGGTAACTAAGACTGGCGGCAATATGTACCATAATCCCTGTAACAAGCTTTTGCCTTTTCTTTCAAGATTTCCGTGTCTGTGCAAATTCACCTTAGAATGCGGGCGAGAGGGTCCACTACTCTAGGCACCTACTAGCAGGCAGGTAGGGCATCTTCTCCTTGCCCAAGGGTAGACCTCCCGAGGTCAAGTGCTACCACCATATACCTAGGTGAGTCGTTCTATTCGGCACAACTTGCGCTACCAATAGTGGACTGGAAGCCTTATAACTTTGGAATTCAAAGAGCCAAGAGAGCCATATCTGAGCACAGAATAAGGAAGGTTCCCGCTCACCGAGAGTGACTATCTGAACTCAGATCTCTCCAGCCCAGCCTTCCCCGAGTTCAACAAACCCAGTGCTTCTACGGCCCTTAAGCCGAAAACAAAGTGATAATAACCGTCCCTTTCCCGGAGATAACCGGATAGATAAAGCCATCCAGGATACAGAGGATGTCCTCTGCGGCTAGTGAAACGAGCGCCAGTCCAATATAACCGCCAACCACCTCAAACAATCGGCGTATGCAAAAAATCGTTGTGATGTATCAAGAGCATCAATCAGAGGCCCCTCTATCGATCCAATGCCATCCGAATCAAGGAGGTCCAGATGCAGTATGTCCATGTCTTCTACTAGCGGATCTTGCTCAATAGAGTCCACCGCACGCGCAAGGACATCCTTCCAAATGATATCCAGAGCATCATTGTAAGTAGCAGGTATGTTTTGGAGATTTTGCAGCATGCTCAGGAGAGTCCGTGGGTCGCACCTTCCGTCCGAACGCCTTGTCAGCGTCGCGTAGAGCGCTGTATCGAGGCGTATATGCTTGGTATAATCCGACGTGCCGCGGCGAGAAGCATACCTAGTAGACCAGATACGCGCGCATTTCACCGCTCTGCTGCACATTGAGACTGGGGATCTCGCCTACCGAAGAACTGGAATGTCTTAGATATGTCAAAGATAATGGCTATGGCCAGGAATCTGGGGGTGGAAATATGACCTCAGAAATGTAGGGGGAACGCTTCCTGGTATCTTAAAGTAGACTATTTGGCCGACATTTTACTCTAAAGCTACCATAGACAACAATAACGAATTCGAAGTGGGTCACGTGAACTGACTGGTATACTAGGTAGGTATGCGACTCGCAACAGTAACACACTCATGCTTACAACCACACTTCCTCTTCTACCGCAGAAGTGCACAAGACATTCAAACACTCAACAGCTGGCGTCGCATCCTGCTTGAATACTCTCTGCTTTGACTATCGATGGGAAAGAACAGGAGAAACAAAATGAAAGCCGCCGTCTCCGCCGCCATGGCCGCGGCGGCCGCCACGATAGAGGAAAGCTTAGAGGAGTACAATGCTGCCCGCTCTCAGGCAAATCAAGAGAATCTAGAGGACTTCCAGAAAAATTCCGAGGCAGTACATGTCCCGCCTGATGCAAAATCTCCAAGCCTCCTGGCCGCTCTTATGTTCGAATACGGGAGGCAAGGCAGGGAGGAGATGCCAGAGACTCCGGTTCAGAATGGCAGAAAACGACAAGGAGAAGACGCCCATCCTTGCATTAACCCAAAGCGGCAGGTGACTGACACGAGGCTCAAGCATGAGGATAATCATCGAAGGCAAGTTTTTGAGAGTGGTGGGATCGGGAATGGTGGCCAGGGACTGGTGAGCAACTCTGCCCCTAGAGACTGGCATGGCTTACTGACAGCGTGTAGCAACCTATCAGCGCTTCTCAATCCATGGTTGATGCTTCGAAGACCCCAGCGCTGTACCAGCCGCCCACAAAGCCCCTGTTTCTAGAGAGTGCTGGCCCCGCCATGGCGACCCCTGTCAGGCAATCCTTTGCTACTTATGGCCTGAAAGAGTCAACTACGAGCCAACTACCTCCCTCGTCGAATTTCGGGCCCGCGGGAATACCGGCAAAAACAGAAACGGACGCAGTCTCGGAGTACCTCGCTCCAACTGCGCAAGCACCCAGAGCTGAATTACACGAGCCGTCATCATCCTCGCCTAAGCCCAAACCATTAACACCAGCCCAATGCTTCAAGCACGGTCTTAAATACCTAAACCAATACGTCGACCTATCCAACCACCCACGAAGCGACGAGATCAAGCATCTTGAAGCCGAAACAGCTATCCTCAGACGGAGACTCGAGCAGTCCGAAGCCGCGCAAGAGGACCTCAGAAAACAATTTACAAACCAGCAAGAGGACCTCAGAAAGCAACTCCAAGCCCAGTCCGACGAGATCCAAGCCCTCAAAGCAGCTGCGGCAACCACCCAGCAGCTAAGAGGAGCATCAGACACGCTTCGACAAATTCTCGAGCGCTCCGAAGCGAAATTCACGAGGTGGAATAGCACGCTTGAACAGGAGCTGAAGAGCCTGCGGGAAACCCAGAGAGGTGATACCGTGAGCCTCAATAAGCAGCTGGACCTTGTTTGGGAGTATGCGCGGAAGGCTGGCAGATTGCAGGAGGCTTTGGAGGAACTAGGCGATTTGAAGGTTAGTGATGTGCTGAGGACAGTTGTTAGGGAGAAGGCTTGTGCGTGTACCCGGACAGAGGTGGAGGTGCAGTCTCGCGCTGGTGCCATGCCGTCTGATGAAGCGCGTAGGAATGGTTTGGCGTCGACTGGAACGACGGGGCTGGAGGCATTGGATGTATCTGACGAGTGAAATAGAATTTATGGGCCAGCTGTACGTGATCTATGATCTATTGAGCATAAAGGAGTGTAATTTCTCATCAGGATGACGGCAAAACCAACATTACGATTCCAATATGCAGATTGCGGATAGACTTGGGGCTGACCAAGGTTCCAAGGAGCTTTGTTGCGCCAGGCATGTGTACCGGCGAATCAGTCAAATTCCAAGGTTAACCCCATTGATTGACGAAAACATAACTAAAAAAGACAGAGTAGAATGATGATCTATGACACAGAGACCATCTCAACAAGCCCATACCCATTCACATGATGGCCATCCAGCACCCCCTTGAGCGTCACGAACCCTTCATACGCCGTCTCCAGCGCATTCGAGCCCACAATCTCCTGATCAGCCCGCACACTCTTCACACGGAACCCCGCCAGTTCGCCAATCCGGAGCTTCCAGTCCAGCGGATAGACCCGACCGCTAGAGGCAGAGACATAGCGACGCGCGTAATCAGGCTCCCAGACAACAGGGAGAACAAGCTGCGCACCATCCCCATCACGAACCGTCGCGAACCGCGAAGCCTGGCCCGTAGCGGGATTGTCAACGGCCCAGATGCTGAACTTGTATTCTGATCCGGGGACATGCAGTTGGAACCACGTCCAGTTCCCTGTGATGGCGCCGCCGGCGCCTTCCCACTGGCGGTCGTACCAGGTTGAGGACTTTGCGGGGTCGACAGTGACGGTCTTGCCGTTTATTTTGATGGTCCCCTGAGTTTTGGAAGACGGGATGCCCCATTCATGGCTAGTGACGGGGCCGAAGAGGAACGCGCCCGTGCCGCCGTTGGCGAGGATGAGAGAGGATGAGGTCCAGGAGAGGTTGAATTTCACGTTGTCCGTGTTTGTTGCGGCGCGGAGCTGCGAGATGTTATCGTCTGAGAGACTTCCGAAGGAGTTCTTGTTGATGGTGATGTTGAGGGTTGGACCTTCTCCGGTGCCGTTTCCGCGAGTGACAAATTGCTGATAGCCGTTTGTTTGGAGGTCAAGGGTTGAGCCGCGGTAGTAGGTGATGTTATTGACATTGAGGACATGCGCAATGGCCACGTACTGCTTGCCGTTTGTGCCGGTGATGAAGGAGCTGCTCCACCATGAGCCGTGGCCCAGTTGGGTCTCGTTGAAGGCGTAGAGAGCTGGGGTTTTGTCCTGGTGGGATATGGTTAGAGCGGGAATCTTTCTAGAGTCACGGGGGCATTGAGCTTACATTCCATAAGACTGGGGAGGACTCCGGCCTAAACAGGTACTTTGCCTGTGTATGATTGGAAGCAAATACTTGGGTGGCCACTGCCAGAATAGCGAGGAACGCGGCGGCAAACTTCATAATGTTGTTGTTGCTGGAAATGATATGGAAAGGAATAGCTTTGGGGACAAATGAATACAGAAAAGACAAGAGTTAGTGGATGCAGAATAATTCATGGCTGAGGAAACATGGGCTTTCTTATAGATGGATTACTAGAGTGCTGGAGCAATGCCTTATGGTACGTATCCGGTGAATGGATGCCAGAGCCCTGGAGTGACATCCTCAGGTACGGCCAGCGTTCCTTCCCTCGGTGAAACTCTTGATCCCAGACCTCAATAGCCACGATGTTCACTACCAGCCTATCTACGATTGCGACTTTCTCATTCTCTTTGAGCTTGAGCTTCTGGTTATCCGCTTTGGCAGCGGCGAATATGTCACCTCCCTGGACTTAGGGCACAAAAGCTTGGAACGTTCCCCATAGTGGACCTGGGGTTGTTTATCCTTGACATCCTATATCTGCAAACTTTAACTAGGTATGCTCAGTCCGACTTCCCCGTCCCGACCGCGCGAGACCTATGGAATTGGGAGTTTTGTAGTCCCGGAAGCCATCACGATTGATATGCTCAACATCTCGGTCTAGCCAGCGGGAATCAACTTTAATGCCTAAAGAACGTTCGATAAACTTGATCGAGTGAATAACGCAAAGAATCTTCTCGGAGGCGGCTAGGAATGGTTGGTAAAAGCCAGGAGCCTTTTGTTCAGCAGATTCGATAACCTATATAGAGAAAAGCTAGGTACATGAGTCACTCCGTCGACGACAGACTTAACTCCTTCCACTTCTCATCCGACGCCGCCAACTCATCCGCTGCTTTCTTGCCATACATGAGTGCATCGGGTCCCACTAAAAGGCGCAGCGGCGGCTCTGCCTCGCTCGTCAACTTGAGCACAATCTCCGCGATCTTCTCAGGAAGCGAGGGCTCAGAACCATTATGGCCCCGCACAAACTTCGCGAATGCACCAACTGTCGACTGATACGGCTCACTGACGGGCGGGATCCTCATCGACGAGCCGGACCAGTCGGTCCTGATACCACCAGGCTCAAGGACAGTCACCTTGACGCCGAAGGGAGCGACTTCCTGCGCGAGACACGCGGAGAACCCGCCAACGGCGAACTTCGCGCATTGGTATGCTGCCAGACCGTTCATTCCGACGCGGCCGCCGATAGAGGAGATCTGGAAAATGTGTCCTGATTTCTGTTGGCGCAGGATAGGGAGGACGGCTTTGGAGACGTAGACGACGCCCATGAGGTTCGTGTTGACCTGGGCCTGGAAGTCGGTGATGGTTATGTCCTCGATTGAGGCGATGTCCGCGTAGCCGGCGTTGTTGACGACGTAGTGGATGCGGCCGAAGCGCTCGTGGCCGGACCGGACGGCTGCGATGACTTGGTTGTAGTTGGAGACGTCGAGGGCAATTGGGTAGACTTGTTCCGAGCCGTACTGCTCAACGAGGTGGGAGATTTGGTCTGGGTTGCGGGCAGTCGCGATGACGAAGTCGCCGTCCTTCAGGGCCGCCTGCGCGAGGGCCAGACCCAGGCCGCGCGAAGTGCCGGTGATGAACCATACTTTTCCAGTCATGGTGAGAGTGAAGGTATTGAAACGATGTTTGAAGTTGCTCGAGGGTGAGGATTAAGATGATGATGGAAAGGAAACAATGCTGGGCGAAGGAGAGGTATTTATAATCTCTGGTGATCCATTTTAAGGCTGTCTAGAGGCGGCATTGTGGCCGCAGAGCAGTCTAGTTGCTTATCTCCGGGCCTGTTGTGGCCGCACTGCCCGCACTAGGCCACCCGGCAAGACCGAGCTGCGGCCGCTTAAGTTTCAACGCTCTCGGCCTCGACTGCGCTTTTCTCGCCCGCAAACCTCCGCCCGTTGATTTACCATGAATGACGGAGCTGACCACGCCTGTGCTCCGTGCAGGAGAAACAAGCGGCGTTGCGACAAGCAGCTTCCTACTTGTGGGACTTGCCGAAGGTTTGTGACGTGTTCTTGGAAGTTGAGTTTCATCCGGATAGCTCTACATTAACACCAATCCCTAGAGCCCGCCGAGAATGCGACTACGTCGTCGAAAGCGAGTCAAGCGACTTGCAGCGTCGGGTGCAGGAACTCGAACGAACGGTGTCCCAACTGACACGCCAGATCCCCGCCTCTTCAGCTTTCGTGGCTGAAACGCCAGCCCATCCGCTCTTTCCCACCTTGTCCACGCAGGCCTACTTCCTTGACCCCGACGTCTGGTCATTGGTTTAAAGTCACTCCAGCGCTGCTACGCCTGCATTTGCCCCTGATGAAATCTCAGCACGTCTGGGGTTGCAGGCCGATATTGACGCCATCCAGAATATTTACTTTTAGACGATCCATTGCTGGATGCCCTTTATCAGCAAGATCAAACTGGAGCGAGCAACTAGAGGCTTCGACGGCCGTCTGAGTGCAGACACCGCTCTCCTTCTGCTCTGCATGAAACTGGTCCAACAAGTGCCAGCTAGGCAAATCCCTCAGTTGCTGGAGCTCTACACTACCGCGAAGAAATTTCACAATGGCTTGGAATCGCAGGGAGCTTTGACGCTGCGAATCCTTCAGGCAGACATCCTGCTTCTTATCTTTGAGCTGGGACATGGAATCTTTCCAGCAGCATTCATGACTATCAGTTATTGCGCACGGCAGGGCGTTGCGCTTGGGCTCCATAACAAGGACGCGCCGCAGTTGCTCAGCAGACCCCGGGCTTGGGTAGACTGGGAAGAGAGACAGCGGGTCTGGTGGGCTATTGCGATACTGGATCGGTTTTCTTTCCCCTCCAATCAGGGGGTTATGGCAGGCACTGACAAATAGCCTAGTTATGTCGGCCTTGGTGGGAGCTATCGCCTATTATGCACCGAGGATCCCGGCAGAGACACCCTCCTTCCTGTCAATGAACGTGCCTGGGATAATGGTGTACGTCCGGAACGATGATAAAATCTGCTTTTACAACGACAGCTAACAGCTTCCATGCAAGGAAATCATGCCTCCAGACCGCGTCTCCCTCTCGTCCCAGACAACCAACGCACTCGGCGGATTCGCGCGCCTCGCACAGGCATCTAACCTCCTCGGGCGCGTGATAAGACACTGCAACAACACTGGATCGAACATGGATGTCCGCTTTGTTCTTGATAACTTTGAAGCCCTGCATCAAGCGATTTACTCTCTCTTGGAGCTTCTTCCTATATTAACCCCAAATGATACTAATCTACTCAATAGCCTCGCTGCAAAGGCCATCTGCTACAGGTACTCCCGATTTTCCTATTTATCAGTCTGATTTTCCTTGTTGCTTACCCGCGGCTTTGTAACTACTAGCGCACTGTTCAGTCTAACCAACCACCATGCCTGCAACCTCTTTGAGGCAGACAGCGAAGTCCTAGACGAAGCCGTTGCCCGCGCGCCCGTGAAGCCATGAAGAAGGCCTTTGATATCATCCAAGATACCTGCCGCAACGTTACCAGTCTAGCGCAGGAGGTTCGTGAGATTCTCTCAGTCACTCATGATAATGAACAACTTCACGTTATCTCGCCATTGGTTATCGAATGTTTATATACCGCTGCGCAGAATATCATCTGGATGGCGCTTGAGTCGAATAGTCCCGAGCTGGAGGTGTGGAAGGGGCTTTGTGAGGAAGTTCTGAGGTTGTTGAGTGGGAGGTGGGGGGTTGCTGGTATGTTTCATCTTATCCTCTATGGTATCAGGCTGATGAATGCGTCGCCTTTAGGTGTTTATCTGGAGTTGCTGAAGGTTAGCAAGGCGAGGGATGATGAATGATGGATTTAACATTGATGTGGCAAACATTGGTCTGGCGAGACACCTGTTAATGTTCTATTCAAAGTGCTAGGTACTCGTGATCTAACTCGATAAATATACCAAAAAGTCTTGGATCGATGGTACTTAGTATAGGTAAGGCATTCTTTAGTTTCTTGCCCAGAACGTTAACCAGGCAAAGGGAGTTGATTAGATGTTTGTTAAGCCCGAAATCAATAAGCCGCCCAGCCTCGTCCTGCTCAGTCTTGTTGAGCCCAGGAGTTCTTTGAAGCAGACTAAAAATACACCCATATGATTCACTCTATGAAGCACTGTTTATACACGAATCATACGTTCCCTGCCTAACCCACCGTCCCGCTCTCCTCTCCCCGCCGTGTATACCACGTCCTCAACGAATCCCAGCTCCGACACGTATGCACCATGGGGGTCCCCACGACCACAGCTCTCTCGATCTCGCCAAGGGGTCTTAAAACCACGGGCGTCAGATCACCCGCGCACTGGAGACTTTGCCGGACCTGTTCGAAGCAATGCTCTGCGGGCAACCAGCGTTAATACAATCTCCCAGGTTGGAGCATCCTTCACATACCGAGATGCGCCGAATGCGCGGGGCCGTAGTACTCTGGTGAGAGCGCCTTGCGCAGCGTGTTTAGGCAGTGGAGGGAGTGCATTACCTCGACCCTGGACGGTGTCAGTATGCTTCTCAGTCCTGGAACGAAACATAGATCTCATGGGGCGCTACTTACTCTCCCACCCAGCGACCATCAACCAAGACCGGGTCATCGAGTCCCGCTGCTTCGTCGTCGCTGAGGAGCAGGAACTGTCCTATTGCCGGTCAGAAAAGATCGTCTCGACTGTACACGGCTGATTGCAACAGACGTACCGCCCAAAAGACTATCCCATGCAGCGTCAACATCGGGCGAGGGCTGACCGATGTACTGGGGCTGGGTGGGATCAAAGTCACGATACAGCTGTTTCGAGGACGCGTTGTAGCGCAGCGGGCTGGTGAAGGTAGTTTGCTCCAGCTCGATTGACTCGACCACCGGGCCTGAAGAAAGACTTTGTAAGATGAATTCGCAGCGGGGATCATGTTGCAGCTCACCCCATTCTGTTGGGTATCCCGCATCGAAAGCGTTGGTACACGTGGGCGCCAGCGCTTGTCTATATTTCGCCCATAGATACAGCGACTGGGCGCTGAAGAGGACGGTCGTGAAGGCAAAGAAACATGTTGCTACCGAGGGGCGCTTGGAATATGGCCACGACTGGCTCCGGCTCTGGTTGTTCTCAATGCTCGCATTTTCCGCCGAGTTGAGTTTCTCGTATGTTGCGCGTGAGTCCATTCTTGTCATTACTCTCCTAGGCAGACAGTAGGTTGAGAAGAACGCGAGGTTGGATGGATTGCGATAGGAGCGCGGTCAAAAGGAAGAATCAAGCCCTTGCCACCATGAGGAAGAGGCAAATGTTCTAGTCTTCTAGCCTCTAGGGACCTAAGCGGGGCGCAGAGCCTGCTAGCGGCGCCTCGGGCCTGTCCATGCCTAACCTTACTGACCCTAAGGGCCCTAAGGGCCCTAAGGGCCCTAAGTGCCCTTCAGGTGGAGTCCGCCAGGCTCAACAGCGTTTAGCGCCCATTACAAATTGTTGGGTAAGGGTTACAATGCAGCGGCAAATCACACCGGTACGCCAGATAATGATGAACCCAAGGAACCATCGCGGCTGAAGAGGAAGAATTTTCATGCTAGGGCGTTATGTAAAGGTGACAAACTAACGACCATCCACTCCGATCTCTACATGGTTCTCTCACTGGTTCTTAGGGTTCAGGTGATCCACCAGAGCATTGTATACATGGAAACAATAACAATGTCCACTGGTATATATAGCTCCTGGACGTCCACGGCTCTATAGTCTATCATCTTTCCATTCCTCCAACTACCTGGTTCAACTCATCCCTTCCAAAATGAAGCTATCTCGCTCCCTCCTTGACCTCGCGGCCCTCAGCCTAACCCTGGCATCAACTGCCTCTGCCGCCCCATCCACCCCATCTCCCGACCTCACCCCCGACAACACACCACACTTCCAAATCGACCTCTCCACTGTCCCAACAGGCCTTTCCGCCCGCGACACCGACACAACCATCGACCACTCCCTGTCATCGCACAACTTCTTCGGCAACGAGGAGTGGGCCGTCGCGATCCGCCCCGGCGTGGGCCCCGTCTGGATCCACAGTTCGCGCTGGAAGACCCTCCTCGAAGAGCCAGAGAACACCTCCGTGATCGAAAGCGGTGCTGCAGATGCAAATGGCACCTCCACCCTCGAAGCCCGCCAGTGGTACGGATACGGCTATGGATACGGCTACAACTCCTACTACCCTTACTACGGCTACGGCTCTGGCTACCAGTACTACGCCAAGCGGGATGCAGCTCCAGATGCAGCCGGAGACGCGCCTGCAGCCGGGACGTTGGCGAAGCGGGATACCTGTCCCGCGCAGACTGGATACAACATCGGGTGCAACAAGGTTACCGACTATGCCAAGTAGGTCTCACCCCGCGTACCATTTCTCTATTACTTCGTTTGATACCCAGTGGACTAACAGTGCACAGCTCCGCCTCGTTCTACGGCTACAATGGGTATACGAGGAACGGCTGGGCGCCGAAGATGAATGTGTACTCGGACACCACCTGCAATTCGTACCTGACATCGGTTATTGGGGATGCGTCGTGTTTGACTGCTTCTGTGAGGATTCAGGGCATTATCACGTTTAATCAGCAGTTGTGAGAGGTGATGCAGAAGGGGAGGTAGGACTCTTGACTGCGAGTTCTTCGAACTGCTCTTTGAGCCATCCATTATGTACGAGTGGTTTTGTTCAGGAAACTGGGTTCAATTTAGGCCGCCGGATACATCTCCAAGCAGACCATCCAGTATGTAACCGCCCAGACCATGAGGTACCCTAGAAAGATAATAAAAATCTACACGCAGCCAATTCCATTAGTATACTTCTCCTTGATCCGTTCATACTGAACAACAGAGTAATGGACTAAACTCACCCAAAGCTGCCCATTCTCAAAGACCCCCACGCGCCAAAGCGGCGCCACAATCCACAGCAGTAGCCCCACGAGATACGACAAGATCGAATAACTGAGCAACATAATCGGTGCTTGGAGGACAAAGAGCATCCGCCGTCTAGGCGGCCCATTCATGCCCCCACCGTCCTCGTCATTTCTGGCCTGTCCGCGAAGAGAAAGTAGGAGCCGCTCGACATCCCCATTACCATCGTCGCGCAAATCAAAACTCGACACCAAAATACTTGTGTAAAACGCCCCAATAACGCAGAACAGCGTTAGCGCCAGCGCCCCATACCAGAACGCCAAAACGAGCCAGAATGTATTTTCCGAGCTGGAAATTGCCCATTGCAGAGAGCCGGAGACGGAGGATGCGACGAGGGAGCCCTGTGCTGATGAACATGATATGCATGGATACGATTGACAGGGAGGTATAGGAGCGATGGAGGCAGACGCACCACGACCCCAACATACTGATACTCGACCTTCTTATCCGCCTGCCAGCGGACAAGGCGCGCGGTTTGACGGGGCGGATCGTCGATGTCTAGGATTCGCTGGACGGTGCGTTGCATGACGAACCAGGGGTTCGTCACCAGGCGCCAGGCGATGAAGGCAGCGCGTGCGGAGAGAGTAAGTGTCTGGATATCGGTCATGGTTAGCTTGGATTTAGGGAAATGGAACGAGAGCTTAACTCTTCTGGTTGCATCCCTTGCGCGTCTTGAAGATAGGATGTAGCGAGTTCGCGGTGTCATAATGTCTGATTGATTTGGTTGGTGGTTCTGGCCTGGCATCATATGGATAACTTGAGGTTCGAGTTGCGGCTGAGGATATGCAATGGGGCAAGGCTCCCTGCCTGGATATATGGGCCGCTGGTATAGGTGCGTGTGAGTGGCTGATTTGCTCGGCTCGTATGCCCCGAAACAAGAACCGTATGACACAGGAACTGAGCTTAGCCAGATAATGGATTAAAGACGGGGTGCTCACCCGCAAGGCCATTATGAATGTATATAAAACGTGTTGAAGCGGACGCAATGCTGAGCGTTACGGGGTGGAGTCCTTCCAGCGCGGCTGCTACGCTATGCATCCATGCTAGGCAGTCTCCCCTCAGACCTTGGCTATGACATCTGAATACCTATAGTTAAAGAGGTGGAAAGGGGCGGAGTTGTCGCTGCAAAATGAGAGATCTTCAATCGACAACTTTGATCTAAATCCATACCGCGATAGTGACCACAGGCCAGTGCGGTTGTATGAGCGATGTTAATGTCAAGGGTCCTTGTGTGAGCTTGAAACAGGATCATCCGGATTCCTCCCAAGATCAATGGAGTAATTTGTGTACCTCTTCTGACTTGCGATCCTTAAGGTACAAATTGAGACCTCACTCTGGTGCTCACCTATTGGATCCCACTGCAGCATCTCCCACTCAGATTCCTGCTCAGGCCGCCATCTCCAAGTCCCAACAGTCTGAAACCCCAGACTCTTATATACCGGAACCCCCGCAGGCGTTGCCGATAAACAAACAGGGAGGTTTCCCTTCTCTGCCCTTTCCATGCCCGATTTCATCAGACACTGTGCAGCTCCCTGGTGAGGTTTTTCACGATCTTTCCGGTTGTAATGAATCATGCCTGGCACGCCGGTGTTAGTTTGCTGGAAGTAATTTAATATAATGAGCAGGTTATTCCCGCACTTGCGCTTACCCATATTTAAGTTGTTCCTGTGGCCAAGACTACCACGGTGGTTTTATAAAACCAGGGTGGCTGTCTTAGTTTCCTCAATCAGCACCGATCATCGGCCGAAACATATTAAAACTTAAGAACTGGTTAAAGTCCAGATCTAATTCCTGGAGTCCAGACATGTCAGCAACCAAACCCTTTAACAGCGGCATGTTGTCTAAATTTAGGCTCCGACGCGGCAGTAAGGTCTGCACCGCCTGACCAGGGCCCGCTGCAGCGGTGCCAGGCTAAGACTCTTGCTGATAGTCTGCTTTAAGCACGCTATTTAATAACTGCGCGTTGCGGGATTATCAGTTCTGGTATAGGAAGACTAGGAATCAAGCAGTGGTATAAGCCTCCTATATTATGGCGGTGTTATATATTAAAGCAACCGCCTTTAGTGTCTCCATTGCCTTCGCAAGTAATGTGAGCGAAGCGCAGGTGTCCATTTCCAGGAGTATTGTGATGATGTGGAAGGGGACGTTGGCGATGTGCTGCCATGGGCAACAGGCCGTCAGCATGTCTCGGACGGAGTGAAGGGCTCTCCGGAACAAAGCGAGTACTCGGTCTGGAAGGGAAGGTTGTAGAAGTCCATAGAGACGGCCAATATGGCACAGCTTTCAGGCTCTCACGAGGTCCGCTTAGTCAGTTACCGTGCTTACTCATCTGCCGCCGAAACCCACCTGGCGCCCGCTTTTTTTCATATAAAATATTAAAAAGTCTATACTTTTAAATATGTCTAACACGCCCAAGTTAAGAGGTATTTTAATAATTTTTTAAGTTTTATATTAAGAAAGAAATACACTATAATTAATTACTTTTAAAATAAAAATTCTATGTATATTTATTATAAATAAAGGTAAGAAAATATAAGTAAATTTTTTAATATTTTAAAAGTATAATATATAATAAAATATATATATATAAATTAAAAAAAAATTTATATACTATAAGTTTATAGTATTAAAAATAATTATATAAAATTTTTATTTAAATTTTAAAGTAAATATAAAATAAAATAAAAAAATAGTTTTTATATATTATTATAAAAAAATTAATAATAATAATTTTAAAAAAGGATAAATTAATAAAATAAAATAAAAAATAATATTTTTAATATATAAAAATATTATAATTTAAAAAAAATTATAAATAATTCTTTTTGTTATTCTAAAAAATAAACTAAAAGTTAATTTTTAAGTAAAATATTTATTTTTAAAAAATAATAAATATATATAAATAAATTATAACTTTTAAATTTATATTATAAAAATAAAATATTTTTAGTAATTATTTTATAAATTTTAATTATAAAATATATTTTATATAGTTTTAAATAATCTAAAACTTATTATAAATAAATAAAGTTTAATATAATATTTTTTTAATTTATTTTAATATTTCTAGGAAAGTAAGTTTATATATATAAAATTTAAGTATTTTTTTATATAAAATATATTTTTTATATTTTAATTATAGTTTTATTAAGTAAATATCTTAATTTTACTTAATTTAAATATTTTAAAAATTAAAAATTAAAAATCTTTATTTTTATTTTTAATATATGTAAATTTAAATATTGAAATTTTTTAATATAAAAATAAACCTTCCTAAAAAAATTTATATTAAAAAAAATATAAAATAATATTAATAATTTTTATATTATATAAGGTTTTTATAAAAATAATTTTAACTTTTATTTTATAATAAAAAGTTGTTTAAAAATATATATTATTATATAAAAATTATTTATACTTATAATTTATATATTAGTTTATTAAATTATATATTTTTTTTATAAAAATTCTTAATTATTATAAATTAATATTAATTAATACTTTTATATAAAAGTTTAAAACTTTTTAGTTATTTTTTTTAATATTATATTTTTATTTTTAAGAAATTAATAAATTTAAAGTTAAAAGTAATATTTAAATATTTTATGTATTAAATTTTATTTATTTTACTATAAATTTGGCTGAGTTATAATAAATTAAAAATAAGAAGTTTATATGGGGAAATGCGGGCGGCAGGTGGGTTTCGGCGGCAGGTGAGTAAGCACGGTACGATGTTCTCTGCCGAGGTGGAAAAGGATAGCGAGAAAGGCCCAATCGGCGAAGGAAGACCATTCCCGCCAGCTCTTCCAGACCGCGAGCGTTACCTGGTCGACTTTGAAGGGCCGGATGACCCTCTGAATCCTCATACCTCACGTTTATCGCATCGTTAAACAGCGCTATGTTCTCCCCTGGCATAGTCAAGGCCAGTAGGTAGTGAGTTTGGCGTTGGAAGAGAAGTCATAACACTTGGTACGACTCTCTTCGTGCTCGGCTTTGCAACTGGCCCACTGGTCTGGGCACCAATGTCGGAACTCTGGGGTCGAAGGATACCTCTGGTGATTGCAATTGTTGGCCAAGGGATACTTACAATCGCATGTGCAGTCGCAACAGATGTCCAGACCTTGATCATCTGTCGATTCTTCGCAGGAGTTTGCGGCGCCAGTCAACTAAATGTGGTGCCTGGGGTGCTCGCCGATTTATACAACAACACCTACCGAGGTGTCGCTATTTCTCTGTACGCACTGACAGTATTTGGGGGGCCGTTCATAGCTCCCATTGCTGGTAGGTTTACCGTGTCCAGCTCCCTTGGTTGGAGATGGACGCTCTATATACCTGCTATCCTCGCCTTAGCCATCGGCGCACTATCACTGTTCTACTTGAAAGAGACCTACCCTCCCTGTCTCCTTATCGACAAAGCTTCGTCTATTCGAAAAAGATCAGGAAACTGGGCCATCCACGCGAAACAAGAAGAGCTTGAGCTCGAGGTCCGCACCTTGGTCGAAAAGTACTTGACGCGGCCGCTGAGACTCCTCATCACCGAGCCCGTACTTCTCCTCCTCTCGCTTTACATGTCCTTCATCTATGGCCTGGTCTATGCGTTACTTCAGGCATATCCATATGTTTTTGAGCATATTCATGGCCTGGGCCCGGGACCCGCTGGGTTGATGTTCGTCGGGCTCATTGTCGGCATCGTCCTGGCCCTTGGCTTTATCCTCTCGCAACAGAGGCAGTATACCAAGGATTTGCAAGAGAACGGAAACGTCCCTGTCCCAGAGTGGCGGCTGCGTCCAACCATGATAGGTGCCCCAGTATTTACTGTCGGTCTCTTCTGGTACGTGTCTTTTCTGAGGGTCCTAAACATGTCTAAACGAGGTTTAGGTTTGGCTGGACCGGATTCACGCCTGATATCCACTGGGCCGCCCCAGCAACCGCCGGGATTCCTATCGGATTCGGTGTCCTTTGCATCTTCCTGCCGTGTTTCAATTATCTTGTGGACGCCTACCTGCCGGTGTAAGTATCACATCTGTCTTTTGACACAACAAACAACCGCTTGTTCAATTCTCACAATTCTCTTCATAGTGCCGCGTCCGCCGTCGCAGCCAACATCATGCTCCGCTCGGCCTTCGCATCAGGATTTCCCCTGTTCACGCGTCAGATGTTCGAAAACATGCAAGTACAATGGGCTGGGACCCTTCTCGGCTGTCTAGCCGCGGCACTGGTCCCGATCCCCTTCGTCTTCGATAGACTTGGGCCGCGGCTACGGCGCCGCGCTGGATAGCGTTCTGTGGCTATTCTTCCGTAGTCCAATACTTTTCAACGTGAGTTCATGTCCTTGGTCCATCATAATTAAGTAGCAATGAATCCTAGATCAGTTCGATGATATGGCTTTTATGAGGCCCTTCGAATACCGTGCAAAGGAAAGCTATTGATTAAATAAATACTGGAGAATTAAATAAGGAACGCGATAATATTTAAAAGCTAGAGCTAACTAGGGTTTTTATAAATAATTTAAGCTCCTAAAAATAATAAAAATTTTAAATACTTTTACTAACACTTTATAATATTTAAAAAACTATAAATATTATAATTATACAGGCAAGTAATTTAGTAATAAGTATTATAATATTTTAATTAAAATTACCTAAGGTATTTAAGTATTATTAAAGCATTATAATACTTTTTTATTAAATTAAGTAATTTTTATTATTAGTTAACACGCCCCCTTAACACCTACTTATTTTTAAATTAATTAAAAATAAGGTTAAAAATGTTTACTAAACCTAGTATTTTAATAAATTTTTAATATTATTACTTAATAAGCGCCTTTATAAGGCTATTTATAATTATTTAATTAATAAGGGTTTATTTAATATAAAGGTTTTTATATTAAACTTTTTATTTAAGCTATAAATTATAAATATTAATATAATAAAGCTTTAAGTAAAATTATATATTAATATTAATAAAAATATTAATTATTTATTTATTATTATATTAAATTAAAAGTTAGTATTAAAAATTAAATTACATAACTTTAAAAATTTTTTATTATTAATAAGTTACTTTAAAGG